TTAAATAGCCTTTACGCGTTCGGGGTCTATTACGACGCCGCTAGACGTTACGATAAACCCTAAAAACTCCGCGTAGGTCGTATAGAAGGTATATTTTAATATCTTAATATATAAGCTCTAGTCCCGGAGGCGCTAGAGCACCTATAGAACGTATTAGACGTAATCTTCCTCGTTTTAAGAGTAGATTAAGATATTATCTAAATATACGACGTAGATAGTATCTACGAGGCTTTCGAGAGCTTTATTAATATAGCTCTAGAACGTAGCCGGCGCGTTAGCTAGGCCGAAGGGTATAACGAGATACTTAAATAGGCCGTATCTTATCTTAAAGACTATCTTCTACTCGTCGCCCTTACGAATACGGAGTCTATAATAGGCGTTACGTAAGTCTAGCTTCGTAAAGATCTTCGCGTAAGATATACGATTTAATAATTCGCTAATAAGGGGAAGCGGGTATCGATTCTTAATCGTAACCCGATTTAGCCCCCGGTAATCGATATATAATCGCATAGTCCCGTTAGGCTTAGGGACGAAGAGGATTAGTACGCTAGTAAAAGACTTACTAGGCCGAATCCAGCCCTTCTTAAGAGCCTTATCGAGGTATTCTCGTAGAATCTATAGCTCTCTTAGCGAGAGGTTATAGATAGGTATCTAGGGCGGCGACTTACCGTTCTCTAGGTCGATTATATAGTCGTATTCGGAGTTCTAGGCCAGCTTACCGGCTAGTTCGTTTAATACGATATCCGTAAAGTCTTAGTATTAACTTAGAAGTTCTTCTTATAGCGCGGTAACCGTTACGGCTATAAGAATAGAATTACCCTACGCTTCCGATACGAAGTATATATATTACGTATACGCGGCGCTAGTGCGTCGCGGATAGTACGTAGAGTTATAATCTCCGCCTTTCTACGTTAGTAGGAGCTAGTCCTAACTAGAGACCTTATCTTCTAGATTTATTTAGTAGACGGAATCGTCTAAGGCTAGTTAACTAGCGAATTATACCGTAGAGATAAGCTCGATACGGTCTTAGTATAAATTACTCTATTTAAGAGTGTTCGTACTAAAGCGGGCGATAAGGTCGGCCGCTTTTAGCTAGTCTAGGCCGAGGATTAGATCGTAACCCTCGAAGGACGCGCTCTAAAATAGGCGCGGTCCGATAGTTCGCTTAGCGCCTATCCCGTCTTTAGCCCGGAGAGTAAGTTTATAGAAGTTCTATATAGTTATAGAATAACTATCTAAGAATCGTACGCGGAGCGTACGCTTAACGTACGAGAAGAGTACGCGATAGATACTTACTAAATCTTATCTAATAAGGTTTATATTACTTCCTAAATCTAAGAGGGCCTTTAAGGCTACTAGCCCTTCCGGCGACTTTAGAAGGACGTTTATAATAATCCGTCCGGTTAAGCCTCGGTCGACTAGTCCTAGAGATAGGCGGCTTAGGGCCGCTACTAGAACTATTCTTTTTCTAAGGTCTTATCGTCCTTCGAGCTATCGGCTCTAGAAGAGGGTTAGTTACTAGCCGGGTTCTTATTAAACCGGCGGAAGCCCGAGTTACGCTTCGTATACGAAGCGCCTACGCCTTATCTACGAGTCGACTTCTAGAAGTCTTCTTAGCGAGGCGGCTTATATCGGCTCGAATTCCTCGACCGACCTCGCCTACTATCGGTAGAGTAGGCCGGACGCGGGCGTTTATAGCCTACGCCCTAGCGCTATTATTTCTTCGTCTACGCTATCTTAACTAAGCCGAGCGTCTACTTAAGGCTAATAATTAAGTCGTAGAGTTTCTTAACCCCCCGGATAGTCTTTATCGTAGGGTATTTAAGGAGTTCTTTACGATAGATCTCTAGGAGGTTCGTAAAGAAGAGGTCGATAAGAAGGTTCTTATCGGCTACCGCGTATAGAAGCTATTTATATAGGCTTTCTATACGGGCGCGGTACTTCTAATACGACGTACTAGACTTTATTAGAGAGCGGTAGAATATAACCGTATTCTCGTACCGCCGTAAGGTAGGGTTTCTTACTTAATCTTAAACGATTACTTTAAACTCCTCGAAGAGAAGCTCTCTTCGGGTTATAGATTTATCTAGGCGTTAGTAGACGTACTAGGCGATTACTTCGTACTTCGCGAGGCCCTAGAGGGCCTAGCGGGTTCGCTTCTCGGTATCCTAGTCTTATAGATTAAGTATATTAAACTTATTATTTAACTCGTTAATCTACTTATCGAAATAGTACTAGATCGCGGTTTATAGTTCGAAAACGTTCTTTTCTCGCTAGATCGCCTTCCGCGCTTTAAAGTCGAGATATATACGAGAAGTATACGTTTCGAATACGCTTAGCTAAGAGAGTATATTAATACGTTTCTATAGACCCTTAATTAAAGCGTTTAATTCGATAATTTAAGCTAAGGAGGTCGGGATTACTATAGAGAGCCTATAAATCTTAGTCTTTAGATTCGTAATAACGTCTTCGGGCGTAATCGTTATAAAGGGGGGTTCTTCTATAGCGGTAGGTATCGGGGGTATCTTATCGGCGTTATCGTTTAATTCGCTAGGAGTCGGATAGTCTAATCTAGTTAAGGGATCTTATACGACCGTAGCGTTTTCGGTACGCGACGCATACGCGTTACGTACGAAAAGAGGGGTCCGCTTAGAAGGCATTCTAAACCGGCTATTTAAAGAGAAGGATTCGAATATAAGATATAAGGCACGAATAGAGAGCTTAAGATAGATATAAGAAGAGGGCTTATAATTAATAGACGAATTCTTAAGGAATTCGGCCTTCGCCCGTAGGCCGAAGGGCTTTTATATATAGCTAAGCGAGAGTTACGTAACTAGTACGTAACTTCTATAGGTCTCGTATACGAAGCGTATACGAGACGCGGCTATAGATTCTTATATATATATAGATAGACGTACTAGTAGATATACTAATAAATCGCGCTAGTTTATAAGATAGACCTCGTATATAAAGCGTATATAAGGCGCGGCTATAGATTTTTATATAATATAGTAGATAGCGAATAGTAAATAGCGAATAGTAAGAAGCTTTCTTATTAGCGGCGTTATAGTATATTAAGAAGTATATATACTATATCGCTTTTCTACTATCTATAAATCGCCGCCGCCGTCTACTCCGTCTACGTATCTACTATCTTCTTTTATTTTTAGCTATAGCGGCTATACTTCTAGAGAGTAATAGCGGCGGCGGCGGCGGTAGTAGTAGTATTATAATATTAGCGGGTATAATTTAGACGCCGGTATTTACGGTAACGAAGGCGTTATAGATAGATCGACCTATTTTTATCTATAGATATAGATTATACGGCGGGTGCGAAGAGCTAGAATATCTATAGATAGAGATTTAGAATTAGATATACGTAGTTCCGTTATCTTAAAGAGAAAGTAGAAAAGGTAATAGACCTTAAAGAGACTGATTTAGTAACCGGGAAGAAGGAGGATCTTTTACTACCTAGGTACTATAAGTTACGGGTCGGCCCGATGGCTTATCTAAAAGCCGATTACTTACCTACTACCCCACCTTGGCTAACTCTCTATCTCACCCGACCATTACATCCCTACATTCTCCTACCCGCCCACTATACTATACTCCACAATGCCTAATCTCTCCGCTTTTATCACCCACCATGATACCTTCAACGCTCTCCTGGGTTCTGAGCCCAAGCTCGAGCTTCTCCTAGAGGACAGCAGCTACCCTTTTGCCCACGAGGCCGGCGTCTTCATCCCATTAATGAACAGCCTGTTCATAACAAGCAACCGCATTGCAGACCCTACTGGCCAACAGCGCGTCCAGATATCGAAAATCACCATCGACGACGCCTCTGGTCGAGTGTATCGCGAAGACCTCCCCGAGCCCACCATCCCCATGGCCAACGGCGGCGTCAACTACAAAGACGGCATCCTATTCTGCAGCCAAGGCTCGCCCACCCAGCCGGCCGCCCTCTACGAAATGTCCCTCTCCCAGCCCTACACCTTCACCCCCGTCCTCGACTCCTTCCACGGCCGCGCCTTCAACTCGCTCAACGACGTCGTCGTCCACAGCGACGGCAGCATCTGGTTCACCGACCCCATCTACGGCTACGAGCAGGGCTACCGCCCGCGCCCGCAGCTCCCCAACCAAGTCTACCGTTACGACCCGCATACATCCAGTATCCGCGCCGTCGCCGACGGCTTCGGCCGCCCCAACGGCATCTGCTTCTCGCCCGACGAGCGCATCGTGTACGTCACCGACACGGACCGCGTGCACGGCGACGGCACCACCGACGACACGCGCCCGTCGACCATGTAAGCAATAACATCCCGCCTCCACCTACCACTCACCCAATGACATATTCGACGGTTGTTGGTTGCTAACAACGAGAGCCGCCCACCAGCTACGCCTTCGACATCGCCCACCACTCCGGCCAGCCGTTCCTGACCAACCGCCGCCTCTTCGCCTTCGCCGACGCCGCCGTCCCCGACGGCATCAAGGTCGACTTGGACGGCAACGTCTACAGCGGCTGCGGCGATGGCGTCAATGTCTGGTCGCCCGGTGGCGTCTTGCTGGGCCGCGTCAGGGTCGACGGCGGCGTCGCGAACTTCTGCTTCGGCCGCCAAGGCGAGCTGTTCTTGTTGAACGAGCACAGGTTGTGGAGGGCGAGGCTGGCGCCGACGGTGAGGGGTGCGCTGTTGGGGCTCTGATGGGGGAGGCGGTGTGGGTCGTACGTTGCTTGGCTGCGGAGGATGCGAAGGGGGTTCGATGCGAGTTCTGTTGTCTGTTCCCTGGTGGGTGGACGTGCGGTTGGTGAGTAGGGGAGAGAGGCCGAAAACGGAGGAGGAGTGATGGTCTGGATATTGTTGTTTGAACTATGGAACGGTGTCCGAACCTTGGGTACGATGTCGAGGCCTACTTTCCCGCATACATGTTCATGTTGGGCATCGGCATGAGCAGATCTGGGAATCTCACTTCAACTTCTTCCGACATATGACAAGGACAGGCAGGACAGGCCCAGACCATTCGGCCGATGATATGCCCGTCCTTTACAATGACGCCTACTCCATCCTTGAGCGGAAGCTCGTAGCTTAAACCGGGGATGCGGTAGGCCGCAGCGCCCAAGACTTCGGATGGAGGTTTCGTCAGGGCTGCACGGTATAGAAAGTGTTTGTGACAGACGGGGCAGGCGGCGGCAAAGACGCTGCACCAATGGCCGTGGATCGTTCTTCCGCGTGCCGACACAAACGCCATCGGAGTCTCGCCCTTTAACCTGGCGCCTCTCCAGAGAGAAGAGTCCGAAAGGCCCATGGCGCGGGTGATGGATGAGCACCTATCTTCCATCTATCGAGGGCTTCTCCATTCCGTCTCGCTGTCGTACCACTCAACCAGTGTTTTCTGTAGGCGTTCACGTCCACCCCGGTGAGCTAAGCGTTCTAGTATTTCCTGCGTATCCTGGTCGCATATTCCCGTTCCCGCCGTAGCGACGAAAACGTCCAAGTCGGGACCGGAACAACCCAGAGCTGCTTGGGTGGCGTGGACGAGCCACGAAGGGACCGTCATTGACATGGAGAGTCTTCTGCAAGCAGTTACAGTCCCGAACTTCTCGGCTTTGAGAACAAGATCACCCCGTGGCTGTACTCGAAGGCCGTCTGCAACTGACGGCGTCGATGACTGCGCCCCCAGCCCCCACACGTTGACGTCGTGGTAAGCGTTGAACTTGTAGTCGTTCGGATTGCGTGGTGTCATCAGAAGCGGGCTGTAGTCTCCCGAGTCCATGCAAGCTCGGGCAATCTGCGCACATGCCTCCCTGTCGTCGTCGTGCAGTCGGGCCTCCTCCAAGTCTATTGATAGAAGCGCGAGGATGGCGTAGAAGAAGTCGTGTGGCTGGGAGCATTGCCGTGTGCTCAGGAGGGAGAAGGCATGGGCGAAGACGGTGGATTTGGGGGCCCGAATATCCTGCAACGGTCCGAGCATCCAGGGCAAAAGATTCATGCCCGCACGTGCGCCTATGAGCCGCTCTATTTCGTAGACGCTGCCTCGGCGCTCTACCTCTTCGTCTCAGATAGCGTTCATCTCGCTGAAGAACAGGTCTCCCCCGCCGTCTGCCATGTGGTAATCTTCCAGAAGGACGTGCACTTTGGTACTTCGAATGAACTCCGTGGCTGTCCAGACTCCAAGGTAGCCAACAATCAAAGACAAGCAAAGATAAGGCTCGATCTTTACTTGTTTGGTAGGTAGAGGGTCAGCATCTTTGCCTCTTTGCAAAGATCTTCGACTGTTTGGTTGGCGTGATCACGGGCCACTATCGTGAGAATTTTCTTAGTATTTTACCCTGATTTGGTATAATTGACCCCCTCCCCCTCTCCTCCGACCCCCCTTTGAGACAGGAAGGAGGAAGGAGGACGGGTAGGTAGAAGAGAGGGAGGATAGAAGAAAGGGAAGAGGGGGGGGGGGGGGGGGGGGGGTGGTCATCTATGCCGAATCTGGGCAACTGTACCGAATCTGGGCAAAACACTAAAAAGAAATCTCACGATAGTGGCCCGTGATCACGCTAACCAAATAGTTAAAGATCTTTGCAAAGATAACAGCCCTCCATCTTTGCTTGCTTGTTGGGTTGAAACAAGCAAAGATAAACAAAGATGTTTGATTGTTGGCCACCTTGGTCTAGACCCTACGGAACCAGCGGGCATTGCATACACCGGTTACGCCCATGATTCGATCATCGGCAGTCTCGCTGCGCAATCGTCCAACTGCGACACGAGGGACGTCGTCGAGATGGACTAAGGTGAAATCGGCGAGCTTGAAGATATCAGGTATCGCGGCCAAGATTTTGCGTTTGTCGATCCTGTAGTCATGCCACGACTCGCGCCCACTCCCGAGTTGTTCCGATACACTGTCGTAGATGCGCAAGGGCAATGTGTATGCCAAGACTTGTGCGCGTTCCGATGGCGTTACGGTTCGTCCTTCTTTTTGCGCAATTGCAAGGCCCGAGTCCCAAACATGCGATACTGCAATGTATTTGGCATCGACCGCACACTTCAGATGTCTATCGTAGAGTACTCTCCTCGACGCAATCATGGCATCCAACCTGATCAGAGGATTTCGCCAAACAGGAGGTTTCACGGAGCGAACCGGCTCAGTTGAGCTGTTTCTCAATCGCGAGGTAAGTTTTCAAGCAAACTGCCCATTGCAGTATACCAATATTCAAGCAGATCCAGCCCAATGAGACCAGAGGGAAACCGGGATTACTCGAACGGCTCGGCACACGACTACTGGTGTTCAACATTGCTTCCTTGCCCTACTCCTGGTCTCGTGCCGTAATGAACCTGGATGTGACTGGTGCTCAAGGAGTGTTGCAAGGATATGTTGGGACCTGGGATCCCCTCTTCTGGACCGGTAGGTGCCCGTCCAGTCTGGGCCCTGGACCGGGCCGAGCACGCCGATAGCGCCGACTCCAACGACTCCGAACGCCGAGAACGCTTCGGTATATAATCAAGTCGAAAAAGCCGTACGAGGGAAGGTGGGAAGCTCTAGATCGCCAGGGCTTCATCGTTCAGTCATTCTTATCTCACTCGTCATTACCATCAGCACCGATTTTTCCTCCTCTCGGAAGGAGAACAAGAAGGAGACGGGAAAGGATCTGCAGCAAAGATGGCCAGGCCATTCCGAGTCATTGTGGTGGGTGGCGGCGTGGGCGGACTGGTGGCCTCGCATGTGCTGCAGAAGGCGGGCATCGATCATGTCGTGCTGGAAAGCAAGGCGGAAGCGGCGCCGGCCGAGGGCGCAAGCATTGCCATTTACCCGCACGGCAGCCGCATCCTCGAGCAGATTGGCGTGCTGGACGCCGCCCGCAAGCTGTGCGTGCCCATGGACCAGGCCATCATGCGATGGCCTGACGGCTCGCGCCTCTCGTCGGTCCCCTTCTTCGACCACGTCAGGGACAAGTAAGTCATGGGAAATCAACGGACAGGAAGGCGAGCAGTTGCTGACGGTGCGGGGATTCAGCCATGGATACGATATCCTGCTGTTCGAGCGGCGGGACTATTTGGGTATGCTGTACGACACGCTGCACGACCAGTCGCGCATTCGATTCGGCGCGAGGGTGGTCGGCGTGGAGGAGACGTCGGCAGGAGTGAAAGCCCAGCTCGCCGACGGCTCGTCCGAGGCCGGTGACATGGTGATTGGCTGCGACGGCGTCCACAGCTTCGTCCGGGAAGCCATGTGGGCCAGGGCCAACGAGAGGGTGCCGGGGATTATCAGCGCGGCAGAGAAGCGGAGTAAGGGTCCCTATCCCGAGCAAGATAACGGGCGGAATATTCGTGCTGACGGATCGACAGGCATGCAGGTGTCGTGGAACTGCCTCATCGGCGTGGCGCCGCAGATTCCAGGGGCAGGGCTGCGTGACATGACGGTGGTGCACGGAGACAGGCACTCGTTGCTGGTGCTGGGGCAGCCGAAGAAGCTCTTCTTCTTCGTCTTCTTCAAGCTGGAGCGGGCGTTCCACTGGCCCAACTGGCCGCGCTGGAGCGAGGCCGATGCGGCGGCGGCGGCGGCCAAGGTGGCCGAGGTGCCCATCTCGGAAAGCGTGCTGTTTGGCGAAGTGTGGAAGAAGCGGCTCCGGGGCCAGCTGGTGTCGATTGAAGAGGGCGTGTTGCAGCACTGGCACTGGGGCCGCACGGTGCTGGCGGGAGACGCGGTGCACAAGGTCACGCCCAACATCGCTCTCGGGGGCAATCTGGCCATGGAGAGCGTGGCGGTCCTGGCGAACCTGGTCGTGCAAGCGGTGCGGACGGCGCCCGGGGGAAAGCCTGGCATGGCCGAGATCGAGGCCTTGTTCGGCGAGTATCAGCGGGCGAGGGTGGCGCGGGCACAAGGCGTGTGCGACGTCTCGCGGCTCGTAACGAGACTCCAGGCATGGGACGGGTGGATGCTCAGGGCGATGGCGTGCTACCTGGGGCCGCTGCAGCGGGAGCAGGCGCTGGCGGAGCAGTTGGCTCCCGTCATCAGGGCGGGGCCGCGACTGGACTTTGTTCCGTGGACGGGCAGGACCTCGCACGCCGTGGCCTGGGCGGACGAGAGGGCGGACGAGAGCGAGCCGGCGGCCAGCCAGTGGGGCACGCGGGCTCGGATGCTGGCGTGGTTGATGGTTGGGGCAACGGTTGTGATGCTGCTAGCAGCGGCAAGCCCGACGGCGACGGGGATGGCTGCGGCGTAGATAGCGTAGCAGGAATGGAGCGCAGGGATTGCATCCTTTGTGACGACGATGAAGCAGACGGGCGGCAGCGGGAGGCGGGACCTGGCGGGGCCTGGCGGGAGGCGGGAGGCGGCGAGCTGGCGGCCGTAGGATGCGGGAGGATGCGGAGGATGCGTGCGGCGGGCCTGGCTCGCAGGATCGTGCATATGTCAGGCATGTCAGGCTGGACTGGCGATCGCGTAGAATAATGGCGTGCCCGGCCGCTCCCCACGCGGCTAGCGTCGAGGCGACGGCGTGGAGAAGAGGCTGCGGTAACGGTGATAGGCAGGCACGGCTGGGCGGGTGGGCGGGTGGCACCTGCCTATATTATTACAACCACCGCACGCGCCATCGCAACCCGCCACCTACCTGAGCCAGCAACCTGACCATGAGCAGCGCCTCGCGCCACATTGCCTGCAAGCTCTGCCGCGACCGCAAGGTGCGCTGTGACGGCGGCCAGCCGCGCTGCCAGCGCTGCCTGCGCTCCGGCGACGAGTGCGTCTACGCGCTGCCGGCCAAGCAGCAGCGCCGCAACGGCGACCTGCAGCAGACGGTCGAGCTGCTCGAGGAGCGCCTGAGCCAGGCCGAAGCCGCCCTCTCCAGCACCAGCACCCGCCACTCGTCCGCCTCGGGCTCCGCCTCAGGTGCCTCCGTCTCGGACACGCCGGGGCGCAGCCTGCCGCCCGCGACGACGCCCGCCCTCACCCTCGACCTCGACTCCCTGCCCACCGCGCCCGTGCTCGACGACTTCGACTTCAACCTGCTGGACGCCAGCGCCGCCCTGCTGTCGCCGCCGCCCGCCCCCGAGCTGCTGGGCGACGAGCCGTGGGAAAGCGTGCAAACCGACCTGTGCGTTGCGCCGCTGCAGGCTGCCCAGACTGCCGCGCTGCCCCCCGCTGGCCCCCGCCGACCCCCGCTGACCTGCTCCCAGCAACAACATCTACTTCCGCCTCGTGGACCCTTCGTTTCCGCTCGTCGAGCGCGCCGACTGCCCCGCCACCCCGGCCGACCCGCTCGCGCCCCAGGAGGCCTGCGCGCTGCAGCTGGCCCTCTTCGCCCACGCCGCCCTGCGGTGCCGCTCATACAGCCATCTGGCCGATGGCTGCTACGAGAGCGCCCGCCGCACCCTCGAGCGCGTCGAGATTGAGACGCCCACCCAGTCCACCAACGTCACCGCCCTGCAGGCCTACGTGCTCGTTGCGCTCTTCGAGTTCCGCAAGGGCTTCTTCACCAGGGCCGTTGCCAGTGCCAACCGCGCCGTGTGGATCTCGCGCCTGCTCCGCCTGCATCGCCTGGACGCGCCCGGCGCCGCCCCGCTGCCGCTGCACGAAGCCGAGCGGTGCCGGCGAGCCTTCTGGGCCGCCTTTATGCTCGACATGTTCGTCCGCATCGACGCCGATGCCTCGCCGCGCATGGCACTGGACGAGAGAGAGGTCAGTGCGCCCGCCAGCCCATGCGTCGCGGCAGCTAACACGCCCAGATCTCGACCCTGCTGCCGGCATGTCTGCCCGGTGAGCCAATCACGCTCGGCGACGCCTGCGCCATGCCCAACAGTGGCAAGCTGGATCCCCACCAGGGCCTGGTCCTCTCCATGGCCATCGCCGGCAAGGCCATCTCGCTTGCCCATCATCTGAGCCGTGAGAAGGCGCCGGGCTTCCCGCGCTGCGACTTCTGGATCAGGCACGACCAGCTCAACGACACCGTAGACAACGCCCGGAGGTACGGCCTGGCCCATTTCCACGCCTCGAGCGCGGGTCTGGATCCCATTACCTTGAGCACCCAGGCCCTGCTGTACGCCTCGGAGTTGACCCTCTGCGAGGCGGCCAGGTGCAAGTCGCGAGCCATGTCGGTCGGCGCCAGCTTCCGGTCTGCCAAGCGCCAGCGTTGGATGCCCGCCATGCTCGGATTCATCGACGTCGTCGTTCAGCTGAACCACGTCGATGCGAACAAAGTAAGCCCCTCGTGCCCACTGCCCAGTGGCCGACACTCTCCTCACCGCTAACGCTTCCCTGCAGCTGCATCCCTTCACTCCATGGGCTGTGTACGTAGCCATGCAGTCATGCATTCGCCAGCTCCACCAAAGCGAGGCGTCGCCACCCGATGGCCTGACTTCGACCGACTCGTCCCCCACCCCCGACTTTTCGCAGCTGCTCGACTGGATCCACCTTCTCTCCTCTACCATGTCAGAGCTGCAGAAGTCCACTGCATTTGCCGGCGCTTTTGATGTTGATGTCCGCAAGGAGATAGAGTCTGGGGACGATTTCATCCACAGCCGCGTTGTAGGCTTGGCCAATTTTCCTGTTGTCGCGAGGAGATACGGAGTATAGGGAAAGCGAGTTCAGAGAAAGGTAAACTGATATTAGACTATTTCCAAGTGCAGGAGTTGGGGCGTGTTCTCTCCCACTGGTTGCGTCTACCATAGAACCAGTAGTACATTTGACATCGACCTCTGGTGCGCATCCATCCTTACAACCTGATTTCCTACACGAGCATTGATCACGGCCAGATTCGGCAGAACCAACGAGTTAGCCCACCACAACCGTCCCCTTGGGGACTTTCGCAGCCTGAAGGCGTCAGCTCGGTTGCCAGGAAACGAAGTGGGGGATGCTTACTCCAAGTGTCAAGGAGCATAGAAAGCTCAAGCAAGCCACGGCCACGGCTGGAAGGTAGGTGTTGTCGAGAGCCTTGACAATGGCAGCCGTGACACGCGAGCCCGTGTCGGGATCCAGAGAGGCGAACAGATTGCTGCTGCTGCCGGCCAGCAGGTCGCGGGCGTCGTCCAGCAGCTCGGCGGGAACGAGCGGGGCGATGAAGTTGTAGCCGAGATTCTGGTAGATGATGCCGGCGACGGAGACGAAGAAGACCAGGCCCATGCCCTGCGCCACGCTCAATGCCCCGACGGCATCGAGGGCCTCGTCTGCCTTGACCACGGCGGGAGCAGCGCCGAACGAGCTCATCAGGTAGCAGCCGCCACCGATGCCGACGATGACGCTGTATCCGTACACTCGGCTTGCCGAGGACTCCGTGTCCAGGGTGTCTGCAGTCGTCAGCCATTCCGCTCCTCTAGAGTTGTGACTGTCCACTCACATAACAGCACTGATCCAATCAAGCCGAGGGCCGAGCCGCCGATGAACCACGGACTGATGTATCCCGCCTTGCTCATCAGATAGCCGCTTCCCAGGGAGAAGACGACGACCATGAAGACGAAAGGCAGAAGGCGGACAGCAGCCTCCAGCGACGCCTCGCCGCGGGCGAATTGGAAGAACAGCGGGATGTAGTAGATGGGTATCTTCAACAACATGCGTCAGCACCAGCAGATTGGATGAGGAACAGACTTACGTATGTCACGCCGGCTCCGGAAAAGGCGCAGACCTGGAGCACGATGAAGCGCCAGTTGCCCAGCAGCTGCGTGGGATACAGGCGGTATTCACGTGCGACCAGGGGATGCCACCACTGGGTGAGGGCGAAGGCGGGTAGCAGCAAGCCGGTGAAGACCCACAGCGCAATCTCGTCGGCCGAGTCCCAGGCATAGTGGGTGCCGCCGAAGTTGATGGCCATGATGAAGGAAATGCACCAGCCGCAGAAGACGAGGCAGCCCAGCCAGTCGAACCGCCGGGCGCGCTCGCGCCAGACCAGCCCAGCCCCCAGGTCGATGGACGGCAGGGTGAGCAGCATCGCCGGCGCACTGACGGCGAAGATGACCAGGTTGATGTAGAACCCCCAGCGCCAGGTGGCGCTGCTGTCGGCAAACGCGCCGCCAACCTGGGGCCCCTGAATGTCAGCGGAATGCCCGTTTTCGTTCTGGTCCGGGGCCGACGTACAATGGGACCCAAAACGGTTCCCAAGCCCCAAACGGGCGAGATAAGCGAGACGTAGATGGGGCGCTCGTTGGGGGTGGTGGTGACGTTGAAGTAGGTGATGCCGCCGACGTACATGCCCGCGCCGCCGATGCCCGCGATGGCGCGCCCAACGACCATGGCGTTCATGGTCGGGGCGGCCCCGGCCAGGGCGCTGCCGGCCTCGAAGACGACGACGTGGGCAATGTAGAGCCACTTGAGATTCAGGAGCCCGTACGCCTTGGTCCAGGGGAGCTGCAGGGCCGCCGCCGGCAACACGAAGGCAGCGCCGAGCCACGGCAGCTTGTCGATCTCTCCCAGGTCCTGCACGATGTTGGCCTGGACATTGGCAACCTGTGACGGCGAGTCAGCGTGTGCGTGTGTGAGATGGTGGGCCGGACGCGACTCCGCGAGGTTTACGCACCACGGTCGTATCGAGCGCGAATAGAAACACAGAGCTGAGCACGCTGGCGACCGAGATGGCCCAGCGCCAGCCAGTAACCGGCCGCGTCTTGGGGCTGGCCTCGGGCTCGGGCGATGTCGCCAGTTCTTTCTCCGTCTGGTCAGACATTGTTGGGGATGCGTGAGTGGGGGTTATCGTCGAGACAGCGGCGCTTCGTTGCCCCAAAAGCAGAGGGCAAGGCGAGAATCATACAAGGATTAAATCCTTCGGCATGGGAGAGTGTTTTGTGGATATATAAATCAGAGCTTTTGCTTCGGGCTGACAAATGGGCCCCCCGAGGTGCAGCATCCCTGTCTCGGCCCGAGCTCACCGAGCTCCCCATTATGTAGGTAGAGCACCTGTCGGTCCATGACGAGCTGCTTGCCAATCTCATCATGCTGTCGCCTTTGCTTCTTGCTGCCTTCGGACAGGCTGGCATCGCCGGGGCCCTGTCTTCCAACCGCTTCGGCGTGCCCGGCGTGAACCGCACCTTCGACTACGTGGTGCGCCTTCGCCGCTCCCCCCTCCGCTTGCTCCCTGGCGAACTCACTCTGCTCTCGTAGATAGTCGGCGGCGGAACGGCGGGAGCGACTGTCGCAGCCCGCCTTGCTGCAGACCCTCGGCGTTTTTCCGTCGCTCTGGTCGAAGCCGGCAGCTTCTGGGACAACGGCAACCTCACCGACGTGCCTGGCTACAACGGCTGGTCCACACACGTCGACCAGGAGCGTCCGTCATTGAACGAATGGGACTTTGAGACGACGCCGCAGCCGGTGGGTGTCTCGCGCCGGCCGAGTCCTCGCTGACGGTTTGCCAGGGTTACAATGGCAGGACGATGCACTACTCGCAGGGCCGCACTCTCGGCGGCACGTAGGTCGCCCCCTTGCCCCAGTGCACTTGACAAATTGTTGTTGACCGCCATAGCTCGGCCATCAACACGCTTGGTTACCACCGGTACGATGACATTGCCCCCTCCCCCATTGCCGCCCAAGCCGCCGAATAACAACGCTTTCCGCCTCCAGCCCGTCGGCCGGGTCGCTGCAGATGTGGGCAGACGCGGTTGGCGATCAGAGCTGGACCTGGGACAAGGTGCTGCCCTTCTACCAGAAGTGCTGCACCCTATCCGGCCCGGACCTCGACCGGCTCGGGCCCGACGGCGCCGCCGCGATCCCCGACGAGTCGCGCGCCTTCGCGCCGGCGGGCTCGGGCGGCGGCGGTCCTCTGAACGTCTCGTACGGCGGCTACCGGGGCGAGTACGCGGCCGCCGTGGCCGCGGGCCTGGACCGCCTGGGCCTGAAGCGGCTCCCGGGCCTCAACACGGGCGAGCTGCTGGGCCACGCGCCCATCACCGTCACGGTGGACCCGCGGACCATGACCAGGGTGTCGTCGGCGGCTTTTCTGCACGCCGTCGATGCAGATGCGCGGCTCACCATATACCACTCCACCCTGGCCGAGAAGGTCGTGTTCGATGCCGACAAGCGCGCCAGCGGCGTCGAGGTCAAGGTGACGGGCCAGCGAGACTATCGCTTCACCTTGTCAGCGTCGAGAGAAGTCGTCGTGTCGGGCGGGGTGTTCAAGTCGCCGCAGCTGCTGATGCTGTCGGGAGTCGGCCCCGCCGACGTCCTGACCAAGTTTGACATACCCAAAGTCTCCGTGTTGGAGGGGGTTGGTCAGAACTTGTGGGTACGTCGAGTCTCGAGCCCCCGTCCGTATTTATAGTTTGACACGCGGGGAATATACATACAGGATCAACCGTACTTTCGCCTCTCGTATCAGGTGAACGTCACGACCATGACACAGCTCGAGCGGCCAGAGTACTTCAACGCCGTCTCAGAAGAGTATCTGTCCACCCGCACCGGCCCTCTGACCTCCATCAAGGCCGGCGAGACAATCGGTACGCGAGAGAGGCTCTCTTCCTTCCTCCCTCCAACCCACCCATGCTGACCACCGTACGAACAAACCTCCAGGATGGGAAAAGATCCCCGAGCCCTACCGCTCGCGCCTCAGCCCCTCGACCCGCGCCCACCTATCCACCTTCGCGCCCGACTTCCCCGAGACCGAGCTCCTCCCCTTCAACGCCGGCGAGCACCCCGCCATCGACAACAACGACGACGACGACGACGACGACGACCGTCTCTCGTCCAACAACTGGATCACCCTCGCCGTGGGCATTCTAACGCCCAAGTCGCGCGGCAACGTCACGCTGACGACGCCGACGACGGTCGCCGTCAACCCCAACTGGCTCTCGGCGCCCGAGGACGAGGAGCAGGCGGTGCAGGCGGTGCTGCGCGCGCGCGAGTGGGCCGCGAGCCTCCCCGACGGCGTCGTCGTCGCCGAGTACGCGCCCGGCCCGGGCGTCGCGAGCGATCGGCCGGACGACGTCGCGCGCTGGCTGCGCGAGGCGGGCGCGTTGGTGTTCCATGGGAGCTCGACTTGTATGTTTGTTTCTTTCTTTGTTTGTTTGTCTGCTCTTGTTCTTGTGGTGGTGGTGGCGTTGCTCCTTTCACCTAGGCTTTCTCTTCTCCCTCTTTCGGCAAATGGTGCGTTTCGATGACTTACACGTGCGTGTGTGTATTTGCAAGGTGCGATGGGCAAGCCCGACGACCCGATGGCCGTGCTAGACTCGGCCGCCCGAGTCTACGGCGTGCGTGGGCTGCGCGTCGTGGATGCGAGCGCGTTGCCCTTCTTGGTGCCGGGGCATCCGATGGCTACTGTTTGTATGTTCTGCCTTTTCATTTTTCCATCGTTTTTCTGTTCCTGCTTACACACCAAACCTTCCGATCTGCTGACTGGCGCTTCCCTTTTTGTTCCGACGTAGACATGGTTGCCGAAAAGATAGCTGCTGCGATTTTGAGCGATGCCGAGCACGAGGTAGGGCAGGATGCACCTATTTCAGGTCGTACAGAATTGTAGAGAGAGAGATGTTGTTGCTTAAGGGAGTAAGATGTGTGGGGAATGGAGTATATCCTAGGAATGGTTTGACCTTGTGGAGAACCGTGGAAGCACAAGTAGTTTATTGAGTCGGACGCTGTACGAATACGTAAGAGTGAAGATGTAGAAGATGAAAACAGATTGTTATCTCTGTCCTCGTCAACAGAGAAAAAGCCACGAGTTCATCTGCAGTCTTGAACGGGGCAAGGCCTCTCCGTTTGCTTGCATGTATCTGGTGACATCGAAGGCCGCTTGGCGAATATACTGGTGGGGGGCAAGAGAGAAGAAGCAATCATACGATAGCGGCTTCAGCTTCTTAGTGTCTTGGGTTGACATGGGGGACAGTAAACAATGAAGTCAACTTGCGACGACGAGTACACATCGGACTGGTTACCGCAAGTTTGTCCAGTGCTGAAGTGCACATTATTTACCGAGGTGATTGTCACTATTTGTCGGTTGTCAAGTTCGGAATTCGCAGCATATTCACTGTCTTGGGACATGATGTTACATTCTTCGGTCAATCGTGAGTCGGTATTCTACAATACTGTCCTCTGATGGTCAAATCCGCACTAATCCATGACTTCCGGCGCCACCACCTTTGAAATCCTCGTCTCGACCGTCAACGACTTGTCTTCGCCGACAATGATGCGACCGCTGGTAGCGAAGGCCAGGTTCTCCAGCACCTTGAGCTTGGGGTCACCGGCGAGAAAGCTGGCGTGGCCGACGGCGAGGCCGAAAGGCACTGTCACCATGTCCGGGCTGCCCCCGAAGATCTTCCACACGTCGTCAGTCATGCGGATCACGGCGTTGTATGACAGGTGCAGTGGAGAGTCGTCGTCGACGGTGCGAGCCACGGCCCGGACGTTGACGCGGCCGTGGGCTCGGTCCGGGTCGAATGTCAGCCAGTCGGCGCCGAAGGTGAAGTTGGCCTTGAAGGCGGGCTCGAAGCCGGGCACGCTCTCGATGGTGCCGGCCGGGGTTTCCTGTCATATGGTCAGCGGCTGAATGAATGAGCTGGTCGGGCGCCGGATGCAAACGTACGATATGGACCATATTGGAGCCAGTGGACAACGTGCCTAAGAGGGAAATATTAGCCAAGAGGCATAGAACAAAAGACAAGGATATTGGCGCGCACCAAACGGGTTCGCCGTGCCAGCCTTCAGCTTGACAATAATGGCAGGCTCAGTCTGCGGGAAGCCAGCGCCGGTGAATGCCATTGCTTGGAAAGCTGTTCTTCAAAGCAAAGTCTGCAGATAGGATGTGTTTCGACCGTGGATAAATGCTTATATCACATCATGTTGGATGACAAATGGTTCACTGTAGGTAGCGGCTCGGTCCGGGCCGCCGACCGTCGGCCACTTGTCGGATTCGGACCGCACCCATGCATGTCCCTCGGTGCTCCGGACCGAGACGGACAAGGCACAGACTTTAATTACTCTCCAGCTGCAGAGGATCTCTTCTCCACCACCAATCCTCAGAACCATGGATCAAGGAAAGCCCATTGTCGTGGATGCCGCCACCACCGTCGCCGCTCGGCGGCCGGGCCGCTTCGAGACAATCTACACTCGGCTCGGGTTTCAACGCGCCTACAACTTCCCGCTTTGTGAGCACCAAGAAACATGCTTGACAGTTGCTGCTATTGACTTGAATCGTGACAGTCATTGTCTTCGCGGGCGCCATGGTCGGGTTCAGTCTGTCCCGGCTGTATTTCTACGACTTCGACGGCATATTCGCAAAAGAGTCCGCTCCGGGCGCCATGTCTGACTACCACGAAGGCAAGTATAGGGTTGGAATGCTACTACACCTGGCAGCCTGTCTGCCCTCGGGCCTACTCCTAGTGCTACAGTTCGTGCCAGGAATCCGCCACCGCTGGCTTCTGCTTCACCGCATCAACGGCTATGTCGTCTTATTCCTAGTAATCATCTCGAATGCCGGGGCATGCATCGTCCTCGGGCGGCGTGAGAGTGGGACCCGCGTAGCTACGCAATCGGCCGAGGCTACCATGGTTATTATGACGACCGTTAGCATGTCGGCGGCGTACTGGAACATTAAGCGCCTACAAATCGACCAGCACCGAGCGTGGATGCTACGTACCTTCTTCTACTACGGCGTTATTATTACGAACCGTATTATCGATAGCATCGCCGCCGTCGTTATCTCGGCTTACGGCGGCTACTATACCGTCTGGTCGTGCCGCATGATGGAGTACACGTACGCTGAAGCTGGCTTGCGCACGCTCCAGCAGGACTACCCGGGCTGTTTTTCCTCTTCTTCTCCCTCCGGCGGCCCTGCCAAATTCGATGGCCGCGCTCATGTGGTCGTCGAGGCGATTCACGATGTCAATCAACCGCCGAACCTCGGTGCCTCCTTGACTATCCCCTTCGGCACCAGCGTAAGTCGCAGCACTCCCCACTTCCAAAACACCTCCACCCCAACCCACCTCATCCCCTCCTCTCCTCCAACTCCTCCACCAACCCCTCCGCTCACCTCCTCCTCTCCTGCCCACACCGCCCCTCCATCCTCCGCACAGCACCATCTCATGGGAGAATTTTTACTGACGTGGACGAACACCTAGCTTTGGATGGCAATCGTACTGCACGTCATCGGCGTCGAGTTGTATTTGAGCCTCACGCCGCGAGAGGCGACAAGGCTGCGTCAAGTGAGTTATGAGAAACAGTGTGAAGCGGGGCATTCAAACCCGGGATACAGCGGATGGACTGTCAATCGCTGGGGTGATGCGGAGGAGTGGAAGCCCAGTAGCAAGTAGACCAGGGAGCACCAATAGCATACACTCCTTTACCACCTTACGTGTACAGTTGGCTTTGTTGTTGACAGATTGTTTTCGGTCGAGTTTCGTCTCTCCCGACAGGATCGAGAGGAGCCATCAGGAGATATCCAACTGCGTACCCCAAAAAACTGAAATTTCAATGCTCCCCTGCAGGCACCATCGACGATCTTTGCATACGGAATGTCGCTCAATATTATCGCGGGCAGATCAAGGTTTGGTTATCCTCATCAATAAAACAATAGCGAAATCGCAAATACAAGGGTTGTCAATGTCTTTCGTACCAATTTCCGACAACGAACTATTTTTTTGGGGGGTAATACCGTTTCGTACCGCGTATAAAGCAGGCCCTATGCTTCTGTTTTTAATTCATCGGGTAAAGATCTCTTGTACAAGAGCGTAGTGCTGAAGTCCGAGGAATCACGTGATGTAAGACGGGAGGAATGAGGATGAGAATTGCTTATTGAACTAACTGAAGGGAAGCTGAAGATATATATACGGTCTGTAGTGAAGCTTGAACCCGTGATACGACATCATGGAGTATAAGGTACGAAATACTTCAACACGTAGCTGGACTTTAACCCACTCTCAACTGGAGATTGCCCCCGTCCTCAGTAGGAGAGCAACCAAACACCAGACCAACCGTTCACCGCCATCATCAAAACTTCATGATCAACCACAACGGCACCACGCCGCACCTGTCCTCGTCTACCGGCCTTGATCCGCCCTTCCTTTCCTTGGACCGGTAGCAACCGAGCGCCCCGTCCGCTTCTTTTGTTCCTTCACCGTCTTCCAGGCCAACTCGTCCGCCGCCCACTGCAAGCCCAGCACCACGGCCGCCGGCCCCACCAGCACAGCGCCCAACAGCGCCGCGCCCCCAGTCACCAGCCAAGCGCGGCCGTCACGGCGCACCGCTGCTCGTCCTTTCTTGATCTCACCAACATCATCCACTGCCGCCGCCTTGACGTCCATCTTCGGCTGCGCAATCCCGACGCTCTCATGAGGGTGTCTGATCCGCTCGGACTCTTCCTCCTCTTCCCGCCCCACGCCCCAGCTACCCAGCAACCCGTCGACGGCCAGGAACAGCACGACGGCGTACCCAACGGCCTGGTCCCACAGCATGAAGCCGCGCACGCCCTCGCCGATGGTGGCGGTGGTCGCGGCTGACGACGGCGCTGCCGCCAGTGCCACCGGCGGCACGAACACGCGGCCGGGTCGCAGCGCGGCGGCGTAGCCCGGCGCAAAGGCCATGGGGAACAGCGCGGCGGCGGCCGTCAGCGCGACGGTGGCGACGTGGGCGGCGGCGGCGACGAGCATGGTGGCGGCGTAGACGGCGCGGGAGGAGGATGGGAAAGAAGAAGAAGAAGAAGAAGAAGAAGAAGAAGAGGGGGAGAGGAGGAGGAGCGCGGGGAGCTGGACGAGCCGCTGCACCAACAGGATCCAGACGGGGAAGACGTTCCAGGCGGCGATGGCGTGCTGTTTGAAGCCGTGGCCGCGGAGGGCCATGAGCAGGGCGGGGAGGACGTAGCCGAGGAGGCAGGCGAGGGGGAGAGAGCGGATGGCGCGTGTGGTGGAGGCGGCGTTGAGACGAGGGGTGGTGGTGGCGGCGGCGGCGGCGGTGGAGAGGTGGAGAAAGGCGTAGAGCGGCCCGGCGGTGCCTATGGCCAGAGCCTGGAAGAGGAGGGTCCAGAGCGTGGGGCTGTGTTTTTGAGCGTCAGCACAAAGTGCAATTTTGCACGGGAGAAGGTGACGACTTACTTGAGTTTCGATCTTCCGTGTAGGCTCCCCAGGTGCATGTTAACCACCAGCCCCAGATGCTGAGCAGCAAAATAGAGCCCAACGGCGGAAGTGGTAGGGTGGGAGCCGTCAGCTGCTTGCCAGAAAAAGAGGACGAGGACGGCGAGTAAGCGGTCCAGTGGCCAGATGCCCGTCATGTTCTTGATGAGGGGCTCTCTATCGGTGCCGGGAAGGAGGAAGGGCTGTTTGTCGCTAAAGACAGCGGTGAGAATGTATCCGAGGGTGCCATCTTGGAAACACCGGCCCCAGGTTCCGTAGGTTCCAATAACACCCAACGCGACGAGGAAGATGTTGCGCGTCGAGAGTGCCATGTTCTATACAGAATCTCTTTACTGCGCCTGCGGACGTGTATGCAAGCAGTCAACGTATAAAAGCACGCCACTGTATCCTTAAAAGTGTCAGAAGCCCAAGTCTGGGCCAAAGCCTGCGTCCTCAAGCGTCGGCGAGGCTTTGGCTGGGCACCGGGCCGCTGGCTCGGACATCTCGGGCCGAGCCCGTCAATAGCGGCCCGTAAACGCTTCGTCTGCCCCGCGACGCTCATGGCGGGCCAAGCGAGCGCGAGCGCCGTGGCGGGGTAAATTCCCGCCGCGGCGAGGAAAGTGCCGAGATACGACACGCCCGGCCGGGCGACGGGGTCCGTGTTGGCGAGGAGGACGGCGTAGCCGGCGGCGGCGCAGGCGGCGGCGGCGAGGATGAAGGGGGCTGCTATGAATGCGCCACTCCCATAGCTAGTGTGGATGTGGAGGGCGGACAGCAGCCTCTCGGCCACCGAGCAAAAGGATACGCCAGTTCAGTCTACCTATCGGTCGACTGGCTGTCCACCAGCGCTTATATCACCAGTTGGTGCCACTGCTGCCTGAGGCCGCGCCGATTGCACGGCGACTGCGGAGCTGTCGAAGACGTGGTGAAACCGCCGCAGCTCGTGGGGATGCCGCTCAGCTCGCGAGAAGGACGGATGAGAGAGTGAGTGGGCGGGGTGGACGACGTGGAATGTAGTCGGGCTCAGTCCAGCGGGTTTCCTTGCTGGGCGTAGCCATACTGCACCACCATAATACTTTAACTATTTATAACATAAATAAAAAATATCGACTACGCGAAGAAGTTAGACCTTTAGTAGGGTTAGAAGGCAGGTCTAAGAAAGCGATAGAGAAACGGCTAAGAGTAAGTTCGGCCTTGGCGCCGATATCACGTCACCGTTGCACTCGCTTATCTAGCTCACTCGCTTATCTGACACGTTATAATTTCAATCTATTCTAAAGCAGTACTTCTTAGAACACCACCAAAACGGCTGCAGATTCCAAAGTGAAAGTAAAGCGGAATGCAATGGAAATTTCAATCTTGATAATATTCACGTCCTCTTCTTTCGTCCAACTCCCTCCCTCCCTCCCTCTCCTTTTCTCTCGTTCTTTCCCCCCCTCTCTCTTTCTCTTTCCGTCTTCTTTCTCTCTCTCTCTTTCTCTCTTTCTCTACCATACTCTACTCTCCCAGCAACCCTAGCTTCGCCGCAACCTTGATCGCCAGCTCCTTGAAGCTCAGGGTCGGAGCCAGCAAGTCCTGGAACGGCACGTCGAGGCCGAACTCGCGGAACAGCCAGTTGCGCAGCTCGGCGCCAATCATGCTGTCCAGGCCGTAGCTGGCGATGGACGGGCCGGCGACGTCGAACTCGTCGACGCCGCGCAGCAGGATGCCCGAACAGCGCTCCATGATGTGCAGGGCCACGGCGGCGACAGCATCGTCAGGCGTCTGGGCCGCCTGCAGTTTGGCGGCGAAGCCGGCGGATGACGACGACGACGACGGCGACGACGAGGCGACCAGGCGCTCGACGGTGGCGCGGATGCCGGCGAGGCGCGAGTCGGCGTACCAGTACGACTCGGTCACGGCCGTCTCGGCGAGGCGCGCGGGCTCGAGGCCCAGCACGAGCTGAGCGTTGCTGCTGCTGCTGCTGCTGCGCGGCGTCATGGCCGTCTCGAAGGCGCGCAGCATCTCGGCCTCGTCGATGCCGTACATGCCCTTACGCAGCAGGCTCGCCTCGAGGCTGCCGTCGCTCTCGGCCACGACGCCGACCTCGCGGACCATGGGCAGGATGAGCGAGGTGGCGGGCTGGCCGCGGGCGACGCGGTGGGCGGCCAGGGCGTCGAGGTAGCTGTTGGCGGCGGCGTAGTTGGCCTGGCCCGGATTGCCCAGGGTGGCCGAGATGGAGCTGGTGGCGACGAAGAAGTCGAGCTCGACGCCCTGCAGGGCGCGGTCGAGGTTGCGGGCGCCGAGCACCTTGGGGCGCACGGCGGCAAGGTATTGCGCCAGCGTCATGCGCTCGAACATGGCGTCCTGCAGCACCATTGCCGCGTGCACGACGCCCTTGATCGGGCGGCCGCTGGCCTGCAGCTCGGCGACGGCGCGGACGACGTGCTCCTCGCTGGAGGCATCGGCGCGGAACACGTGCGCGGTGGCGCCGGCCTGCTCAATCGACGCAACCACGGCCGCCGCTTCGGGCTTGTCGGCGCCCGAGCGCGAGAGGAAGGCGAGGTGCCTCGCGCCGCGCTGCACCATCCACGCCGCCAGGCTTCGGCCCAGCCCGCCCAGCGCGCCAACGAGCAGGTAGCTGGCCTGCGGCGAGAAGGTGAGCCGCGCCGGGTACTTGCGGGCCTGCATCACATGTCAGCGTCGGCATTCTGGGCATTCTGCAGAGCAGCGGCACTTACCTGCACAAGGCTCTTTCCGTAATCGTAGGCCACAACAACACGCCCGCCCACGTCGCCGGCAAGCGACGCCACATCACGCACGGCCACGTCGGCCTCGGCAAGAAGCCCCCCGTGCCGCTTCAGCAAGTCGACCGAGCGGCGCAGCAGGCCGCCCAGCGCCTCGGGGCGGTGCTTGGCCAGGCTGCGGACCGACGAGACGCTGACGGACGCGCCGCGCGCGAACGGCGCCATGTCCAGCGGCTCGTCCAGCCCGCCGTCGGCAACGACAACGAGCTTGCCGGCCGCGCCGACGGACCGCCAGAGCTCCTGCACCGCCGGCGACACCTTCTGAGCGACGACGACGTGCGGCGCCGCGGCCGCGCCGGAGAAGACGTCTCCGGCCAGCGCCACGGCGTCGGCCGCCAGCCCGGCCACGGCCTCGTAGCGCGCCTTGTCCTCGGCCGAGCCGGCCACGGCCCGCAGCTCGAAGCCGACGACGGCCGCCAGCCCGGCCAGGGCGCGGAGCAGGCGCGCGTCCGGCTCGACCGCCACGACGCGCGCGCCCGGCTGCACGGCCGCCGTGTCCAGCAGCGCGTGCACCGCCTCGCCGACGGCGCCGAGGCTCGCCGCAGCCGTCGGCCCGTCGAGGCCGTCCAGCGGTGCCACAGCGTCGGCCGGCACGCGCACGACGGTGCTGAGGCGGTCCCACGTGTAGGCCGCACTGCTGCCGCCGCCGCTGCCGCTGCCGTCCGCCGCCTGCGCCCGTGTCCCGACAACCACCGTCGGCCCGCTGGAGGCGGCGTCGTGCTCGGCCCAGCCGACCTGGATGGAGACGGCCTTGGCGTCATCCTCTTCGTCGTCGTCCCGGGGGCCGAAGACCAGCGTGCCGCCGGCGCCCTCGGGCCGGCCCTGCAGCGCCGCGCCCGGCCGCAGCACCGTCGCGGCGTCCACCAGCCCCGCGTCGGCCCGCACCTCGGCGTTGCGCTCGTCGTCGGGCGCGAGCCGCGGGACGTGCCAGACGCCCCGGTGCAGCCAGAACTCGACGTCGGCGCCCGAGTCCTTGGTGGGCGGCGGCGGCGCGTGGGCGAGCTTCGCGGCCAGCAGCGCGGCGGCCGTCGGTGACGTTGTTGCCGCTTCGACGCCGTCCACGTCGACGAGGAGGACGCGCGCGGCGGCGTGCTCGGAGCGCACGACGCGCAGGAAGCCTTTGGCCATGGCGCCGCCCACGTTGCCGGACGTCGTCGCGTCGTTGACGCCGGCCGTCACCCAGGCCACGGGCGCGCCCGACGTGAGCACCGCTCGAAGCGCCGCGAAAACGGCGTCGTCGGGCTCGAGCAGGAGGTCGCCGCTCGTGTCGTCGACGACGAAGGCCGGCGTGTTGGTCAGGTCGGCCTCGGCCACGTCTTTGGCGGCCGCCGCGACGCCGTGGGCCGCCAGGGCGTCGACCAGCGCGCTCGCCGACGCCCCGGACGGCCTTGTCGTGAGCACCTGCAGAGGCTGCTGCTGTTGCGCGTGCCCGGTCGGCTCTTGTCGAGGCGTCGCCAACACCACCGTGCCATCGGGCAGGTCGAAGCGGAGGCTGGGTGCCCGCAGGCCCGACTTGCCAACGCTTGTGGCCGCGTCGTCGCCTGACTGAGCGTCGCTCCAGACGATGATGGCGCCCGTCGTCGATAGGGCCGCTTCGCTTTTCAGCAGCGTGCTGGCGTCGGCAAAGCCCTTGCCGACTACAACGAGGTCGAGGTTGCTGCCCTTGGCCTGCTCGAGATCCAGCTGGCCGTCAATCAGCCCTTCGGTCTGCTCCTCCTCCTCGGCCGAAGGGCTGGCAATGATCGAAGCGCCCTCTGGGAGGAGGGGGCGGAGAGCTGCGGCCAAGACCGTCGGCGCAGCTGCAAGTATGGCCACCCTGGTCACGGGTTGCTTGTGGGTCAGCAGCTCGACTGTCTTGGTGATTGTGTCCTCGGTAGATGCAATTCCAGGATACAGCTCCACGGCCGCGGGGGTTGTGAGGGTGGCGATGTCGGGCTTCCAGATCTCGTGCGAGTACGGCTGGGGCGGCAGCTCCAGGCCGGACGAAGGCGGGATGGCCGCTTCGTACGAGACGCAGCGCAGCCCTTGGACGTCCAGCAGAAGATGGCCGGCGCCGGTGAAAAGCTTCGAGTGGGTGTTGAAGTGACGGCCGTCGCGCTCGTCGGTCCACGCAACCGCCTCGCCCTCGGTGTTGACGGTCGCGGCGCCGGGGAACCACAGCGTGGTTTCGGCAATGCCAATGGGCACGACGCCCCATGGCATCGTCTTATGCTTGCCCGCGTGGATGGAGATGATGATCAGCTGCAGACACGCGTCGATGGTTGACGGGTGCAGTATGTACCGCGACTCGCCGTCCATGAGCCCGCTCTCGGTGAGGATGTTCACTGCCGCTGCGGCGTGGTTGGCCTTGCCGTCCGTCCGCACGGTGGCCAGCTGCTGGAAGCTGGGGCCGTACTCGAAGCCGACGCGGTCGAAGGCGTTGTACCAGGTCTTGGCCGCCACGCGGTCGGGAAGGCTCTCGGGCTTCACCGGATGGGCCGTGGCGCCCGACTTCTTCAAGTTCGCCGCCAGTTTCCCTTGGCTGTGCACCGTCCAGATGCCATCCCGGAGCGACTCGACGGCGAACGAATACCACTCGGGCGACGAAGCGGTCGACTTTGTGAGGCGGATCTCGACCTCGACACCCTCGTCCTCGGGGATCACCAGCGCCGTCTTGATGGAAATGTCGCGCAGCGTGACGCTCTCGACCTCGACTCCCTTCTGCTCGCTGATTTGGCGGAGGCCCTCGATTGCGGCGGACAGATGGCCGGCAGCGGGGAATACGGCGGCCTTGCCGAGCTGCAGTGCAAAGTCAGCCATCATTGCGCAGAACAAGCCTTCTCTGCGTCACTACTTACCGCGTGGTCTCCCAGCCACGGCACATCGCGATGGCGCAGCACGTTACGCCAGGCCAGGTGGTTCTCGGAGCCGCCCAGCTGCTTGCGGCCCAGCAGGTCGTGCCTGGGGTACTTCTGGGTGCGGGCCTCGGCGCTCAGGCGTGGCTGCGACCAGTGGACTTTGTCGTAGTTCCACTGGTACGGCGGCAGGTCGACCAGCACCGAGGGCGTGCTGTGCTTGCCGGCCAGGCCCTGCCCCGGCTCGGCGTTGACGGCCTCCAGATCGACGGCGTAGCCGGTGGCGAAGAGCGCGCCGGCCGTCCTGAGCAGCTGGACCGCGCAGTCGGCGTTGCGCTCGAGGGTCGGGATGTGCACCGCGCGGTCGAAGCCGTAGGCCTGGCAGATCTGGCGGAACGGGCCGGCCAGCGCCTTGTGCGGCCCAACCTCGACAAAGGTCGTCAGGTCGGCCAGCTCGGGGGCGGTGCCCAGCGCCTTGACGGCGTCGTCGAAGCGGACCCGGCTGCGCAGGTTCCGGCTCCAGTACTCGGCACCCAGCGTGTCCTCCAGCACCTCCTTGCCGGTGACGGACGAGAACATGCGGGCACGCGGCTGCCGCCACTCCGCGTCGTGGGGGCCGAGCTGGCGCACGGCATCGGCGAGCGCCCGGTTGTAGTGGGGGGCAACGCGTTCCATCTGCGGCGAGTGGTACGCCCTGCCGGTGCGCAGCGCGCGGGCGAAGACGCCGGCGGCGTCCAGCCGTGCCTTGACCGCATCCACGGCCGCCTGCGTGCCGCTGAGCGTGACGCTGCTGGGCGAGTTCTCGCAGGCGATCACGATGTCGTCGATGCCGTCGAGGTGCGGCGCGACGTCGACGGCGCCCAGGCCCGCTGCCAGCATGGCTCCCGACGGCGAGTGCTGCTGCACCGCGCGGCCGCGCAGGAACGCCGCCAGGATGGCCTCCGGGGCCGACACCAGCCCGGCCGCGTACGCCGCACCGATCTCGCCCGAAGAGTGCCCCGCCGTCGCCGTCGGCACCGCCTGCCACTGGGCCAGCAGGTCCACAATGGCAATCTGCACCGCCGTGCACACGGGCTGCGACACTTCGGCGTCGTGGACGCGGCTGGCCTCGGCCGGGGCCAGGAGCGCCTCCTCCAGCGTCGTCGACGGCGGCTCCGGCAGGCGCTGCAGCACGCGGTCCAGCGCCTTAATGGTGCCGGCGAAGGCCGGGAAGGTCGCCATGGCTTCGGCGCCCATGCGCGCCCACTGCGCGCCCTGGCCGGTGAAGAGGAAGCCGAGCTTCTGCTGCGACGCCGCCGTGCCCGCACATGTGCCGAAGGAGAAGCGCGACAAGGCCAAGTCGTCGGCCTCGCGGCCCTCGCGCGCGACGGCGAAGGCGCGCGTGGCGAAGCGCGAGCGGCGCGTGTTGAGAGTGTGGGCGAGGTCCGCCAGGTAGTACCGGGGCGCGACGCGCGCGTGGGCCTCGATGTTGCGGGCGAGCGTGGTCTTGTCGTGCGCCGACAGCGTGACCAGCAGCGGGCGGGCGGTCGAGTGCTCGTACGCCGCGTCCTGCTTGGCGGCGCCGTGGTGGTACCACGGGTACAGCGACTCGACGCTCTCGACGATGACATGGCCGTTGGTCCCGCCGTACCCGAACGAGGAGACGCTCGCGCGGCGCACGCCCGACGGGTCCTTGGGCCACGGCACCGTGTCCGCCTGCACCTTGACGTTCCATTCCGCCTCGCGGATGGCCGGGTTGAGCGTCTTCAGCCCGCACACGCCGGGAATCACCGCCTTTTCCGTCATCAATGCCGCTTTCATCACCGCAAAGATGCCAGACGCCGCTTCGCTGTGGCCGATGTTGGCTTTGATCTGCCCTCCTCCCCCTTTTCGTCAGCATCGGCTCTCTGTTGTCAGCGGAGGGTGAGGGAAGAGGCCACACGTACCGCGCCCACGCGCAGCGGCTTGTCCAGTGGCCTAGTGTCGTTCATGGCATTCGACACGGCCCGCACCTCGATGGGGTCCCCCACAGGCGTGCCGGTCCCGTGGCACTCGAGGTAGGCCGTGTTGTTGGGGTTCAGGCGCGCGCGTTCGTAGGCCGCACGCACGACGAGCTCCTGGCCCTTGACGCTCGGGTGCGTGATGCCCATGCCCGGGACCTTGCCGTTGCTAGAGAAGGAACACGCGCTCGCAGTCAGCCCGAGCATGCCCGGTTTGTATTCAAAAGAAAAAAAAAACAAGGTAAGAAACATACGTGTTGACGGCTGAGGACCGAATGACGCCGCGAACCGGGTCGCCGTCGCGGATGGCGTCGGACAGCCGCTTGATGTACAGAGCGCCCACGCCCTCGGCTCGACCGTAGCCGTCTGCCGAGGCGTCAAACGTGTGGCACGTCGAAGTTGGCGAGAGAATGCCCAGCTTCGCCGTGTTCATGTGCTGGTCTACGGTAAGGATGAGGTTCACCCCGCCGGTGATGGCGGCGTCACAGTCACGCGCTCGTAGAGCATGGCAGGCGTTGTGGATGGCGTAGATGGACGAAGAGCACGCCGTGTTGATTGTAAAGCTGTCGTGAATCGCGTGTCAGCGAAAGCCCGTCGAATCTGTCTGTCCTCGGCTGGTGGAGATTCAAATACCTTGGTCCGCGCAGGTTAAACGTGTTGCCAATCCTGTTGCTGATGATGCCCGGGTCCACTCCTGTTGCAACGTAGTTGTGGCGGAAGTCGGGCTCTCTGGTTGACATCTGCTGGTAGTCGCTGGTGAAGCTACCCACGTACACTGCCGTGTTGCTGCCCGAGACGGAATCGAGCGGTTTGCCCGCCGACTCGAGTGCCTCGTAGCATACCTCTAGCATCTTGTGCTGCTGCGGATCGAGCCACTTGGCTTCCACCGGCGTCATGCCGAAGAAGGTCGGATCAAAGTTCTCTAGCGGCCCATCGAGGAAGTAGCCACCGGGCACGTTGAAGCTGCCGGGCCGCTCCAAATTGTCGTGGAGGTAGGCATCGATGTCGAACCGGGACTTGGGCACGCGCGGAGTCTGCGCCGATTTCTTCTTCTCCAACGCCTCCCACAGTGCCGAAGCCGAGTCGATTGACCCGGGGAGCCGACATGCTGGACGTTTTCTTGTCAACAACGAGACTCCCCATGTTCTGAGGGGCTTGCTTACCCATGCCCACGATGGCGATGGGCTCCAACGCGCAGTCTTCGGTGTCCTGGATAAGCGGCATGTTTGATTTGATCAATAATCGTTTGAATGGCAGTTGAAGATGAGCCGTAAGCTACCATAGTTATACCTTCACATTGCTCTCCTCTCTGATGTATTCGCTTGCCCACCGAATCGGACTCCATCAGCACCCAGGCCTCTCGGTGACCGATCCACCGGCTCGGACCGTGACGGACCGTGGTTGTAGGTGCCTGGACGAGTGCGTGGAGAGTGGGGGGCGTGTGGGCATGTTCGGGCCGGGACACCGTCAACACGCTTTCTTTAGGGCCGCAGCGTCCGAACCCTCGCACGCATGCAGCAGTTCTCTAGTCTCTCCCCTGTCCTCATGGCACCTCTCGGTTCCTTCTTTCTGATCCTTGCCTCCCTGGCAGCCGTCCTTCTTTGGGGCGTCAGTCTCTGGAACGGCACCGTGGCTGAGCTTTTTGCAGCGGTCCTCCGCGGTCACTTTGAAGATGGCACGCCTCTGCGAACGAGATACACGGGCATATTCCTTGTTGATTTCCCCGTATCTCTGCTGGTGGCATTCTTCTTCTACGGCACCAATGGCTCAGATCCAGGCTACCAGCTCTTCCTGATCGACGCGTATTCGACCCTGCAGCCCGCGTTTGTGTGGCTGTACGTGGAAAGCGCACGCATGGAATCGAAGCCTTTCCTCATAGCCAAGTATGTCGTTTCGTTCCAGCGATCCAGCGACTCGTGCTGACTTGCAACAACAATAGCCCCGTCGTTTGGGGCCTTTTATGGCAAGCGTTTGGAGGGGCCATCTCCCTGCCCCTCTACTTCTACCACCACCTCGAGTGGAAACGGAGTCGAAAGTCGCTGCCATCGCCCGGCGAACATGCACAGCTACGGGCTGTTCCCCTCAGCTTCATCATCGGTGCAGTCTTGCCGGCGGTGGTCGGAATGTTGCCAATGTGGATGGAGCGGTCGGCCTCGACGCACCAATGGGTCCTGGCCGCCTGGCAGCCCGATCCGGTGTGGGTGAGCCTGGTTCAGCATGCAGCGGTTGCAGTCTTGCGCTGCTGGGGACGGCTTCGGTCCTCCTCCTCTTCTGCGCCCAGAACCGGCGTGCGCAGGAACGCCCTTCTTGGCGGCAGCGCCGCCATGGCCTACCTGACCGCCGCGCTCTCGTCCGCCATCGGCCACGTCTACGTCGTGGCGCGCGTTCTCGCGTCGAACGATTGCCTCGTGGCGTTTGGCAGGATGTACGTCCCCCGGCTCTCTCGCGGGCCGGCCCATGCCTACTCGAAGCTGGAGAACGGGCCTTGGTTGTTTCTGCAGTACGATTTGATCATAATATCCTTATCCAGCCTGTCCTGGGCATACGTCTTGACGAAGGATTGCGTCGCAGGTGGTCGCAGGTCGCGCCCGTTCCTGCTCTTTGTGATGGTTCTTGGCACGTTGCTGGTTGGGCCTGGAGCGACTGTGTGTCTTTGTCTTTGTTGGAGGGAGAGGGCTCTTCTCCCCGATCGGAAGCAGATACGAAGTGGAAGAAAGGTGGTCGTTCAGCCAAACTGACATCGCCCTGCGCTATTCTGGGGCCTTGGATGTTGTTACAGCCATGTATTTGCAATGTGACGGATAAAACTTGTGCTTCAATGAAGATATCCACGATGCGGTCTATCTGCAAGTATAGTGTCGGACTTTGAGGCAAGGCCCTTATGCCTCGGATTAAGTGAGGTTAGAAGAAATGGATTGACTTCTACTCTTCTCTCCAGTTAGATGAAACAGTATCACGATATGTTTCCTCGGTTGGTTTGATCCACCGACACATCCACAGGCATAACAGTATGTCTTCATATGTGGTTAGCTGAAGTAGTTACCACAATGTGAATGTATATTTTAAACCCATGCAAACACGTTTAGATATAGCATTCTACGACCTACATAATATCGGTAAAATGTCTTCATAGTAATACATCTCAGTGTCCGTGGACGTTCCGACGGATCGCGCTGACCAAGGAGATACAGCCACAAGCAGTACATTGAAATAAATGAAGGTGAATCTTTTTACCTCTTCTTCTTGGAACACGCCTACCTAGAACTTTTCACCACTCCGTGCGCCGAGCAAACGATAGATCTGCTGCTTGGCAATGGCAAAGAAAAGGTTTCTATTCGTCGGTTGAGCGTCGGAGACCCCGGGCCGCTCGGACCGTGCTGGACACCTTCCCGAGACGGGTACGGGAAAAAGGCCATTTTGAGATGCCCACCTCGGTGAGACAGCTCGGGATCGGAGACCGTTGATGTGATCTGACCAGCAACTCGGTCAAGGATGGCGGCCCGCGGACCGCCCGCGAGCGACATAAAGAATATCCTTACTTGACCCGATGATTGTACACAGAGAACTTGACACATTCGCAATGGCGACAAGCTACGACGTAGCCATCATTGGTGCAGGTGGGGTGGACACTGATCCCAATGGCACGAAGACATGGCTGACAAGGGCTGCACGCAACTCTAGGGTGGTACGGCCTCGTCGCTGCACGGACATGGCTGCGGCTGCGGCCCGACGCAAACCTCATCATCCTCGACTCGGACAGCACGGTTGGAGGCGTGTGGAGCCGCGACCGCCTCTACCCCAACCTGGTGGCGCAGGTGAAGCTCGGGCTGTTCAACTACACGGACACGCCCATGCCGCCGGACGGCGCGACCGCCAACGGCCTCGTCACCGGCCCCATGATCCACGGCTACCTGCAGCGGTACGCCGAGGAGCACGACCTGCTGCGCCGCATCCGCTTCAACACGTTCGTGGAGCGTGCAGAGCCGTGTGCGCACGGCGGCTGGCGCCTGTCCCTGCGCGACGCGCCGGGCGAGGCCGTCGAGACGGAGAAGCTGATGGTGGCGACGGGCGTGACGTCGATCCCGAACCTGCCCGACTGCGACCGCGGCGCGGCCACGGTGCCCATCATCCACTCCAGGGACATCGGTGTCTCCTACGACGCCCTAAACGCGGCCGCGGTGAGGCGGGTCACGGTGGTGGGCGCCGCCAAGTCGGCGTACGATGCCGTGTACCTGCTGGTGTCCATGGGGAAGGAGGTGGACTGGATCATCCGGCCCGACGGCGCCGGTCCGCTGGCCATCCTTCCCGCCGAGCTGTTTGGCGTCTTCAACAGCATCGCGGTGGCGTCGACCCGGCTCATGACTTGTCTCAGCCCTTCCGTGTTCAACACGACGGGCCCGGTGTACCGTTTTTTCCAGAGGACCTCGGTTGGACGGTGGGTGACGGGCAAGTTCTGGGATGTTGTGACGAGCTTGAGTGACTCGCATGCTGGATACAGTCAAGGAGATCACGTCTCCCGGCTCAGGCCCGAAGTTGATGGGAAAAGGTTTCTTCCCTCCCTGTGATTTCCCCGTACAAGCGAAAACACTTGCTGACTTAAAAAGTGTTTTCTGGGCAAATTCAGGCCTCGGCGTAGTCACCCTCCCAGACTTCTGGCGGCGGCTGCACTCGGGCAAGATCAACGTCATCCGGGACAACCTCGACCGAATTGAAGAGGACCAGATTGTTCTCAAGTCCGGCAAGAAGGTGGCAGCCGACTTTGCCGTCATGTGCACCGGCTGGGGCGACCATTTCGCCATGTTCGACGACGCCACCAAGCTCCAGGTGGGCCTACCGCTTTTCGGGCCCGCCAAGTCGAGGCCGCCGGCCGACGCCGAGTGGGATAAGCTGGACAGGGAAGCGGGACGGGCGGTGGACGCGAAACTGCCCTTCATCGCGTCGCCTCCCGGCCTGAAGAATGCGCACACGAACCAGGTCCAGCCAAACAGACGGTGGCGGCTGTACCGGCGCGTGGTGCCCCTGTCGCATGCGGTCAGGGGCGACAGATCCCTGGCCATCCTGGGCCAGATCCACACGGTTCAGACGCCCCTGGTGGCCGAGGTGCAGTCGTTCTGGGCGATCCTGTACCTGCTCGGCGAGTTGGAGCTTCCGGACGAGGACACCATGGCGCGGGAAATCGCCGAGTGGAATGCGTGGACGCGGAAGAGGTACTTGAGCCAGGGCCAGAAATTCCCCTATTCGCTCTACGATTTTTTGCCGGCAAGTATCGCACGCAGCCCACGGGGTTTTTGACGCGAGCTAACCGCCGCCACTACCAGTATGTCGACACCCTGTGCCAGGACCTCGGCATCAATTCGCATCGGAAAGCAAACCCGGTTGCTGAGCTCTTCTCTCCATACAAGCCCGAAGATTTCCGTGGTTTTATCGACGAGTACCGAGCGAAGAAGAAAAGGGCCAGCCGTGCAAACGACAACACGACTTGTAATTCAAATGGAAAGGTCAATGGAAAGGCTAACGGAGTAAAATTGGCTTAAGTACTGAAAATTACATTTCTTTCGCATACCCGGTCAGCCTCCTCTGATATCGTCGAGTCAGCCCTTCAGCACGAAGCCAGGGATCGTGCTGCTCGCCGCGCCGCTGGCGTTGGCACTGGTATTCCTGGCGACGGCGGTGCGGGGGCTACAGGGCGGTGGCGAGGGAGAGGGGTGGTGTGTATGCGGCGGCGCCGCGGGTGACGGTGCAGTGGAGAGGTGGGACGGGTTGCTGTCGTGCACTGCGGCAGGGCCGTTGTGTGGGAGTGGCTTATTTCACGGATCTAATCAGCTCTACTTCACCTCTACTTGAACTTTGTTCCGATAGGTTCCAATAAAGCGGTGCGAAGGCGTATTTTTCGCGGCAAGGCTCCGGGAGTCCCAGGGCCGTCATATGAAGAGAGCCATAGTAACCGATGCCATCATGTGGCGAGCTGGGAGTTTCAGAACAGCGTGGACCTTGACCGAGGGTTCTGACTAGTTTTTGTGGCACGCCTTGCAACGGTAAGACCTCCGTTATTAGGACAACGGCCCCCAACGGTGGTCATCGCCAATCTACTGGCCGCCAGGGATAGGACATGACAGTGCATGGGGGCTGAACAACGCCAAAAAGCTGTGGCGAGCATTATAAATTGAGAGTTGCGATCCATCTCGAAGCGTCAAACTGTTTATACCTCTTTTAGGTTAAGCTCGCTTGCGATATCCACCTCGCATTTCACTTACTGTTAACCCCTTGCCGTAAATGTGTTATTCATAGGCTTTTCTTTCCTATTTTTCTTTCTTAATCTCTCCATACCTTCCGATCGCCAGATATGACCAAGAGTGGAAATGTCATGGTGCATGGGAGCATTGCCCAGGTCGAGTCGCTCATGGTAAGTAGCTTCTATCGTATCCGATTCTTTGTGATACTGCAATGTGGGGATACTCGCTATCTGTGGCGGACTTGTAGCAGCTGAATGCCGCAATCTGCATTGTCGAGCGTGCTATTGCTGACACTAAGGGAGGCATCATATTCAAGTGAAAAACGGACTTCAGCTCTTTACTAGAGAATGGCGTGGTCAGCCCGGAGGAACAGCTGCATGCTGCAATAAGCAGTTCATGCGGTCTCGGGAATTCAACCGTTCGTAGCGGACAAACGAAAACCGGTGTTCCAGAAATGGAATGTGTTTGCGTGCTAGTGTGAACGCACCTCTCAGGTCATATCTTGGCATCCAATTGATCCTCGGGGGACTTGTAGTCACTGCTCGAGTACTTATAGCCACTTTCTCCTCCGTCTTCGATGCTCATCATCCAGTCCATTGCAAGTCTGAACAGTCAAGCAAAGCTACGCACCGACACCATGGCTACACTCCAGGGAACACGTTTCGAATCGTGTGAGTAAGAGTCGTTCCCGGTGTTTCTCCCTCGTCTAGCATGACTAGTGGGGTCGCTCGAGATCAAGCAGCACAGAGAGGACAAGAAGGATGGTGATGATGCCGAGCCAAAGAACCAGCTTGTCTACGAAATCACGCAGCTCGAGGACCTCAACCAGCTTCCGAAGCTTTCCGGCAAGGCTACCAAGGAGATTGACATGACCATTATTCCAGGCATCCTGAGTGTAAGAATTTCGAGCATTCCACTCTTAAGCTTGGGTACTAACTCTCCCGGTAGATCTATGGTTATGTCTCGACGGATACTTGGGAGATCGGACTTGGGTTCAAAATCCTCGGCTCGAAGTATCCAGCAATCTATGGCAACGCGAAGGAAGGCTTGGTCATCAAGCTCGACTCGGTCTACAAGGGAGAGATCCGGGTCTGGTTTGAGCTGAAGGATGGCAAGCCCCACGTCTATATCAAGATTAATCTTGAGCCCAAATTCCCATTCAACTTTCTTCCATCCATCCATGAGCGCTCCGAGATCCCGCTCTAGAAATGGGAGGTGAGGTCACGATGTTTTCCTTTAGTTTCCTTTGATATCTCGCCACACGTTTATTCCAAAACTTTTTGGTCTTTCATCTACTAGTTATACGCTCCTGTCACGATCCGTCCCACGAGTCACTCCAAGTGACTCACGTGACGTCACCTGACTCATCCACAAGTAGATAGTCACCTCGTACGGTCTTTTCTTCGAAGACCGTACAACCTCTTGTTCTTCAATCTGACTCTTTCAACTTTCCTTCCTTGAGACCGTGACACTCCTTTGTTACTTTAGCAACGAATACTACTATGAGGATCCTCCATCGCTAGCCCTTTTTAGTGATATCTCTTTCTAAGCCGTTATGTTCACACTCCGTATCTGGGAAACCGCCTGCTCATCCTTACTGCGCCCATTCAAGGGCGCATAATCCGTTTCTTCTGTCATCTCCCCGCGCTCTGACGCGCCCTGTGTACTTTTGGTGCACACTGCTATAGCTGCATCTAGGTCCGGCGTCAGCGGTCCATCTCGAATGAGACACCGCAAAGCTGACATACTATTAGTAGCATTCTGGAGCGGGTAGAAAGGCACGTTAGTGAGTGGGAACACTGATAAAGTATTCGAGAGACTCCATAGTAGGTGACTTATAATTCGGCCCCGCTAACATGGCCCCCACTGCATTCTAAATTTGGAGCAGGACAGCTGTTTAGACGAGGCTGTAGCACTCTTCAACAACGCATCCTTATATGATATGAGGATACAAGATCAACCATTAACTATTTTGGCCATGACAGAACGAAAAGAAATCGACATGCAAAGCCACTCCAGTGCGCATATATTAGTAAGCCAGGACTGGACCACGCTTAGGCATCCTTACCTAAAAGATTCCCGGGACGGAGGGTGGTGCAGTCACCAGATTACACAACTCACGGAATCCTATGATGATGATGTACTCAATTATCTGAGTATGCTCGACCCGGCCGGATATCGAGCAATAGACCATACGGTTTGCGCGGAAGCACCCCGCTGCATAGCCAACGTTACCATGCAGCAATACCAGACAAAACACGCCACCCAACACTGCAGTTGTTCGATTGTAGGCGTCGTGGTCGGTTTATGCAATATGATCACACAACTAATCGCTTTGGCTTGGTTTGTTGTATCAGGTACCTCGCGGGAGGCCTCAAGGTAATGACGGAGCTAAGATACTGTCCAACAAGATAAAAGTCATGAAGCATACATTTCGTCAAAGTATCTCTTCACTTTCGATGTTTCCTCAGTGGGGTGTTCTCTACCTATAGTAGTGATACGACACAGACTCTCAAGACCATATCATCTCGTCCCAGAACTTATTGGAGAACGTCTTTTTCAGGTCATCCAGTTTCCAGCCGTGATCCTTGCCGATCGACTCCAGCGTCTTCTTGAACTCACGTATCTGCATGGGGTAGGCAGTTTCCTTCAGGAACCTCTCCATAGGAACCTCGTCCACCTTGAGATCGCGCCACTCCTTGGCCCAGTGAGGCTTCGGCATCCTGACGGAACCATCTTCTGCTCGGTACTGATACTTCATCCACTTGTCCGCCACCTTCTGCGTGAAATCGTCCCAGTTCTTGTTTTTGCCTGGCCGAGGATCCTGCACCGTAATGATTTCAATGCTGGCTGTACCCAGTCGGCCGTTGCCGTACTGGGGCGCCATGATGATGTCCGAGTCGGCCATGATGCGCATTTCCAGGGCGATACGCATGCTGGGCTCGTTGTCGCTGTAGAAGAGATGGATGACGTCCCACCACGCTTTGCGAGCAACGTCTAGATCAGGCTTGGTCGGGTCATTCTTGGACGGCGGCAGCGGGATTTCGAACTCGACGTCTCGCACGCGCATGTTGTGGATGCCGCGACGGAAGTGCAGTGCATTGGTCAGATGGGTCCTAGTTCTCGGTTTTAGCGCAAGAAGAGAAACGTAAGACTGTGTGGGTAGACATACTTCGGCTCCTGTCTGTCCGGCAAGACCATCATGCTCAGACAACCGAGAAGACTGGCCTTGCAGGCATTTGGAAGCATGTGGAAGACAGTCCTATAATGGATCGAAAGTCAGCTTCGACAAAAGGGCGTGTTTTACAAGAGGTTCCAACGTACCACTCGGTCAGCACACCAGCAAACCATCCTAACAACCAATGGCAAAACACCCCCTTGTAGCTAGGATAGTCGGTAGCGCCAGCACCATCTTCGACCGTAGTCCAGGTATTAACCCAAACACTCTCCTGGTAAGGAAACCAGAACCACTCGCTATAGTAGTCGTTGAGCGCGTGGTTCTCGAACTCGCGAATAGGCTGCGCTAGCTTCGCCCGAGCAGCCTCGGGCGTCAAGCCCTTGAACCATGTTGGTTGGATGCCTGGCGGAACTAGACTAGGGTCCGGCGGAGGCACAGCCGTGACTGCACTCCTCTTTTGCGGGCGCATCGCAACGTACGTCATCTTATCCAGCCGAAGCGTGAGGTGAGTGACGACTCCCATGAGCCCGAAAGAACCGGCGGCCGCACGCAACTGCTCAGGATTGCTGACGGTGCGCCGCTCTCCATTACAGTCGACGTAGTCCACACACTCGACCAGGTCAGACGTGGTCTTGTGGCGGTGGCCGGCCCCGTGGCAGATGGGGCCGTTCACGCCGCCCATGGTGACCTCAACGAGGATGACGTTGAGCGGAAGCGCCCATTGGTTGTGTTTGGTAGCCCAGCGCCGGAAATCTTCGTTGGTGACGGCAACGCCGACTTTGCAGAGCCGCTTCGTACTGTCGATGGCCGAGTAAGTGTCCAGGAGGTGGATTTGCTTGAGCTCGTGGGCCGGGTCATTCTCAAAGTCCTTGCAGGACAGGCTCACGCAGTTGGACGGGTGCTTTCCGGCCCATTTGCTGACAAAGGTTATCAACACTTCGTTGTCGTCCGCGTGTATAGGTGACCAGCTGTGACGGAATCCAGCGCATCGCACACGGCGCCCCTGTTCCTTTGCCAATCGCACAACTGCCTGCACATCCGACACCGTTTTGGGGTAGTGATGATCGACGTTCTTGCGGTGCGTTGTCATACCCCAGTTGTGGAAGTCATCTGTCCACTTCTGCACGAAAGTCAGCTTCCACTCAGAGTAAGAGGGTGGTGAGGGCACGTGCATCCTCTTTCCTCGTCTTTTCCTCATATTTCCTGATGAACAGGTCAAGATGGGGCCATTTGTCGGTTATCTCTCCCTCGTCCACAAAAGTCTCAATCATCTGCCTGAGCTCGGGCACCTCCATCGCTTTCAGCGCGTCTTGGTATTCGGAATAGTCTCGGAAGGCAAGTAGTATCTGACGGAGCCACTTCAGCGGGTCCAGCAGGTCGGGGTCCGGCGGCGCCGCATCGCCGGACTGCGGACTCCACGAGAGCTGCGCTGCTCTACGGGTGACTTGTTGAGGTCGCGCTACTCTGAGGGATCGCTTAAGCCTATCGATGTCAACATTGTATCCCTTGTCAGCCAAGTCGTCAAGATGTTCGATCAGGGCCTCGGAAATATTCCTAGAGTTCCGATCTTGGAGGTTCGGCAATTGTTCTTGCTCCATGGCGACGGTGAACAGCAAAGAATGATCGATGTCTTGTTTTCGAATATCGTCCTGAGGCGACCGGCGGAGCGAGTTTAAATAACCGTATGTGAGGGGAGGGAAGGGGTCTAGAAAATGTCATCACTGTGGATGAGTGTCTGCACGTGCAATAACAGTGGCACTTTTCTGCCCCAAAAGCCCAGGGTGACCAGAACTGGTGGTCTAATGCTGCATTACGGACGTGCTTTGATGTACGTTACTACATCTTCGGTACTGCTTTGAAACAGGCTATTTTTCATCTCTCAAGCATGCGCTGTACATCGTTTTTGAGAGGAGATGCGATAAAATCCAGGAACGGAATATGGTATGTCACAGCGAAGAATATCCGGTCAACAGCTACAGCAAATAAGCGACCAACTGACGTACTCCGTGAAACCTGATCGGTTCGACCCTGCGTGTCACCAGCCCGGGTACTACATGCCATATCACAGAAAGTACACATTATTCTATTAACGCATGCCTCATGTTAATTACTTTGCTGTAGAACCAATATTCCCGCATTGCGCTAGTGCAACGGCGGGCCTCTGCCGCTGCTGGAAAAAGTCCAGATAACGATTAGTTGTAAGGGTCACAATCAAAAGTCTTCTAAAGCGTTCGTGTTCTAAACGCCAGAAGGCTTCCGAGGGTTTGTTTACTGGGACTGGAAAGGCGGATGAAACCGGGAGACAAGCACGCCAGCATTGCTTTGCCACGTAATTATCTGCCGCCGTCTATGGTTCTTTTGAGCCTGAAGCAAGTTTATTTGGCAGATGTCAGCTTATGATCTACACGAAACAAAAAGACACTACGAACCCCCACTTTCCACCACAGGCACATCGCTTAACTTCACCTATCTAATTTCCTATGCCTTAGCCTTGTCGATTACTTCCCCAGACGTCTCAGCATGGCGTGGTTTTCTTGTATGGACATACAGCTGTGCAACCTTCGGTCGGGTGAGCCGCTTACCTGGATTTTCCCCTTTTTACGTGCATGGCCACTTTCGTCTACAAGTCGGAGTGAGCAGCCGATGAAGTCATATGTGGTAGCCTCAGCAACATCATTTAGTTTCAATAGACGTAATTCGAGTGCTTTTACTGCAGCTTTTACAGAGTGAAAAGGAAGAGAGCCAGTCGTGCGTAGCTTGGGGGATACCGACACAACTCGTGACACTAGAGGTTGATAGATGCTGCCTTGCGTACATTAGCCTACTCCAAGCAATCCCCGATGTTCCATAAAACAGCGATTCTACTCCGGCGACCAGCCGCAGTACACCTCTATACTGCCTGCCAGCCCTCTTCATCTGATCACGGCGCCAGCTCCGATCTACGTGTGGAGGAGCAAGGATGATGACCGGGCTTGGTCGGCTGAAACCTAGGGAGATGCGGCCGATGTTGGGGACAACTGATAGGCAATCCGCTTGGTTTACATTTGTCCGTTGGAAGTTCGGCAAGTCACACGAAATGACAGCACGATCGACAACTACTCTTATCCCATCTATCACGTTCGACGAATACCCACCACCCACTGCATAATAGTTGACTATGGTTCGTCATTGATTTGAGGCTCGGTTGAATTTCACCTGCTGATATCCCCCAAGACCGTCTTTCAACTCCGCCACTTCCCCGATGTTTGAACCGCGGTACTTTGCTACAGGGGTTCGTCCCTGTCATGGTCCTTGGCCCTTTGATTGCTATGTCTGGCTTCCTGTTCTTTGTTGCCTCTGTCGTTATCATTGCGCGTCCACCCCATGAGTTTTCAGAGACCGCAAAGGGACTGTTTGCTGTAGGGGTACTGCTGGTTTCGGTGCTGCGTTGCATGAGTTCTTATGGATGTCAGCCATCATGCCAAAGATGTATAGCATGTGGCTGAGACCATTTGAGCCTGGGTGGACCGGGGATGCCGCGGGCGGAGAGGAAGGATGGTGGAGCAGGTATGTGAGGCTTGAAAGGGCGCTGGGAAGGCAGGAGCATAAGGCGTTTAAAGTCGCTATACGCTGTGGTAGAGCGGTAAAAGGAACGCACAACTGCAAAAAGAGAGACAAAGTCAGAAACGGGGATTTGAGCGCTGAAGCGGAAGCGATGTGTTATGCCGATCAGTAGATTGAACCTTTTGCCCTCTTGTTGGACTTATGAATACGAGCCCTCTCTACTCGGCTTCGCATCGCTGCTTAGCACAAGCGCTTTACATTCCCGATAATATCTTCTAGCGGCCTACAGCCGCCCGAAATTTCGTTCTCTGGTCCCTCGGCCTCCTCCTCCTTGATCATCGCCTTGAACATGTCCGCCGCCCCAGGTTGCCTCTCAACAAGGCCACCACCGCCAGGGCCAAGTCCCAGGGCGGCATCAATCTTGGCCAACATGCTCTGGCTCAACTGGGCGACAATGACAATCTGCAGGCCGACGTTTCCGCCAAGCTGGAAGCCGCCAAGAGCAAGGCCGGGAAACAGCGGCGGCAGGGCGGATGAGCGAAGAGGGGGGGGAAAGTTTTGAAGCGAGGCGTCGATGCAGGCGAAGATGGTGCGGTAGATGCGGCGGAGGGCGGCGTAGCAGGCGAGGATGGAGAGGGTGGTGGGGATTTCGGGGCGCAGCAGCCCCACGTCTGAGGGAGTAGCTGAGGAGTTCGAGATTAAGGTTGGGTTCGAGGTGGGAGGAGATGAAGACGAGGACTGTGGGGCGGCGGAAAAGTAATGCAGGATCTCGAGGAGTTGGGCGGACGTGGTGAACATTCGACCGATGGGAACGCTGCATCCGCAGTTTTCGTGCACAGCGGCGTCGGCGCGAAGCGTGGCGATGGAGGATTCAGTTGCTACTCTAGAGGCGCGCACCGTGTTGAGGTCGGCCAGCAGCGCCGAGTGCAGGTCTCCGAGCTTCTGGAGGCATTCCTGGCGGCTGTCGGTGGGCGGAGAAGGCACCTCGTGCATTCGTGTGTCATCGGGCGACTGCTGAGGAATGGGCGGTAGAAGGGCTTGGAAGTCGAAGTCGCCGTCGAGGAATGGCAGATCGAAGATGGTGGGGGGCGAAGGCGCCGTCTGCGGCTGAATGAAAAAACAGTCGGATTCGCTGGGACTACCTGAAGGAGGGGTGGGCTGCAGCTGCATCGCAGGAGACTGCATCTGTTGCGGCGTGTGGCAATGAGCGTGCTGGGGCTGTGGCAGCGGGGGGCGGCCTGTGGGCAGGGCATGGCCAGTGGTGCAACGAGCGCCTGCTTTGAGGCATCGGCGGCAGGGTCCCGTCACACTCTGCTGGGCGTCGCGCTCGCATCGGAGCTTATGTGCCCGGCAGCGGTCGCATGCCGATCGACGCGACGACCCATCGTTGGTAGACATGTTTTGTTGTGTTTGTGACGTCCAGCCGAGCCACCGAAAGCTCCGGCTGATGACTTGTGCCTTAGTACTTCAATAGCGGCTAACAATCCCACTCCGAAAACACCCGGCGTCCCCGCTACACCCTCTTCGGAGGGTTTTTGTGCCGCACTGGCTCCAGCCACTCCGAACTCCGCTCCGACATTCACCATTCGGGTTTGACAGGTTTTCAAGCATCGATACAGATCAACAGTCGGCGCCCATGAGAGAAAGACATTAGAAGTATCAGCGGGTTTACCAAACCAGTTCCCTCCATCTCCGTGATTTCTCAAGAATTTACACAGTGTTGCTTCCCATGGGTTTCCCACCGTCGGTTTTCTTCTCGAGCCCATGCTCATTCTCGAGCTCCGTTCTAAGCGTAAGCTCCTTCTCGAAGAAGGCCGCAACCAGCGCCGTGCCCGCGAATACCACAGCAATCGTCCAGCTCCTGCTCAAACTCCGAGAATACGCGCCAATAATTTGGCTCCTCAGTGGCTCTTGAAAGCTGTTGATGAAGTCCCTGGACGCACGCTCGTAGGCCTTACCGTTCGACAGCATAACACGGACGCCTGCGTCGTCGATGCTCGGCAGCAGCTGGTCGAACCGGTTGTTGAAAATAGCAGCGGGTATCGCAATGCCCCAAACCGTAGCAATGCTGCGTATGAAGGCGAGTGTGGCAGTCGTCGACGCGGCCTCCGTCTCGGGCACGCCAGCCTGTACCGCCGGCAGCAGCGTGCTGATCACCGTGCCCAAGCCCGCAGCCACCAACCCTTGCAAGACGACCCAAACAGCTGTGTGCGTGTGAGCGTCGAGCACAGACAGAGAGCCGACGCAAATGGTGGCGATGAGCATGCCGCCAATGTTGGCCGGCTTGTAGCGCCCCGTTTTTGAAACGACTCCGCCGGCGATGGCGGCAAAGGGAGCAAAGATGGTGACTGTGGGCAGCATCATGACGCCAGCCCGGGTGGGCGTGGCCCGCAGTACGGCCTGGAAGTAGACGGGCAGGAAGAACGTGACCCAGTAGGTGACAATCGCGTGCTGGAAGGTGACAAAGTAGGCGATGCAAGAGGTGCGGTTCGTAAAGAGGCGGGGCGGAATGACGGGGTTTGGGGCAAAACGGGAGCATTCGAACAGGGCGAAGATGACGAAGCCAAGTATGCCGAGGATAAGAGGGACGAGGGTGTGCGGAGAGGACCAGGCATAACGGGTGCCGCCGTAGGTGACGGCGAATAGCGTGGCAACGGTGGCGCCCATGATAATGGCATTACCAATGTAGTCGATGCGCTTGAGTTTGTTGGCGAGCGATGCCTCGTTTTGGAAGGCTGTACGGAGGAAGGCCCAGAGGAGGACGAGGGCCAAGCCGCAGAAGGGCAAGTTGAAGTAGAAGACCCAGCGCCAGGATGTATTGTCAACAATGGCGCCACCGATGACGGGCCCGGCAGCAGATCCAACGGTGACGATCATGAATAGCAACCCCACGTACATGCCTCGCTCGCGGAGAGGCACCAGATCACAGATGATGACGTCGATGAGCATGTTTAGGCCGCCGGCGCCGATGCCCTGAACGGCACGGCCTGCGATCAGCATAGTGGAGCTCATTGCACCGCCACAGATGCCGCTGCCCAGGCCGAAGATTGCGACCGCACCCAGCATGTTCCATCTGCGCCCGAATATATCTGCAAGTTGTCCGTATAGCGGCTGGACCGCAGCGCTGTGGCAAAGAGGTCAGCTGAATAAAAGATACGGTGGATGTTTCCCAGCTTACCTGGTGAGAAAGTAGGCGTTGACCACCCACGAATAGTTTTCTCCGGGGCCAAGGTCCCGCGAGATGGTCGGCAGCGCCGTGGATAGAATGACGCCCTCCATGCCACTGATCAGAGCAGTGACGGCCAGGCCGAAGAAGATGGCCCAGAACCTCCATCCGTACTTGTACTGCTTCGGTGATGAGCCTTGGCTTTCTTCATATTGAAGGATGCCAAGCCTAGCCGTGTCGTCGCTCTTGCGCGAGACGGACTTGGCTCTGTCGCTCATCGAGTCTAGCTCGCTGCGTGCGTGGCCGTTGTTGGAGTGGTCTTTGGGTTCCATCGTTTGCTCAAATGGGTGGAGGCAATTTCATAGAATTATTTCGTGCAACAAAAACAAGCGCGAGTAGAATCGAGAATGATGATGGCGTTGGTCTTGCTGCTGAAACGGCATTGCAGCCAGTACAGCTCTTATATAGCGGATGCCATTTGATTTGCTCCGGAGACTGGGCCGGCACTTCAGCCAGTTTCGGGGTAACGTGATTCGGAGGCTTTCTTAGTCAGCTCCGAAGTGTTGGGGCCTCACCAAGATACAACCCTCTCCTTTCAAGGCCCGTGTCACTTCTTGACTCCTACCGTGTGGAACGGCCATTCAAAGCCAGTGACCGCGGCACTCGCTCAGCCCGTTCACCTGGGTCGATCAGTCCATCGGCCTCGGCCACAACGGCCGCTACGCCCCCTTCGCTTTGGCATATATCGGCCGCCTCGTCCCCATCCTCCCAGAGTCGCATCCGCGCAGGCTTTCTCTGCCACCGAAGCCATCTGCACCGCGTACCATGCCATCGCGACCACTGGGGCCATCAGCGTGGGAATGATGGTGCACGTGATCGGCTGCCAAGGTGTTGCGTTTTGTCAAACTATGGCTACCAGTTCGACCTGGCTCTGGGAGTGGATGAAGCCGATGAGAACTTCGCCACTGGCCTGACGTAATGGGTCGGGGCGGTCAAGGAAGCATTTGAGACGGCGGTGAGGAGGATTATCATACGGTTCTTTAGTTGATAGCGAGCAACGCTCTGCCCAGCGTTGCTAACCTAGACGAACCTATTTCCACAGCGTAAATATCCGAATTCCAAAGCGAGAAACGGTCAAGAAGTAGATGATACGAAAAGTACGAAGTGATGGCAGTGCTTACCGGCAAAAGATGATACCTTCTCGTCGGGCGTGGAGCGATCATGGTCAAATGGCAAGCTGCCAGGCAGACTGTGTTGAAAAAGAAAAAGCATTTCGAAATCTCTCCAATCTATAGAAGTGCTTGCCAGGTAAGCCACGGTGTAAACAATCCCATTATCTACACGATATCACTACCCATACTAAGATTCCGAAATCATTTGTCTGATGATGAATATCACATGTCCATCATGAAGACAAGCATGTGCTTCATCGTTGTGTATTCATGACATGTGATATTCATCGTCTGACATCGTTCGATGCTCTTCTTGAAACACGCTGAAAACGAACTCACGACACGTGTTACAGGAGTCCCATCTACCGAGAAGATGTTCAACTCTGTGCCAACATTCATCAGTTACAATCTCGTCTGCAACTTTTCGGCCTTTGTTCTTTTTCTTTTTTGAGGGGATGGCTTTCCAATCGACTACAGCTGGTAGGGTCTCGATGACCTCCTATTTGATAGCTGATCGCGTCTTCTTCTTCTTCTTCTTGTCTTTCTTTGCTGTCGAAACCGGGACCCAGTCCTCCTCGTCATCTGGCTCCTGTAGTTTCCCAGCGTCTGCTTCCTCTAGAGGCTGTGCACCTTTTTTGCATTGTTCCAGCTCTGGGCCATCATCTGTTTCGAATCAGTGTGAGCTGCGCGTACAACCACTACCGAGTCAACCAGATGCAGGAATACGTACAGGGAATGTTAGCAGAAAAAGCATCGGAATCATGCTGTCTGTGATCGGAGCTAGTCCCTTCTTTGGTATCATAAGAAACGACCGAAAACGAATCATGCGTGAGCCCTTCAGACTTGGCCGTTCCCGATAGAGAAAGACAATCCGCCTCCACTGGAGGCTCCTCTGGAGGCGCTGGCATATGGAAGGACTCTCCTGTGTTTCTGGTCTTGTCTTTCTCTGAAACACTCGCCTGCATGTCGTCGAGGATGGCTGCAAAACTGACCACCATTGCTCTTGCAAAACGCGAGCTAAGTTTGATGCGGGGCACCTTGCCCGAGAGGTTGGCGAGTTCCGCGAAGGTTTTCTTGAGTGTATCTGTTAGGTAAGCTTCCAGAAACTCATCCTCGTCCGAAGTATCAGACATGACTGCCTCTAGGTGTTCCAAGATGTCTCCTGCTGGTACACCGGGCTTAATGGAACGGATTTTCTCCATCGCCAGGATTTGCAGCTCGCGTAAGCCATATTTGCTTGCAGTAACGTAAAGGTTCAGAGCCCGCTGGTGCTCCCTAATGTCCCTCGCGACTAAACTTGCCTCCCCGCTTCGTAGAGTCTCGTATTTTCCTGTGTGGAGGAAGTGCACGAGTGGATGGGCGATGTCTGAATCGATGTCGGAGAGGCAAATTGTGCGAGTATAGTCATAATACTCGGGGTCGGTATTGATGGAAGACGGAAGAAGAGCAGCGGGAACGTTGTACTGAATTCCTTCGGTCCCAAAACGAAGCGCCATAGTAGCACTGGTGTATGGACTGAAGCGTGTCAGGATAAGCCCACTCCAATAACCCTTTTTACAGCAGCCTAGCGAGATGAGGACAACTTACGAAGTATCCGGCCGATCGTCCTCTGGTACTGGAAGCTCCGGCGCCGCTGGAGCTGGCTCTGGCTCTTCCCTTGGGGTTACCGACCATGTTTCTGGCCGATTCGCCTGTCTTCTGCGTTTCTTCTTTTCCTTCTTCGAAAGGTGTTCCATGTTGGACTTGCAATGAAATTTTGTGGCAGAAATTGTTGGGGTTTGTGTTTGGCAGAGAAAGATCGATGGGGGAAGTAGAGGCGGGCAGTGCTCCAATTGTACTTGAGTCTATCCTTGCGTCTGAAGTACGCCTTGCCGCACTTAGCGCCCGCATTCCGCCCCAGAGTTCAGGTGCTGCACGAATGCCTGGACCTTGACGGTTTGGCAATGGTGATTGGTTGGAATGCGAGCTCGCTTGTGGTGGCGTTACATACAGCTGCGGCACGAACGGCACAGCTGCTTGATAACGCATGGCTTAGCGCTTGCTGCCTGCTGAGGCGCAGTTTCCGGAATGATGCAACGCCTCTATTCCCTGCTATCTCGACTGATAGCTGTGTTGGCAAGCGCCTCACCAACCGCCGGCCACATGCACAATCCGCAATCCAAACCGTCGGGAATGTCGAAGGCCTGTGCCACATGAAACCCTGGCAGGGGCTGTGTTCCGTAGTGGACAGAAAGTCCCCATTTGACACAGGCGATATGGCAGACAGCGGATTGACGCGCCCTCGTCCACTAGACTCTATGCGGTCTACGTCTACTTTGTTTCTCCCGGCTACGCCAGTCGCCCAGTAACTTATGAACGCCATAGATTCCGCTGGAGGAAAAAAAGTAGGAATGGCTGCACAAAGAAGCTTAAATCGACTCGAGGGGCCACCTGCTTCACCTCCACTATAGTATCAATCATCTTCATTTCCCTGGCATGGCCAGCAACGTATCTCTAAGCCCTCTATTCTCCTCCTCAAGACGGGCAATGCAAGCCGATAGATCGTCAGCCCTGCTTCTCAGTCTTTGAACCCTCCTCGTCAGTTCCTCCTCGCGCTGCTTCTTCTTGACCCGGAAGCGTGCAGAGGCAGCGTTGTTCCGCTGGCGCTTGTCGTCCATTCCAGCTAGCCGCTGGAGCTCTTCGGCTACGCAGTCATGCTTCCCTGGCAACGATTCAATCATTCGAAGTGCATCCTCCCAGTCTTGTACGGAAGGGCCAAAATTCTTTGAGTGAGCACTTGGCAGCAGGGGTTCAGTGAAGTTGAGTCGTTGTGGCGCCGGGGGGCCGCTTAGTTGGGTATGGATATCGTCCAGCTTGAGGCAGTTAAAGGTCCCTGAATCGTCGAAGTAAGCAATTGGAGTAAGGAGCGAGCTGTTCTTACATCAGAGTTGGACGTGCAGCAGTCGCTAAAAATATAAAAACTGACCAAAGTAAAGCACACGCCGTGCAATTTATTGAGTTTGACAAAATACATCTACTCGAATTGCAAATAAAAAGAAAAGCCAGTTCAGTCCTGCAAACTTACCTTGCAAGCTAGAGTCTGTATTTAATTTAATACCCTCTGTTCCCGTCCATTGGCCACCGTACCCAGAGACTTCAGCATATGGTGATGCTTCGATAGAGGGGTGCCGTGATACTTGGGGATCCCAGTCAATAAACAGAGCGAAATCGTCCTCGACGGTATGGCTGTCTTGGACACCGAGGACATCTTGGCCAACATCTTGGATACCCTGTAGGCATTCGTCGATTTGGTGTAAGGTATGCTCCAACAACCAAGACATTGTGTTAGAGAGTCGAATTTGGCTGCTCGCGAAGTGGTTAGCGGCCAAGCACGGATATAGGAAGTAGTGCACGCACGGTGCACCTTAGTCATTGCGAAATGACCGGAGACCGACCGTGTTTGTAACGCTTTCGGAGCTTTCTGGAGCACTTTCTCTCAATCACACTCCTGCGTATGAGCTATGGGTGCAAGATGAAAATTGGTAGTATGAGAGCAACAATCAGAAAAGGCAATAGATAGGGTCCTACCGTTAACAGTGCTTGCTCGTACCTCTCCAGATGGAAATATACTCTCACCTCTACATTTCATTCGGTTACCGAGATCGCGATGAGATATAAAGATGCAGCTGTCTAGTTTATCGAATTGGAAGAAGCCTTCTACGTACTACAGATTTTCAACACAATTTGCTCGATTCTTGGGGACCTCGTCAATCTGCAGTCCCAATATGGATACCCTGCTCACTTCACTCAACAGTGACCTCGAAGGCCTACTGCAGACACTGAAGTCTGAAGAGGTCAATCTGAAGCTCCACAATTCATTACACGACCATGGCGAAGGAGCGCTTCCCGACCCAAAGTTGAGCAAGCTGGCCAGCAAATCCATCGACCTTCTCCATGAAATCGAACAGATGCTCGAACCAGGTCACTTGGTCCTTGCAGACCACTTCTTAGGTAGATTTCAGGATCACCCCTCAGATTTACACTTCTGACCAAATCGTAGGCTATGTCCATGCGAAATGCCTTGTCGGGGCAGTGAATCTCAAAGTTGCGGACAGATTGCGCGAGATGGGCCCCACGAAGATGGAGGATTTGGCAGCTGCTTGCCAAGCCCGTCCAGATCGGCTTCATCAGGTGATGCGCGTCCTCAGCAGCAACGGCATATTTGCGTATGACAAGTCCGCAGAGGAGTATCGGAATAACCATACGTCCACCCTCCTCCTATCCGATCATTGGACCCAATGGCACAACTGGGCTACCCTGTACGGCAATCAATTCTACGACATGGCTCGGGGGATTCCGGACTCGCTACAAAAGGACGCAACACGCTCGCCCGCCCAAATCAACTACGACACAGACGTGGATATGTTCAACTATTTCAAGAGCCGCGGCTGGGTGCCGCAACTGCACAAGACTTTCGGAGCTGGAGCGACCGCTCAAGCGCCTGGCATCCTGGCAGATTACCCCTGGTCGCAAATCGCGAACGAGACAGTCATCGATATTGGCGGCGGTGGCGGTGCGTTTATCGCTTTACTGCTTCGAGCGCACGAGACGATGCGGGGCGGCATCTTCGACCAGCCGCACATCATCGACCATGTCCGGCCGTTCTTCCACGAGCCAGGCGGGCAATTCGCAGACCTGGGGCCACGCGTGAGCACGGAGAACCTGATCGGCGGCGACTTCTTCAAGAGCATCCCGCCGTCAAAGGTCTACACGATGAAGTGGACTCTGCATGACTGGAGAGAAGGCGATGCGAGACGGATCTTGCAGAACATAGCAAAGGCCATCATACCAGGGGAGAACAGCCGGCTGATAGTGCTTGAGTCGATTCTCGATACGACGCGTAGCTCGAGGCTGGCAAGATACGGCGATATGAACATGATGATTGCTGCGGATGGAGTGGAGAGGACGTGGGATGAGTGGGTTGCTTTGGCGGAAAGTTCAGGTTGGGTCATTACGAAAGTGTACCCGTTGCGTAACGCGTGGCACTGTGCGTTCGAAATGAGACCAAAAGCCTGGCAACAGTGAGAGACTGGCGGTCTTGCCGTTGGAAGGCGCCCGGGTGGGCGAGTTGCGTGGGAACAGAGTCAAAGACTGAACAATTTCTTTTTATCTCGAGTAGTTTTATTCCTTTGTTTGCTCACCACCCAATGAAAAGTTATGCTGTACCTCTAAACGTGCATCGGCCCATGATCCACGTGCACAAATTGTATGCCCTGCGGAGATTTTCTTGAAAAAGTACGACTCTACGCAGCCCTGCAGATTGCTGCGCGGACCCACCTCTCGTTTTGGCGATACCAAGGCTCAGTAAGCTCAAAAAAGCTACGGAATCTCGCAGAAGCGCCATACGGGCAAGCAAGAGCACATGATAGGTCTGGATATATTGGTCCGTAACCATTCTTATTGCTCGGACAAGGGCAAGGAAAATACAAGAGCGACGTGTCTAGTTCTCTTACGCTTTTCAACAAGCCCAAGCGCGGGGTCACTGAAGCGGCCAGCAGAACAAGTAGGAGTTTCGAGTGACTGATCTCTTTTGCAGTCTGCACGCCAGCCCTTCCTCTCCGGTAGATTCTTGTCCTCATAGGTACGGTGTGCAAAAGGAAGCGTACGGATCGTTTGGAAGGACCAGCATCGCTGGGCTCGGTTTCCGAAGCGAAAACTGGTGTCCCTTGCAACTTGTGGCCGGAGAACGGGTCGATGGCGGCAAAGACTTGCTTTCGCTCCAAGTCATGCATCGATACGTATGTGTTCATGTCGCGCAGCAGCCTCCAGGCCATCAGATCAAGAAGACGAGTAATTTTTGCCTCATTATCAATGGTTGATGGTTGTAGATGGTTGTCTGCGTGAAGCTCTTCGTAAGTCCGAGGGTACAAGACTGAAGACGTCTCTGTGAACGCATGGCTGCCTCACCTGAAGCCCCGGCAGAACTCGGGACAGACTCTGCCATCGCCCCGTGTTAATCTCCTTATGTGGCGAGTCCAAACAGATGGGAGACTGTGGTCGGTCTCCGAACACAGGTACACATGTGAGGCGGAGCTCGGATAATTACCAGTGTGGGATTCTAAGAAGTAGCATTTAACAGGTGCGCGTGGTTGGCACAAGACCAATTTTTGTTTTGAAAAGAAAAATAATAAAAAACACGACGCGTTCCACCATGCTCCTCACCGTCTGTTCTGAGAGACAGCTCATCCTTTCGTCCATCGCAAAAGCACTGGGCCTTCCCGTGGATGGCATCGACACTTCCAAGAGCTTTACGGAACTGGGCGGGCACTCGTTATCGGCGGTGGAAGTCCAACATGAGTGTAAGAAAATTGTTGAAAAGCCACCCACCGTTCTCTCATTACTCGTTTCTCCTTCGATAGAAGAGCTCCTTCCCGCTCGAAAAAGGTTCAGCTCGTATCAAGAGGCTGGGCCTTCGAGAGCCAACACGCCTGCCACGACTGATTCGGGATTCGTCGAACCGGCATCGTTTGATGGAGACATGGAACCGGCGGACACGTTCTCAACATACACAAGCCCGGAGGATGACGGATTCGGACAACAGACGGACACGGCGGAAGCAACGGTTCCATCCTCGCTGGACCGACGCGCTTCCCAGCACCAAACACAAGCGGACACGAACACGACAGAGGCACCAGCAACGGACATGCAGGTGGTCTTCATCCGAGGCGGGCAGAGCACAATACGGTATTTCGAGACATGGCGGTTGGAAGACGTTGTCGTGATGAAGCATGCGTGGAAGAGGGTGGTCAGCATGGAGCCGATTTTCCGAAGTGTGTTTGAGGAAGACACGCCAAACTCGTACACGATGCGGCTACGGGAGGTTTCGATTCCTTGGGAAGAAGTCGTCACCTTCGACCGGCAGTCATACCAGGCGGAGATGGCAAAGCAAGAGTCTCACCTGGTGCCGGGGTTCCGGTTCAGAAGCGTCATATTCCGATCTCCGGACTGCAGCCGCAGCGAGGCGACCATCGTCCTCTCGGTGCATCATGCGCTGCTCGACGGGTTCTCCATGGAGCAGCTGGCGGAGAAGGTCCGGCGGGTGGCGCTCGGAGAGAAGGACGTGGCACCGGGCAAGTCCTTTCTGGCTGCCGCCCAGGAGCTCGACGCGATCAAGAAGGAATCCTCTGCGGAAGCGATTGAGTTTTGGGCGAGGAAGTCGGCCGAGTACGTGGGTGCGGCAGCCAGCCTGGGTCTGCCCAGGCCCGAGGGACGCAGAGAGGACCGAGACCGAGACCGAGACAACGAGGTGTACATCGACTTCGACCATCTCACCGACCGGCTCCACGAGACTTGCAGGGCGCTCGGCATCACGGTGGCGTCGTTCTTCCACGCAGCGTGGGCGCTGGTGCAGGCGCTCTACACGGATTCGGACAAGGTGGTGTTTGGTGCAATACTCAGCGGAAGGAACCTCCCAATCGACGGCATCAGCAGCGTCATCGGCCCGCTGCTGAACACGCTCCCGCTGCACGTCTCGATCGACTCGGGCAGCTCGACGGGCGACTTTGTGCGACGCATCCTGCGGGACCTGGCCGAACTCTCGTGCTTCCAGTGGAGCACGCCGGCGCACGGGTTTGCGCGCAACTTCGAGGCGGCGCTGTCTGTGACGCGCGGGCTCCAGGCAGCTTCGCACGGCCACGGCGCGGTGCAGCCCATGCGCGCGCCTTGCTACGACTTCGAGAGCAACATCCCACTGAGCATGGCGCTGGACGAGGCGGCCATGAACCTGCGGCTGGTCTACCACCCGGACTGCTACAGCCGCGAGACGGCCGAAGGGCTGGCATCCTGCTTCGTCAACGCGCTCGAGAGACTGACGTATCCCACGAGCGTCGGGCAGTGCCTCGATTCGCTGATCACGGTGCCGATGCAGAGGCGGCTGCGGGTGCTGGGCAACTGCATCTCGGGCCTGACAACGCGTGTTGCCCATCCCGAGGACCTCGTCTCGCTGTTCGAAGCGGCAGTGGAGGCACACCCCGACGCCGCTGCCGTGGAAATGGGCGAGCGCAGCCTCAGCTACCGGGAGCTCGACCAGCGCGCGTCGCAGGTTGCCGCCGCACTGGCCGAGCTGCACGTCGCCGAAGACGAAGCCGTCTGCGTGCACGCCGACGGCAGCGTCGACTGGGTGGTCGGGCTGATGGGAGTGCTGAAGGCCGGGGCCACCATGTGCAGCCTCGACGCCACGCTGCCCCACGACCTGCGCACCACCATGTTTGCCGCCGCCCACAGCAGAGTCTTCGTGGTCGGCAACGAGTCGCAGCTGAGCTTCCAGCCCGACGACTGCACCCACTGCCTCGTATTGGACACGCTCACCGCCAGCGCTCCCCCGGCGCGGACGGAGCCGTGCACGCCGCGACGTCTGCGGCCGTCGGCGGCGGCATACCTGTGCTTCACGTCCGGGTCGACAGGCACGCCCAAGGGCGTCGTGTGCACGCACCAGGGGCTCGTGGCATTCCAGAAGGACGTCGAGGTGCGGCTGCACGCAGGGCCGGGCGTGCGGGTGGCTCAGTTCATGTCGCCAGCGTTTGACGGCAGCATCCACGAGATCTTCTCTGCCCTGAGCTACGCCGCCACCCTCGTGCTGCGCAGCACCGCCGACCCGTTCGCCGTGCTGCGCCGGGCCGACAGCGCCATCATGACGCCCTCGGTCGCGCGCACCCTCCCCGCCGCCGACTTTTCCAACCTCAAGACGGTAAGACGCCCGCCCCCTGCCTGCCCGCTGCCCGCTGCCTGCCCGCCGCCTCCCGCCCCCGCACACCGCTGACCCTGACCCGCACACCGCTGACCCGCCTCCCCCCAGGTCTACCTCGTTGGCGAGCAAGTGCCGCCGTCGGTGGTCGAGCAGTGGGCGCCTGGCCGCAAGCTCTACAACATGTACGGCCCAACCGAGGGCACCTGTGGCGCCACCATCGCGCGGCTGACCCCCGGCCGCGCCGTCACCATCGGCCGCCCGAACCCGACGTCGCGCGTCTACCTGCTGGGCCCGGCCGGCCGCCGCCTGGTGCCGCCCGGCGCCGTGGGCGAGATCTGCATCGCCGGCGTGCAGGTCGCGCGCGGCTACGTGGGCCTGCCCGCCGAGACGGCCGCGCGCTTCGTTGCCGACCCCGTGTGCCCCGGCCTGGACGAGATGATGTACCGCACCGGCGACCGCGGCTTCTGGAACCAGCGCGGCGAGCTGGTGTGCCTGGGCCGCACCGACCGCCAGCTCAAGCTGCGCGGCTTCCGCCTCGACCTCGACGACCTCGAGCTGCGCATCGCGCGCGCCCTGCCCGCCGGCGCCATCACCGCCGTCGCCCTCACCCGCGCCTGCCGCGGCGACACGCTGGTCGCCATGGTGCAGCCCGCCGCCCTGGACCCCGCCGCCGTGAGGGCCGCCGTCGCCCGCCAGCTGCCCAGGCAGGCCGTGCCCTCGGCCATTGCCTGCGTCGACGAGTTTCCCATGACGCGCGCGGGCAAGGTCGATCTGAAGGCCATCGCTGCGCGGCTCGCCAATTTTGCTGCATAGTAGTAGTATGTACATATATATAGACTTGTTGTTGACCAACTATTGAATTTTCCATCCATAACTTCCTGCTGGTGCGTGGCGTGACTCCATGGGCAGGGGGTACGCAATGGCGGTGCCAGAGAGCCAGGTACGGAATCCTGTAGGAATGCCATGCAGGGGTGGCACGTGGGTACGCAACCGCAGTCCCAGAGAGCCGGCTATCGAATCCTGCAGGAATGTCATGCAGGGGGCCAGGTCAGGTACATATGCAACGCCCGTCCCAGAGAGCCAGCCATCGAATCCTGTAGGAATGATACTAATGTCCACCATGCAGGGGAATTCACGCACTGCTTCGGCAACGGTTGAAAATTGGCAAGACACTACGTCCGTATGCGTAGACTGCAACTCCATCTGATCTGCGAGATGAGACAAAAGATGCAGCAACGGTTGAAAATAGCAAGACGCTATGCGTAGATTGAAACTCCATTTGATCTGCATGACAAGACAAAAGAAACCAACTATAGTAACACCTTGAACAAATCGATCCTCGACGTCACCTTCCCCCTCAGCTCCGACACCATGCCGGCGCAGGTGCTCTGACACGCCGCGTTCGCCGCCGCGCCCGAGGGCGGCAGCACCACCACCTGCTGCAGCTTGCCCATCGCGCTCTGCATCTCGGCCAGCCGCTTCATGATGAGGGCGCGCAGCACCACCCTCCGGTCCGCGCCCCTCACCGAGTACGTGCCGCACCGCAACGGCGCCTCCTCGTCGTGCGCCAGCCCGCCGCCCATGATGAGGGAGGACAAGCCTTCGCCACGCGTCGCCGCCCCGCCCGCCGCCCCGTTGGCCCCGTTCATGGCCGCCCCATCCGCCCCGTTGTTGTTGGCGGCGGCGGCCGTGGCCCACAGCGTGCCCATGCCCAGCGCCATCGACACCTCGTCCATGGCCTGGCACACCATCAGCGCCGACGACAGCCGCCGCCCGCACTGCCCGCAGCACAGCACCCGGAAGCAGTGGTCGAGCAGCACCTTGGACTTTTGCACCGCCGTCGCCAGGAACGCGCTGTTGCTGCCGCCCGGGCCGCTGCAGCGCGACGTCGTCGGCCGCGACTCGGCCAGCTGCTGCAGCAGCGTCGCCGCGCAGAGGCACTCCCCGCCCATGTCGACGTCGACGTCGACGTCGTGCATCGCCTGGTCGAGGCTGCTGCTGCTGCTGCTCTCGGCAGTCGACGACGACGACGACGAGGATGATGATGACGATGACGACGATAACGACAACGACGACGAGTTCGAGTCGTCCACGCATCCGCGTAGGTAACCACCGCTGCCGCCGCCGCCGCCGCCGCCGCCGCCGCCGCCGCCGGGGAAGTTGTTGCCGCAGTCTTGTTGCATGGGGCTGAGCATAAAGTCAAACGTCAATGCCGAGTGGTCGACGTGGTGCAGCCCGGCCGCCGATGATGCGGGCTGGTGGCTGGCGAAGTCGTCGGGGAACAACATGGCGGAGAAGGCGTCGTCGTCCGCCGCCCCGAAGTGGACGTCGACCATGCTTGAGAAGGGGTCGACGTCGTGGCATTGCTGCTGCTGCTGCTGCGGTGGCTCTGATTCGTCGTCATCGTGGCCCGTCGACGGTGAAGGTTGTTGTTGTTGTTGTTGTTGTTGTTGTTGTTGTTGCTGCTGCTGCTGCTGTTCCTTCTCCAGAAAGCCGGACATGGTCATTGTCGAGTTGGGCTGCGGCGAGGGCGAGGCGCCGGCGCAGGGGCCGGATATGGGAGAAAAGCCGGACCTCGCGGCTGCGGCGCAGGTGGACGGCACGGGAGGAGCGGAAGGTGACGAGGCGGCGGCCAAGGCGGGCGGAGCCGCCGCCACTACGATCGTGTCGTAGTCGACGTCGCCGGGGAGTGCGGAGTCTTTGCGGGGAGGGGACGGCGCCGTGTTGGGGGTTGGCAACGCCGTCTGCGGGAGGGCTGCCGTCGTCGAGGAGGCATGGGTCTGCGCAGGCTGCTCGGCGGGCGTCGTCTTGCGGGGTCGGGGGCGTCCAGCGCGGCGGGACGGGCTGTAGACGCAGTCGATGTTGTACTTGACGCACCGGCGGCACGCGGGTCGTTCCTGGCCGCAGCGGATCTTGGATGCCTGGCAGCTGTCGCAGGACAGGCGGATCTTCGGCGCCTTGGGCTGCTGCCCGGCTCGTCTGTTGGGGATGCGGCCGGATTCCATGGTGATGGTGCGTTTCCGGAGCACAATTGCGTCTTCGGGGCGGGTGTTGATAAAGCAGCGAAGTGCTGCCCTTTGTGCGGGGGGCCAACTCCCACAACTCCCAGCAGACGCGGGGGCGCAGGAGTCAGTCCGACGCCGCCGCCAGGGCCCTGATTCGCTGCGTGTAATCCCGCAGCTGTTGGAGGTTCGCATGGACAATGTCGAGGAAGGATTCCGCCGGCCCGCCCGCTTCCAGCGTGCCGAGGGCGGCCTTGAGCAGCGCCATGACCTTGGAGAAGTGGGAGAGCTGCAGGGCCATCAGCTCGCGACTCAGCATCTCGGCGTCGGTGGGATCCAGGTCGTAATTTCCCAGCGATATCCGCGCCGCACACGCGCTGCCGTCGTCGCCCAGCCACGTGCGCCGCACCCACTCGATTATGCACGCGCTGAGCACCGTCACGCTGGCCAGCGAGAACCGGTGCTGCCGGCACCGCTCGCAGTTCAGCACCGTCATGCAGCCCACCTCGCTGCTCTCCATCAGCTCCAGCGACCTTTCCAGCGGCACCGCCGACCCTTCCAGCTGCTCGACCCGCATCAGCACCCGCAGCGCCGACAGCGTGCAGCTGCAGTTGGTGGCCATGTTCTCCTGATGTCAGTATTATTATCCCGATTGCAACTTACAGCTTCTTCCCTTTTGGTAGTGCCGCCGAGAAAGGCCTCACATCATCGCCTCTTAAATGGACGACGATTGACGATTCGGTCTCCGTCCCGCAGCCGTGTCTCGGCACCCGATGCAGCATTTAGTCTGATGAAGCGCGATGTATGCTCACCAGCGCAGGCGAGCATCTCAGACAAGCTCGAGTTGGGCCAACATGGCCAAGGAACCCATCTCGCCCGATGCTGCAGCAGCTGGTGTCTGGGCGTTTTCGCTTGTGCCGGGTGCCCGCGGCGTGCCCGGGCCTGACTGAGCCTCGCCGTCCATTCCACCCGGCCGAGACGCGTGGCCGTGGAGACTGCTGTCTTGCATTGAATAATGAAGCTTCAGTCAACGTGCATCATTCGACTGTCGACCTTACTGCCTTGGTCGTGGTCCGAAACGTGACAATATATTATACTTTACGTAGCTCCATCGGTGTACGTTGGGAACGGGGCCGGCTAGGTAACGTGTCCTCCCACCCCCTAACAATGCCAGTGTAGAGTCGAATGACTGGGCCGTCAGATGGTTTGTTACATGGCTTTGAGTATACACGAATGCTTAATGCTTTTGTTTCAGACGAATCACCATGCAATAACCAAGTAATGGTGTGTATGATGGGCTACGGCAGGCTACGGCAGACTATGTTAGGGCACGGTGTAACAGTTTTTAAGGTAACTGTGTTTCGTTGTAAGCGAGGCTATCTCCTACCTACTAAACGAAACCTATCCGCATGCCCGGGTACTCGGTACTACACTAGAACAAGAGGGGGAGCACTTTAGCAAGCCCCGTTGGGACCTACTGCAAGGCCGCATCACATCTGGTTCTGTACATAGCATAGCTCCGTGTTGGTGGCCCCTGCGAGGAGGGACCACCTTCTATTCTTGACAAGACTGTGTTGTTGGTGGCCCCTGCGAGGCCCCATCACTTCTAGTTCTGTGCAGATCTGTGCTGGTGGTCTGAGACGCGAGCCCGTATCGCCCGCCGTACCTAGGCCCCGCGGTTACATGGCTTCTTGTCGATTGGAAGTTGCCCTTCGAGTCTGATCGGTTGAGCGGTTGATGCAGATCTAGAAGGGCCTGTGCCAAAGATACGCTTCAGATGTTCACGCACGCCAGCCAGCCAGATATTGTTCGCGACGGAACTACGTAGTTGTCCAAAGTAGCAACTGGTATATCACTATTTTGTGAAACGTTATTCTAGACGAAATCCAGTTATATCGTAGGAAACGGACTTATGCTGACTCAATGGCCTCCAACCGAGTTTGTTTCAGCAAAATCTCTCCGGCCCGGATGCCCGGGTAGAGGATGGACAAACGGGTACACTAGCCATGTGGTAACCCCTTACCTGTTTCAGTATCCACCCTTGGAATGCACACGGACCGCTACACCTCGGCAAATTTCCCCGCAAGCTCCCTGCTTTCGGCCGGCAACTTGTCGGCGACTTCGACCTCGACCCCGCGTACTACAGCCTCATCGTCGGAGAAAATCTCAAACACATCGCCGTCGTCGACCACGCCGAGGTTGGCGGGGGGAAAGAGCAGGTTGATGCCAAGGTAGATCAGGAACCCGGCGGCACCGCCAAAGAGGAAAGAGAGATCGAAAAGCTTTGCCGCACCAAACGGAACGCTGACGCTCGGGTCGATGGCGCTGACGAAGCCCGGCAGCTGGGGAGCCCATGACACGACCCAGGCGATGATGGTGCGCCAGTTGAAGCCGTGCCAGTAGTGGTAGGCGGCCCCGGGCGCAGGGTCGTACAGCGCGGACAGCTGGACGCGGCGGCGGCGCAGGACCCAGTAGTCGCAGATCTGGATGCCGAGGATGGGCCCGACGATGATGGTGTACGAAGAGACGACGTTGAGGAAGACGGAGGCGCTGGTGAGCAGCTGCCACGGGCACGCGGCTGCCGCGAGCGTGAGGGCGAGCAGGGCGCCGCGGCGGATGTTGATGAAGCGGGGCGCGAGCCCGGCGAGGTCCATGCCGGCGCTGAAGCCGTTTTCGAACGTGTTGACGACCAGCTGGCACGCCATCAGCCCGACGCCGGCGAAGAAAGCACCGGCCCGCGACGTTGCGCTGTAGTCTGCCTCGAGCCAGCGCAGCGCCATCTCGGTCGGGTTCCACACTGGCTGCCCGTAGATGGCCTGCGTTGCTGATGCTGTCACGCAGCCGAGCAGCGGCATCAGCGTGCCGAACAGCAGGATCGAAGTCCACTGCCCCGTCACCTGTGCCCCCGGTGTGCGGGCGAACCGAGTGAAGTCTGGCTGGCTCACTGGTACCTGTTAGCTCGATGCCGCGATACAGCAGATGGATACGCACTCAGTCCTACTGCGATGGATCCTATCACCGTGGTGATGGCTTTGCAGATGCCCCAGCCGATGTTGCTGTTGGGAAGCGGCCCCTGGGACAGGAGCTGGCCGCCGCCGCCGGCGCGGACGACGGCCCAAATCATGATTCCAAGCAGCGTGAAGAACGAGTACGCATTCAACGCCACGAACACCCTGATGGTGGCCTTCCGCTCCAGCCTCGCGCAGAGGAAGGGCACGGAAAGGAGATTGAAGACCAACCAGCCGACGAGCTCCTTGGTCGTCACATTTGCCGAGGCCGTCAACGTGTTGGGCATGCGGTGGAAGGACGGGAAGATGGCGCTGAGCACGGCGGTGACGCAGACGCCGCCCAGGTACGACTGCACGGCAATGCCGACGATGCCGCACAGGATGCGCTGCACCATCGGGATGTACGATCCCCGCATCCCCCACAGGGCGCGCGAGTAGACGGGAAACCCAATGTGCCAGTCGGCGCCGATGAAGCCAACGGCCACGGCCACGGCGGCGATGATCAGCCGCCCGGCGATGATGGCGAGCATGACTTGCCACACCGACAGGCCCAGGGCCACCAGCGAAGACCCAATGGTGAAATTGGTCAGGGAGACGTGCCACGACAGCCAAAATGCCGCGTACGTCCATGCCGTCCACTGCCGTCGTGCTGGTGGCAGCGGTCGGATGTCATCGTTGATCCATTGGTTCGCGGTTTTCGAGTCGTCTTGCTCCAGGCACAGCCGTGCCTTGAAACGGCCGGTCACTGTCGAGGCCCTATACGGGATGTGAGACATCCAATCAGGTGGGTATACACGAGCGGAAGGGTCATACATGTGGGGCGTCAATGCGTGTTCCTTGCAGGCCTTGCACTCAGCCCAGCGTCGGGGGAGAGGCAGTTTTATGTCTTGCCATCGGCTTCCGAGATGCTCCTGCAAACGCCATCTCACAGCCCGCAAAGATACCGGAAGAGGCGGATAGGCAGGAAGATACGGCCAATGGATAACGAGAGAGCAGTGTCACATAGTTTCTTATTGGCAAGATGCCGAGAAGTGACGTCTTTGCGGGCTAACAGCTCACGAGCTGCTTGAAGAGATGGTTTTACTAATCATATCCGCATGGACTACACGGGCCTAAGGTCGATGGCGGCGGGCCAGGCATTGCGCAGTGGAGAGACACTCTTGATCTTCCACCCACTCAGTTTGGCCAACCGCTCCCAGTCCTCGCGAGTCCGCTCTTGCCCGTTTGCCCCCACCATCATGGTGATGTCTCCATACCGCGCAATGCGGCCCGACCGTCCGTCCTGCAACACGGACTCAATCACCACCAACCGGCTCTCGGGCGCCTCGACGATGGCTCTCCGCACGTTGGCCAGGATTCTGACCACGTCCTCGTCCTTCCAGTCGTGCAGGCACCACTTCATCGTGTACACCTTGTACGCCGGCACCTCCTTGGTGAAATCGCCCACGTGGAACTCCTCGACACGGCCGGCCAGGTCCTTGAACTTGCCGTCCGGCGCGGTGAAGAAGGGCCGCACCAGGTCGACGACGCTCTGAAGCTCGAGCACCGCGCCGCTCATCGCCGGGTATGCACGCAGCAGGCTGGCCAGGAAGTCGCCCCCGCCGGCGCCGACGTCGAGGACGGTGGCGGCGCCCAGCTCGGCCCAGTCGTAGTCGGCAATCATGCCGGGGGCCTGGGCGACGGCGCCGCTGCCCAGCGTGCGGTGCAGCTTGGAGACGAGCCCTTTCTCGGCGAAGTAGACGAAGATGCTCTTGGTCGTGTCGTACTCGATCTGCGCCGAGCTGCGCGTCTCGCCCGAGCGGATGGCAGCTGGGATCCCGCGCGCCATGTCGTAGAACTCGTTGCCGTAGAGGTCCGCCCACGTGTGCCACTGCGTCCAGTGGTCTTTTGTGAGGAGCGTCGAGGCGGAATTGTTGGAGTACGTGTCGGTCGCGGCGTCGTGTGCGAAGATGCCGTTGTTGTGCAGCACGCGGAGGATCTGGCGCAGACGGAGGGGCTGGAGGGAGCTCAGGGCGGCCAGCTGTTCGACTGTGCGTGGCCCATCTTTGAGGTGATCGGCTATGTCGTTGGACACGGCTGCCCACAGGCACTTGGTGTCGTAGTAGGCTTGAGACTGTCAGCGGTTGCATGACAAAGCAGAGGCGGGTTACATACCGAGGTAGTGCTCAGCCAACAGCGATACTGGCGACTGCACCAGGCGTTGGGCCCGGTCCAAGAGGTCAACCGTTTGCGAGGCAATCAGGCTGGACTGTTTATTAGGTAGCTTGTTCACGTCCTGCAGACACTCGAGGCGTTCCTGGTTGAGCGGCCCTTCCAGCGCCTCGCATGCCTTGGTCAGGGCAGCCTGGAGTTCCAGGAGAGCTGAGTCTACGGCCATTGTGTGCTTCAGGGCGTGCTCGCTTCCGTCGACGCAGGTTGTCCAGCACCTTTAAGGTCGAGGCCCGAAGAAGGTCCGTCCAGGCGTCGGAAGCCGACCATCCTGCCCAATCAGCGCCGTCAGCTGGCGACATGCTGCTGTCTGCGTCTGCCATTCAGCCACCCCGCTTTGGGGCCTTTTGTCTTGCCTGAAGTGTCCCAGACTCGCCGCTGCTTTGGCTTCTCGTTCCGCATCCCCGCGCTCTGCATCGTTGCATTGCCCCTGCTGTCACCATCGCTATCCCCACGCCGTCCACGATTCCATCAAATGGCCGTATTCACAACACCCTCGTGGCTGCTTCCTGAGAATGAGGCCACGAGGCCCGCCTTCCTGGCGTGGGCCGTCACGGCCATGGCCTGCATGGCCATGTACATCGACACCTTCCAGTCGACCATGGTGAACTTCGGCCTGTCCGACATCATGACCTCGCTGCACATGACCCCTTTCGACATCAACTGGGTCGTCATCGCCTACAACCTCGCCTTTGCCGCCGTGCTTCCCATCTCTGGAGCCATCGCCGACAGGTTTGGACTGCGCGTTGGATTTGTCGTCGGCACCGGCTCCCTTGCGTGGGCGAGCGCCCTCTGTGCGGCTGCACCGAACAAGTACGCCCTCATCGTCGGCCGGGCGTTCTGCGGCCTTGGAGCTGCCCTTGGTGTAAGTGCTACGTGACGATTTGGAGAATGTGGCTGACTGCGAACAGACCGCCACCGGCCCGCCGATTATCAGCCATCTGTTCACCGACGAGAAACAGCGTAACAAGGGGCTCTCGCTGCTCATCATGTGCGGACCCCTTGGGATGGTCTCCGGCATGATCTTCGGCGCCCTGCTCGTTGGTAAGCGTCCATGGTCCTCTGACGTGCAAAGTGTCTGACTCTTCCTCTCCCTCAGAATCTCCCACCGGATGGCCTGCATTGTTCTGGCTAGGTCTTGCCGTGAACAGTGTGCTGTGCATCGTCGGCTTCTTCACCATCCCCATCTTCGCAAAGCCGCCACCCGATCCTTCCAAGAAGTTCGACGCCATTGGCCTGGCCATGTTCGTCTCCGGCCTGCCACTCCTGATCTATGGCGTCGACGATGGCGGCAACCGGGGCTGGACCAGCCCGGAGATCCTGGTGACTCTGATCCTTGGTGGACTGATCGTGCTGGCCTTTCCCATCTACGAGCGCCGCCTCGATAATCCTCTCGTGCCGAAGGAATTCCTGCGAGACCGCAACATGGTGCTCATGCTACTCACCTTCGTCATTTTCGGCGGTGGCTTTTCCACTTGGTTCCTCCTGGTCACCCAGCTGTTTCTAAACTCACTGAAGCTGACGGCGCTGCGCTCCGCGCTGTACCTCCTGGTAAGTCTTTCGCGACGATTCCCCTGGTGAAGGATGTTTCTCATTGACGTTGCCATGAAGCCTGCCGCAGTAGGCTCTATTCTCTCCGGAGGACTAGGTAGCTACTTGAGCACACGTACCTCGGTCAGGATTCAGATCGGGGGTGGCTATATTTGGACAGCCGCTTTCATCATCCCATGGGGTCTGGTGGCTATGGATGTCCCTCGAGCCTACCTGATCTGCTTCGCCATCCTATACCTGTTTGGCAATGCCCCCGCCGTCGTACGCGCCCAGGCAACCACGTTGAGCACCATCCCGGCGGAACAGCACGGCCAGGCAACGGCCATGCTCATGGTCGCGTATCAGGCCGGCAATGCTGTCATGCTTGCTCTGGTCAATGCTGTTGCGAAGGGTTACACCAAAACCCCCGAAACGGCCGAGTCGTTGCTGCAAGGATACAAGGCCGGCTTCTGGACGCTGCTGGCTATCACTGGGGTTGTGGGCCTTACCTTTTGCTGTTTCTACAGGGAGCAGGCAGTGAAGCAGCCGGATACCGAGGTGTGTCTTGCGAATCCGTCAGAGACAGCACTCAAGCCGTCAAGCAAGGAGTCCTCGTCTGGCTACGCATCTGTCACAGATCATACCCCTCAAAGCTCCTGAGTGTCAAAGTCCTTCCGATTGAGGCCTCTTCGAAGGTGTTTGGCTTTGCATTGCGGTAAATGGACACATCGACGGATCTTCTCTTTAGGCGGGCAATCACCCAGCAGAACATGCGTTATGACAGATATTTGGTTCACGTGTGAGGGGTTTAATTTGACGGCCAAGTGGCAAGGGAAACAATCTTTTACTCAGGTTATGGGCAGGGGCATTACAGGACCTTTTAATGCCGGAAAACCTTCTGACATCGGTCGAGCGTCTTTTCAATTTTCTCGTTTATTCGTACAATATCTGCTCTATTACGAGCACCCATAGCTGTTTTGCAAAAGTTACACTCATTTGTCTTCTCTACACACGCCTTCAGACATTTCCATAGTGTTTTCATATTGAAATGCGTACACGACTTGTGACCGGAGGTACAACGAGGTGCACCCGATTAGCTGAGGACAGACGATGAGCCACCGTGACCACAACAGTACTATGCTCTCCAGATCATATTTCACCATTTACAACGCTGAGATGAGGCCTTGGTGGTCCAAATGCTCACGGATAACGCAGTTAAAATTTGTTTGGAGGTTACTTGGAGGCAACAATCTACCAATGAGCCGAGCCCGTCCAGCGCAATCATGAATATGGAAATGGCAAAAATAGTATGATTTCGTTTCGTTTCCCATTTAAGAGTAGCTAAAGACCAAGGAGTCCGAAATGTATTGCTGCGTCGGTGACGCTGTCGTATCCGCACTCCGCAGCCAACAAGCCCCATCTGAAGAGTGCCACATCTACAGCCTGACTTCCACTTGCCGTGCTAATGCCCTCCGAAAACCAAACACCGAACCTCGATACTTTCTCTACGAGGAGCGTCCGGCTTCGTCTCCGGATGTTCAAACGCACAGTGCGGGCAGACTGCGAGTGGATGATCAGCAACACTCTCTTCACTTCGAAACCTGGAAACAAGGAACACAAACGTTTCGCCGGCACATCGGGCTTGCTATCGTAAATTTTGATCAGCAAAGCCTCGTCGGGCCGCTGGCCGCCTAAATAGTACCACTTCTGGCCGGGGCCGTGGCTGATGTTGTACGTGGAGCCGAGCTCCTCCCATTGGTGCTTCCACAGGTCTGTGGCATGGAGGTTGGCGTCTTCCAGCGACTTTCCATCCATGGTCGCCAGCGGCCAGTCTTCAACCGGTCCGTTGATGGGGCGCCATACGCTGGTGGTGGACGTTTTAGCAGGCTACTTCCAACGCGATGGGGGTTCTTACTTGATTATGCGGAACCGGCCTTTGAGGAGTTCCTCTGCTTCCTCGCCACCATACTGTCGAGCTCTGCGGATTGCGCCTTTGGGTGTCCTACGTGGCTGTTAGAACTCCAACGACACAGCTAAAGCCGCCAAAGAAAAACTTACTGGTCACAGTGCACCTGCATCCGGAAGTAGACATTAGCAGAGATCGAAAATGAAGGGCTTGGATTCGCCGGAGCAACCCACCGTCTTTCCCGGTTGCTGCTTTCCAGGCCTGCCAAAAAAGCCCTCGGCGGGATCCCGCTTCCGGATGGAGTGGTTGAAGATGACGACCTTGTCGGCACCCGTTTTGCGCTTGACCATGGCTTCCACCGCGGCGTAGTAGTCCCGCTCGATGGTCTCGGTCTTGATGTCACGGATTGCTTGAAGCAGCTCCGGCCGGCCGCCCTCCGGGTCATCGACGAAGGCGAATGCATGATCGTCCAGGGTGAAGTCGTCCTTGCGGGACCGACAGTCTGCCACCTGAACCTTGTAGGGCGTCCAGTCGTAGTTCTTGACCTCGAAGCCCGGGTCGGGGTCGGTGCGGTAGTATGGAGCTTCCTTCTTGTCTTGCCATGGCTCAATGTAGAGCATTTCCGTCTCGTACTTCGGCAGGGAGTCCATGATTGAGATTGGTATGGTGTAGTGTCCAAGACAGATCAAGAGCGTATGAGGGTCTAATTTACTATTGACCAGAGCATGAAACGATGTTGCATATATAGCATGTCAGTGCCTGTCGGCGTCCGAGCACGTGGCGGTGCGTAGAAGTGGGTCCGTGCCTCGTCGACAGTACATGAGACAGCGCCAGAGGAAATTGTGCAGAACCAGGGGAAAGAAGAGAATGGATCCTTCCAGAGAGCTGCTTGAAGAAATTGAACATATCAGCATGTTGGCAGTACTGCGGCGCGCCTCCGTGTTGACCATGGCCAATTTTCGGTTCCCGATCCCGAAAGCACTGACTCGTGCCTGCTTCCCCATAAAACGCGGCAGCCGCTACGTACTTGATCTTGAGTTCCTTTGCCACCTCTCAGAACTCCCCGCGCTTCTTCAAAGGAGACAGTTTCAGCGATGAGCGTACCCATGGAGGCCTCTCCGTGGCTGGAAAACACGACGCGGACGGATGCAGTCCACTTTCCCCCGCCTGGCGATGGCGGCAGTCTTGGATTGTTTGGGTCTTTCCGCCCTTCCACCGTTCTTTTCTCTCTGATCTTTCTTTTCCTCCTCGGCATAGGTCCCTTCTACGATTTCGTCGAGCGGCGAGGGAGCAAGCACATCATCCTCGGCGACTGCGGATGGTGGCTTCGGCGGACGATGATGACCAAGTTCAATCTGGACCCGAACAACGTCGTTTTCGACGGGTACAACAACGTACGCTTGGAGATCCGTGGGACACGAATTGTGCTTACGCAGGCCGCGGCCATAGTATACGAAGGAGAAGAAAATCTGGGCAACTTGGATCAACGATGAGCTCATCCACATTCTGCCGCCGGCTTTCTTCGACGACATCAAGAATCAACCTCTACAGAAGCTATCATTTCTCAAAGTCGTCGACGAGGTGGGTGTTCTTGCAGAGCCACGTGGCGCGGAGGAGCTGACGCCAGCCAGCATTTCATGTGGAACCTCCACGTCGGCGACATGGTCTGTCAGCGCGACTACGTGAAGGCGGTCAAGTCCCAGCTCAACTTCAGCCTTCGTAAGTGACGCCTGCTCGTACATAAGACTCGAAGCATCGAACTGACAGAGGTGCGTAGCGAGCATGACAAACTACATTGCCGACCAGACCGACCTCGCCATTGCCGAGCGCATCGCGCCGCCCGAAAACTCGCGGGGTGAGCAGCCACCACCATCTTCCCCCACCCTCAAACCAAGCACATGACTGAACCGCAACGCCAGGATGGAGGACCGTCATGCTCTGGGACGCCACGCTGGACATCATCCACCGCGTGACGGCTGCAGTCATGGTTGGTGCCGAGCTGGCTGCGGACCCCGAGTACATCCACCACGCGCGGGGCTACACGGAAGCAGTGACGGCCTGGAACGCGCCTCTCTTCGCGATGCCTTCCTTCCTGCGCACGCCGTTCTTCTGGGTTTCCAGCGGCGGGCGCACGATCCGCATGCACCAGCGCGAAGTCCGGAGGTTCGTGTACCCGGAGCTCAGGAAGCGGCAGGCGGGTGACTACTCGAGCGAGAACTTCGCCATGCTGGACGGCCTCTTGAAGAGCGCAAAGGACAGCACGGAGAAGTCGTACGCGCGGATCGTCGACCAGGAGCTGTTCTTGACCTTCGCGGCGGCCGGCCTGTTCTCCGTCGTCGTGTGTCAGCTCATCTTGTCGGTCCTCGGCCACCCGGGATACCTCGAGCCGCTGAGGGAAGAGATCGAAGCCGCTGTCAAGGAGTGCGGAGGCTGGAACAAGGACGCGGCTGCCAGGATGCCCAAGCTCGACAGTTTCCTGCGCGAGACTTTGCGACTCAGTCCTCCTACTGCCCGTAGGTCTTTTTCTTTGATATCGCCGATGCGCTCAAAACGAGCTGACGGTCCTCTAGTTACTCTGCAGCGGAAGGTCGATGTGGACATCCCGTTGTCGAACGGCGATGTCATCAAAGCCGGAACGCTCATCGGCTTCCCGACACTGGCAATCCAGAGAGATCCGGAGCACTACGACAGACCCCTGGAATTCGATGGGTATCGCTTTTACGACTCGGAGACAAACACGGTCACAGTCAAGTCTGTGACGCAGAGCCGCACCTATCTGCCGTAAGGACCGCCCAGTCGTTTTGTGGAATCATGCGAGCTGACCAGTTTCAGGTTTGGCTATGGGACTCAAACCTGCCCGGGAAGATTTCTTGCCACGGAGACTTCCAAGATTGTTTTTGCGAAGTTCATTGTCGACTACGAAATGAAGTTCACTCCTAAACGAGTTGGCAAGCCGGTCGATTGGCCGATTGGGGGTCAGATCATGCCGAGCATTGACACCTACGTCTCCTTCAGGCGGCGGAAACACTGATCTGGTTCGTTCCTAAAAGATGCGTCTGCAGATATTTTTGGGTGATCTGTATTACGTACAGCTGGCGTACCAGAGGAACGTGTACTGTGAAGTAGTTTTTTGCTTAGCATTTAAACGCGTACAACGAAAAATTCGCGAGCGAAACGAGCTCAGGCAGGCTCAGGATAGACTGAATCTTTCATTGCGTCTTCACATACAAATTTCGTAGAAACAGCCTGTCTTCACGTGATGTGACATCCCATTCTACTTTACGACGCTTTGCTTGACAGCTCGGTTCCCGAGGACATTCTGGTGTCCAAGCCATATGAGGCAACATAAATAAATGCAGCAGACATTCATCCGCCTCTCTTCTAGGATCAGCAGTCAGCCACAGAGATGGCCGATTTCACAGGAAAATCTCGTCCCAACGGAGAAGTCGTTCTCGGGGACGTCGAGCACGACGGGCGAGTCATACTTTACGTCATCAAAGGTACCTAATCCTCAACGGATCAAGTGGAGAAAGGGATTTGAGAGCACGCTTGGGCTAACGTTGAACGCCATCAGCCGACCAGACATCGTACATCAACTACATCAAGCCATTGATCTTTGCAGAGGAGCTTGGGTTTCCGCACTTGATCTCTGTGATTGACACTCGAGATGAGTGGTTCTACGCCGTCCATCCGGAACGGATGGTTCCATCCTTGAAGGATAAAGACGACGTTACTGGCGAGAAAATCATCGTCTTCGAGGGAACCGCCTGTCTGCAGTACCTGGCGGCCAAGTTTGACCATGCTGGGGAGTGGAGCGGCCGAACCGCGTGGGAAAAGGCCCAAGTCCTCTCATGGACCGCGTTCCAGACTGCTGGCCTCGGGTGAGCTTGAACTGCTACATTCTCATCCATGCCGCACAAGGCCGCTGACGAACAACGCTTCTCGTAGGGCAACTGCCAAGTACTGGCTGTACTTCCTGCGTGGATACCCCACCAGGCAGAACCCTGAGCCCATGCCAAAAACATGTGCAAAGTAGGTTGTCCCAGCACGCTCATGCTGCAGTTGCTGACTCTGGATGACAGGCTTCACGCCAACACACTTAAAGCGTGGCACATGCTGGAAGGCCGGCTGGCTCTGCCTGGGCAGCAATATGTAGCTCTACCAGACCGTCCGACATTGGCAGACCTTTCGTACTTCCCATTCGCGATGCCGTGGATGTTCGGTTTCTTTGGCGTGGACATCAAAGACTGGCCCAACATCGCACGCTGGAGCGAGCTGATGCTCGCACGGCCTGCTATAAAGAGGGTTATGGAGAGGGCGCCCACCATTGGTCACTGAACGACATGTTGCGTGTAGATATTTTGATTTCCTGGGGAGGCAAAACAAAGGGAGCGAAGGGCGAAATCGCATGCCATCAACCATGGCAAATACCATGGGCCCAAAAGTAGATGATGGTCTTGATTGGCCGGGTCTGTTTGCTCAAAGAATTCAAGGCATTTTCTGCACCTACCTGAAAGGGCACATGACTGGCAACACTCAGCCCTCGGTGACCGACTGCTAGTCAGGCTGATGCTACAAGAAGCGGGTCGCGGAAGGAGGCAAGCGGCGACAGCATAGACCAAACGTTGCTCCATCTTCGCCCTCTCTCTTTCCCCCCTCGGATCAACACGACGCCATGGCCCACGACGAGGAGAGTCGGCCGCTCCTGCGAGGAGACGGCGAGCAGGCGAAGCCCAAGGCAGGAGGAGTCGCAGCGGGTTACAAAGCAATGCCGATCTCGTTCCTGGCGTCGTGCGCGATGGCGGCGACGGCGGCATCGACGGTGTACGCGTACGCGCACATCCTGTGCCGGGACGCGTCGCGGTGCGAGGACGCGGAGAAGGCGACGTACGCGTCGGCGGTGGCGGCGGCGACGACGGTGGCCAACGTGTGCGGGCTGGTGGCGGTGGGCATCTACGAGCGGATGCCGACGCGGGCGGGGCTGGGGCTGTGGGTCGGGCTGCGGGCGGCGAGCGTGGTGGTGCTCGCGGCGGGAGGTGAGTGAGACGCAGACGGCGACAGCAATAGTGTGCTGACCAAGCGACCAAACAGTGCTCCGCAAGAGCATCGTCCTGGCTCTGGGCGCGCGCGTGCTCGAGGGGCTGGCCACCGACAACACGCTGCACATGACGCTCAACGCCCTGTACGCCCGGGCGGCCGACCAGCGCGTCGTCGGACGGCTGATGTCGGCGTCGCTCGCGCTGTACATGGCGGGCATGGCCCTCAGCCCGGCGCTGGCGGCGCTGCTGGCCGACTTCCGCGTCTCGTTCGCCGCCGCGCTGGCCGTCTTCGCCGTGGCGGCTGCGTACCTGGCCGTCGTCGGGCGCCTGGACGAGCCCAAAATCAGCAGCGGGAGCAGCAGCGAGAGCACCGGTGAGAGCAGCAGCGGGAGCAGCAGCGACGGTGGGCACCGAGGGGGAGGGATAGTGCGGCCGGCGGTGTACCTGGGGTCGGACGCGGTGCTGGCGGCGCATGGCGGGGCGATGCTGCTGTACAATGCAGGCGTGTCGTACATGTTCCCGGCGCTGATGGTGCACGCGACGCTGCGGTTCGGCTTCTCGGCCAAGCACAACGGGCTGCTGCTGTCGGTGGCGGCGGGGTCGTCAGCGCTGTACCTGGTGGCGGCGGCATGGGCGGCACGGCCCGGACGCAACGCAGCAGCGGCGCTGGTCTCGCTCGCGGTGCTGGCGGCGGCCATGTGCGGGCTGGCGACGGTGCCTGTGGCGTGGGCGCTGTTCCCAGGCGTGGCGTGTGCGGCGCTCGGGCTGGCGGCGCCGTCGTTCGTCAAGGCGCACCTGGTGCAGCGGCGGCCGCACGACTCGCTGGCGGTTGCTGCGCTGTCGGTCGCCGAGGGCGCGGGCAGCCTGGTGTCGGCGCCATTGCTGGGCGGCTGGCAGAGCGCGCACCCGGGCGGCAGCGTGCTGTTCGTCGCGGCCGGGCTGGCGTTGGCGTCGGCAGTGGTGTTTGCCGTGGGCTGTCGGCGTTGATGGCACGGTGGAGGAGAGATGATGGAAGGGTGTGCTTAGTAATCATATTCAATGAAAGAGTATCCGTTTCTTAGAACCTAACTACTACCCACAACCACGCTCAGAACATCGACTTGACCCGGTCCTCGAGCGGCTCCTCGTCGCCCATCTCTGCCGCAACGCGCTCCACGTCGGCCAGCACACGCAGCACGTTCGCGCCCGCCACGCCGCGCACGTCCTCGACCGACACGCCGCGGCGCAGCAGCTCGGCGATCAGGGCCGGGTAGGTGCCGACATGCTCGAGGCCGTCGGGCGCCGGATCGAAGCCCATGCCGTCGAAATCTGCCCCAATGCCGACGTGCCTGAAGCCCACCAGACGGCCCAGGTACACGACGTGGTCGGCCACGTCGGCGAGCGTAGCCCGCGGCCCGCACGTCACGAAGCCCGGCGAGAAGTTGACCATGACGACGCCGCCGTTGTCACGCAGCGCCCGCAGCTCGTCGTCGGCCACGTTCCGCGGGTGGTCGCATAACGCCTGCGCCGCCGAGTGCGTGTACACGACGGGCGCCCGTGACACGGTCAGGGCGTCGCGCTGCGTGGCCGCCGACGTGTGCGACAGGTCGACCATGAGGCCCAGGCGGTTCATCTCGCGCACGGCGTCGCGCCCGGCGGCTGACAGGCCGCCGTGGAGGGGCGTGGGCGGGCTGCAGCTGTCGGCGAAGCGGTTGTGGCAGCTGTGCGTCAGCGTCACGTAGCGCACCCCCAGCGTCCGGAACAGGCGCAGCGCCGATGCGCTGTTGGCCACCTGGTGCAGGCCCTCGACGCCGATGAGGCTGGAGATGGCCTGCGCCTGCCCGTGCCTGAACTGCGCCCACACGTCGGCCGCCGACGAGGCCCGCTGCAGCTGCGACGGGTGCGCGTCCACCAGCCGGTGGATCAGGTCGATCTGCTGCAGCGTCTGGTGCAGCGCCTCGTAGTACGTCGCCGCGTCGTCGACCTCGCCGCCGTCGCGGGGACACTCGACGTAGGCGCTCCAGAACTGGCCGCGCAGCCCGCCCTGCTGCAGCCGCGGGAAGTCGACCTGCCCGACCAGGTCTGCCGTCTCGCTGAAGTTCTTGCCGTAGATGTGGTTGTAGTAGAAGGCCCGGATGTAGATGGGGAAGTCGTTGTGCCCGTCTGCTCCATCAGCCACACGCTTCTCGCCCTCGACTCGGACGGACCTGCACTTACCAATCAACGGCACCGCGTTCAGCACCTGCTTCACCGGATCGTGCCTCTGCGAGAACCGTGTCCATGTCCCGCCCACCGTGGCCAGCCCCGTCAGCAGCAGCGCCGCGAGCACTGTCGTCGCCCTGCCCCGCGCCCTGCCACGCTGTCCGTCCGCAAGCTGCACGTTCCGCTGGTGCTGCTGTTCTGTCTTCTCCATTGTCACTGCCACGACACTCTCTGCCGGATGCTCTGGGCCCTGCTGTCTTTAGTATGACATGTGCTCTCGGCCGCCGATGCATGCAGTGCTCGCTCTCACTCGGTCGCCGACGGAAGGAATCTTCGATTTTGAGGCTATCTACTGCCCTACGCTGCCTGCCCTCTCCTTTTCATCCGCACCTTCGCATCCATGTTGGGCCCGTTCTGCACCTCTATGCACATGTTGGCCGGCCGAGACGTCACCGGTCCATCCCACTCCATGTCGTACTCGTGGAGCAGCTTTGCAAATATGAGCTTCGCCACCCTGACCGCGTAGAAACGGCCCGGGCAGGCGTGGCGGCCGTATCCGAATCTGCCACCCGTTAGCCTTCTGCATTCCGCACCTCTTTGGTCGGCCTCGTCTTACGTGAGGAACGACTTGTCCACCGTGGAAGCGTTGGTCTCCTGCTTCCCCTCTGCGGCGCCGGCGAACCTGAAGCCGCGGAAGGTCAGTGGCTCGTCGTAGTTGTCCGGGTCCCGATGGATGGCGTGGATGGGGAAGGCGAAGCGCGAGCCGACAGGCAGCGTGTAGCCGTCGTGAAAGCGGAAGGGCTCGTCCATGACCGCTCGCGTCACCGACACTGTTTCGCCTCGGTCAGCAAGTCTTGCATGGGCCGCCTTTCGCCGCGCTGCTACTCACCAACGCCGGTGGGGTAGAGCCGCATCGTCTCGCGCATGAAGCTCTCCAGGAGCGGCGTCCGCGACAGGAAGCTGGCCGTGAATCCGCCCGTCTCCTCGAGCGTGGTGGCCATCTCTCGCCTCAGCGGCTCGACGTACTCCGGGCTCGTCAGGATCTGGTACACCATCTGCACCACGAGGCCGCCGGGCGCACTGCTGCCGGCAAACATGAGGTGCATCAGTTGGTGCGCCAGCCGTTGTGGCTTCGATTCCACTGCATCGTCTCCTGCGAGCTCGATCATCCACTTTACCGCGTCGTCGTACTCGCCCATCTGGCTGCGCGTCTGCTCGATTTTGGGCATCAGGTGCTTGGTGCAGCGGGCGAGGTCCGCTCGGTGCTTGACTGCGGCAATCCACGCAATGAGACTTCTCAGCGGGCCCAGAGCCACGCCGTTGATGAGGATTGCGCTGATGAACAGGGAGCGGTTGAAGCTCTGCGACCTCTCGACAAAGTCCTTGTTGCGCGCCAGCTCCTTGCCCAGCAAGATGCGGCAGGTGATGCGGTGCGCCATTGCCGTGAACGTTGGAAATGCTTGAACCGTCTTCCACTCGCTTGCCGCCTCCAGCTCTGTGGACAGAATGTGGTCGCATTCGGCGTTCATCGCTTCCACCAGCGATGCTATCACGTGTCAGACAGGTCGCGTCAACCAGGACGCCAGCACTTACGCAGTTGAGGGTTGAGGTACTGCTTCACCGCATCAGGCATCAAGTTGGAAGAATATACATTCCCTGCCGAGACGTGCACGTTGAAGGCCTCGCTGAAGCACTGGGCAAAGTTGAGGTTGTGCTCGTTTGCCTTGCGGACGTCGTCGAGGTAGCGAGGCGGCATCAGGAGGTAGTCCCTCCCGAAAACCTTTGTGACAAAAGGCTTCCCCAGAGCCTTGTGGAACTGGTTCTCGGCTCAGTATCGGCCCAGAAGTTGAATCAATTCACTCACCTTTCGGTACCCACGCTCGGCCCACTTGTCCATCTCGAAACGCATGGGAACTTGGCCAGGAACGAGCGACCACCATCTCGATTTGCCAACTCTCGGAGCATTGTAAGGCGTTTTGCGGCTTAGGAAAAGGACAACGATGATTGCTGGTAGAATGAATGGCAGAAACCCAGAAAATCTCCGCGTCTCATGAGCCGGCAGTTCGACCAATGTCGTTGCGTTCTGTGCCATGTCCATCTTGAAAGGCGACCTGCAGCTTCAAGATGGCATCCGCATCTTCACGTACCTTTCGTTGAAATAACCTGAACAGCAAGTGGCTTGTCGCGGTCTTACCGGACGGTCGGATACCGACACTTCAAGGATCACGTCGTCTTCACGTGATTGAAAGTATTCTTAAGGACTACTGCATCTGCGAGCCATCTGTATCACCGATTATCTTTACCCCTTGCACGGACCCAGCATCAATGGCAGAAACTGGCGATGCCACCCAGCCCTTCCCTCTTCGGCCCACCCGCGGCTCGTCGACGCCCCACCTTCTCCTGGTATTCTTTCAGCTCTTCTTCCTTTCGTCGCCGTCTTTTGCAGGACGCAGATGGATCGCCATCGGCACGCTCTCAATCCTGGCCATTTGGGCCCAGCTGAGTCCCTGGACCCACAACCCCGGCGCCGCCAACTTCGCCGCATTGGCCTGGCCGCATTGGCTGGCCACCATTGAGAAGTTCCTGAACGACACACCAACACCGGAAGCTGCCCTGTGGCCCGTTGACAAAGATGCCGGGGTTGCACTGAGTTACTTTCCCTTCGGGTTTCGCAAGTTGAAGTGGGCCGTGGCCTTGATTCTCAATCTGCGTGGAATTCGGTACAACTTCCAGGTCAAAAACGTGCAGAAGCCTCGCTTCACCTCCACCCAGCGCCGTGGCGTCATTTTGTTCATCCTTTGGCAGTCTATGGAGCTGGCGTATTTCATGCTCATGGGGGATCTCGTAGCTCAGCTGGGCATGAGGCTCTTCTTCCCGTCGGGGCCTGATCAGCACGGCCGCATCGATATGCAGCTCGACATCCGCGATGCCGATTGGCGAATGAGCTTCCTCAAAGCCCTGGTTTTCGGCTCCGGGCCTTACTTTTTCATCAACATGCAGTACACCCTCGTGTCAATCTTCTTCGTCGCCATCGGCGTATCCAAGCCCGAGGTCAGTTTCTCTGCTGCTTCTGCAACAATCACTCCAGCTACAGTCACGCTGACATGGTCCCACAACCCAGGACTGGCCGCCTCTTTTCGGGCGCCTGGCCGAGGCCACGACCGTCCGCTCCTTCTGGGGTAAATTCTGGCACCAGATGATCCGCAAGGTTGGCCTCCCCTCCCCCCGCCCACCCTCCTCTCTGGCCCTTTCCCAGCTGACGTCAAAAAAACCCCAACAGCCGCTGCAGGGCCTCACCCGCCGCATTGTGGACGTCGTCGGTATCAAGCGCGGCACCAACACGTCCTCCTACATGCAGCTGTGGTTTTCCTTCGCCATCTCGGGCGTCATGCACGCGGCGTCCATGACGCTCATGCCTTGTCCGGCCAGCGTCTCCGAGTGGGACCGGTGGAGCGGGCTGGTGTTTTACTTTCTGTGGCAGGCGGCGGCCATCACGTTCGAAGACTTCGTGCTTTTCGTGTGGCGTAGCGCGTTCGGCGGTGGCGGCGAGAGCCGCACGTGGAAGAGCGTCGTGGGATACGTCTGGGTCACGTGCTCGTTCTGGTTCTCGCTGCCGATGGCTGCCGATGTCATGTTGAAGCTGAGGATGGGCGAGGTGTCGCCGTTTCCGTGGACTCTGTGGGGGCCCCTTGTGGAGATGCTGTTCCCGCAGTAGGCGGCCGGCTTCTTTTCAGAGGCGGGCTGCTGCCGATGGATTTTATCAACGTCTTTTACACTGTCGTAGAAAATCCGGGGGAAAAGTTCGAACTCTAATTTATCTTATTGGTACTTCAAAGTCCATATACGTTACCTTTCACGTGCCATATTCCTCGTCTGTCAGCATGCTGGACTGTGCCACGACGAGTATCCAGCCAAAAGCGGCTCTGCCTCCTATTCATCGGTGACAGCCGAACTGGGGCACCTCAAAGAAGTACTAAAGTGTGGCGAGGCCTCTTTTGATCTAGGGTTTTTTTGCTGAGCGGACTGTTGGGACGTGTTGGTTGCGGAAAATTGTGTGCATTTTTATACAAATTATAACAGAGCTGTACCCGTTCCTCATTCCCGCTTCTCGGTATCCACCACAACGAAAGAAGAGACAATCAGCTTACACGAGCGATATGAGTCACAAAGATAGTTGACGTATGTTCAACTAGCACATGACCAATGTTGCCATTGCTGAGAACAGCACATTAATCCTGCCGGCCTTCCCGAGCGGCTTCACCGCCTATGACAAACAAGCTTCATGTCGGGATGAGTGATCCACTCATCCGGGTTCACGGAGTAATCGCCGTTTGCATCCTCGGGTCGCAGTTCCATCCGGTGGTCCTTGAGCAGAGCAGCCACGATGCTGCGAACCATGCGGTCCGCAACGAATTTGCCCATGCACTGACGTGGGCCGAAGCCATAGCGCCACATGTTGTATCGCACCTGATATCGTGTGAGCATACTCTAGAAATGCGACTCGGGTTAGGTGGAGGACTAACCTGCGGTGGCTTGAGACCCAAGAAGCGCTCCGGTTTGTACTTGGTGCTGTCGGCTCCCCAGAAGGGGTTGCGGATGTTGAGCCCGTACGTGTCAACGATGACCATGGTCTGCTGGTCGTCAGTGTATTGTGGGGAATTGGCGGGCTTCGGTCAACTCACGCGTCCGGGAATGATCCACTCGCCGACTTTGCGGTCAGTTGGGGGAGCCTGAGGGATGGAGAATGCTACAAAAGTCAACACAGAACGTAGGCAGATGATTCTCAAATGAACTCACGGGCAACAGGCCGCAGGCGGGAAGCCTCGCTGATGCAGGCGGCAAGGAAGGTGTCGTTTCGAGAGATGTATGTGTCCCAAGATGCATCGTCCGGCCCGACTTCCTTTTCGATTTCCTCCAGAAGTCTGGCTTGGTCTTTCGGCGAGGAGGCGAGATGGATGAAGTTCCACGAGATTGCACCGGTCGTAACGTCGAGATTCGCAAAGAGGGACTCGTCCAACGTTTGCAGCAGCTGTGACATATCAGAACCACTACCCATGAACCACCAGACTGGAAGCAATCACCTGTGTTTGGTCAATCTTGCCGGCCTTGCTGTCTTCCCACAACTTGGTCAATGGTGTTTCAGCTCCATTGGCCTTCGATCTTTCGTAAATGGTCTCGTTGAAGCGCAGCCACTCCCGTTGAAAATCATTCAGCAGCCTGTTTGCTGTTGTTGGGAGGAAGCGAGACAAGGAGAATCTTGCCATGCCACCCTTGATCACGAACGTAAAAAGTTTCTGGCGCACGGGGGCTATCCTCTTGAGCCACTTGATGTCCTCGGCGTTGAGGTCACCGTACATCAACGTGGCCACGACCAAGAATGGATAAAACTTGACGTCTCTCGCAGGGTCGAAGATTCCGTTTTGGAACTCTCCGCTGTTACGCAGATTTTCCACATAGCGCCGTGTCTGCTTGCGGATGACAGGAGCGTCGTTGGAGATGGCAGAATGGGTGAACGGCACCTCCATCTGGGACCGAAGGCTTTGCCATGCTTTGCCGCTCAGCAATCCCACACACTGACCCAATATCTGGCTCATCAGGTATCCCGAGTCATTGTTCACGGCTTTGAGATGCTGGTCCGAGTCTTTGAAGATCTCTTTCAAGTGCTGTGGATCGGAAATCACACTGGAAGGGGTTTCAGCGGTAATTCCACCACACAAAAGGTCCGCCCACTTACACCTCGGACGAAGAGCCGCACCAGATCCGGTAGATGGAGCCGTGTTTCTGTAGCCATTCTTCGGCATTCTGGCGGCCTTGGAGGAACTTTGCAACGTCACCGTTGCCGTTGGGCCAGCGGTATGGGAGCGACGGTAGATTCTTCGTGCCATCCTCACTCTTGATAGGGTATGCCCAATGCAGGTACCACTATGCACCGTCAGCTTATGCGTAGTGGAAGGTTGGGACTGCCTCACGTCAAGGAGACCTGAGAGCAACTCGGTAATTGCGTTCTGGAAAAACGATCGTGTTTTGAGAAAAAGTGCAGTGACGAGAGTGGTGATGCTCAATCCCCACGCCAGCCGTGCCAGTGTCAACGGCTCGGAGCCTACAGTCTCAAGAAACACCATTTTTGCTGGCCGAACGAATCATCACTGGGGGATCGTTCCGGGTCCATCTTCTGAAGCAGTCTTAAATATGGTCTCCGTTTCTCTTCCGTCGATGACTCGAAAGTTCCGTACGTTCCTCTCGGTAACCGAGTCCCCCACGCGGTCATGAGAGATAAGCCGGCTTGCTCCGGCCCATTAGCCCTTTTGTCTCGTGGCGATCAGGGCCAGACTGTGTTCCTGTCCGAAATTATAAGGACTCGTGGTTCCATATCCTATTTCCGTACCAAGCACAGTTGTTGAACTTCTGCCTTTTCCGTCCACAATGGAATCCACGACCCAGGAGTTCCCCGCCGTCAAGTACGGCAACGTCCCATACAATGGGAAACCCATCCTCTACGTTGTCAAAGGTACACCCGCTTCTACGTTTAGTAGACACTGTCACTCTGACCACGTCTTGTAGCCACCAAGACTTCGTACATCAACTACATGAAAGTGTTGATGTTGGCCGAGGAGCTAAACCTGGACTACGAGATCTCGGTGGTTGTAACGAAGGACGAGTGGTATCAGCCGATCCACCCTGAACGTTACGTGCCCACCATCCGCGATAAGGATTCGGAGACAGACCAAGACATCTACGTGTTCGAGAGCACTGCCTGTCTTCAGTATCTCGCGGACATCTATGACAAAGATGGTCTTTGGCACGGGAACACACAGAAGGAGAAGGGTGATATCCTTTCGTGGATAGCGTACCAGACTGCAGGACTTGGGTATCTCTCCTTCCCCCGCCTGTGGCCAATTGCATGTATGAATAGCTGAACGTGAACCAGGGCGACCTCAAAGTACTGGCTCTACTTCTATGCCGTTCATGATGAGAAGCTGCCAAAGGCTATTGACAAGTAAGCCGAGCTCTTAGTCTAGCACCTCGGAGATAGCTAACAGGAAACAGGTTTTACGCGAATGTGTTGAAGCAATGGGACATTTTGGAAAAACGTCTCTCTCAAGAGGGTCAGACCTACATCGCATTAAAGGACCGGCCGACGGTCGCGGACTTGGCATACCTGCCATTTGCCATGCCGTACATGTTCGAGTTCATGAAGGTCAAGATCGAGGACTGGCCCAAAATCAAAGAATGGTCTGACCGCATGCTGAGCCGCCCTGCCGTCAAGAAGATATTGGAATTTGCTCCCACCATAGGTAACTGAGATTATGTACCATGAAGCTGTACCAAGAAGCTGCAGCTGTAGCAAATGATGACCGGCTATCACGTCCATACCTGTCCTCAACTTGAGTGTAACAACAATTTGGCCTTTGGCTTTAGTGCTTCATGTCCACTTTGTAGAGAAGCATCAGTACCTTTAGTGCCTGAATGAGCTTTTTGTCCAGAGAGCATACAAAACAGAATGATCGTCACAAGTCAATAACTGAATCCGTATTGAACTGATGCATTACGGTGACCACGCAATTGAAAATAAAGCCAAATCCCAATGAGAATGTCACTTTTCTCATATATGCCGCTTCTACATCTACTCCCATGCCACGAAAGAGCCATGAAGTTTCGCAGTTGGCGCCAGGCAGCTGGGTCCGTAGATTGCAGCAGTGACGCTTTGAATCTAATGACACACTCAATACTACTGAGATGACTGTGTGGTTCCATATATGAAACATGTATGCTGCGCGACGACTACATGAGTGGATGCCGAGAAGCGTGCAAGACATTGGGGCGGGCCGACGAATCGGCTCCCGACGGCAGTTGTCGAAGTCCGACCACACTCATGCTGCGAACAGCCCTGCCGCCCGGTCATTCACGCCTCAAAAAATCAAAACCATTACTTCCTCTGACGGCACTCCACTCTTTTTTTCCCTATAGTGATGATCTGCCGCTGAAGAGCTTGTGTCATCGTCCCTTCCTTAACCACATTTCGTTCTGAATGCTCTTTCCTTGAACCCGTCACTGATTACATTGGGGCACCATGAGCTCCCTGGCTTTGAGCATAGTCCTCTGGACCTATCCCGTCTCCTTTTGCCTAGTCGCCCTTGTGGCCAACTGCTACGAGGTTCTGTACAAGCCGAACGAACCCGCAGGCAAAGTCAACAGTCGGCGCTTGGCGAAGGCAGACAAGACATTGTTCCTGCTTCATATCAGCCTCGTCATTCTTCTAGTTGGTCACTCGAGATCCTTTATCGTTGTTTTCAAGTGATTGCTGACCGTAGTTCAGGCAGTCAACACCTATTTGGCCGGATATGGGACGCTCAAGGGGGCAAGCGGGCCATTGTTTGCCAACGAGGCGTACCTGGTAGGCGCTCCAAAAACCTACGATAGGGAATGTGGCTGACGATATGGCCTAAAGGGCTCCATGCTCTCTGTACTCTTGGTCTTCTGCAGCACGCTTCTCCCCGACCCGGATATCCCGTACTCGCCGAGTCGACCCAACCTCCAAACATGGGTGCTGAGTACCTCGTACGAAGTAGCCATCCTGCTCATGTGCCTGACCGCACCCTTGGACTCGGATATAAGAAGACAGACCGCGCTGGCCGTGACATGCGAAGCGCTGGGGGCCGCCCGCGTCGTGGTGCTGGGCGCAATGTCTGCGCTCTTCCTGCTCAGTCGACGCAGAGTCGACGACGACGACGAGCGCGAATCACTGCTCAGCCAAGAACAAAGCGTGCAACACTATGGTTCTGCGGCGGCGGCGGCCAACCCTCGTTCGAAGGATGCACAGACAGTATCCGCCTTCGACTACCTGGCCGGATTCCGGGACCTCCTTCCATATCTTTGGTGAGCTTTCTACGGGAAAGATGAGCGCAAACTTCGTATTTACTGACATGCATAGGCCGTCGGACTCACGCCTGCTGCAGGCCCGCGCGGTGTTTTGTTTCGGCCTTCTGGCGGCACAACGCGTCGTCAACATCATGGTACCGCACCAACTGGGCATTGTAGTCGACCACCTCGGAAAGGGCAAGCTACCGCTCAAAGAGATCTCCATGTACGTCATCTACCGCGGACTGCAGGGCCAACAGGGCGTCATCGGCTCGCTGCGGGCCATCCTCTGGATCCCCATCAGCCAGTCCGCCTACCGTCGCCTCACGACTGCCGCATTTGAGCACGTCATGAAGCTCTCGCTGGACTTTCATCTGAGCAAGCGCATTGGCGAAGTCATCAGCGCGCTCAGCAAGGGCAGCGCCATCAACACCTTCCTCGATGGCCTGATCTTCCAGCTCTTCCCCATGGTGTTTGACCTGTTCATCGCGGCTCTGTACTTCTTCATTGCGCTGGATGCCTTCTACGCCATCATCGTCGTCTCGGTCATGTGGTTCTATCTGTTCATCACCATCTACATGGCCAAATACCGCGGACGGGCGAGGCGAGAAGCCGCAACGAGGGACCGCGAAATGGAAGCTGCCAAGTACGTGTGCAGCAGCATTTCCCCTGGGATATTCGAGGCTGACTTGCTGCGCAGGACGGATGCCATCATGTCGTACGAAACCGTGCACCACAACAGCGCTCTTCCCCTCGAGCTTTCCAGATTCCAACGCCTCGTGAAGCGCTTCCAGACGGCCGAGTATTCCGTCTTCTTCTCCCTCAACATGCTGAACGCGGTGCAGAACTTCATCTTCGTGCTCAGCGTCCTGCTGACCTGTCTCCTGGCGGCCTTCCAGATCTCCGAAGGCATGCACAAGGTCGCCATGTTCGTCACAGTGCTCACGTACCTCGCCCAGCTCCAGGCGCCCCTCAACTTCTTCGGAAGCTTCTACACGCAGGTCCAGAACAACATGGTCGACGCCGAGCGTATGCTCGCCCTCGTAAGTGGACCTCAGGAGCACTGGAGCAGCGAGAGCGCGGAGAGATCAAGGGAACTGACACAATCCCAAAATAGTACAAAATCGCGCCATCAGTCGAGGACCGGCCACACGCCCAGCCCATGGACGCATGCGACGGGCGGATCGCGTTCGAGCACGTCGACTTCGCGTACGACAAGCGCAAGCCGGCGCTGGTGGACGTGTCGTTCGAGATCGCGCCGGGCACGACGACGGCGATCGTGGGCGAGAGCGGCAGCGGCAAGTCGACGATCCTGAAGCTGCTGTTCCGGTTCTACGAGATCGACGGCGGCAGCGTCGCCGTCGACGGCGTCGACGTGCGCGACGTCTCCATGGCCACGCTGCGCACCCACTTCGGCGTCGTGCCGCAGGACACGATCCTCTTCAACGAGAGCATCCGGTACAACCTCACGTACTCGAAGCCCGACGCCTCGTTCGAGGAGGTGCAGGAGGCGTGCAGGGTCGCGAGCATCCATGACAAGATTATGAACTTCCCGGATGGGTATGACACTGGCGTCGGCGAGCGAGGGCTCCGGCTTTCTGGTGGCGAGAAGCAGCGGGTAAGTGGAGTTGACGGCACGGAGATGCACTGGAACCACATCTGACAAAAAGACTGTACTGGTAGATTGCTATTGCGCGCGCGGTGCTCAAGCGCCCGCAGATCATGCTGCTGGACGAGGCGACGGCATCGCTGGACTCGCAGACGGAGCGTTTGATCCAGGACGCCTTGAAGAGCGCGTGCAAGGGACGGACGACCATCGCCATCGCGTGAGTGTTTTATTTTACCTCTCGTGCGGAGACGACGACTGATTTCATTTTTTTCTTTCTGCTACAGGCATCGGCTGTCAACAATCACCGAAGCGGATCAAATCATCGTCATGCATCAAGGCCGCATTGTGGAGAGGGGAACGCATGAGGAGTTGCTTGAACTCAGGGGCAGATACAGCTCGATGTGGGAGAAGCAGACAAAGGCCGCTCCGGCTTCAGAGGAGAGCAAGAAGGAGTTATAAAGAGGGGAGGAGGTCCTTGTATCACAAGGATTGCGAGTTGTATTGTCCGGCGTTGTGGTTCGCGCTCTATTAGACCTCCTTTGCTTTATTTTTATCGCGCTTGAAAAAAGGTACGACGCTGCACATGTTTTTAGTGCTAGCTAAGGCCTTATATCGTCTGATAATTTTATACAATTCAGTCACGCTGAGATTAAACGGAAGCGACATGTATTGGCATCAAATAAAATTATGTGTGTACTGGCAATCTATCCATAGAGCGGTGGTGGTGACATCTTTTAAGTGGCCAATACCAGTCGGGTAGATTTATTTATAAACCATCTGATCCTATCAATATATATACATATAGTACATGGCTGCTGTCCATTCCCGTGGCCCGGCTTAACCCGAGCGTCATAGTGAGTCAGCAGGTAGGATAACGCAATATTCTTCAGCGCCGGGACGAGATTTCAACCAGAAGAAAGTGGAGGAAGATGATGACAGCTTCCCACGGCGGCAGTTAAGAATATGCATAGGACCCCCTAGAGACCAGTTGTGCTGCTAAAAAGTCAAAAATAGTACAGGGTCGGGGTTACAGCCGCCGCCCTGTCTACCGGCACTCTTGAAGCCATGACATGCCTAAAAATTTTGTTTCTGTCTCAGCATACATGAAAGTTCGCCGAGAGAATCCTATGGCATGGGTCGAGAATGAAGGAAGCCCTGCTCGGGCACCGAGCGGACCGCACGGTGTCCGAGAGCATTCCGAGACATCTCCACAAGGTACACCACCGCATACACCACCACTTGACAATGAAATCGGACAAAGGCTTACGGACATGGCTATGATTATGCCTCCGTGTAACAATTTCAAACTCCACAAGAAAAAACCCTCCCTCCACCTTGCGTTAAACCTACGCATGCACAATAGAATAAACGTTTTCTCCCCATCTGAACCGAGCTGCTATGAAAACCCACGTACTCCGACTCCGAGTCCAAGACTGAAATAATAAACATGAAGAGAAATGCAAGCAGAAAAAAAAACCAAAGTCAGGAGTGCAAAACAAACATCACCGCAAAAGCGGGATCAAACGCCCCGTAGATGCTTCACGGCCGTCGCGCGCATCTCCTCCACGTCCGCACCCACAGCCAAACACTGCTGCTGCAGGAGAAGATGCAACCCGCGCAGCAGCTGCTCGTACCGGCACGTCGGATCCAGCAGCCGGTCGACGGCGAGCAGCAGCATCTTCTGGAGGATGGAGACGAGCAGCGCGGGCACGCAGTCGGTGTCGTACTCGAGGCGCACGGAGAGGCGGTCGGCAAAGACGTGCCACTCGAACAAGACGGCGAACTTGGCGCCCTCGGTCCAGACGTGCAGGGGGCGGGCGCCGGCGACGGGGAAGACCGGGGACGACGAGCGGGCGGCGGCGGCGGAGCGGTCGTCGTGGAAGGTGACGACGCAGTCGAAGAGCTGCTGGCGGTGCGAAGGGAAGGGCAGGCCGAGGTGCTGCAGCAGGCGCGGCCACGGCATGGCGTGGGCCAGCGAGCTCTGCGACGCGCACTGCACGCCGCGCAGCACGTCCGTCGACGTCGATGCCAGCGGGTCCGCCGCCCGCACGCGCACGGGGAGCGGCTGCAGGAAGAGGCCGACGACGGACTGGTCGTCGACCGAGGTGCGGTTGACGTACGGGCTGCCCAGGACCACGTCGTTGCGGCCGCACAGGGCGTGCAGCACCACGCCCGTGGCGGCGAGACCGAACTGGTGGAGCGTCAGCCCGCTGGTGGCGGTGAGGGCGAGGATGCCGTGGTAGAGGTCGGCGGGGACGGCGAGCAGCTGCGACGTGCCGCGGTACAGCTTCCTGGCCGGCACGTCGTCGTCGTCATCCGGGCGCCGCAGCTGGAGGCCGTGCAGGTTTGCGGACCAGAAGAAGGCGCTCTCCAGCTCCGTCGGCTGGCTCCACGCCGTGGTGTCGAAGTACTCGCGCTGCACCGGCCCCAGCTCGCCGCCGTTGTACAGCGTCGCCACCTCGGCCAGCACCGTCTGCAGCGCCGTGAGGTCGCAGACGATGTGCGAGACGCTGAGGGCCACGATCGACGGCGACAGCGCCACCCGCACGAGCGGGCCGTGGGCGAGGTCGAAGGGCTGGTTGACAAAGGCCTTGACGTCCACGGACTCGACCACCTGCACCGTGATGGGCTCGTCGGCGATGGCCCGCTCCACGCCCCGGGAGCCGGCGCCCACCACGAAGCGCGAGCGGAGGATGCTGTGCCGGTTCAGGGCCGCCTCCAGCGCGGCGGCGAGCCGCAGCCGGTCCACGCCGGGCTGCAGCTCGGCGGCCCAGGGCACGTTGAAGGCGCACGCCGTCTCGGCGGCCTGGTAGCGATGCCACCACTCGAGCTCGGCGGGCGAGAGCCTGGTGCGTCCCAGCGGCAGCTGGGCCCGCGACACGCGCTGCGGCGCCGCCTCCCGGCCCCGCACGCGCCTCTCGACGAGAGCAGCCAGGTCGGCGAGCGTGGGCGCGTTGATGACGTCCTTGACCGAGAGAGGGATCTTGCACACGCTGCGCAGGCGCGCCGCGAGGCCGAGCTGGAGCACCGAGTGGCCACCGAGGGCAGTGAAGCAATCGTCGGGTGCCACGGCGGCGGCAGCGTCCAGGCCCAGCAGCAGCCGCCACTCTTGCGCCAGCAGCGCCTCGAAGCGCGTGAGGCCCGCCGCCGGCTTCGTCGCCTGGCCGCACGGCGGCTCGAAGGCGGCAGCCTGCAGGGCGAGGGCGCGGGCGTCGAGCTTCCCGTTGCGCGACAGCGGCAGGCGCTGCACGGCGGCGATGTGCTTGGGCTGGGCGTGCTGGGGCAGGGCGCGACGCAGCCGGCGGGCCAGCTCGGTCGTGTCGACGGCCTCGGGCTCGACCCAGAGCACCAGCCTGCCGCCGTGCTCGGTCGCCACAGCGCGGGTCACGGCGGGCATGGCGTGTGCGGCCACGGCGCCCACGTCGTCTAGGTTCACGCGGAAGCCGCGCATCTTGATCTGGCGGTCGCGCCGGCCGCACACGTTCACGTTGCCGCGCGCGTCCCAGAAGCCCAGGTCGCCGGTGCGGTACATGCGTTCTGCTGGTGTGCGGTTGAACGGGTCGGGCACGAAGTCGCGGGCTGTCTGGGCGGGCATGTTGATGTAGCCACGGCTGACTTGGACGCCGGCGATGAAGATGTTGCCAATTACGCCAGGCGGTGCCAGCTCCAGCGCGTCGTCCAGAACGTATAGCCGCGTCGACGGGACGGGCGGGCCGACGCTGACGGGGCTGCCTGCGTGAAGCCTCGACTGGCAGGCTCCTATCGTTCCCTGTGCAATTGAGTCAGTGAGCATCCTCTCGGCTGGGATGGCAGTGGTGGCAGCGTACTTCTGTGGGCCCATACAAATTGTACAGCCTCCGGCCGGGCGCCCACTTGTCAGCCGTTTGCTGCTGGACGGGCTCGCCGGCGAAATAGACCTGCAGCAGAGTCAGCGCTGGCATGATGGAACGAAACGAAGGGGACGTACGCATGTCAGGTTCGGGTAGTCGGCCGGGTCCAGCCCGGCGGCGACAGACGGCGTCATCATGGCGACGTCGACATGTCCAAGGTGCGAGAAAGGGTTGTCGGGCTCGGTCCTCAGCACGAGCGTGGCGCCGTAGCAGAGCGAGGCGAAGACCTCGTGCACGCAGCCGTCAAAGCCCGGCGACAGGAACTGCGCGATGCGCACGCCTGGCCCGCTGTTGAGCCGCACCTCCGGGTCCGCGTGGAAGGCGACGACGCCGCCGTGTTCGCAGACGACACCTGCGAGGCATGATGGTCAGTGGTGGTGGTGGTTCGGTTCGGGTCGGGCAGAAACTCACCCTTTGGCTTGCCGGTCGAGCCCGAGGTGAAGCAGACGAAGGCTGCGTCTCTGGCACTCTGCAGCCGCGGCGCAGACGGCGAAGGCTGCACGCCGCTGGCGAGAATCTGGTCAATGGCCAGGGCCACGGGGCCACCGGGCATGGGGTCCTGCAGCTGGGCGCTCTCAGTGCACAGCAACAGCGTGGCGCCGCTGCTCCAGAGCAGCTCAGCGCGGTACTCGGGTGCATGCGAGGCGTCCAGCGGGCAGTAGACGGCGCCGGCCTTGAGGGCGGCGCAGACGCCCACGATCCAGTTGATGGAGCGATCGGCCACGACGCAGACGACGTCGCCAGGCCGGACGAGCTTCTCCGCCACGCCCGCCACCCGCGATGCGCACGCCATCAGCTCCGCGTACGTCAGCTTGGCCGCGCCCCGCTCGACTGCGACGGCGCCCGCGTTGGCCCGGGCCGCCTTTTCGACCAGGCTGGTGACCGTCTCGCCCAACTCGCCGACGTACGTTGGCGGCGACCCGTGGTTGCCGCAGGAGAGCACCATCCGCGACAGCTCCCGGCCCAGGCGACGCCTCAGGCACTGGCCCACGCTGAGCTCCGGCTGGGTCAGCGCCTGCAGCAGGTTGCGGTAGACGGCTGCCATGTGCCGCACGTGGTCGTCGGCGAAGGCGTCGCGGCGGTACAAGAACCTGACCCGCCCGTCGCCCTCGACCAGTACGTTGAGCGGCAACCCCGGACATTCCTTGACCACGGGCGGCCGCAGCGGCTCGACGGACGCGCGCTCCAGCGCAGGCGCGTCGAACTGGATGGCGAGGGCCGAGCAGAAGGCCAGCGGCTCGCCCTTGCGCTCCGCGGCTTGGAATCTGGACAGCGCCTGCACGGTGCGGTACATGTGCTGCACGAACCCGGCCGACGGTCCGTCCCGGTCGACCGACACGCGCAGCGGCTGCGTGGTGATCAGGGGGCCGATGATGGTGTCGGCCCCGTCGAACCCCAGGCTTCGTGCTGACACCACGGCCCCAAACGCCACCGTATCCGCGTTCGCGTAGCTGGCCAGCACAAGCGCCCATGCCGCGTAGTGCACTGCTGCCGGCGTGGTCTGCGAGGCTCGGGCGTACTTGGTCAGCCCCGCGACGTCGATGCCCGTCTGTATCGAGTGTTCAGCATGCACAGCGCCACTGTCAGGGCTGGGTGCCGAAGGCGGCTTGGGGAGCAGCATCTCGCCGGCGGCGTCGGGGAAGGCCCTTTCCTGCTGCCGCCAGAACATGTCTGCCTCCATGGCTGTCCGCGTCGAGAGTGCCTGGAGGCTCTCGACCGCGGCGGGGAAGGGCGGCGACGGCTCGAACGGGCGGCCGTCCAGGGCGGCGGCTACCTTGTTCAGGATCAACGACGCTGAGAATCCATCGATCAGAGCGTGGTGGATGGAGAAGATCAGCATGCTCTCGTTGCAGGGTAGGTCGGCACCCTGGCAGTGCAGGACAGTGAAGCAGGCACCCAGCCCAGCGGCCCCAGCCGCCTCGTCCCATCTCTGCTCAATGTCTTGCTGCGAGACTACGTCGTGCTCGCTCCACAGGAACGGCGCCTCGTCGACAATCCGCTGGGTCTGCGTGTCCAAGTCCAGTTCGGTGCGAAAGATGGGTTCTGCTGCTACAACAGTCTGCCACGCAGCTTGCAGCCGCCGAATGTTGCGCGTGTGGTACACCGACACGTGCTGAACAACGTTTGCCTTCCTGTGCTGCACGCTGTCGTATATGAGCACTTTCTGCAACGTTGTCAGGGGGCTCTCGCGTATGTTGCGGCTTGGGCTGGCGCACTCTATCGACAGGCCCTGCGTGCTGTGGAGCAGACTGCTGATTGAGGGCGCCGCGAGCATGTCTCCGACGCGAACGGCAAATCCCAGTCTCCGGCAGTGCGATGATAGCATGACGGCCGCGAGCGAGTGGAGGCCTTGGCTGACAAACGGCTGATCGACATCGATGGTCGAAACCGGGACGTCGAGTATGCGGGCCATCCCGCTGACAATGGCAGACTTGAGGTCTTTGCAATCCCCCGCATCGCCCTCAGCGCTTGGTACCATGGCTTCCAGCATTCGGGCTAGCTTTCGCGGGTCCGTCTTGCCATTCGGCGTTGTCGGGAGAGAGTCCAGCCCTACTATGTGGTCGGGTACAAGATAGGCCGGCGACCTGGCCATCCACCTCATCCTCAAATTCTTCGCGTCATCAACCGGTGGTGACACGGCTGTGCAGAGCTTCTTTCCAATCATGACCGAATGCACCGCCTTGAGGCTGGGCTCCATGGCCAGGAGTGCCGCGTCCACGTCAAGCTCAAGATTCACCAGGAACCCCTTGACTTTGACCATGCGATCGCGCCGTCCGCAGAACTCAATGACCCTCGACCCTTGCCCGCTGACGCTCCATCTCACCAGATCCCCTGTCCGGTACGCGCGTCTGCCATTGTGGATGATGAATTTCTCGTCCGTCCGCCGCTCGTCGCGCCAGTATCCCCTTGCCAGCCCGGTGCCCGAGATAAGAAGCTCCCCTTCTTCGTCAAGGGCGTCGATGTCGTCGCCTCTGTCGTCCACGATTGTGACCCTGGCGCCATCGATAGCGGTTCCCAGCATCGTTGGCCTAAACTCTCCGCTTTCGGGACATCTTTGCACAATCCCGCTCAGGGTTGCACAGGTCGCTTCCGTGGGTCCGTATGCGATCCATATAGGCCTCTTCAAGACATCCCAACACTCCAAGAGCCGCTTCGATGCCGTCTCTCCTCCCAGAACCATCCTGTCGAGGTGAGGATAGTCTTGTTGTGTCACGGGCGGCTCCAAAGCCTCGAGGATGGATGGCGTCGCGACGATGACGCTGCACTGGCGACTCTTCTCTTGCAAGTTGTTCCGGTTTGCCAGGACGACGGTCCCGCCGTTGCAAAGGGTGCTGAATAATGTTCCCATGCAAGCTGGCTCCCGTCAGCTCTACTCAAACGACGGACTGAACGAACACGTACCGTCAAAAGCCACGGAAAGGACGAGCAGCACTCGGTCCTCGGGCGTCACATCGTAATTGAATCGTGGCGTCGTGACGAACTTCGCCAATGATTCCTGCCTGATCTCGACGCCTTTGGGTTCGCCGGTCGTGCCCGAGGTGAAGATGATGGTCGCCACGTCCGGAAGTGGGACCGCCTCTTCTCTGTCGTCGCTCGGGTCTTGGTCTGCCACCTCCTCCACACTTACCAATGTAGTGTCCGGAATATCCATGGGCCTGCCCGTGTAGACGGCGAGCCCGGTGCTGGTCCGGCCCAGCACATTGTCAATCCGTTCCCTTGGCCATTGGTCGCGGTCTATCGGCACGTAGATCCCTCCCGTCTTCAGGATAGCCAGCACGCCAACCACCATGTGCAGGCAGGAGCTTGTGAGTATCGGGATCACCTGTGACGGCCTCGCTCCAGCCTTCTGTAGCCGGCGGGCCAGGGCGGATGAGCGCTGGTCCAAAGCGCGATATGTGAGCGTCTCAAGGCCATCCTGCACGGCGATGTTGTTGGGGTAGCGCTGGCAGATGTTCTGGAAGAGTGCAAGCACTGATGGGAAAAGCTTGCGGGTCATGGCGAAGGTTTGCGATTGGTGAAGTGTATTCCAGCAGCTGCACATCACCGCATGCACTATTTAACGCAGGGTCAGAAAAACGGCCAGTTCCCAATCGCCCTGACTTCTAAATTTAGGAAGAGGTCCAACGCGTACAGCGCGTTTCTCACGTCGGTTACCGACCCGGCTCCGAAGGGCGTGCCTTGATTCGGCCGGGAGATAAAAAAGTGTCAGATCACTCGCTTCCTGCCTGTCTCGTGCTCATAGCTTCGGAAGCTCCACGATCCTGTTCCGGCCACGACCAGCCCCGCCTGCCACCATGGCTCTTTCCGAGAGGATGCGCGACACTGTCGAAAGTATAGTGCCCAAGATCGCCACTCAGGTTGCCCAGCGGAGCTCCAGCAATCCGCCCGTCGACCTTGGCACAGCGGAGAACTGGTTGATCAGATCCGAGCTGGTGGACTTTTTCAAAGATGCCATCAGCAAAAACCTCGTGGAGCAAGTAAGCAGCCAGCCGTTTCTGTTTCATCCCCAACGGAACGTTATTTTGACAGCCCACGGCAGGATCTATCCTATCAAAAGGGATTCGCGGGGGATCCCAATGTCATAGCAGCATTGGCAGATACCTTCAACAGGTTGTTCTCTCCCAGAATTCCAGTCGAGCCGTCTCACATAGCGGTCGGGCCGGGCGGGGCAGCCATATTGGAGTCACTACTCATTAATATATGCGATTCGGGGGACGTGATGCTGGTGTTGGCACCATTTTGGAGTAAGTGCTCTAGACACATGGCTTACTGACGTTGCCCGCTGACTCCCCACAGGCGGCTTCCACTTCCAATTCAACGTTGGCCCAAAAGTTGGGATTGTGCCCGTCACCTCGCTGGAGGAGAACGTGTTCAACGAAAACGTCGTGAAGGATTTGGAAGACGCGCTCGCAAAGTCGGAGAAGCAGGTCAAGGGCGTTGTCCTCTGCAATCCACACAACCCTTTGGGCCAGTGCTATACAAAAGGGGCCCTGGAAGCCATCGCCAAATTCTGCGAGAAGCACGACCTTCACCTCATCTCGGATGAGATATATGCCCTCTCGATATACAATTCAGTCGACTTGCCGCACCCCGAGCCGTTCGTCTCCATCTTAAACCTGGATTTCGAGGAGATCAAAGTGAACCCTGCCCGGGCCCACGTCATATGGAGTGTGAGCAAGGATTTTGGCTGCAGCGGATTTCGACTGGTGAGTAGGCCTTCCCAATGACCACAACGATAGTCGCCCTGACATTTTGCGAAGGGTGCACTTGTGAGCCAGGGCAGCCCTGCCATGGCCTGCGGAGTTGCCATGGCTGCCAATACGCAGGTGTCTGGGCTGACAGCAGTCGCTGTCACAGCGCTGTTGTCTGACCCGGCAGTCACTGACAGATTCATCGGCCTGAACAGGAGCAGACTCTCGTCTGCTTACGAGAGTATGGCAACTTTCCTCCGCGCTCACAACATCCGGTACATTCCTGCCAACGCAGGCATCTATGTCTGGGCAAAGCTGTCTAGCAAGGTGACGAATTGGGAGCAGGAGGCAAAATTGACAGAGCTGTTGGCGGAGAAGAAGGTCGCGGTCAGCGCCGGAAAGTCGTACGCAGCCGCCGAGCCGGGCTGGTACCGTCTTTCTTTTGCGCTAAAACCAGAGCAGCTGGAAAGGGGACTTGAGCGATTGGGAGAGGGAATTGAGGCATTCGAGAAGCTTCATGTATGAACACGCGTCTTAGGAAATGAGTGTACCTGGTGTCAAATTCAGAAAATTTTACATAGCCTCGTGCCAAGTGACGACGTGGTCATCCATCCATTCCGTCTCCTCTTCCCCAGATGGGAGCGTGGATGCAGTCGTGATAGGACCACATGAGATAGACAACGAACCGAACTACCTGCGCCGTTCCCGCCGGTGCGTTTCCATCCGGCCTCAGGCTAGCCATTGTCATCTTTTCCACCAGGTACATCACTGGACCCCAGAAAGCGAGGAATAGGTAGGCACCAATCTTCCGCATCAGGTTTCTGGGCGGCTCGTACACAGGGAGATTCTGCAAAAACTGCTGATAGTCATCCGGCAAGTGCGCATCCGCGGCTCCGTCCGTGAGCAACCCCTGGAGGCCTCATTTCAGCATTGTTCGCCCGGAAGAATTATCAGTGAACACTCACCATGTATCTCTGGCTCGGGAAGGCCGGAGGGTCTCGTCTCAAGATGGTGCCGAGCGTCCGAACGGTGAAGGTTGGGCCCGTCATCGCCTCGTCCTCGGCACCCACCGGAACGGCCGGTATGGCAATGTCGGCGTAGGCGATCCCGCCGCCCTCGGACGCGACAAGGTGGATGTACTGCTCGGCCGTGATGAGATACGCAACACCGACCACCTCCCGTGCCTTGACGTCAACTCCGGTTATCGGTCGGATGGACGTGTAGGCCGGCTCCGTGTAGGGCGTGCCCGGTATCTCGGTCGTCAACGTCCATCCCGGGACGAGGGCGCGTGCGGTCTTGATCGGTTTGATGCCACGTGAGTCGATGAACTTGGCGCGGCTCATGTTGGAGCCGTAGGCGAGGTACCAAACGCCCGTGCTCTTCTCCATTTTTGCTGTTGTCGGACAGAAATTGCGGCTCTGCCTGCGTTGGATGTCTGCGGCGTGGCGTCAATGTTATTCTGCAAAGCCAAGACCAATCGGTTTCCGACACAGAAGTTCCTCTGCAACCGTCCTCCATGCCGAAAGGCAATGGCGCTATCAACACTACTTATTAGACAAGAGCCGCTCCTCATGAATTCAGACCGAAATGTTTTCATTTCCAAAATAATTGCTCATTTTGTTGAAATACTAAGGTGAAGAGCCAATCACTCAAAGATTTTCAGACTTCAGTCACGTGTTGCTGCTGGCATGGTTCTCTGTACATACACATGCCAACCTTGCCTATTGGACTGAATCACTGCTTTCTTGTTCCTGCATTCCGTTTCCCTCGATAGGCGTTTCTATATTAAGCCTCGGCGCTGCGGGTGGTCGGCAACCTAGGGAGCCGCACGGGCCGAGAAGCTCGGTATCCGATAGGTACGTGGCCGCCATCAGAAGACTTGGAACATCGATCTTTCATTTAGAGCCGACTGCATGTGTTTCGTGCATTTTGCCCTGGTGGTGATCTTAGTATGCACTGTTACAGAACGGTCCAGTAGGTAGACTCCGCAATCGCTTGTGGGAACGACGGTCCGCACAGCGTATTCGCTGGGTAGGTCAGCCGGCCCGTGCGTCGGCTCGTTCAGAACAGCCCAGTTGATATTCGGAGCAGATAGATAGTCTTAAAGCGCACACTTGGTTCTACAAGTATGTCATAGGGGTTCGTTCAACATGTCTGAGGACTGATGCGAGGAGAGTCTTCGACTACGATGTTGAATGTACCAGTGCTCATGATATCTTGGATCTCCGCGTACTTATGGGAAACGTTTTGACAGGGTGAAGAAAAGAGAAAGACGCAGGAAAGACGAGATTTGAAGTGCATACGTCTTGCAGGTGATGAGCGCAATAGTAAAAAGACAACGATATAATCCTCTAGTATGGTCGCGGATCACCATTCTACGTTGAATGGAATATACTAGACAAGAGGTCCTGCTTAGATAGTACACAAGACACCATTTTCCAATCCTCCCCGGAACAGCAGCCGTAGTTGACATGACAGAATTGTGTTTGAGCAAACTTCAGTTGAAAGGTATTCAGGAGCAGTCATTGAACGTAAATTTAAAAGCTAGCATAGACTATTCCCTTACAGATGCCAAAAGCGCGAGCTTATTTGCCCTGTTGGACTTGCACAGCTGCACCATTTGCAGCAAAGAGACCCATGGAAATACCTCCTGCCACCACCTTGAACGGAGAGGCGCAGTCTCCGGCTGCAAAGACTCCGGGAACATTCGTCTCGTTGAACGGCGGGTTGACCTTGACGTCGAGCCCGGGAGTCAACTCAATCCCAAGCTGCTCTGCCCACGGCCCATTCAACTTGCTCCTCGGCTTGTGAGCGACGAAGCCAAACACCTCCTTCTTGCCATCCTCGAACTCGACCTCAACGTCAGCGCTGTCGGCTGACACTTTCTTAAAGCGAACAATGCGCCTCGAGTCTACCGTCAAGCCCTTCTCCGCGGCTGCGGCCGAGATCTCCTTGGTCAAATCGGCGTTGCCGTGAGTGAGGATGCTCACACTCGTGGAAAGGCGGGCGGCCATGCAGCCCACGGCAATCGAGTGCATCAGGTCCGCCATGTCCTCGACGGCCAGGATGGCGGCCTTGGGCGCGCCACGCTCCTCGTAGCCGTGGCAGAACAAACAGTGGTAGCTGTCGTGATATTGTCAGCTGGTTCCTCGCCGAGTCAAAGCATTCCGGGAAGAAAGGTACATACATTCCACGACCCCAACAGTCATCGTATCCGGCAATGTCGGGGTAGATGTCTTCGGAGCCCGTGGCCAAGACGACCTTCTTGCCCGTGTACCGCTTCCCCGCGTCATCCAGGGCCTCGAAGCCGCCATCGGGCAGCTTGGCGAGCTTGTCGATCTTGGCACGCACTATGCGGGTGGTCTTGTAGCGATCCGTCAGGTCCCTGCGGGCTGCCTCGCGGAAGTCCTCGGGGTTCTTGTGGTCCCACGTCGGGACGTTGTGCATGTGGGCGGCGCGGGCGTTGCGGTAGACGCCCGAGTCGAAGATGATGCACGGGTGCATCAGCCTGCTGAGCGCGGTGGCTGCCGAGAGGCCGGCGGGGCCGCCGCCGATGATGAGGACGTCCGCGTCGTGGGGGGCCATGGCGAGCTGAGCTGGGCGATGCAGGTGGTGGCTGGGTACTGATTTGAACGACGATAGCAAGGCTTGAACGCGTGGTACAATTCTGGACGGGCGAGCAGCAGCGGACATGTAGCAGCAAATCGGATGGTTCTGAGCAAGATGTCTTAATATGCAATCCAGCGTGCAGGGATTGCGAGAAGCGCTCCGCCAATCTCGGTTTCCGAGCGCGCACATATAGACTTCCCGACGATGGTCGGTATGCGCAACGCCATTTTCACCACGACTGCTCAGGATTTGCAACGCCTCTGATTATGGCTGCTGAGGACGATTTTTTCAACCTGCGGCCGGCAGTTCCGGCAGACCTGCCGGAGCTGACGAAGCTGACCGTCAATCCCTTCACCACCGGCGCCCTCGACTCCGCGGGGCTGACCTTCAGCGCGCAGGAGATCTCGACTTACCTAAACTGGCGGCTGCCGCGCCTGTTGATGGATCCGAAATCACTGCTACTCGTGCTTGAATTCCGCCCCATCAACTCATTCAAGAAGGTTCCGGCCCGCCTCGTGGGCTGCGCAGTTCTGCGCCTTGGATCTTCGGCAGCGCGTCCGGCGGATTCCTATCCCACCAGTAAGGTACCCATTGATCAATGGCAGCCTGCTTGCTTTCTAACCTGTTCGCTAGAGTCCAGCCTCCTGCCGCTCTGGTTCAATGCCGCTCTTTCCGACCTTACAGTATGGCCTGATTCCGAAACGGCCGAGGTCCACACCCGATTCGAAGCTGCTCGAGCTGCCATCGAACAGTCGGTCGAGCAGAACGCGACAGCATTGGTATTTTATTATGTCGATTCGGATTTTCAAAGCTGTGGAGTCGGCTCCCGGATGATTTCCGCTGTTCGGAAGAAGGCCGAGGAGCTTGATAAAGGTGACTCTGCATTCAAGGCCGTCTTCCGCGGCGAGGACGTCAGTTTTGGTACAATTTCGGGCCTAAGAGATGTGACCAACGCCGGAAAACTGAAGGTAATGGAAGCGTGCTGAAGCGCGTAGGTCTTCGTGGGGAACGTCCGTGTTGTTAGCATCCAGCAGTCTGTCGGTCTCCGTACTCCGATCTTGTAATGACAGATGGCGAAATATATGAGTAGTCCGGGCTCTTGACTTTCACAAGACTGGCAAAATTCTATCAGTTCATCTTTCACTGAAAATGTCGGTGCTTTCACTGCTGCAGCTGCCGCCCGTGGACGAGCGTGCGGCTATGCCCGGTTTCTTCATTCCCTTGTTCTATCTGGTGCTGATATGCTCTGTCCTCATTTACCCCAAGCTTTTGCGCAAATTCATCATCACGACGGCTGTTTTGTCCTTCCTGTTGCTCAACCTGCATTACACAGGAGGGGTAGACGGAGACTATCAGAACACGACCATGCTCGTCACATCGGCAGTCATGTGGATCGAATTCGGAGTTCTTGGTGATCTCGAACGGGACGTATTCCGGACATGGGAGCAAGACGCGCCACTGGCAGATCGACCGTGGTGGAAAAGGCTAGCATGGAGCTATGACCTGTGGACAACGTGGCGGGGCCCTGGATGGAACTGGCAGTCCAGACGCTCGCCGAAGTTGCCTCCACACATCGTTGATCGACGGTGCGTACCCGAGCTACCAAAAGTAACGGTTTAGTGTAGCTGCTGACAAGACTAGGAGTTTTTTCGTTGACAACGCTAAGCGCGGAGTCTACTGCTGGGTGATGAGCGAGCTCCTGATGTTTTTGCTTGAAGCAACGCCATATACTCGGCTGGAAGGGCGCGAGCCCCTTGAATCCGCGCCGCTCCATATCCAGGTGGCCGTAGCCTGGCTTGCAGCTCTCCACACACAATACAGTATGAGCCTCATGTACCGCATCATCGTATCTTTGCTTGTCCTAGCAAGGGTATGCTCCCCCGTCCAGTGCCCGCCGCTGTTTGGTTCATTCCGGCAAATGTACACTGTGGGAAATCATTGGGGTGTCTGTTGGCAGCACATGATGAGGAAGGTACTCAGTCATACCCCATTCTTTTTTTAAGAGCTCTCACTGACCGCTATATGACTAGGCGATACTGCTTTTCCCCAATCTGGTCGTTTCCTCTTTGGGTATCACTGGACTGGTGGCAAAATACACCCGCGTGTTCCTTTCATTTGCAGCTTCTGGAACCATCCACGCGGCCGGTGCCTACAGTGCGACGCGAGGTTCTCTGGGCGATATGCGATTTTTCATTTCACAGGCATTTGCCATAGTCGCTGAGGACTGTGTAATATATCTCGGCAAGATGGCCGGGCTTCGAAAATCAGGCAAGTGCCGTCCATGTGCATCATTTTTACAATCAGGCACTGACAGGGAAGACTATAGCTTGGACCACCTCGCTGGGCTTCCTGTGGACTTTTCTGTGGTTTAGCTACTGCTTGAGATACTGGATCGGCGAGCTGCTGTGGGCGGGTATGATCGCGTCGGACGGGCAACGGAGTCTTCTCTCTCGACTTTTCGGGAACAGGCATTGGGGTCAGACGTGAGATGGAATGATGGCTACATTGCAAGTCTATTTGACAATTTGATATGCCGGCCCTGCAGCCTGCGCCCTCCCCGCGTCGAGCTGCATCTGCAAACCACCGGCGACAAAGGCGCCCATGGAGACGGCATAGGTGCCAATCTTGAACGGATCTCCGCAGTCGCCTGCCGCGAAGATTCCGGGAACAGAAGTCTCGAAGAATGGAGGGTGTGTCTTGTAGAAACCGAATTCATTGGTCTCCACGCCCAGCTGTGTAGCGAAAGCGCCGTTGTTGAGAGGCAACGGCCTGTGGATGATGAAGCCCTCTGTCACCTTTTCTCCGTCATCAAACACGGCCGAGACCTGCGACTGCACAGCTTCCTTGATGAAGCGGACGATTGGACGCGAGTCGACGCGGAATCCCATGGGTCCTAGGACTTGGCGACACTCGGCAGCCAGCGCTTCGTTGCCGTGCGTGTACACGGTGACGGGTCCTGAAGTGTAACGGCGGCACTGCAGCGCGAGATGCTTGGCAGCCTTGAGGTTGTCGTCGCCACCTGCAGCCAGCACTCCGGCAGATGCACACCCCCGCTCTTCGTAGCCGCGGTGGACCAAGCAGTGAAATCTGAGAAGTCAGCGGAGGCAGCAGCAGAGACATGGACGGGAACACGCACATGCCCTTGGCCCAGCAGTCGCTGTAGCCCTCAACTTCGAGCGGTACATCCTGGATACCCATCGATAGCACCAGCTTGCGGCCTCGCCAGATGCGGCCTTTGGTGTCGGTGGCAGTAAAAGGAAACTCGGCTTCCGGATCGCGGCTGACATTGTCGATGACGACGCCGGTGGCGAACTGGACGGTGCTGTATTTCGAAAGGATGTTCTGGCGGGCAGCGGCGCGGTATTCCTCGGGGTCGCGCCCATCCCAGCCGGGCAAAGTGTGCAGCCAGTTTGCTTTGCGGTTGCGGTATTGGCAGGAGTCGAAAACGACGGCTGTGTGCAGCGACCGCACCAGGCTCAGCGCGGTGCTGAGGCCAGCAAGGCCGCCGCCAATGATGAGAACGTCGAAAGTGTCCGTCATTGCTGATTTGTACACAGATACATCTGCAGCGGCGTGAGCTGGGCTTTTGTGTCTGTCGCGACAATTCTCGGAGAGCGACGACATGGTGCCAAGACCAACCCTCGACAACCAGCATTCACCGCTCGTGCTTCTAAAAGACCGCCTACCACGCTGATCCCGACTACACCAATTCCTTCTCTGCTTGGTAAACTTTGCAAACATGGCTTCCGTCTCGGCAAAGATGCAGTTCATGGCCCCGATGGCCGAGGAGCCCTTCTACCGCTCCCAGCCCGACCAAGGCTTTGATTCTTGCAACTTTTCCTACGCCCCTCAAGACGTGCAAGTCCACGACGCGCGCCCCAACAAAGGCACCTTTGAGCTTGACAAACATGGCTTTGCCTACGCAGACGACCCCGAGGGCGCCGAATACGTCGAGCAGCTCCGCAACAATGAAGATGGCGCCAAGGAGCGCTACTACGCCCATCTCGAACGTCTCCTCAAGAAGCAAACGGGAGCATCACGTGTCGTCATCTTCGATCATACCATGCGTCGTCGAGAGCCCGAACTCGCAGGCAAGAACCCCGACGGGCGCGAGCAACCTGCCGCCTACGTCCACATCGACCAGTGAGTCCCTGTCCCCATCAGTCCCACGTACCGTGTGCCAATCCATACACCAGGGGTCCCGTTGGAGCCGCTCGGCGCATTCACCAGCACATCGGCTACGAAGCAGACAAGCTCCTCAAGGGCCGCGTGCAGATCATCAAGTAAGCATGCCGCCTCCAAGCCCACGCGGCACCATCAACTGACCCCATTCAGCGTGTGGCGGCCTCTGAACGGCCCAGTGAAGGACTGGCCTCTCGCCACAATGGACTTCACTTCGCTCAAGCCGTCCAACATCCATCCCACCAACTTGTACCGCAACCGCTTTGAGCTGCGCGGTCAGTCGTGCAATGTTTCGCACCATCCTGACCAGCGGTGGCATTACCTCGACTCCCAGCGCAACGATGAGGTCACTTTCATCAAGATTTGGGATAACAAGTCTGCCGTGACTGGCAAAAGTAAGTCCGGCTGTACCGCGTTTGCCCTTGGTCAAATCACTGACGTTCCCTAGCCTGTGCGCATTGTGCTTTTGAACATCCGGATACTCCTCCAGATGCCCCGCTTAGGGAGAGTATGGAGGTTCGTTGTATTGTGGCGCACGAGGACGAAGAGCTTGCGTCTACTCTTTGGTGGACTTGATTTGTTGTTCCGTATAGTCGTTCATTTGGGCAGCTTAGTGGTTCTCTTTCTACCATTTATGGCATATATATCTCCATCGCACTTTGGATGAATCAGTGGTTCTTGACCCTCTCCGATCGCTGTGGGGGCGAAAACCTACGACTGTGAAGTTTTTGTATACTTTTTAACACCAGTTAAGGCTGCACTCTGTGACTGTCCAGTTCTTCCGCATTCCAGGTCTCTTAGCGTGTGCACTTCTTCATAACCTCATCTATTAACTTCGCGAGCAAGTGCATGATTACTGCAACTCCAGCCTCAGGGCGTCGTACTGAACATAAACCTGCTGCGGCAGCACCGCGGACTCATAGTCCATCGCGTCCGACGGCAGACGGAACACAATCTCGTTGTCCTTCTCCTTGAGCAAACTCGCCTCGAAAACAAACTTGTTCGCAACGTTGTAGCAGCTGATGGCTGAACGCACGGCGCAGGAGCTGGAATGTTGATATCTGCCACGACAATCAGCTCCGAAAACGCCACCACAACCACTTTGGCAGCTGGGAGGAAAGAAAAGGAAGAGAGAGGGCAAGCAAATACTCACGGAATCACCCAAGGCTCCAACTCTTGCCCGTTGACCGTAACAACAAACGGCAAGTTCGAATACGGCTCGGTGGCATTAAACACGTCCGTATTCCCCGCCGCCGTCTTCGCCCCCGCCAGCTGCACCGTCAACGTCGCGCGCACACTCGCCGCCAACAACCCAGCAGCGCCGTCATCATCTCCCACATCAAACACCACCGTCCAATTGCTGATCGCCGGCGAAAACAGCGTCTCCGTCCTGACCGCGTTCGCCTTGCCCCCGAACGAGCTCCAATGCACGTAGTTCCAATCGGCCACCTCGTCGCTCTCGCCGACGCGGAAGCGCACGCCGTCGGGGAAGTCGGTCGGGAAGTCGTACTTGGCCCAGTAGACGCGGTACTGCTCCGGCTGCAGCGGCTTTGTCGTGTCGACGGCGACGCCGTGGCGGAACTCGCCGGCGGAGCGGTCGGGCGTGCCGATGCGCCAGAGCTCGGTGCCGGCGCTGTCTTCGACGACGGTGGAAAGCGTCGTGGTTGTGGCGCCGTTGGGGTCGATGACGATGCCGTCTTGGATGTGTTGGCCGAAGAGGCCGTCGGCGAGGATGGTGAGGCGGTAGGTGCCGGCTTTGACGCGGGGGATGGTGGCGACGGCGGTGCCGTTGGGGGCGATGGAGAGGTCGGCCCAGTATTGGTAGGCGGTGGTGTTGAGGGCGTTGTCTTGGAAGTCGAGGCCGGTGGCGGTGAGGATGGCGAGGGGCCGGCTCCAGGAGGGGGTGGTGGCGTTGTTGGTGGCGGCGGGGAGGGTGACGATGCCGTGCCAGGTGCCGCGGCCGGAGGTGGGGACGTAGTTGGGGACGTGGGGCGCGATGGAGTCGTAGAAGGGTACGTTCCAGGAAGGGTCGGCGTACTGGAGGGCGTCGGCGCGGAGGTCTTGGAGGGTGCTGCCGGGCGGGCCGCTGTTGAAGTGGTAGTAAAACTGGGTGGAATCTTTTTTAGTATAGGCTCTGGGAGAGCGGATGACTGTGGAATGACTCACGGGACCGAAGGTACGGTCGAATCCGTTCGTGATGTTGGGAGTGCCGTTGCCGTGGTGGTTGGAGGCTGGCTGTGGTGAGTCTCTTGATGACACAGTCAAAGAAGGGGGTCGTACCAATGTAGTTGTAAACGATGCCATCAACGGTCAGATCGGAGTTCTTGGGTCCGTTGAAGTACGTGTCGACGGTGTTCATGACGGTCCAAGCCCCGAAAGTGGCGTTGGTCGCGCTCGTCGAGCCGTCGGAGAACATGCCGTGGACACGGTGGTCCCTCCATTGAGCCTGGAAGGTGTACTTGGTGAAGTAATCCGCCCACTGTTGCACGTACGGATCATCTGGCGTGTTCAAAAGGGACCAAGTGGCGTCCTGGACGACGACCTCGTTTGCGATGGCCTCCTTGGACGGTAGGGGCGCGAAGGTTTTCTCGTTGGTTGAGAGGTGGGTCCACAGCTCGGTATTGGGGCGGAAAAGGGTGCGGAATTCTTGCAGGTTGCGGAGGAAGGGCGTTGTCTCATTGTGGTAGGCAAGACGGCTGAAGGTGTGCAGGCCCGTCTCTCCTTCGCGCAAGAAGTAGTAGAATTCCAGCAGCTGCCCGGTCGCCGGATAGGTTTCGCCCATGACGACTCCGGCATACGGAACACCCTCGGAGTCATTGCCTTGGAAAATTTGGAAGTCAGGGGCTATCGAGCCGGGAGTGTAGAAGCCGCTGGGCGTGCAATAACAGTCGAGGTAGGGGCCGACGCCGGTTAAGCCACTGACGGGGCCGAGTAAATCCTGGTCGTCAAGGGCGAGGTCGACAATGACACCCAAGGATTTGTCCAAGGACAGGTGGAGCCTGTCATTCTCGAGGATGATGTTCGACGACGTCTCGTTGACAGTCAGGATGGCGCCGACTTCCTTGCTCAGTGCCAGAAGCCCGAAGAGGGAGCCGAGCATCCGGCGGAGTCCTGAGGGTGCCATTGCGGAGGATGGACGTCCAGAGGAAGCCTGACTGGGGGTTTACGGAGAGTGCATCCATCTTATACGCTTGGAACAGAGTCATGGCACCTGGTTCCTGCAGATGGCTGTGCGCTTGGCTAATATGGGGACCGGGGCGGCATGTGGAGAAGTCTGGGGGAAGCGGACCTGCATCCCTCTCGGTTAAAGATTGTCCGAGGGGCACGACTCATTTCTCCGCCAGCACCCGCCCGGTCCTCGGCTGAATGGACACGGATGCTGATGCCAAAACAATGATATTCGACATTTTCCAGCGGCGCTGAGGCTACTTCACGTAAAAGACCTCCTCCATGACCTTCCACCACGGACCAGCGGCACTGCCCTTTGCGCCCGGATGAGGGCTCTCCTGCATCTTGTCCGTCATGCTCCACCACTCCTGCACCTTCTTGTTTGCCGACATGCGGGCCATGTCAGCGTCCCAATCGTCGCCCACCCACTTCATCGACGCAACGAGCATCGGCCGGGGTTCGTCGACAAAGAAGATGGAATCTGCGTCCGGAATTGAATGAGCATGCGTCGCAATCAGTCGAATGCGGAGGAGCTCGGGAAACGAAAGACATTGGTGACGTACAGTCGACGATGTTGGAATCCTTGATCTGCTCCAACACTTCGGGCCAGACAGCAGCGTGGCATTTCTTGTATTCCTCCAGGTACTCCGGTCTCAGGTACACTAGCTGGCCAATCCGGCGAGGTTCTTTCGTGGAGGACATTGTGACGTGCGATAGCTTGGGGAGAGGGAGCTATGGCGAGATGAGGGGCTCTTTAGCCTGCAGCCGTGTCGGTGACTCGGTAGGACTAGGCCCGAATCCGGGAAAGCTCTCCCCGCCCTCAACCGAGGTTCACCACGCGTCATGCTCTTTCTTTCAAGGTTTGAACATTCTAATTTGTATAGGGGAAGTGAAAGAGAAGAAATTGACCAAAAATCTGCTCGGAAAACAACATAGTTATATTAGTCCACGTCCCCATATGTGCTAAGCTACATGCAGTACACCAACACAATCGCAAGCATCAACCACCAGCCAGCACCAATCCTAGACCACGCTTGATCGCCCTCACCATATACTTCCCGAAAAACACCTACTCCTCGTCCTCAGGCTCGCAATCCTCCGCCTCCCGGTGGTGATGGTGGGGGTGTTTGGCCTTGTGCCTCCTCGACGATGACAAAGAACGATCACGCCCCGACGCAGGAGTAGTCGGATCCGGGGAACCATCATCAGAAGAAGAAGACAGAAACTGACGACCCCCTGCACTTCCGGGCTCAAAGCGCCAAAACCGGCCGGTCGTCGTGGTGGCCGGGGCCGCGGGCGAGGGATTCCTCATTTTCGCCTGTTGAAATTCCTTTAAAATCAAGAGAAGAAGCAAAAAAAAAAAACGACACGCCTCTTTTTTTTCTTCTTGGAACGAGATGATGAAGACTTTAGAAATCGGCACCCGCACACAGACCGTACTTGGGCTGGCACCCCAGCTCGCAGTACGCCCGCCCGAAGCCGCAGTACCCGAAGCGCGAGCAGCACGGCCCGTACACGCGGTCCCCGATCGGGCACGACGTGTACGGGATGTTGCCCCACTCCATGCCGCACCGTGAGTCGGCGCGCAGGGTCTGGAGGGGGTACGGCGCGTCGGTGCCGAACGGGTCGATGTCGCTGAAGCTGGGAGCCGCACGGCTGCTGCTGGCGGGGGAGGGGGCGAATGCGGAAGCGAAGGGGCGGGATCGGTTTGATGGTCTTGATGATGCGCGGGCAGGCTGCAGGGGGAGGGCAGGACTAACCGGTGTGGAGGCCGGGCGGCGAAGGTTGGTGTTGGGCAGCGGGGCCGCCGCCTGCTGCTGCTGCTGCTGCTGCTGCTGCGGCGAGGAAGACGGCGAAGACGCCGGTGCCATCGGGTTGTTCATGGGGGCGCCGAACGGGGACGACGGGCTCATCACGTTCATGCCCTGGGCCGGCGGCGAGCCGGGGGGCGGACCGTATCCGTACTGATCGCCTCCCGGCGGTGGGTAAGCGCGCGTCTTGGACCACGGGTACGGCGTTGGATAGGATGACGAACTGGGAGCGGCGGTCATGCTGCTGCTGCCGCTCATGAAGTTGGGGCTCTTGGCCGCGTAGCAGCGCCCGAGCGGCGACGTGGCGATGGTCTCGAACGACGTGAGGAGCACGCAGGGGGTGTTTGAGTAGACGTCCCACATGGCGATGCCGCACTCGTCGCCCAGCGTGTTGCAGAAGGCCATGCACGCGCCGTAGTCGTCAATGGAGGCTGCGATGTCGGCGATGTTGGCCGGAGACAGCCCGCTGCCCGTGTTGGCCGCCTCGCACGCCACGTAGTACGTCGCCGACCCGATCTGGTACGAGCCCGGCGGGTACGCGAACGCCGAGCTGCTGGGCGATGCCACCTCGCTGTCGCTGTCGTTATCGCTGTCGTCGGTCGCGCTCGGGCTAGGGCTGGCGTCTTGCCCATAGCAAACCTTGGCCAGCAGCAGAGCGGCGCCCACGGCGAGACGGAAGGGAGTAAGGCTGGCCATGTTGCGTGGTAACGTGGCGGAGAAGGAGTGGATGTGCTTCTGAAGAGTCAACTGCGTGCCGGTCGGTCAGCAGATTAAATATGGCTGCTCCTTCTTGTCGCTTGTCGAGAGAATTCCTCATTTGTCCGTCGTGCCGAGCTACATCAAATTTACGGGAGTGGTCGATGGAACGCAGATCGTGGTCCCTTTCCCCAATGCGGAAGCATTCCATACGGGGAATCCACCAAATTTGCATGCTTCGTACACGCGGTTCAGCGTAGTCAAGGTGAGTCTGCTACAGAATGGCTGGCGGAGTATACCCCTGAATGTGCTCTAACGCACTTCGTTGCTTGTGCCTGAAGATTAACAACACTTCACCGAGAAGGACCACCATCAATGCGTTTAACCCTCCAAAACTCAATTACCGCTAGCATTAAATCTGTTAGTCGTAAAATATATACATAGAATCAACGCCAGACAGCTCCGTCTCCCCAGAAACCATTACCACCACTGACCGGGCTGTAACGTGCGGATGAAGTTGCACACATTCCACCAGCGCTCCAGATGAGAAGAAACGATGCCATATAAAACGAAAACATGCCAGAACCCCGCCATCTATACTTCAAAAGCGGGCTTGCTGCCGCATCTCTACGGCGGGGAACTCTCTGCCCGCCTCACCTTCCAACCCCGCCGAGCTCGACTCTTGGTATCCGCCGTTGCCCGTTTCGAAATACCCTGACCCAGCCTCCGCCGATCCCAGTGAGTCTTTCGTAGAGGCCTTCATCGCCTTCTTCTCCGCCTTCCGTTCCCTCTTCGCCGCCTTCTTCTCCTTGCGAGACATCTTGGGAAACTCGCTCTCGGGACCGACAAGCGAACGGCCGGGGTGGAAGACGGCGAGGAGGAGGAGGGCTACCATCATCGGAAATGCGTCGAGAGCGTAAGAATACTCCTCGTGGAAAGGGATGGGATTCGACGGCTTGACGCCGCCGGCGAACTCGCAGATGCGGTAGATGATGCGGACCTGGACGGAGAAGAGAAAGTAAGCAAGCCAGTCGAACAGATCTGACTGACAGGGGGCACTCACGGTGATGGCCGTCAGCGTTCCGTAGAGAGCATACAGCAGCGGCCGCCAACCGTACTGCCGGTGAGCCAGGCCCGCGGCTTCCAGCGCCAGCGACTGCCGATGGAACATGACCATCAGGCCAAGGAAGCACAGGATGAAGGCTTCCTGCAGGCCCATGCCGCCCATGTAGACGTCTATGCCCGTCTTGATGATGTCGGCGGAGGCGCCCGGGCTCGCCATCAGCCCGCCGACGGCCTGCACGACGAAGGACACGACGTCGGCCCACACGAAGTACTTGGCCAGCGACTGCCCGCGGATGCGCCACACGGCCCGCTCCGGCAGGAAGTAGTGCACCATGCGCGCGAAGGTCATGTAGACGAAGGCGTTGATCCACAGCGGCGCGAGCAGGTAGAGCAGCTGGTGCGCGGTGGCGTAGCCGATGTTTTGCTGGTCGTGCGAGCCCAGCGCGTGCAGGATGAAGGCCACGAGCTCCCACGTGGCGCCCATGATGATGACCCAGCAGTACGTCTGTTGTTGGTGTTAGCCGAGGCTGCTTGGCCGAGGCTTGTCTCGTCTTGTCTTACTTACCTTCTTGAAGATTATCGCCAGCGCCAGGTGGGCGATGGTGAGGATGCCGAATATCACAGCGACGGCGACGGCGGGGGCGAATTGCGGGTTGAAGTTGTAGTAGGCGTTGCAGGCATCGAAGGGGACATTGCCATATCTTCCGGGTACGGCGGTGGTGCAGCTGGGCGTGGATGTCGACGTGGTTGCCGATGCAGCTTGGCTGGTCGTAGTGGATGCCATTGCGAATCTGCGATTTACTGCGGATGATGCTGTCTCGAGAAGGCGAGAAGTTGGTGGTTTATGAGGATCGCCACCTGCATCGTGTCTCGTGTCTGCCCTGCCAAAGTTGGCAATCGTGTTGCTGCGCAGAGCACATTCGTGTCAAGGCGTTTGTGGCGGCTGAGTGGTGTACGCAGCCCTTGGTGGCCCGGTGTCACGGCGGAAAACCCGCAGAAAACTAACGCTTTGTTGCGAGAGAGAAGTTAAGTGTAAGCCGAAAGGGCTACGCGGAGTAAGCAAGCAGGATGCGGAGGATTTAATCCTTGGCGCCCACCGCGTTTTGGTTGACGCTTTGAAGGGGCGCAGTCAGCCACGAGAGGAACACTGCCACTTCCAACACTGCTGCCTACCGCAGCACTTGCACAGCTGGACAGCTTCACAGAAGAAGTCCCACTTGATAAACTTTTAGGTGTTGCTTGAGTAGAAGCTTGAACGTTCCCATTCGCTTGTTACTTGACCGACAATCCCTTTATTCTGGCCATTCCTACTATCATCATGTCAAGCAAGGGACGAGACTGTCGGCATGCTTTCGGAATGAGCGTGCCTCGAATTCTCTTCGTCAGTAGCTGAAGCAGATATGCTGATGTGGAATTATACGAATGCATCCAGCAGGTGGGTCACCCTCTCACTACGAAGGCCGTCTCGCGTGGAATGTTTTGCGGGCATGCCAATGGCCCGAATATCACATCCGGGATCGCCGCTATCGCTAATCTAAGAAAACCGAGATCGTGGCATAAGCAGAGATTTGCACCGCATCCATAGAGCCCGACTCGAGATTTCAGGCTACCATGTGGCTTGACTTCATCAATTCGTGCGTATAATGCATGTCAGCCTTTTCTGTCGCATGACATCGTAATGTCGCCCAATCGTGATCCGTGGACCTGGACTGACCTCACACCGCATGGCGTTCTTGAACGGGATAGCCTTGCTAACGCTGCAGCCTCGTCCCAAAGCTCCCGGGCCGCACGTCAACCTACAGAACATCCGGAGCTACCACAAAGCTGAGACGGCGACCGGTCAAGCACCAACTTGGCCTTGCTCATAAACATACGAGTATAAGTGTACCATAGTGATCACACGGCAGTGGGGTCGCGACGCGTGTGCGAGCTGTAGGGGTGGAAACCTGTGATGCAAACTCGTGCTTCAAATTACACTATCACTACGGATCGAAACAAATACAGTATGTCCTTGCAGCCCAAGGCTCTCTTTTACTGCCCGATGATCTCAGATTGACAAGTTTCCCAGGTTTTGCCTGCAACAGCGTGCTGTAAGAAAACAATACCGAGAGGGGATTGGTTCGCGCTGCGACAACGCCTGCAGCAACTGCTACGGTTCTGCATTTCTAGGAAATATTGCTTGGCTTGACTCGAAGTCTTTCTCGTCTAGCTTTCCCGCTTTTCCCTCTTCCCTTACTGCCTGCTTCCATTGCCAGCCTCGACGATACGGACCACGAATTGGTAGCCGAACGATTCCGCCCCTTTGGGGAAGACAGGAGATTTCTCCAACGCGTCAATGTCCCTGATTTGAGATACCCACCAAAACTCGAAGATATCAGGCTCAAATAACGACGATGGTGAAAACAACGACGACGACAACGATGATGATGAGGATGACGACTAAAATGAGCAAGACAATCCCGCCGCACCGAGCATATCGGAGGACGGCATGGATCGAAATAACAATGAGGACGCACCAGCCACACCTTCCCGACTCCAAAAGGCGTCGTCTACGAGGTCTCCAGCTTCTGGGTCGACGGTGAGAATCAGTGACGAGGAAGATGATATGGACCAAATGGTGATCGACTTTGATCTATCCCCTCCTTCCAAACGAAGGATACCAGAGGACAAGGCAGTAATAGCCCCCGGGGGGAGGAGGCGTTCAGGCCAGGGGCTTAGGGCTGGGTACCGCTCCACCCAGTAAGGGTCCCATCGCGGTCGCACGTCCAAGAACATGCATCTCATCATCGTGAATCATGTGGTGTTGGTCGGCCAAATAGGCGCTTGTGCCAACGACTTCAACCCGCTAGGTAGCAAAAATTACCCCTTAGACTCTGACACTATTAGCTCAAGCACCTACTCAGACGTCTAGCAAGACGCGATTCGGCGTAGAGATTGCTGAAGGACGAAATGAAAAGTGTCAACTGCCTGATTACAAGTTGTTGGATGTCTGAGGTGGTGGACGCTCATTGGGTGGAACAGATACCCTTGGCTCCGCGCGGCCCGCGCGGATGGCTTTATGCGGCTAGTGTTCGACCTACTCCCGCTTTTCGAGCATTCAAGCAAGCAGATCGGCCCAGTCTCTCACCAGGAACACATTCCCCATGGCCTGACAAGGCTAATTTCCGCTCCAATGAATGTTTGAGACATGGTCAGGTTGGCAACTCAGCTGCCAAATTGGATGAGGAGAGTGATGAAAACACGCCTTGAGATGGGAACTTGTTTCAGACTAATCAGTTTATCGATTAGTTCCAAGCCCTCATGCAAGCCATTCAGATGACACCTCCACGCAAGGATGGGTATAAGATTGTGGGTGTTGCTCTTGCAAATAATTTCCAGCGTCCAGCACTTCTTCGATCGCATACGTTCTTTTGCTTAAACAGCGATCCGTCGCTGCGCCGGTCCAACTAGCCCACCATGCATTCCATTCTCTTCTCTCACTCGAGCCTCGCGCTTGCTCTAGCAGCAAACATCCTCCCGGGCCTCGCGTTCGTGGTTCGCCAAGCAGGTAGGCATGCCAGCGCAGCTCGAGGCGATGGCTGACCATGTCAGGAAACAACACGGCGAATTCAACCAGCCTCCAGACCTGGTGGCACGAGACGGGCGAAATCAACACCCAGACTGCAGTCCAAGATGGCAACGTCCGCCAGTCCCATCTCTTCGACGTCCAGGTTGCTGCCTCGTCGGCATCAACAAACTTCTACGACTCGTTCGCGTATGAAAGCATCCCGCGTAATGGCAACGGCAACATTTGCGCGCCTGGAAACACCACTTTGTGCAATGTCGACGATCAGATCAGCATCGAGGCAGACATTGGAGTGAGCATGTCGTGGTCTCAATATCTCACCACTGAGGACTCGATCGTGAGAGTCACGCGGACAGACGGGGGCTCCACTGCTCCCGACAACGTTGTCATCCGGCCCACAACGCTTGGATTTGACCTGGAACAAGACGGAGATGCTCTCCTGATCAAGGTTCCGTTCAGCCAGAACGGGTACCGATTTTCGGTCGAGTTCCAAGACAATCTCTGGGAATACCGCATCGCCGCTCCCGAGCTCAACTCGCATTACATCCAGAACAAGAATCCGTCTGGCAGCTACTACGTCTCGTCGTACGACGACACAAACAACCCCATCGTCGGTGTCGAGCCCCTCAACGCACTCTTGATCTTTGTCAGCCCGTTTCCCAGCAGCGAGTACGTGCCGAGCGATGAGGCGAACACGCACCGGGTCACCCCCGGGCTCGTCTCCGGCCTTGACCAGGTCGAAAAGTCCATCCTCTACTTCGGCCCCGGCGTGTACTACACAACCGGATCTGCACATGCAAAGCTGTCGTCGTCGGTGTCGTGGGTCTATCTGGCTCCCGGGGCCTACGTCAAAGGCGCCATCGAGTACACCAGCCCGGCTCTCGACCTTCGTGCCACGGGCTTCGGGGTGCTGTCGGGCGAGCAGTACGTCTACCAAGCCAACACGGCCGAGGGGTACCAGAACATCAAGTCGGACGACTACTCGGTCAAAATGTGGCGGGGCTCGTCTGCGGACGGCATGACCTGGACGGTGCATGGCGTGACGACGAACGCACCCCCTTTCAACTCGATGGACTTCTACGGCTCGCTCGACACGTTCTCGGTCCGGGCTTCCGACTACAAGCAAGTGGGCGCATTCTTCGGCCAGACCGACGGCATGCAAGCCTACCCCGGCAGCCATTACCAGGACATCTTCTACCACGTCGGCGACGACGGCATCAAGACTTACTACAGCAACATCCGGAGCGAGCGGCTGACGGTCTGGAAGACGAACAACGCGCCCATCGTGCAGTTCGGCTGGTACCCACGCAGCGTCAGCAACATCACGGTGGACTCGGTCGACGTGATCCACACGCGCTACATCTCGCAAGCGGCCGAGTACCCGCGCGCCCTCGTCGGATCGGCCGCCAGCTACGAAGACTCGGGATCGACGTCGACGGCCGACACGACGAAGAGCCTCAGCGACTACACCGTCTCGAACTGGCGCTGCGAAGGCATCTGCCCCGGCCTGCTGGGCATCAACCCGCTGCAGAACATCGACAACATGAAGCTGTCGAACGTCAGCATCGAGCAGCTGGCGCCCCACGGGACGGGCGTCGACACGTCGACCCTGACCGTCTTCACGGACGCCGACAACGGCAACGAGCCGGTCAGTCTGGGCGCAAACTCGGCTGGCAACGTCGGCCTCACGATCCAGGACTTTTACGTGGGCGGCGAGAAGATCACGCTGGCGGCGGGGAACTGGGACTCGAATTCGGCTGGCCGTCTGAACATTGACGGATCGTACGAAGGGAGGTGGACGGCGATCTAGGCGATATATTTTAGGAACTCTTCCACGCATTGAATAAATGATCGGCACACCGCCGGGCATACTTCATGGTACCTTTGACCGATGAGGCTGAAGCTTGGCCAGGTACCTCCTCTGCATTAAAGCTCGCTATCTGAAATAGGCAAGGTGATCTGCACGTGATTTGCCGTTGCGGGGAACCGATCAATATGTTCCGCACCACTTGCCCTCCACCATTCGTCATTGACTTCCTCAAGCAGGTACGGCGAACGTTGGGCCAATAGGGACGGGGGAGGGGGGGATCAATCAGCTGCGGGCAGTCAGTCAGTAGTCAATCAAAACCAAGGGTGTCGTCGGTCGGTCTCTTCGCACGCCGCGATCACCCGCGAACGGCAAACTCGGCCCGCAAGGGGCGGACGTTCGCTGGGCCCGAACGGCCGGCTCGAATAAACACACGGACTCGGATGTCGACGCATGGCCGAACGCCGGCTGCCGTTGAGACTTTGCCTGTTCGGTGGTGGTTGCTCCAGCTCCGCTTTGAGGTACCTGGTCTCGGTCGGCGTTGGACGAACCGCGAAGGGCCGGAAAGTAGCGAAGGCCGACGACAAAATGGCGACGGGTGCACTTGTATAAAAGGAATGAGTTGGTTGTCGTTACTTCTTCCAATTGTACACGCACCAATCCCCAAGTCCATCTTCACTTGACAGCTCCCCACCATGTCGTTGTCCCAGTCCAAGCCTCTCTCCGGCAAGGTAGCCATCGGTACGTGCAGGAGTCGTCACCGCAGCAAAAAAGACCATACTAACAAAAACCCCCTCTCCTCAGTAACCGGTTCCAGCCGCGGCATCGGCGCCGCCATCCTCCTCAAACTCGCGTCCTGCGGCGCCGACGTCGTCGTCAACTACGTGGCGTCCAAAGCGGGGGCCGAGGCCGTGGCCGCCAAAGCGCGCGACGAGCTGGGCGTGCGGGCCGTGTGCATCCAGGCCGACGTCAGCAAGCGGGCCGACATCGCGCGGCTCTTCGCCGAGGCGAAGCGCGAGCTCGGCCGCGTCGACGTCGTCATGAGCAACTCGGGCATCGAGCACTTTGGCGACTTGGAGGCGGTTAAAGAGGAAGAGATCGACAAGGTGCTCGCGGTCAATGTGAAGGCGCAGTTTTTTGTGGCGCAGGAGGCGCATAAGTGTTTGGAGGAGGGGGGGAGGTTGATTCTTATTTCGTCGATTTCGGCGGTTTGGGTGAGTAAGAGAGAGAGAGAGAGGGAGAGAGAGAGAGAGGGAGAGAGAGAGAGAGGGAGAGAGAGAGAGAGGGAGAGAGAGAGAGAGGGAGAGAGGGAGAGTGAGAGAGAGAGAGAGAAAGCATCCGCACTGACTGACTCCGCACGCAGGGCGTACCCCGGCACGCGCTGTACTCGGCGTCCAAGGCGGCCATCACGGGCATGGTCAAGTGCCTGGCGTTCGACTTCGGGGCGCGCAACATCACGGTCAACTGCATCGCGCCGGGCGGCATCAAGTCGGACATGTACACGGAGGCGGCGGCCGACTACCTCCCCGGCGGCGACAAGATGACGGTCGAGGAAATCGACGAGCGGGTGGGCATGATGAGCCCGATGAAGCGGCCCGGCTTCCCCGACGACATCGCCGGCGTTGTGGCCTTGCTGGCGCTGCCCGAGTCGCAGTGGCTCACCGGCCAGACGTTCCACGTGGGCGGGGGTGCGCACATGGCGACTGCTTAGGCGTGGATGGGGAATCAATCATCTTTGTTGGGGGATGAAGGATGGGAAAGACGACAAGATTCTTGTGGAAGCTTCATTCACGTCACGTTCTTTCATGCAGGGGGGTCAAACGGATATATATGAATCTAAATACACGAATCGTAGGAGTCGGTCGGTCCGTCACGTTCTTTCAAGGGGGCAAACGAAGATATGAAGTTAAATACACGAATCGTAGGAGTCATCATCACAAGCATCACTCCAGATACTCGTTGGGCACGTACAGCGGCATGGAATCCTCCCACAGACTGTCGGTGAGCATGGTCTTGTTGGAGCCGTCGGCGTTCATGGCGATGATCTGGCCGTAGGGCTGGAAGGTCTGGTCGTAGATGGCGGCCTCGTCACGGAAGCCGTACATGCCGCTGGAATACAGGATGCGGCCGTCGGCGGACCACACGGCGTGGGCGTCGTTGGCGCCGCTCGACGTCAGCGTCTGCAGGCCGGTGCCGTCGGGGCGGATGGTGCAGACGTCGAAGTTGGTGGCGCTGGTCTTGCGGGTGAAGACGATGCGGTCGCCGTCGGGCGACCAGCCGGGCAGGTTGTCGGTGGCGTTGGTGAGGAAGCGCATGCTCTTGTCGGCCAGGTCGATGACGCGCAGGCCGTAGCGCACCCCCCACTCGCGGAACACGATGTAGCGGCCGTCGGCCGAGTAGCTGGGGAAGCCCGAGTGCACGGTGCCGTCGGTGAGGGCCTCGTAGTAGGAGCCGTTGGCCGTGGCGCGGTAGATCTTGCCTTTGCCCGTCGCCCGGGCCTGGAACCACTGGCCCAGCCCAAACGCCACCCACTCGCCGTCGGGCGACCACGCGGGCTGGAACGCGCCCGCGAGGCCCTGGCTGACCGTCGACGCGTTGAGCTCGCCCGTGCTGTACGAGTCGAAGACGACGAACTCGTCGGTGCCGTCCGGGTTCATGCTCACCACCGACGAGTTGCCCAGCTGCTTCTGCGTGATGACCATCTTGCCCTGCCGCGACAGCTCGGGGAACACGTCGGTGAAGCGGTACTCCCAGTCGCCGTCCCAGCTGTACAGCTTCTTCTCCATCGGCCGCGCCGTGAACCCCACCTTCTCGTACACGACCGTCTTGCCGTCGGGCGACCACGCCGGGGACCGGATCGACGCCTTGACTTGCTCACGCCCGTCGCCGTACGCCGTGTAGTTGAGCCCCTCGTCGTCGCCGCCCTTGACCAGGAACGCCACGTCCCCGGCGTCGCCGACAAACTGCGGGAACATCTTCAGCGACCCGCCCGACGTGTGCTCGCGCCGGTCCGTCCCCGTCTCGAAGTCGACCGACACGATCTGCGACACGACACTGGCGACCGACTCGGGGCGGTGCGCGCCCCACGTGTTCTCGGTCGTCACTTCGTAGTAGACGACGCGCGTGCCGTCGGGCGACCACTTGGGCGAGCCCAGGCAGTAGCCCGACTTGGTGGCCAGCTGGCGGAAGGTGTCGCCGGCGGTGTCGTTGGCGCGGATGACGTAGACGGACAGCTCCTGGGTGTGCTCCCAGCCGGTGCCGTTGCCGTGGCCGCGCCAGGCCGTGTTGCGGTCCGAGGCGAAGGCGAGCCACTCGCCGTCGGGCGACCAGGCGGGGCGGAAGTGGCCGTCGGGCAGGGCGGGGTCGCCGGCGACGGCGGGCGTGTTGGTGAGGTTGTAGCTGGCGCCGGTGGCGAGGTCGAGCACCCAGACGTTGGCGCGGTAGCCGTTGGCGGTCGAGACGTAGGCCAGCTTGGTGCCGTCCGGGGAGAGGGCGGCCGCGTCCTCGAGCGAGGGCGTGGCGATGACCTTTTGCAGGCCGGAGCCGTCGGGGCGGCAGCGGTAGATGTCGCTGTTGCCGTCGCCGTTGCGCTCGGTGGTGAAGGTGATCCATTCGCCGTCGGGCGAGAAGGCGGCGTGGTAGTCGTAGGCCGAGCTGTTGCCCAGCAGCTTGCGCTCGTCGGTGCCGTCGGCGTTGGCCACGTACAGCTCCGACGTCGAGGGCGCGATGCGGTTCATGAAGAGGACGCCCTTCTTGCCGGCGGCCGGCAGCCCGCGCGCCGAATGGGACTTCATCATCGGGCTGAACTCGCCCGACAGGTCGAGGTTCTGCTGGGGCATGGCCTGCGCCACGAGCCCCAGGGAGAGCCCGAGCAGGGAGAGGTTGACGTTAAACCGCATCCTGGAGGGAGAAAGAAGGACAGAGGGCGGGCGATGCGGCGTGTGCAACGTCTACTGCGTACGCCCGCCATGGCTTTATATCAGTACGGCCGGCGTTTCAAAGGTTCATTGCGGCAGGTCGAAAGCTCTGAACGATCCACAACTGGTTGGTGCTCATACACATCCAGATAAGATTTTCGTGTAACCTCGTCTAAACCACTGGGCTGACTCTGCAGGGTCGAGTCCCAGGCGAGGATCCGGCTTCCAGATTTTTCCAAGCAGCGGACATGATGCGCGTAGCACCAGATAATCAGCTAAGTCCGAGAATCTGGCCGGCGGCTCGTCGTATCTCCGAAAAATCTCTCCGGAACCGACAGGGAGTGGAGAGGAAAGGCGTCTTGGCAGGTGGACCGGTCCGCCAGGACACGGCGGCGCGAGTCGATGCTTGGACGGCGCTGGAGCAATCACCGTCCTGCTTTACTAAACCACTCCGGGGCGCGTCACCTCGCCGCGCAAGCCGCCGGGGGCGGGCCAACCCGGGCGGAGCAGACAATCCGATCTGCCGCCAAAACCGCTCGAAACAAGACTGCGGGAGAAATAATAGGTACTTGGCATTGTGGCAGTGGCCGCACCAGCCATGGCCCTGGCTGACCATCATCTGCCTCGTGTTCAGCCTGGCCAACGAGCATCGCTCCAGGGGAGATGCTTGACATTAAAACCCCGTTAACACACAAAGAGCTGACGACGGCATGAAACAACTCACAGACAGTGGTTAGTCGTGTCCTGGGCGCGAATGTGACAAGTGAGCCAAGGCGGGTGAAAAGGCGGGAAGCCCGGAATCCCCGACCCGACATCGGAAACTCTTGTGGGGTGCTACCATTACTACTTTAGTAGGTCCTACTGTTCGCTTGGACTCGATTATACGTGCTGCCTCCGACAGGCCGGGTCGATTTCAAAGGGGCAGCAACCCCGAAGACTGCCAGCTGTAAGCCATCATCCCATCATCCCCTTACGGAAGTCGGAAAGAAACAAATCAAGATATGGCATGGGGGTGCCTCTAGTTGACTTCCATTTGCAGGTACTGCCTCCACTAGTGCTGTTTTCGCCGTGTAGACAACCCATAGCTAATGCCTAACAAACCTCGTACCCGTCGTAACTGACGCACGATCCCGCAACGTCCGACCGACCATACCTTGGCCAACGCACCACTTGAACATGGAAATCCGGAGAAATGGAAAAGAAAAAAAATCTAGATGAAACACACGAGTATGGAAACGCCAGTCGCAATGCCGAGCTGCACCATAGGTAGTTGAGTATCGAAATAGATCCCACAAAAAAAAAAGGGGGGAGGGAGGTGTCGCCTAGCCGCTTCTGTGCCTCGAGCGAACGAAGATCGACTCGGCCGCCAAGCTCCGCCATGGTTACAGGTACGATTACAAGGTAGGAAAAAACCGCTGGAAATGGTACATGATGACTTGAGGGACGATGAGGTGTGAACTTCAAAAAAGGCATTTCTAGATGCTTTGCAGCATGCTCGGCGCCAGAGGGACAGAACACAGACCTGATATATACGCATAAACGGTAATGTAATCAGCAAGCCTCGTGCGTCGCATCGCCTGAGAAAAGAAAAAAAAAATCACTGAAATCCGACGGTGCGGGTTACGCGTATGCCCGAGTGTGGCAGGATTCCTTGGTCGCTGTTGTTGTCGGCAATACTCGCCTCTCGCGGCACCTGCACCGCCTCGATGACGGTTGTGTTGTGGTCCGCCGTCAGGTCCGCCGCCATGTGCGCCCGGAGCTCGTACTCGATGAGTTCGTTCTGCGCTTCGATGTTGGAAACCGACGGCCACTGCTCCTTCGACTCCTGTCCCGTGCCTCGCGACGACGACACGCGCGACGACGAGGCCGGCAGCGACACTTGGTGGAAGCCGTTGAGCGTCCATGCTGCCTTTGCTTCTTTGTCATCTGATTTTTGCGTCATGGTCATCTGCGCGTGTGAGAGTAAGCGTCCGAAGAGACTGAGACGGAAAGGAACACCGGGCTTACGTAGAAAAGCAGCACCGCGTTGGCGAAGATGTCGATGCTGCAAGATCCGAGGCAGAGCCATCCCGGCGCTTCGATCATGATGAGCATGACAAGGTTGACCATGGTGGCCAGGACGGAGCCGACGGACGTCCAGAGCGACTTGATCGCCAGCCGACGTAGCTTGCGGTTGAGGAATTGGTTGCGAAAGAGCGGGATGACGAACATGGCGACGAGGTAGACTGTTGCGTTGGTCGGTCGGTAAGTAGCCGGAGCGGAGTGGTAGTCAAAGGGGACGACGACTCACTGTTGACGAAGACATCCAGAGACATGAGGGGGATGAGCGCCCACCATTCCCACCCGAAAGTGCAAACACCATCCGTGCGGAGCGCGTAGATTCGGCCAGTCTGCAGGAGAAATCAGCGCGCGAGTGGGGTACAAGAGAGGTGCGACGCATACCTCGAGCAGGATAAAGACACAAAGCCAGCAGCCCATGAGGAAGAAGTTGAAGCGGTAATGCCATGACTGCAACCGGACCCCGCCGCCGCGCACCACAAAGGCACGCTCCATAAGACTGTCGAAAAACCATCAGCAATCATCGAGGCGAGTGGCGGACAAGCCGTACAAGAGGTATATCCCCAGCTTTGTCGTGGTGTAGAACCATGTGCAGAGGAAAAGTCCGGTCGAGCACTCGCGGAGGCTCTGGCTGAGCCCGACGCCGAGATTGAGGAGCCCGCCAACGAAGATGTAGCACCAGCTTGCGCTCAGCGCGATCAGGATGGTTACCCGGGTGTATTGCAGTGTCCACTGGAGGTGTGCAAGTCAGCCGCCAGTTCAGGGCCAGGGAACATGGTGGTAGCGTACACTGGTGATTTCGTGAAAGGTCTTGATGAGCGGGAAGCGCGAGAAGAGCATCAGGCTGATCAGCGGCATGGCCACCAGGTACCCGACCGTGAAGCCCACCTGCACTCCACGGTTCGGGAACCAGGGCACGTCGTTGAAGCCGATTTCGTACATGATTCGAGATGCGACCAGGTTCGGCAGCCGGATACAGGAGAGGTGGATGGAGCCCCGGGCCGCCCGGATGGTTTTAATAAGATCTGATCCATGGAGCCATCTTCGATAAAAGAGCCTTGGCCAGGCACATGAAGGCTTGACCCGCGTGTGGCTGGCTTAGTGCGTGAGGGACGACGCCACACGTGCCGTCCTTGCGCCCATGTGGCCAAGCGCGAACCACATGCGGCATGCTGCCATGCGGACCCGCGATTATTGCCGCCAACCACGAGCGCTGCAACGCCGTGATGGACCTGCGCCCATCGATCCCCACAATAGTGTGCAGAGCGAGGGGCTCGACGCCGCCCACGTCAGCCCCGTCGGTGAATCCGTTCGGCGTTGCGGCGGTACGGAGTAGTGGAGACGATCTAGATCTACTATACAGAGGGAGGATGTGAAAACTGAAAAGCCATCTCGTGCGTGGCAAAACGTGGTAGAAGGCCGGGAGCCGGATTCCGGCGGGAGAGGGGGGCGCGGGGCTTATCTGCTCGACAGTTCCTGGGTCCTATCATATTAGGCCAGAAGCTCCGCCGTGTGCTGAAGGAGACTCGGGGAGGCTAGCGAGTGGCACGTTCGATTACGACGGAGGTGGAGGATGTGGAAAGATCGACGACGTAGCCCGTCCCACGGGCGGGGAGGACTAGCCCGACGCACCATCGAACCTTATTTTGCGGGTGGCCATCCAATTGGCCCCGCTCTCCTCGTTGAAGCAATCACTGCCGTTCGCGGAGGCCGACGTTCTGGCCCGAGTCAGAGCAGGACAGCAGGGAGCCCCGAGACGAGGAGTATATAGGTCGAGTAACGCAACGTATAGGCTGCCGTTCGAACGCCATCCATTGATCCGCTAGGCATTCGGCTAAAGAGCGGAAGCAAGACACGCCTCTCTTCCGTCCAGCTCGGAGACGCTTCCGTGCCAGGTTGCGCACCGCGGAGTCACGTCCGTGTCAGATTTCCAGCCGTCATCAGCCTCCGTTCCAGCGACAACAAGTGAAATTGCATCCCTTCCTCGAGGATCCATAGCTGACGCTGAGGGGAGCGCACAGTACCTACCTCCAACTTCGGCAGCCTTTCACCAGTGGACGCTTGCCGATATGCCGGCAAAGAGAGGTTGGGACCGACAGACCTAACCCATCAGCCACACCCACACCAGCGGCCGGGCCCAACGGGGCGATTGCCACCATCAGCCGACTGCACGAAGCAGGCCATTCCGTGCCCCAAAAAGCTTGCCATGTGCCTAGGCCGTTCGCGGACATGAGGCTTTTGGTAGAGGCTGCATGAAACCCCTGGCACTACTGCACGGGGAACCATCAGGATCTCAACGCAGCAGAGCTTGGCTCGCGAGCTTGGCTCACGAGCTTGGTGCCGTGCGGTGGACCCGAATCTCTTCATCGGATTCTTGATATCCGAAGACTGCAGCATTCTCAATACGGGGTGGTGCAACTCGTGGGATGAGCCCTGCAAGCAAAAATGTCCCTGTCGTTCTATCAAACCGAAAATGCAGCCACCCTGCTCTCCCGGCCCAGCAACCAGGTCTGTTTGGTCCAAGGACGCCAATCGAAAAAAAAAAGCAAGATATAGCTCCCGGCTTCCCCGTCAACCGCGATCGCGGCCATCGTGGTTATTTCCAAATCGGGAATGATCGCCACTGCGGCATATCCGTAAACCTATACGGCACCCCGGAGCTTATCACGCCCATTCACGGTAAGCTTACCGTATACACCAAGCATCCGCCGTGGAAAAACACGCGAGCGAATTTCTCTCCGGCCCAAAGGCATGGCGCGGGCGGGACGGGGCTCGCACTTTAGTACCTCGTGGCTGTGATGCTACAGGGCATCCGCTCGGCTGCCGCACGGTTCCATTGGCCCAACGAAAGAGACATTATTCCAGAAGGAAAGGGCCGAACGGGTACGGAAGGACGGGGAAACCCCCCACTCGGCTTCCCCGCCCGTCCATGAATCGCGGATAGGATTAGCAGCACCTTTGACGGGTTTCAGGCATCCGCTAGAAAAGAAAGTTCAAAACACGCTTCCACACCGGTCGACCGGCCTCGACCAAGATTTCAGGATCGAGCTCCTCTTCGAACCTCCTTCCTTTGTCGAGATCGACTTCACGCAAGTTGACGCCGACCGTCCACCTCTTCGAGTAGACTTGAAAAATGATGAAGAGGCATATCGTGATTGGGGCCGCCATATAGCTCTCGAAGAAGGCCTCGACGCTGGGAGGTGACCCGATGGGCTGCGTACATCACGGTCAGCATGGTCTGTGACGGACATGGCCTCGAGAAGGGGAGCGCTCACAAAAAGAGCAACGTAGAAGGTGGCCACCAAAGAAAGAATCACGAGAACGAGTCCGACGTAGCTACCCGCGATCCCAAACGGTGAACGCCACGGGATTTGATCAACACCTCGCCCTTGCATCTTCCAGGCTCTGCGGAAGTTGATGTGGGAGAGCATGATGGTGGCGTAGGCGAATTGTCCAGACAGACCGGTGATGGCCAGGATCCAGGTGAAGACCGTGTCGGAGTCTGCTCCTACCGTGATGAAGGATAGAAAGCCGAATGCCACTTGAGCCACAACACACCATATCGGACGCCCCATGCTGTCGATCTTGGCGAAGCACGACGGGGCATACCCGCTCGACGCCATGGCCTGGAGGACACGTGTGGATCCGTAGGTGCAGCTGTTAGCCACCGATATCACGGCCACGGTAATCACTGCAGCCGCAGTCAGCACAGCTCCACGTGACTGAGCGGAACCGACGGCTCGTGCTTGACGTCACCATGAGCAATCAGGGAACATACCCGCGTTGATGATGTGAGGGAGGACTTTGATTCCAGCCATCTGGACGGCCAAGACGAATGGCGATGCTTTCGTATTCGCCCCACTGGCCCCGAGCAGCACATCGCTGTCCGATGGGACGATTAGACCCACGATAAAGATGTTGACAACGTAAAACAGGAAGATGCGCCAGAATGCCTGCTTTGTAGCCTTGGGTAGTGATCGCCGCGGGTTGGCGGCTTCCGCCGCCGCGAGGCCGACCATTTCCGTTCCGCCGAATGCGAATGCTATACAAAGGTTAGTAGATGATAATAGAAAACACGCTCCTCTGCTACAGGAATATAAGTGATGGGGCTCGGTAAGTGGATTAACAAGGACGGATAGCAGCCATGATTTGGGTTCGACAGGCCCGCATGCCACCGCGACAGCTACTCACCAGCTGTGACAAAGACTGAGCAAAATCCTTTGAATCCGTTGCGGAACGCGCCGGGATCATGCCAATAGCGAGCTCCAATGTATCCACGGTCATCAGTGGGAACGCCGCCGCAATCGATGACGACGCCGAGGATGATAAAGCCTATACATGCCACGATCTTGATGATGGCGAGCACAAACTCGACTGCAGCGGACCAAGTCAGCACCGACTCACAGCCTCGAGTGGAGGGGAAGACATGCCTTCACCGTATCCACGCACTCCAAAAATCTGAATGATGATCAGAGCGGCCAGAAACACGGCGCACCAGACGCCGGGATTGACTTCTTCTCGGCTCTTCCAGTACTCAATCGTGATGCCGGCAGCGGTGATTTCGAACGGAAGCGTGAGCATCCAACCCACCGAGTACTGCCACCCCATCGAGACGCCCCTTTAAGCTCGACATCAGCACGTGGATTTCTCATAACAAAAAGACTTGTCCCACGTACCACGCTGGATCGACGAAGCGGATGCCGTACTCATAAAACGCACCGTTAACCGGGTAGATGATGGCCAATTCGCCCAATGCTTGAACAGTGCACAGCATCATCACACCAATTGTCATGAAGCCGATGAGCTGCACGTGGTCAGCCGTTTGCGCCGTGGATGCTGCCTGAGAGTGCAGGTACGTACGACCGATGCAGGACCGCCGGTGCGGAGCGCACTGCCGGTGCCAACGAAAAGACCGGCGCCGATGGATCCGCCTGCATGAACCGTCAGAGGAGCCTTTCTTTTCACGGGCCGCAGAGCCTACCACCTACCAATAGCTATCATCTGCATGTGGCGTCCCTGTAGCGATCTCGACAGCTGCCGGGGCTGCTTGGCGTCGACGACCTCTCCCGACGCGACATCGTAAGGCGGGGTGGGCGCGTCCTGCTGAATCTCGCCTTCGGCGGTCTTTGGCTCTTTCTCTTCTGGGCCTGCCATTTTCTGGGCAATGCGGAGGATGTGATGGGGGAGAGTGCCGGGGTGGGTTCTGTGGAAGATAAAAACAACCGGCGTTCCAGCTCCCCACTTCTGGTGCAGCGTTGCACTGCAGGCTATGTACTTGGTACTTCGACGCAGCGTAGCATCCATGCCACGCGGCTTTTCCACGTTCCGTGATCTGGATAAAAGCCACTGATAGCTGCCTTGATAACGGGAAAACAGGACGAGCGCCCCACTTCCGGCAGGTTGCGTGGTGTCTTATCTCCAACGTGCCGGGGTGCGACGAGAACATCATTTCTGAAGCAAGCAGCCTCTCCTTCTTCCCCTCGCTAGCACTGAGAGTGGCCAGTTGAGGGTTGCGCCTGCACCCTTTCTCGAGCCAGATGGAACAAAAACGGCAGCTCGGTGCTACGAATTAGCGACACATGCGAGAACCACGGCCGCTACAAGGTTTGACCCATCATGCCCGACTAATCTTTCAACTAGACGAAGACGTGTGGCAGCTAATACTCCACGACCCACTTCATCCGCTCGCGCAGCACGTCCGGATCGAATGTCGTCGTCCATTCATCTTCGGCCATGTCCGCGCTCGCCATCTTCCCGGTCCCGTAGCTCGTCTGCGCCGTGATCCTGTCCGTGCGGGGCTTGCGGCAAGTCTTGAAAGAATCGCAGCGCCGCATCAAGGTCGTTGGATGGCCAAGACGCAAGCATCTCGATGCCGTCGCACCCGACGGACGACCAATGTCGGCGGCGGTCGCGGTGCCGTCTTGAAATTCCAGCTTGTAGCCGCCGCCTGTGCCGTCCCGCTCAATGCCGCACAGCTTCTTCTCCGTGGAGACCAGGTGGTCGGGGTCGACGCGCTGGCGCAGGACGTGCGGAAGATGGGCGCGGTGGATCTGGAACAGGAACGCACGTGCGAGGCGCGCCGCACTCGTCAATTTGCAGGCCCCAGGTGCTCGCCGGTGCGGCAGTACTGGCGGTATTCCATGTAGACTGGGCGGGTCGCGCGAGGACTCGTGCAGCATGTCGACTTTGAGGCTCAGCTCGTCCAGCACGAGGTTCGCGTTCCGGCTGATGTTTGACGCCGGCGCCCGCGACTTCGGTGAAGTCGGGCGCAGCTTCGTACAGGTGCTCGTTTGCAAGTCCGGAGTGCAGGGCCGAGTTCATGGAAGCCAGGCCCCCGAGCCCTCCGCCGATGACGGCGTCTTTTGCTTCTGAAATGCCATTATTGAGGCGATGGGACGGCAGTGTTTGGTTGTAACTTTCTGGGTGTCGAAGTATCGATGTGGTATATGATCTGATTACCGGGCCAACGATAGCCGGCTGAATGCGAATCGGATAAGAGTGGCCATCGAACGTGGAGAGAAAAGCGGAGTGGATAAGCCACGAAAATACTCCGGTCGAGCGGTGGGAATGTTAAGACGGCGGAATGCTCCCTGGATCTCACTTCGGACCTCTTCGTACCGTGCTCCTAATACCTGGACGAAAAATTGCACTCCACTCCATGCCATCCCACTTGAGTGTGTCGTGTCGGTTCCGCGGACAACGGTTGACGGCATGATGCCACAGTGGGCGTAGAAAGAAACTGACCAACCTACATCGGTAACGGGATCAAATATCCGGATGCATTTCTACAGTTTAAATATATCCATGTCTCAATATCTGTTTCACCTCCTCATGCAGAAGGGGTGTATGAACCAGCATCAACGTCGGGATACCTGATTCGATTACCCACACGCGTTTGCGTGCCTGGTAGGTTACATACACGTGGTGTTTTGTGTGGAAGCAGCAGACAAGAGCACCCTCAATTTAGGATAGTTACTATATAAAAGCAAAAGAGAGCATCCGCAAACACGCCAATCGCTACTTTGACGGTCTTTATATATCCATTTTCACCATAAAGAAACGTCTACGCGTAATAATTATTCTTGTAAAAGGCATCACTCGTCGTTTCTTTGGTATCCTCAAACACGAACTCTAAGCGGTCACCCTCCTTGACCTCAACCCTCACCATCTCTTTGAACACATTACTGGTATCGATTCCGGCGCCAGTATTGTTCAGCTTCTGCGTGCGAGCCGAGTTCATTGCCAACGCCACCAGCTCGGGTGTTGTATCCCACGCATTGGACTGTTCCCCAGTCTTGAGCGTGTAGCAGAAATGGAAAATCGCCAAGATGCAGTACAGGAGGAGGACGACCACGGCTGCGATCTGGGTTGTACTGCGATATGTATAGGCATATCCGGTGGCAAAGACGCGTAACACGAACGGTGCCGCATTCCTCAGTTCGTCGTCGGTGAGCTCGTAGGCATTGCCACCAGCGCCCAAGTACTTGCGTGGTAGCAGCTCGCTGAGAAAGGCATCTGGTAGATCCTCTGGAGTGGAAACGTTGCTACCTTTCGCTCTGCCAGCTATTGAGATGTTGTAGTCGGTGCGAGCTATTCCGTTCAGTGTCATTGTGGTGAGGATGGCTTCAACGATTACTTCCACGAAATCCTGATCTGGCGCGGTCGACGTGTTCCACAAGCCTGTCGTCTTGGCCACTTGTGCGAAAGCTGTCCATCCCTCATTGTTGATGGTTGGGTTGAGGTACTGGGCCCAGCCAGTTGAGATGGTAATCAACGGGTATTTCGATTTGATCATTCCTTGAAGGAGGTAATCGTGGGTGTCGTCGGGGCCGGATATTTTCAATTGACTCCTCAAGGAGCTTGTCGTGGCTGGAAAGTATCGGGTGTCAAAGCTACATGAGAATATTTGACTGGTGTTGGTGAAGGCCGTGTCTGGAAAGATTGCGACAGCATTCAAGGTACTGCCAAGCCCCTCAATCGCATCCAGCCATAAGATGTTGGGCTCTTTTGTCGAATTAAGGCGGCCCAGGACGGTGGATACCAGATCGTCGTCATTGATGTCAATGAGCATGAAGCTCGCCCGGCCCGTCATCACGTTGTGCGGACCGTCGGGATACCACATGCTCGTCAAGTTTGGGAACCTCACATACCCATATGGTGATATGGTCTGACCTGAGACGCTTTGGATCTGGCAGACGGTCGCCACCGCTGGCTGTGTAGCATCGATGGAGTATTTGGCATCCTTGCGGCTCCAAAACCTTTTTGTTTTCTGCACATTCTTGGCGGCAATGGCCCACAATCTCCCAATCTCGGCTGCAGTGTCAGCGATGGATGACATGGGCATGGTCGCTCTGGTATAGGCGTATCCATAGAGGGGGTAGATCTTGTCCGAGTATCCCTTGCGGGTTCCTGGCCACATGAAGCGTTGGGACCGAGCACTGTCCATCAAGAGAAATTGGGGCAGAGCCCCTGCGGGGGTTAAGGTGGGAAAGTAGGAGCAATAGGTTCTGTCAATGATTTGCCACCCTCCATGGGGACAAGAGACATCTCCAGTGTCAACAAGACAGTGATCGAGCTTCTCTGATGCCTCCAGTGTAGTCGGAAAGACGGTTTCATGGGTGGCATTCAACCAGAAAGTGGTTCCTCCAGCAGGCCAGGCGTCAAGTTGCGGACGCATGAGTTGTGCGGTCGAAGGCCCGACCGAGACACCGAGAAGAGTGGCGACGACTAACAAGGCTATGAATATTTTGTACCGGACCTTGTTACGGAGTACCCGTTGCCGAATGGTGGCCCAGAATTCCGTAGACCAGAAGAAGCTCAGAGCTCGGAACTGCTGTCCGGCAAAGAGAGCTCCAAAAGGCAGGCCGTCTCCGTAGAGGATGTTCCTTCGAATATAGGTGAGGACGACGGCTGTCAAAGACGATATCATGAGCAATTCATGAAGCTTCGCTGCGAACTGGAGCGCTGCCAGCTTCTGACCATCTTGGCCTGATGTCCCGATCAGCTCGCTCCCAACGTATATTTCCCGGAGGTTGATGGAAACCAGCGCCAGGGATGCACCGACCGGGAGGAAGTGGATCATGCTGCCGAGGAAAGCGTAGCCGCGATGGTTGTGTAATGCAACTTTCCGCTCTTCCTGTGGATGAATGCCTCGCAAACGGAGATAGAGCGAATAGAAGGCCTTGAGCTTGAGCGTCTTCAACGCCGTCTTGATCTTCGATTCCGAAGTCCGCTGCGAAGATGCTACGCCCACGAGTGGCTCTGCATCGGTCGAGGAGAGAGACCTGCCAGCAAAACCGGACCTGAAATTGACACAAATTAGGCTGCCTCCATGCAGGACGGGACATTGCACAGTTCTAGTGCGTACGTAGAGGAGTTGTAGCCTTGCAGGCTTGCAAAGTCTAGCCCGTTCGGTAGAGGGACAGGCGAGAAACGCTCTCTACCATGGTGTTGCTGCGGCTCCGAGAGCGGGATGGACTCCATGGATTCGCAATGGGAACCAGAATAGAATCAGTCCACGGGGGAGAGACTTATGGGGGGGGGCTAAGGCCAAATGGGGTAGATGATGGTAAGGCTATATACTTGGCCCTTCGGGTCGAAGGACATTGATTATCAGCTTTGGTCGGTCTCCCTCTGTTCGCAAAGTGGTCAACCCCTCCGCTGTGCAACAGTAGCAGTGCCCATAACTGGAATTCAGATTTTGCGGCGTGCGCCTCAGAATCCTCTTGCACAGTTTGTAGCTGTCCGCGGAGCACGTAGCCAATTAGACCGGATTGGGATATGATATGTCATGAGAATCCGAGCCGACCCATGCATTCCCTTCGCTTCGCGGGCCGCGGCGATCGTTGAAGCGGTACGTCATAGCCTGCGTCGCCTTCCTCCTGCTATTGGATACTTCCTACATCGCCTTGAAGGCTCTCGAATCACCGCGTCGGGTGACGACAGATTCGCTTCCCTTGTCCAGCCACGAAAGGATCTTCATAGCCAGCATACACTGGAACAATGAAGCGATTCTCAGATCCCACTGGAACGCCGCTCTCATCGACCTAGTGCAGCACCTCGGTCCCTCCAACGTCTTCGTCTCCATTCTTGAGAGCGGGAGCTGGGACGGGAGCAAAGCCGCGCTGAGGGAGCTGGACGCGAAGCTGGAAGCGATGCAAGTGCCACGGTCCATCATCCTCGACCCAACGACACACAAGGACGAGCTAGAGCGCGAGCCGAAGCCAGGCAGTAGTAAACCGGGGTGGATATGGACGCCGCGGGGCAGGCAAGAGCTGCGGCGCATACCGTACCTAGCCAATTTGCGGAACCGGGTCATGGAGGCGATGCACACGACCGACGACGCGAAGCCATTCACAAAAGTCCTCTGGCTAAACGACGTCGTCTTCACGGTCCGTGACATGATCTCCCATCCACCCATCCACCCATCCACCCCTCTCACCCAAAACCACCATCTCACCATCTCACCAACCCATCACCACAGACCACCGACGTCCTCACCCTCCTCTCCACCAACAACGGCCACTACGCCGCCGCCTGCAGCCTCGACTTCTCCCACCCACCCCGCTTCTACGACACCTTCGCGCTGCGCGACGCCGGCGGCCACAAGCCCCTCACCCCGACGTGGCCGTACTTCCTCTCCGCGGGCTCGCGCGGCGGCGTCGTCGCCGGCCGCGCCGGCGTCCCCGTCAAGTCGTGCTGGAACGGCATGGTCGTCATGGACGCGGGGCCGTTTTACTCTACTACTACTACCACCACCATCACGACTACCACGACTGCCGCCACTGCCGTCACCTCCTCCGATGGTGAAGGTGGTGATGATGGTGATGGCGCACCGCTGCGGTTCCGAGGCATCCCCGACGCGCTCGCCAGCCGCCACCTCGAGGGGTCCGAGTGCTGTCTGATCCACGCGGACAACCCGCTGACGCCGGGGCGCGGGGTGTGGCTGAATCCGCACGTGCGGGTGGGGTACGGGAGGGAGGCGTACGAGGCGGTGAATCCGGGCGGGGGAGAGGCGATGTGGCCGGGGATGGGGGCGCGGGTGCGGGGGGTGTGGCGGAGCCGGGTTTGGGGGGTTTGGGGGAGGGTGCGGGGTTCGGGGGAGGGGTGGGTGGTGAGGCGGAGGGTGGAGGGGTGGGGAGGGGGAGAGGCGGGAGTGGGAGTGGGAGGGGAGCATTGTTTGGTCAATGAGATGCAGGTGGTGGTTGAGAATGGGTGGAGGCATTTGTGATGTGCACGTTGCGGGACTCGAGGTCTGGTGGTCCGTTAATGGATATCTTCCCGTGAAGCCGATATGAAAGAATCGCTGGTGGTCGTCCTTGCGGCTGAAGATTAGGACACCAAGGCAACCTGCCGAGATTGCCGTTCGTGCCGATCTACCCGGAGAAGTAGCAGCCCACTTCTTCTTTCGTCCTACTTCATATACCATGGGCAATCCCCTTGCCTACTTGTTTCTCCCTTCCATCTTTCTCTCTCTCTGAATCATGTCCTCTTCGCCATCATACCTCGAGCCTTGAGTCCACACGCACGATGCTACGCGGCTGCCTGCGACCAACAGTGACGTCAGCAGCCTCAACGCAACTCAGCCCCTAGGCTAGCTTTGTGCGCCACGGTTCCGAGAAGCCGTTTCATATGACGTAGGCAGTCAGTATGTAGCAACTTCACCTACCCAAATTGCCTACGTCGTAAAGCAGAAAACTTCAAGCTGATGGTAGTGAAAAGCGCTCTACTACGTGACCGTATCCAACAAACTCCCGGACACCAGACAGACCATGTCGCAATAGTCCTCGAAGTGTGAGGGGCGCCAGGCAGCAGCAGTGCGCACACGCCTACCCCTCCACCAAAAAAAAAGCTAGGGTGACCGGAAAACTACCAATCGACGCCACTGCAATTCTTCCCAACGAAAAGGCCACTTGGCACTAGGCCGACAACGTCCCTCAATGTGCTTCGCCCCGCGAGGAACCTCGCGCCACCTCGTCGCACCTCGTCGTTCGGCAGCCAAGCCGAGGGGCGTGTTGGCAACTGCATCCAGATGAGGGGCGAAGCTGAGAGACATTACGCGTCAGATTGACCTTAGTCCAGCTCGCGAGGCTGAATTTCACAGCAAAGACAGCTGCTCCCAGAGTTGGGCTGAAAAACCAAGCGGATCGTCTTTTGCATAGCCCCCGCTCCGAGCTTAGCGGCCAGCTACGCCCCTTTCGCTCTCTCTGTCCATGTGAGCGCTTGTTGTGGTGTTTGGGAAACGATGCCCGACGATGCCGGGGAGCCCGAGCATGCTAAACGGGAATAACACATGGAGCTGTCATTATGGGTATCTACATTCTATATCGGAGCGTATCATCTTTCGTCGGCAGTCGTGACATGTTCGGGAAAACAGAGGACCAGTAACGCCAGAAAGAACCAGAGCAGCAACCAGCAAAAAGAAAAGAAAAAAAAACGGCCCCCCCCCCCCCCCCCCCCAAGACGAACAGAAAAGAAAAAACCCATCATCACCAACTCCTACTTGGCACCAACCCCCTTCTCCGGATCACCACCACCACCCTGTACCCCACTCTCGCCGCCGTCCTCCTCCTCCTCCTCCCCGTCCTTCTTCCCGCACCCAAAAAGCCTCTTAACCGCCCGCCCCACCCTCCCCATCGCGCTCCTCAGCGGCCGATACACGGCCAACACGGGCGCCCCCACCCACCGCGCCACGACCTCGAACCACGCGTCCGGAAACGCCCTCACGACCACCGCCCACGGCAAACACAGCGCCGCCACGACGATCGAAATGGCCCACTGGGCGCCATTCAGCCGCACAATACTAAACGCTTTCCCGCCGACGAACGCAATCGCGACCTGGCAGCCGACCATGAGCAGGACGATGGCGAGGAAGAAGACGTTGCGGTGGGCGCCGGCGAGCACGTTGGCGCCGTTGTCGAGGCGGCGGTTGTTGAGCATGTTGAAGATCTGCATCCAGACGAAGGCGTTGAAGACGACGCTGCGGAGCTGGGCGTCCGGGTAGGAGAGGAAGCGCGGGCCGCCGAAGTGGAGGATCAGCGTCACGGCGAGCTGGAAGAGGGCTTGGCCGATGATCATCTTCCACATTGTGGGGGAGATGAGGGGCGCGTGGCGGGGGGGTGGTTTGCGGTTGAGGATGTCTTCGGTGGGCGGGTCGGTGGCGAGGGCGAGGGCGGCGAGGGAGTCCCTGGGGGGGTTGTTAGTGGTTCGTTCTTTGGGAGGGGGGGTTTTTTTTTTTTTTGTTCGTCCGACTAGAGTGGGGAGACTTACATGATGAGGTTGATCCAGAGCAGCTGCACGGCGGTGAGGACGGACCGCATCTCCGAGTCGGACACGGACGACACAAAGGTCAGGATGACGGCCGTGATGTTGACCGTCAGCTGGAACTGCAGGAACTTGCGGACGGCGTCGTTGACGGCGCGGCCCCACATCAGCGCGGTGAGGATGCTCGCAAAGTTGTCGTCCATCAGGATGATGGCCGACGCCTCCTTGGCCACCTCGGTGCCGGCGATGCCCATGGAGAAGCCGATGTCGGCCGCCTTGAGCGCGGGCCCGTCGTTGGTGCCGTCGCCCGTGACGGCGACGATGTCGCCCATGGAGCGCAGCTTGGTCACGAGGATGCGCTTGTCCTCGGGCGACGAGCGGGCCAGGACCTGCAGCCGCGGCAGCATCTCGGTCATGCGCTCGTCGGACAGCGTGCGGAACTCGGGCCCCTCCATGACGAGGCCGTCGGTGTAGATGCCGCAGTCGGTGGCGATGGCCTTGGCCGTGACGACGTTGTCGCCCGTCACCATGCGGACGCAGACGCCGGCGTGCTGGCACCGGGCCACCGCCTCGGGCACGCCGGGCCGGATGGGGTCCTGGATGCCGACGACGCCGAGGAGCGTCATGTCCTTGAGGACGAGGTCGACGTTGGCCGTGGTGGGGTCGTCGTCGGAGGCGGCGCCCGCGGGCGGCCATTGGGGGAAGTCCTTGGTGACGAGGGCGATGGTGCGGAGGGATTGCTCGGCGTAGCTGTTGATGACGGCTTCGAAGCGCGAGCGACGGTCCTGGTCCAGGGGCACCTGGCCGGCGGCGGCGGTCAGCAGGCTGGAGCTGTAGCCGAGCAGGATCTCGGAGGCGCCTTTGACCAGGAAGCGGAAGTGGCCGTTGGGGAGCTTCTGCACGGCGCCCATGCACTTGCGGCCCGAGTCGAAGGGCATCAGCTGGGCGACCTGGGCGTTGGCGCGCTCCTCGCTCAGCGAGCCCATGGCCAGCACCTTCTTGGCGAAGCCGAGCAGCGCCGTCTCCGTCTTGGACCCGACGAAGCCCTCGACTCCGCCCTCTTCGCCCTCGAAGGCGGTCGAGTTGATGGCGATGGACTCGACGAGCATGCGGCGGTGCTCGGGCAGCAGGTCCCTGGCGAAGGCGGTGGAGCGGCGCTCGTCGCCGCGTTGGTTCTTGTCGTCGAACGAGTCGTCGCCAAAGGTGCCGGTCACGACGGTCATCTTGTTCTGGGTGAGGGTGCCGGTCTTGTCGGAGCACACGGTGGTGGCGTTGCCCATGGTCTCGCACGACTTGAGGATGCGCACCAGGTTGTTCAGCTTCACGAGCCGGGTGGTGGCGAAGGCCAGGGCCAGGGTGACGGCGAGCGGGAGGCCCTCGGGCACGGCGACGACGATGACGGTGATGGCGACGATGAGGATGTCCATGAACTTGGACGCCTTCTCGTTGGCCGTCAGCTCGCTCCCCGGCAGCGTGCCCAGGAAGCGGAACAGCAGCACGAAGAACAGGAAGGCGGCGGCACTGCTGCCCAGCTTGGCGATGGCGCCCGCGAGCCCGTCCAGCTTGACCTGCAGGGGCGTGGGCTCGGGGTCCTGGCGCATGGCCATGAGGATCTTGCCGTAGCTGGAGTTGACGCCGACCGAGGTGACGAGGTAGGTGCCCACGCCCTCGAGCACCTTGCTGCCCGAGATGATGAAGGGGTCGAGGTCCTGGTGCTTGGCCTGGCCGCGGCCCTGCTCGAGCAGCCGCATCACCTGGTCGCCGCCCGTCTTCTTCATCTGGTCCGACTCGCCCGTGGCCGACGACTCGTCGCACTTGAGGTTGTGGCCGGCGATGAAGATGCCGTCGGCCGGGATCAGGTCGCCCGGCTCCAGGTGCACGACGTCGCCCACCAGCACGTCGTGCACCGACATCTGGAACGACTTGGCCGAGCGGATCACCTTGACCTCCCGGTCCTCCTTCTTGGTGTTCAGCCGCACGAAGGCCCGCTCCTTCTGGTAGTCGTTCAGCGCGCCGACGAGCACGACGATGACGATGGCGATGCAGATGGCGCACCCCTCGATCCAGTCGACCGGCATGGGCGCGTCCGGCGGGTGCTCGACCCCGAACGTCTCGTACAGGCCCAGGGCGAGCGAGATGGCGGCGGCGGCAGTCAGCAGGATCAACACCTTGTCGTTGTACGCGAGCCACATCAGCTTCCACAGCGGCGTCGGCTTCTTGGCCGGCAGCACGTTGCGCTTGAACACGCGGACCCGGTCGTGGAAGGCATCCGACTCGGCCGCCGGGCCGTGGGCGGTGCCAGCCGTAGCTGTAGCCGTGGCCGTGGCGGACTCGGTACTGGCATCGACGGCGTCCTTGTCGGCCAACGGAGAAGAAGCAGCCTTGGTGGCGAGCTCGAAGCTGACGGAGCCGGCAAGCGTCGTCTCGTCGACGCTCAAGCCGGCGGCACGGTCGGTCCGCAGCCCCCGCTCGATGCCGGCGAGCCCGCCCAGGGCGACGTAGGCCGGGATGGACTTGGGGTTCAGCAGCTTGTTGAGCTGGCCGGGCGAGAAGGCGAAGGCGTTGTCGTCGACGTGGAAGTCGTCCTCGGCGCCCGGGTCCGGCTTCAAGGCGTCCTGTTGCTCCTCGTACGACGAGAACAGGCTGTTGCCGCAGCTGCTGGTGATGGAAGCGCCCCCAGACTTTGGTGGCGCCAGGTGCGGACTCGGTGGGGCTCCCAGGGTGCTGCCGCTCATGGCTCGGTCGCGTTGACCGCCGGCTGGTGTGGCGCTGAGGTTGGAGGGCGAAATTGCTGTTTCCGGAGAGTCCATTGGTGGGGGTGTTGCGTTGTTGTTGTTGTTGTTGTTGTCGTTGTTCTCATCACCATCCTGCACCTCGAGGAGTTAATTCTGGGAGGTCAGAAAAAGGCAGGCTGAGGTCAAGACTTACGGGAATCTCGATGGTTATCTGCGGCAGGCCTCTGGCGTCTGCCTGGTCGGAGTGGTGGGCCATGGTGGGTGCTGGTGGTGATGTGCCTCGCTCTCAAACGAGGGCTGCGGGGGCTATTGTACGGATGCACAAACGAGGCTGTGCCCCGGATCCAATGGCGGAGGGCAGCCCCGGCGGCGATGAGCGGCAAGGAAATACGGTGGTCTGCCATGGCGCCAGTCTCCTTTGCCGCCAGTGGTGACATGGCCAAGGGCGGAGGCCAAGCCCGCTCCTGCAGGCCTGAGCGGCGGCCGCCCAGCACGCGCGAGAGCGAATGCCAGCCAGCGGGCGGAGACACCGTCCGCGCATCTCGAACCGGGTCCGTTTCAGCGCTCGAGTCGATCCGCGCGACGTGGTGAGGCAGTCTTCGTCGCAGCAGTCAGATAGTCAGGCTCCGGGTCAGCCTTCTTGGCGAGGCAGAATCCCGCCGCGACAGTAAAAGCAGTTGAGCCGCAGGCCCAAGCCGCCATGGCAGGCGCCCAGGAACGCGGAGGTTGGTCTATCCCGGCTGTTTCATCAGCTGCGTGATTTGGCTAAGTACAAGCCCCTGCCATGAGAAAATGACGTCCACAAAAACCCTCACTCATCACCGAGCAGAGGCACCGGCTCACAGTGCAACACCCACGATAGGCCGACGACTCTGCTCGGCGCTGGCCGAGGCCGGAGCAGCCCAGATGCTGTGCCGTCGCCCCTTTCGCTTCGGTTGAGGGCGCAGCAGCGTGTGGTCTTCGACGAGTCGGTGGCTTTTGACAGGTGTGCGGAGAAGTCGAGACGGGCTGGGCAGAGTGTGGCATTGCTCTTGGCGGACCACTATCTTATGCTCCACCGTCCTCGACGCTTTGCACTCAGGCGACGAGGCATTCAACCAGGGCCAAGCCCGAGTGCGTGCGCCATTGTCCCAGACCTCGTCCCATTCGACCCTCAGTGCCACGGTGCCACGGTGCCACCGCCACAGCTGTGGCGCAGTCCTCAACCTACGACGCTACGACTGGTGACTGCTTGAGCGACGTCATCCCATAGTCGTAGTCGGGCCCGAGTTAGATGATGGATGACTCGGGCAGTGCGCCGCCCAGCAGTCGCCCCCTCGAGCGCCGCGCAACCGTGGGCGAAGCATCGTCGCCATCGCACCAGCCACACCGCTGGCGCCCACGAAGCAAGTCCGTATCGAACGCGTGCGAGCGGTGCAGGCGCCGCAAGATCCGCTGCGATGGGGAGGTCGGCCCCTGCTCCACCTGCGTCCGCTTCTGCGTGGCTTGCGTCCGTCCGCCCAAGCTGAAAGTGTGAGTCTCGTGCCGTGCTCCACCACCTCCGCGCTTGTTGCTGACCGAGACAACACAGCGGTGCCCACCGGGCTCTGGCCAGCCGCATCCACCAGCTCGAGGCGCAGCTGGCCGACTTGGGTGACGCACACAGTCCCGCCTGGAGTGACTCGATTCCAACCACATCGCTGCACCTCGACACCACTTTCAACTCCCCGCAGCCTTCCCTCTCCTGGGACTTTTCACCATCCACCCACTCTGCCGCCGCCAGTCCAGCCATCCAGCAGCCCGACATCCCCACCATCGAGATCTCCGAGTGCGGAGGGCCCGCCTCTCCAACTTTACTCTCCCCGGCTCCCTCTTTACTTTCCGCCAACTCCCGCTGCTCGACCCCGGACCCGTACACCATCACGACCCCCATCATTCTCGGCTGCTCCGCCGCCCAGCTCGCGCCGCCTCTGCTGGCATCCCCCGTCTCCCCGCCCGTCTCCGCCTACGGCAGCAGCCAGCGAAGCCAGTGGGACTTTTCTCCCCTTTTCCACGGCGACGCCAGCAACGATGGTGCCTGTTACCTGAGCCCTCCTCCCGCCGACCGCGGCGGGGATCCGTCGTCGCTCTCGCGGCGCTCGTCCATCTCATCGCTCGGTCTGGATCACGATTTCTACAACGCCGTCGCCCTGCACCCCTTCTCGCCCTTTGAAGAGGACCCGCTGCCGCTGCCGCCCTCCCCCTCGCCCAACGCCTTCGGCGAGCGGTCCCGACCGAACGCCAGCAGCCGCCCACCCACGACGACGCAGCCGCAGCCGCAGACGCAGACGCAGACGCCAACCAAGTTCGAAGCCGAGACGCTATCCGACATCTTCTTCGACGGCATCGACCCCAGCCGATGGCCCGTGGAGCCAGCGGTCCACCACGCCTGCCTGGACCGGGTGTACGACGACGACCACCATCATAATTTTCCAGAACTTAGCTACTCGCTGCGCATGGCGCGCTTCCTCGTCTTCATGACCCTGGCCGTCGGGATGCGCTTGCGGCAGCGGCAGGCTGGCGCCCGTGGTACTGGTGGACGTGGTGGTTTCGCCCGGGTGAGTGAGAAGACGTCGACGGAAGGCAATGCGCTGCTGGGCAGCTGCTATGGGCTCGCGATGCGGCAGGCGGAATGCGCTGAGTTTTGGTGCGAGGTTGGGGCTGGGGAAGCCGCGGCGCTGTTGGCTTTGTTTGCGGCTGAGAGCGGCGGCGGAGTGGTGCAGGGGCAGGGGCTGGAGGAGACGGATTGCTGCGAGTGAAGGTCTTTGTTGGGGTTCTGTTGACGGGCGACTGTCCTGTCTGCTTCAGCTGCGTATGAAGAAAGACGGTTGAGAGCTATATCCATGTTGGCACTCTTGCTTCAGCCGCCCACACAAAGGACCGCCGTTGTTCAGCAGTGAAGTGGGTCATACGCCCACATCTGAATCATGATATCCGATACGATCTTGGAGGTTTCTTTGGCGCGCTTTTTCTCAAGTGTCAATCCATATGGTCTGCGTGGCGACATTGTTATCTTTCGCCTTGGCAGTGCCGGATGTAGAATCGGGATTGATGGTTCAGTAGAGCGTCGAGAGACGTCTTTGATTGCATGGCACCGCTCTACCATGAGACATGCCTTGGACGATTATTATGCAGGCGCTTCTCCAGCAGCAAGGAGGCTCTAAACCTTGGCGCTGTCGTCAAAGGTTGTGGATCCGCCGTATCCCGAAATTGATGCACGGCGGAGCGCTTGCTCAGGTGGCGACCATCCCACGCCGCCATTGGCCGTCAACTACAAGCACTTACTGAACAGGGAAAGCCTCTGCAAGTTAGGTCCAAAACATAGTCTTGGCATCTGTTTAGCTACATCCATGTGGATCTGCCGTTTCAAACATGTCGTCGTCTATGGGCATCGAATAAGCCAAGCAAAGTAGACGGAGTTCTCCTATCTGCTCGCAGCTGAAGAGATATAAACATCCAACATGGGCCGGTTACCGTATCTGCAGCAGCACGTTCGTTTCCTGTCTCCTTTCTCTTCCCTTCTGCTTCGAGCACCACTTTCCCTTCCTTCACTTCCCACCCAACACACAATCCCTTCACGATGCTGGCCATCGCCATCTCCCTCCTCTCGGCCCTCAGCGCCGCCAACGCCTACACCGTCATCAACCACGACCAATTCATGCGCAAGAACATCGACGCCCTCGTCAAGCCGGGCCAGTAGTACACCGCGCACATGCACTCCTTCTTCGGCTCCGACGCCATCACAAAAGACAAGCCCACCTCCGCCCAGCTGCAGCAGGGCTGCCCCTCGGGCGAGAACCCCAACGACCTCTCCGCCTACTGGGTCCCCACACTCTACCACGTCGCCGCCTCTGGCTCCCGCACCGAAGTCCCCCCCCCCCATGCGCTTCAGCACCTACTACGAAAACATCCTCTACGCCGACGCGCCCATCCCGCAGGACTTCTCCGCCATCGCCGGCTCCGCCCGCGCCACCACCCAATCCGACCTCGACGACGCCACAACCGTCGCCCTCTCCTAGTTCTGCGAAGGCGACGACGCCCGCCACGACAGCGCCGCGCACAACAACCTCAAAGACCCCCGCCGCCTTTCCCCACCGCCACCTGCGCCTGCAACCTACCTGCAGACCTACTTCATCTTCCCAGACCGACCGAACTGCGTTGACCCCGCCTCGCTCGACGCCACCGCCAACGCAACCCACTCCGCCTCGGCGCACCGCCACCCGCAACTGCTGCCCCCGCCGGCTGGCACCGGCCGCATCCCGCGGCTCCGCTTCTCCGTCCGCTACGACTTTGAGAGAAAAATCCCCGGGCGGCTGGAATGAATGGGGCGCGCCGCCGCTCGAGCTCGCGAGCGGGATGTCGTACGGCATGCATGGCGATTTCGTCAACGGCTGGTTCGAGGACGCCCGGCGGCGAGGAAGATGTTGGTGGGTGCGGGGGAGAAGAAGAAGGTGTTTGCGGCGGTGGGTGGGGCGCGCGGTGGGGGAAGAGCGGGGCGGGCTGCGTGCCGGGGGATGCGGATCCCGGGAGTGGGGACGGGGGATTGTGAGGAGAGTTTGGCGATGATGGGGATGGGGAAGGCGAGGAGGGCGAGGAGGAGGGGGTTTGCGGCGAGGAGGGCGGCGGCGGAGGCGGCGAGGGAGGATTAGGGGGGTGGTGCGGGTGCGGGCGGGTGACGTTGAGGGAGGGGAGGGGGCTAGGGGGGTTGCGGTGGGAGTGGTTTTTTTCTTCATGTATGGAGATGAGGTGGTTGTCGGAGCGGGGTATAATCACCTTTCTTTCGCTCCTCGTTTCATTCATTTAGTGAATATGGTATGCTGGGGCTCGGTGGGGGTGTCAAACTCCTCCTCGTTGACTCTTCGATCCGCTCTGGATACCCCCGCCAACCCGATCATCGCCCCGCCTCCACATCCACCTCTTCTACCTCGACCGTACCAGATAGCAATGTTCCGCCAGCCAAGGCCTTGTCGGATGAAGCAGCAATTCTCTTCAGCCTTAGATGTTCCAAATCCTCCAAGTCCAACATTGCGATTGCGAAACAGTCTAGCATCGCTGCATGTAGTTGGTGCTCGAAGACACCTGCTCGGCCAAGTGTAGCCGCATGATGAGATCCATGGCCGTTGTGTTTGCTAATTTTGAGATGTCTGGTATACCACATTCTCCAGGTTCGACGAGTACAGCGTTGCCGGTTAGTGTCGACATACGGGAGGAGAAGGTGTTTATAACCGCGAGGACTCCTAAGGTATCAAGCGCGAATATTGCGAGCGGAAGAATACGACAATATGGTCTCTCCGCAGTAGACCTCCATGCGTAGAGAATCAGGGCCAAACTCTAGATTCCGCTGGCACCGTTGGCTGCGTTGCGAAGAACGGCTTGTCGTTGATGATGGAGGCCATCTTTCGACGCTTGGGCAGAATAAAAGTAGTGGAAGACGAAGCATCCAACTCTCCAGAAATGCGTGCCGACGAGGCTGATAAAGAGTGAAAGAAAGGCGATTAGAAGACTTCCGTCCGCAGGTGTAGTCGTCAGAGTAGCTCCAAACATCCTCCCCTGCGACCAGTTTGTCCACATGCCCGTGTATACGCGATATGATGCGGAGTCCATGGTCGGTACTGAATATGGTCGAGTAGATGCTTCGAGATGGCCTTTTCCAAGGGCGGGTACGAAGAGATAGTAAGGTGCTGCAAGGATGGAAGCTTAAGCAAAACATGGCTGATCCACTGATAGATTCTTGCTAAATTTATATCCAGTGATATCATGCTGTACCACGTCGAAAGCCACCTCTTCCGATTCGCTTGGGGGGCGCTTTGCTCGGTTGAAATAGTACCACAATCGGTTCAGGTCCATTATCGTTACACAGCAGGTGCAAGGCATGTTACCAGCATGGGAAGCATCCGCAAGTTCACCGAGCAAGCACTGGAGCGGTCTCCCCTCCCCAACTCCATGCCCGGAGCCTCCCCTCTCCTGAAGACGACCCGCCCCACGCTACCAGCCCTCAAGCAGCGCATCCCGCTTGCACTCGGCGACGCCGTCCTCATGGCTGACATGATGACTGCGTATCGACTATGCTTCTACTTAGTCGACGTGCGAAGATATACGGACTTTGACCGCAGTAGTAGACAACATTGTCTCTGAATGCAACCGAAAGCACTCGGTTGTTTCCAGCCTCAAAGCCTTGTTGAAGGCTCATGACGGATACCAGTTCCCAACCGGCTCCTCTCTCGCGCTCCACCCAGATCTTGACCGTTCCGTCATACGACCCCGACACAAGCAGCTCTTCACCTCCATCGACAACACCCGCCCGCACCGACCTCACAACGTTGGTGCCATGCGCATCGAAAGACATCAACTCAGCCCCAGCCTCGACATCGAACACCCCCACCTTGCCACCCGAGTGCGCAGAAAACAGACGCCTCCCGTCGCGCGACAGCGCCAGCGAGCAGATGCCCCGGCGGCCCCCAGCCCCAGCTCCCAGCTCCCCAAAATCCTCCGCCGTCGTCTCCTCTCCGTCCCCGTCTCCGCCCATCCGCCAGCGCCGCAGCGCCCCATCCCCCGCTCCGACATACACATCCCTCTCACCAACACCCCCCAGCACCACCGCAATCGCCGCGGCCTTCATCTTCCCGAGCATCTCGCACGAGGGCGGCGTGGAATCGTCCCAACATGAACCGGCCTCCGCCGCCCCCGCTCCCGCCCCCGCTCCCGCTCCCCCCGTCTCGCTTCTCCCCAGCCTCGACGCCTCACGCACATCCCACACCCCCACCCCCCCGTCCTTCCCTCCCGTAACCAAAACCTCCCCACCCAACGCCACCCCCAGCACCGCACCGCCGCCGCCGCCCGCGCTCGCCCTCCACCGCCCTTGCACCCGCGCCGACGACAAGCGCCACAGCACGACCCACCCGTCGACGTCGCACGTGGCGAAGCGGTCCGTCGCCTCGTGCGCGCTGACGCAGAGGATGGATGAGGCGTGGGGTGCTGCTGCTGCTGGGGGGTACTGGGTGCCGGGCGCCGCGAGGTCCCAGACGCGGATGCTGCGGTCGCGGCTGCAGCTGATGAGGCGGTGGGATGTGATGGCCAGGTGGTAGATGTCGGCGGTGTGGGCTGCGGGTGAGGATGAGGATGAAGGGGATGCGGGCGCGTCCGCCGTGGAGGGGGAGGGGGCGGGGGAGGGGCTGGTGGGGGGGAAGGTGTGGGTGTGGGTGTGGGCGAGGGTTGGGGCGGGCATATTGGTGGGATGGGAGAAGTGTGTGTTTGTGTGTTTGTGTGATGTTGTTTGTGGTGGGTTGGAGTGGGATGGATGGATGGATGTGTACGTACCTACCTACGAAACAGTGGGTACTTATTCACGGGCCGATCTCTTGTTTAGGCAGCGATGCTATTTTTATCGCTGGTCCACCTTACCTCGAGACCCGTATCTAGATTCTTGGGCTCAGCATTTTTGGACATTATATAACTCGCATGCTTCATGATGAGGAGGGTCAAAGAGAAGGGCCCTTGTACTCTCCACTGCAAAATTGCCCGACGATGGTTTCGCCCCGGTAATGCAGGCAAATCGGTCACAACATGGCACCTGATGCCATCAGCGCAATTCCATATGTTTCACCACTCAAGGGCTACGGTTTGTACTTGAAACCTGACAGACAGCCATCTGGCAGTAAGTTCTACCGACACAGTATGCATTAGCGCTTGGTCGCCGGCTCCCCGCCTCCAATGCAGATTGTGATAGGCGCACCCCCGACGCCACTTACGTGAGACTCTGACGGCCACGCATATCAATCATGGACCACGTCAGTGTCTGGATGCTGCGGTTCGTCGTCGGGAGAAAAATATTGCCTGTGTTTCACCACAGACATGCGCGAGCTCGTCTCACGCCGTGTACGTCGTGTGCTCTGCAAGTGATTGAATCCCACCTGCATGGGATGGCGAAACCATTGCATGTGTAGACCGGGTCCCTGAAAGCAACTGACGCGAAGTGTACCGTTACTCCCCGCTCGCCGATAGCCCAGACTACACCATCCAGCTGAAAGATGATCGCCCCTTCCTACACATGCTGGTCCCCCGACAGTTACACGCTCATGAAAAGCTGGTGATAATCGGTCTCTGTAAGCTTGCTTACCTACATCTTCACCAATGGCGATTGAGAAACATTCCAATTCCACATCTCACCATTTGAAATGAGAAACGTGATCAGCCCAGTCGAACACATGCCACCGCTCTTTCCCCGCCCCCAGCCTTGGCTGCATGCGATGCTCCCCATGGTACGCCGCGAGCACATGCGAGTTCCGTATAACTTGACATGTCCTCCCACGTCAACCGCCGTTGTTGGATTTTGCCGCCGCGATGCTGCCCAGCACACCCGCTTTCTACCTGGGAGCAGTCGTCGTTTCTCTCGCGTTATTGCCACACACCTTGGGCCAAGATGTTGATCCAGTCACAAACAGATGCGCGCGCTGGCATCATGCAGGCAAGTACGCACCTTGGAACTCCTTCACACGTACTGACTCTGTTCTTTTAGCAATGGTGAGGCGAGACTCCATCTTTCTCGATGGTGGAGTGCAGACTCTTCGCAGCAACAACACGACGTCGCTCACATTCAGTGCGTCCAGTCAGCAGTGAACGCCAGAAAACTCAACTAACCACGCGGCAGGCAAATACATATACGAGCTGGACGTCGGGAAGTCATGGGACGTCAACACAAACTTCACCGAGTCGAGGATCGGAAGGTACGCAGGCACCGACACCAACGCCAACCCTCCGAATATGCTTCGCGGCGCCCTCTATGCCGCAAACCGCGAGACCAACAAGCTCTTCACCTTCGGAGGATCCAGCTTCCTGGCCAACGATTCCGACCCGGACTGGGAGCCCCCGAGCCAGGATGCCACCTCGCTGTGGTCCTACGACACCGAGATCCGAGACTGGCATTCGTACAACATAACCACCATCCCCTGGCGCCCAAACTGGGGAGCAGTAGCCGAGGACATTGTGCACGACATCGGCTTCTTCCTCAATGGCCAGTACGACCGGGGATCATCCTATGGACTCTACACCAGCGTCGAGTACGAGGGAGGCAAGGTGTCGAACGCGTCCTTTGACGAGATCCGATACCTCGGTGGCCTGATCATGATCGATCTGCACACGCAGGAGACGAGGAACCTGTCGACCGAGTCCCTCGGCGCCCCTCGAGTAGCGGGCGGATTGGTCTACTCGCCGACCTTCGGCAAGACTGCCAACGGGACACTTCTGGCTTTCGGCGGCATGCGCAGCAGCGGCCAGTCAGTCGACACGTTTACGAACGGCGACTTGGTATGTCAACCGCACCGTAGGCACCTTTTGGCGCAGCTGACCCGTGCAGATTGACATGACGACCATCTCCCTCTGCGACAGCTTCATGGACGAGAACGTCACCTGGTTCAACCAATCCACCACGGGCGACACGCCACCCCCGCGCATGGATTTCTGCACCCTTCCGTTCGAGAAGGACGCCAAGGACAACTCCAGCATCAACATGTGCGGCAGCAACCCTCCATACGCCCACGGCGATTCACGATGCTGACAGAAAGCAGTTACATCCACGGCGGCTACGACCCCGGCACGTCCACGCTCTACGACGACATGTACATCCTCTCCGTGCCGTCCTTCACGTGGACGAAAGTGTACTCTGGCACGGACGGCCGCTTCGGCCACTCGTGCAACGCCGCCGGCCTGCGGCAGATGGTCGTCACCGGCGGCGCGCGCGACGCCAGCCTCTACGCCGTCGAGACGACGGGCGCCGTGCCCGACCTCGATGCCACGACCTGCAACGACGGGCTGGGCGTCAGCCTGTTCGACCTGACGAACCTCACGTGGGGCACGTTTTTCGACCACGACGCCCCCGCGTACCAGGTCCCGCAGAAAGTCGTCGACGTGATTGGCGGGTCGTAAGTCCTCTCTCTCTCTCTCTCTCTCTCTCTCTCTCTCTCTCTCTCTCTCCCTCCCTCCCTCTCTTCCCCTCCCGTCTCAAACAACGCACCTAACCACCACCAGCCCCGACGGCGCCGCCACCATGACCCAGCCCGCAAACGGCTTCGCCCACCCCGCCATCTACACCATGTTCCACCCCCCACCAACCCCCACCACCACCACCACCTCCTCCTCCTCCACCACCACCCCCTCAGCCAGCACCATCACCGGCGCAGCAATCGGCTCCATCGCCGGCGCAGCACTCCTCCTCACCGCCGTCATCTGGCTCGTCCTCAGACGGCGCAAGCGGCGACGACGACGATTGCAGCGCGAAAGCGAGCGCTGCCGGGCCAGCTCGGTGGGCACCGGCACCACCGCCATCTCGGAGCTGCAGGGCGGCCAGCCGGTTGAGGTGCACGAGAAGGCTGCGGCGATGCCGTTGGGGGCGGTTGATGAGGAGGAGCCCGAGCCGCAGGAGCTGGAGGCGGCGGAGAGGGTGGAGTTGCCGGCGGCGGATGAGACGGTGTTGCGGGAGAAGGAGGGTGGTGGTGGTGGTGGTACGGGGCGGGATGGGTAGGAGGATGAGCTCGGGGAGGTGGGGGAAAGGGGACGTCGCTGAGTTTGGGGTAGTTGAGGAGGTTTGCCGCTGAGGGTGTTGGGGAGGGTGGGGAGGGTGGCAGCAGTGGCGCGGAGAGAGTGTTTGTGTTGGCTTGTGGTGATAATTCAGATTGCAGCCGTCGGGTGTTACTGATCAGACACTGCCTGTTTCGGTCAGGTAGCGATACTTTTGTATAGAGTAGTAGTTGCTTTAGCACCCCGAAAGAAGAAACGATATGCGGGCCACTCAGCCTACCACCACTCTACCCGTTGCGAAGCATAATCAATTGGGTGGCGGCGAATAGGTTGTGTCGTCGTCGTCGTACCGCCGGCTCGTGACGGCGAAGTCCCGGTCAATTGGTAGGAGATAAGAGCTGTGCAACCGTCTTCTGGCAGAAAGAACATGGCAACGACTACACTGTTGGAACAAGGTGTGTGAACAGCGCTAACATCGGACGTGAATAGATACAAAAGTCGAGACTGACCGACGGCCTGGCACCCCAGACGGGTGCGACACAGCGTTTGCGATGAATTGGCACTGTAGGCGCTGGGTGCCTTGTATTTATTAAGTGTCGAGTGAGGCCGCGCCAGCCTTCACGTCACTGCTGGGGCCGTGGTCCAATCAAGGGGGCGTGGGTGCCTGTGCGTGCCTCACGAAGGACGTTTCGAAACACAGCCTAGCCCCACACTTGTTCCACCACCCCATCTCGGTGCCGGCTTCCGCCCGTTCGGTGGCGCCGCCTCGCTATGGAAAATGCGGAGATTCCGCCGCTGCGAGGCCGCCACTGTTCGAGACCCCAAGGCCTTCCAGGGGCCCCTAATTGAGCCCTCCTGCGCCCTCAGCGCCTCGGGGTACGTGCCCCTCGTGCCTTCGAGCCGCCGGTCCGCGAATCGAAACACTCCTCACTGCCACGGATCGCCGCCTTGGCTGGGCTTGAATGTCAGGATGCCTGACGCCCGTCGCCTTGACATGTATAAGAAAGGCGTCTTGTCCGCCACAAGCTTGAACACCAACAAACACAACACATTCGCTCTCAACTACCAACCACTCGTTGCCCACCACCACCACCATGTTCAAGCTCACCACCGTCCTCGCCGTCCTGGCCGTCACCGCCTCGGCCACGCTCGACCCGGCCACGTCCAACACCAAGGGCAAGTACCCGGCCAGCCCCGGCTGCTCGCCCGAGAAGACCAGCACCGCCATCCAGGCCGCCGAGTGCGCGTACAACACGCGCGTGTCGGGCACGCAGACCTTCGCCGTCTTCAAGACCGACCACCAGTACGACAGCTCCAACGGCGCCCCCTACGGCACCTGCGAGGCCTACACCTGCACCGCTCCCACCAGCGACGAGCTGACCAGCGGCGAGGACTACTGGACCTTTTACTGGGGGTGAGTTGCCTTTTTTTCTTCTCCCCCTTCTTCTTCTTCTTCTTCTTCTTCTTCTTCTTTCCTGAGACCGTCGACTGACATCGCATCCCTGCTAGCTCCAACGGCGAGGACTCTGGCGTCGGCACTACTTGCATCAAGAGCCCCGATGACGGCACCTGCGGCTGCGAGAACTCGGACGGCACTTTCGTCTATGGTAGCAGTGACTGCACTTAAGCTTTCTCTGTTGCAATGGCGTTTTTCTGAAAAGTAAAACGTTCATGGGGTCATGTCTTTCAGTTGTATATGGTAGCCACTTGATGATGTTCAAAAAAAAAAGAGAAAGCGTGGACAGCTGTACGGAAGTGCAGAGTCAGCGCGGATCAGTGTCGAATGAAAATCCTGTTAGCAGTACAAATTTGCAAGCGTACCTTGAGTGAGAACGACAGAAAAGTGTCACCATCAGCATGTTATTCGTAATGAAGTTTGCTCTCTCCACTGAGAAAAAGAGAAGCGAGAAGAAACGCGAATTCCAACACGAATAGGACTGAAACCGTAGCTCGCCAATCGCTTCATGACACGCAAGGCGCAATGATCTACAGACAAGCTTTTCAGAGTCATGGCAACACTGCCGCATTGCTTTGAAGACGCCAGTAGATGTAGGTCGTCAGTTGACTTCCTCCGCAACCATGCGTTTTGAGAGACGGTAGAACTCCGTGGCCTTTTTATCTTTTTCCGTTCTCAATAAGCCAACTCAGATCCAACTTGACGATGAGAACACACCCGCAGCAAGGGTCTTCTCGAACGCATTTTGTGGAAAACGTTTTGGAGCTTGATATCAACTCTACTATTGTCAGTTTCTTTGTATCTATATTGATGTTCAGAAATATTTAGCTGTTCATAAATAGTCCGGTCCGCTCTATCAAAGGGATTGGAGGTAATTTAGATAGACAGTCTTCTTTGTTAGTAGTTGCATACACCGAGGTTTCTGTCGAAAGCTGGTGGATTCTCCAATGTGTAATTCACCCTGAATCCAGTGTCTGGGTTAAAGTCATCGTAAACAAAGTCGTCCCTTGGAATACTGTTTCCATCATGCGTAAGTGACTCGGTGTTTTCACTGCCCTTTGTTGCAAAGGTCGGCATGCATCAGGGTCCCCAGAAACGCACGGTCTTGTCTCGCCCTGATGCCATGACGATGATCTCAAGCCAAACATGTTCCGCTTTGGGCCTCCGTTTCGACCCTCTACAGAGCGACGGGAAAGGGGAGGAGTTTGGCAGAGTGACAGGCAGATGGAGATCTCGGTATACATTTAAACGGGCGAGCGGGCGGAAAGATGAAGGATCATTGACAGACTACCAGGATCAATTCTTCACTAAGCTACGCTGTCCCACTCTATGGTGTTCACGTTTTGATCCGAACGCTTACATCTACAGGAGACGCAATCTCGACACCCTCAATGATATCCTTTCTCTCGGCCTGAAAGTCGGCCAGTGCTGGTGCATCCGAGTGCTTGGTGCCGTCAAATATTTCATCAACCTCCTCGAGAGTCAACCCTTTCGTCTCTACCCAGAAGTATGCAATGAAAGCCCAGAGCAGCACGTTGAACGTTGCGTTGATCATGTAGGTTTTCCACCCAATGACCTCAAGTGCGAACGGAAAGGCGAATGTCTGCACGGAAGTGAGCTTCGGGCTGCCGTAATAGAGGCCATCAAACACTTACAACAAGGAGTCCACATCCCTTGGATACAACCGTGGCGATGGACATACCTGTCGCTCGAACAGAGTAGGACAGTACCTCGGGCTGGTACATGACTGTGAGGGGCGTGATACCGAACGAGTATGCGCCAAGAAAGAGGAAGATGCACGCAATGGTTCCGTAGATACCGGATGCGTTGGTGCTCTCGCCGTATCTCGCAGTCAGGCCACCCAACATGTAGAAGAAGACGGTGCAGGAGCCCAAGGAACAAAGAGCCAGCATTCGCCGTCCGATCCTCTCGGCTAGAATGGAGCCGGAGAATGCCACGACGAGTTGCCATGCTGATAGGATGACGTTGATTTGAAGCTGCGTGTTTGCGTCTGTGATTCCAGCTTGCTCAAGCATTGTGCTGAAATAAAAGCTGTATAAATGATCAGCGGAGGCTCTCATGGCTGGATGGAGGCAACTCTTACGTGATGATGTTGGAGCCAGTCAACATTGCGAGGGGAGCAACTGAAACGGCCAGCATCAGTCTCCTCAGGTTGCTCTTCTTGATTACCTCTGAGTACCCAAGCTTTTGGCCGTCAGACTTTTCGAAAGCAATCGTGTCCATGATCTCCCGATATTGAATCTGGACGTTGGGGTCACTCTCGTTTGCCCCGTTAATAGCAGATAATACACTGAGCGCTTCATCAGATCTACTCTTGTATGCAAGCCAGCGTGGGGACTCTGGCAGGGCGAATAGCACAAGAATTGCCATGACGGACGGAACTGCTTGGATGAGAGAGGGTGTTCTCCAAGACCAGTCCGAGTTTTCCATTGATGCCGTCTACCAGAATGTGAGTATTTCCTCGCAGCGTTCGTGCTCAGACTTACACCATAGCAAACTCCAGCTGCAAGCAATGCACCCACCGCCCAGCATGTAAAGTACAGCCCCAGTGCAAATGCACGGATCCTTGAAGGCACTGTCTCTGCAACGTACGTGGCTGCGGATGTTTGAGCGAGGCCAGATCCAGCGCCGATGAGCAGGCGGCCGACGATAAACATGGCAATACCCTGTGCAGAACCTTGGAGGATGGCGCCTATGATCTGGACCAGAGCTGAGACGTAGATGCCGCATTTGCGCCCACGCCAATTGATAAGCGGTGCGGCGAGAGGGGACAACAGGATAGCGCCGATAAACGTGGCTGCCGTGTTAAGGGATGTGGTAGCTGTCGTCAAGGTGAAATAGTTGGCGTACGCAGGCATGGCATTGAGAGATCCCATCAAAGACCCGTCATATGCAATGGTGACCGAGTCGACAACACATACTGAAATGACCAGCGTGGTCGTCAGGGTCAAGCGTACCCCGAGATACTTGGACATTGCAACAGTCGAGCAGAATGAACTTGGGTAGCTCGACGAGGAAACCAGCGGGTCCACTGCCGGCTAATTTAAGCATTGTATCCTCGAGAAAACATACGACAGGCATGGGGAGAAACCGCTTGGCTTGCTTGCCGAGATGCCCCAATGAATGTCGTTGTTGTATGTATTGTGGAGGACATCCTTAGTAGGTCCGTCCATGTGATACCTGGCCGCCCGTTCCGGAGATGCACAACGGGGTTCCATGCACATATTGACCAGGGTCATGAAAAGATGCGGAGATTGTCTAAACCCGTTGCGGAAGGACAAAACGCTACTAAATATTAGATGCGAGGGAACGGCAGCGGGATTGGATCCTCGTGGAAACCGCTAATCAAATCGAGTGGTGGATTGGACATGTCTAACTAAAAGCTAAGGTGTGATGACCGGGTATCGTTTTGTGATAACACAACCCGGAAAATCAGGCGGGATGTCCGACGCAGCGCCGATTATCACTTGAAGCGTGATTGAGGCATGGCGTTGCATGCACTGAGGATGCGGAGAAGAGCGGGGTCGATAAGGCGACGAAAGTGGGCGGACGACGAACGCGGACTTTCGTGCATGGCGGCCGACTGTCAGCGCAATATCTTCCGCACAGTATCGTCCACCAGCTGGAGCTGGAGGTCGCCAACCTTGAGACTGATCAGTTACCTCAGTCCCACGCACGGATCAAACCACTGAGTCCAGCAGTAATAACACGGTGGATGAAAATGAATTCCACGCTATGATCATGGCAACTGCTCCGTCCGCCTCTGCCTTGAGTGACAGAATTTGGGTGAGCCTCTCCGCGGCAACTCCCATGGACACCACAAATGATCTTTTTGCCAGTCTCCCCAATCATCTCGTCTTCAGCTTTGTGAGGGAGTCCGTAGTCAACATTCTCCCCCAGTATCTTTTCTTCTCTGAACAGTTTGGATGACAGCAACTGAGCGCTGCCCCGTGCGCCGTCTGGGGTAACAGTCAATCCGCAACAGGCCATGCTTCTCTCACATCATTCAGACAAGGTAAAGCCGGTGACAAAGCAAAGTGGGAACGGACCTCGCGTGCTTTACCCGACGAGACGGAGATAGGCGGCAGCCTTATCAACCGCCCAGCTTCATGCCTTCTTACCCAGTTCAACGTACCTCGTCTGTTGCAAGTTCATAGATATCAACCCACCTCCACTTCGTACCATCTAATTGCCTATGAGAGCGTGTAATCATGGCACCCTCAGCCATCTCAACCTCAACATCAGCCATCCCGCAGGAAAAAGCCAAAGAGCATTCCAGCGGCGATCCTGACCTTGCATTTGTTCACGACGACACTACTGCGCCCCCAATCTTTTCGGATAAGCATGAAGAGCGGCGGTACCTAAAGCATCGCTTAGTGCTTGCTTTCCGAATTTTCGCCCAATTTGGCTTTTCCGAAGGCGTCGCCGGGCATATCACGATGAGGGATCCAGTCGATCCTACGAGCTTTTGGGTGAATCCTTTTGGTGCGCACCGATCACAACTTGATATTCAGTTCATCGTAGAGTTGACTATATCAAGGAATGCACTTTTCACTCATCACCGATGGCGATCTGATCCGAGTGGACCACGAAGGCAATGTTGTCGACGGCGGGAAAAACAGGAGACTGAACTACGGTAAGGATTCGTCCTTGAATGTAATTTTTGTATGATTAACACTCATGAAATGCAGCTGCCTACGCGATACACGCACAGATTCATCTTGCACGGCCAGACGTAGTGTGCGCCGCCCATGCTCATAGCGTTTACGGTCGGGCCTTTTGTGCAACTGGTGAGCAAAAGGCAAAACGAATGAGCGGCGATTAGAAGCTAACAACACACGTTCCGTCCTCTTTCAGGACGCACGCTCCTTCCGATAACCCAAGACTCATGTGTGTTCTACAACGACCACGTGCTATACCCGAACTTCGCCGGTGTTGTATTAGCAACCGAAGAAGGCCGGGCTATCGCACAGGCTCTTGGACCACGCAAGGCTGCGCTTCTGGGAAATCATGGTCTTTTGACAGCAGGTCCTTCGATCGAAGCGGTTGCCGCCTGGTTCGTCCTCCTGGAGAAGTGCTGTCAAGTACAGCTGGCGGCAGAGGCCTCCAATGCGGGAACGGGGAAGCCTCTGGTCGAGATTGGAGAAGAAGAGGCCAAGACGACATGGGAGACGTTGGGCCATGCTGAGGGTGGATACTGTAAGTTTTTCCACCTTTCGCAGTCTACACCGAAGCTAAACGCGAGCAGTCATGGGGTTGCCGCTTTTCCAAGTAGCTGAGAGAGAGTTTGGGGAACACACTTTCATGGGAAGAGGGCTGGAGCCTGCGTAGAATCCATGAATTGCGGCCGTGTCAAAGTCTCCATGAGTATTTCCCTTTTAGATGGTGCAAGGAATTCATGTCCCACCGGCTTTTGCAACCGGGGCTATCACCATGATGACGAGGGGCTGTGAACAGACATGCGCTCTTTCATTAGTGTTGAATGGTCGCCGTGCAGGTGATCAGGCAAACTATGAAGCAGCATATAGGGCTGGCAGGGTACGAAATATGTAGACGTAGTGATTGACACTTCAGATGACTTACGGAAGATGGAGTGTCGGCCGGCAATTTTCATCACCCCATCTTTTTGAAACCCACCTCTAAGGCGATTCATCACTCCGCAGATACAGGGTCAGTCTGCACGCGGGCACCCCTCACCTTAACTGGACCTAATTCGCTCATCTCCGCACCCCACTGTTGCTAGCTTCTTGCGCCAACTGCACCTCAGAACATCTCCTGATTGTGCATAACATTCCAAAAGTCCTCAACACAAGCCACCACAGGAAACTCCTTCTGCAACACTTCCATCCAATACCACCCCAGCAAAATGGGCAAAGTAGTTGCCGCCGTAGGGCTCTCCCACGCCCCAGGTCTGCCTCCTCCTCGTCAACCCCCCACCCCAACTTCCTCTAACAGTTCCCCGCGCGCGCACAGGAGCCATTGGCTTCCCGGAAACGGCACCGCCCGCCGCGCGCGCGCGCACCGAAGCGGCCACACGCGCGCTCGGGCAGACGCTCGTGGACGCGGCGCCCGACGTCATCATCGCCTTCCTGGACGACCACTTCGAAAACTTCTTCCGCACCAACATGCCCAGCATCGCCGTGGGCGTGGCGGCGACGCACAGCGGGCCGGCGGACCAGCTGCGCGAGGCGCTGCGCATCCCCGAACGGCACGTCTACGCGGGCAACCCGGGCGTGGCCGAGCACCTGCTCCGGTCGCTGGTGCACGACGGCGGCTTCGACGCGGCGCGGGTGGGGTCCTGCGAGTTTGGGCAGAACCTGCTGATGCCGTGGGTGCTGATGCGGCTCGAGGGAAGGCTGCCGCCCGATGTGAGCGTCGTGCCGGTGTACGTCAACGTCTTTACGCCGCCGCTGATCCGGTACGGGCGGGCGTATGCGCTGGGCGAGGCGGTGAGGCGGGCGGTTGAGGCGCTGCCGGATGCGTGTCGGGTGGCGTTCATGTGCACTGGGGGCTTGTCGCATTGGCCGCCGTACTGGAACCCGGGCCAGGCGGGGGAAGAGCCGGAAGATGCTTTTCTGGCGAAGATGAAGGAGTACCAGACGTTTGGGCCGAGCGTGCTGCAGCGGTACCCGAGGCTGTTTGTCGAGTTGGACGAGTACGAGATGGAGATGGCGAGGAAGAACGAGTATCCGCTGAACGCGAAGCATCCGCTCATCAACGAGGACTGGGACAGGAAGTTCCTGCAACGCTACTGTGAGGGTGATAGCGAGTGGCTGCGCAACCTCAGCTATGAGGAAGTCGAGGAGGAGGCCGGCCACGGTGGCCATGAGGTCCTGAACTACGTGGCCATGTCCGGAGCCATGGGTGGGAAGAGAGCACGGCTGCTGCTGTACGAGCCTGTTCTCGAGTGGATCTGTGGCATGGCTTACGTAGACTTTGAAGTGGGCAAGGGAGAATAACTCTTCTCCATGGGAGACGATGAATCATGGGGGGCTTGGTACTTGCGTAGGTAATTTATTTGCCAGCCTTCCTGGGTTGGCTACGGCCACACGTGGCTCAGAATCGAACAGCCAGGCGTGGGCTGTCACTTGACACTTGGAAGAATGAAGGCGCGCGTGTTTCGAGGACCCTGCCGAGCACATAAAAGAACGTGGGCTTGCGTCTCCAAACCGCAGCCAACCACTGACAACATCCAATACGCTCACCCAGGCTGACCACATTCTACATCAATCATGGGCACCCGCCACCTCGTCCTCGTCTACTACAACGGCGCGTACCACATTGCGCAGTACGGCCAGTTCGACGGCTACCCGGCAGGTTCAGGCGCGCAGATCCTCCGCTTCATCTCGGACCCCGCCAAAGTAGCCAAGCTGAAGGCAGTCCTGTCCAACGCCGACGCGATGCTCTACACACCGACCGAGGAGCAGTGCCAGCAGTTGGACCCCGAGATTCACCCCTCCATGTCGATCAGCACGGGTGGTGCCATCCTCGAAACGGTCGCCAACGCTACCGAGCCCGTGCCCATCATCAAGGAAATGTGGTTTCTAGCCGATCAGGTATCCTGCGAGTGGGTCTACTGCGTCGATTTGGATGATGGGGTGCTCGAGGTGTACAGTGGTTCAAATGGCACGCCGGTGAAGGATCAATACGAGTCGCGGTTCGAGGGTCTGGTGGACTGGAAGGAGGTCAGGAAGTGGGTGGATGGTTTGCACGAGATGATAGGTCTACCGAGGATGATTGGAAGGTTCCCCTTTGCCCAGCTGCCTGATGAAGACGGCTTCATCAACGCCCTCCCTGATGGAGACGGCATCCTCAACGCCCTCGATGATGAAGACGACTCCGTCAACGCCCTCGATGATGAAGACGGCTCCATCAACGCCCTCGACGACGAAGACGGCTCCATCAACGCCCTCGAGTAGGTGGGTGGGGAAGCGGAAGGCGGCAACAGCGTGCGGGCGTAGCAGGAGACAAGGCCTATGGCCAATCTAGATACGGTGGTGAATAAAATAACGGTGCATGGATTTGGAATCGAGATGGTGATGGTGACTGACGGTGGAGGCTTGGCGGCGCGTCGTTGGTTAACACGAAACGCGTCGCCAAGACGCGTGCGCACGGGCCGTCTCTGAGCTTATCCTCCAACCTCGGGCGCCGCTCCTCCACACTTTTACATCATCATCCGCCTCCGACCACCGTCACCCTGTCGCATCATCCGACCGCACATCGCGTGCGCGTACACTCGCTTCACCGCCCGCAGAGCCGATTCCATGTGGTACATACAACTCCTTGGCCTCCGCAACCGAGCCAGGGCTGCTCGCGAAAAAGAGCCCGGAGGGTGGTGGGGTGGGTATCGAGCTGCTTCATAGGCTACCCATCCAGGGTCGGCCGGGCTGTGCTACTCGTCGGCGCTGGTGTCGGATTTCGCAGTCATGCCATCTGGCCAGGCTTCACTCGCTGCAGGTGCCTGCCGGCTCTCCTGTCCTGTCGAAAAGTCTGGGGCTGTAGACTGAAACGTCGTCGACTGCGTTTCTCTCACCTCGTGCCGTCGGTGTCTGCCAGCGTGGAATGCTCGGGCGGAGCCAAGGCTGCTCCGGGGACTGAAACACGTCCCTCAAAGCCTGGGTGGGCGGGATTCCTGCGCATTATTACTGCCCAGGGGTTTTCATTTCGTCGGCCCTGCTTGCTGACTGTTCTTTTCGCAGATGTACATACATGCCCGCCTCGACCCCGCTCCTCCCCTTCGCCCCGGCCTTTGTTGAGTGGCACTGCCCCGACCAAAATGCCACCCTCTATCTCGGCCACCGCCATCCACGCCCACCCTGTCAGCTAGCCCTCGAGATCCGCTTCGACGAGGCCGAGAGTGCCGCCTTTTTCAAGCTCCGCACCCCCGTCGCCCTCAAAGCATGCCCCAAAAAGACAAACATCCTTGCCTTCATCCTCCCAGACCGCATCCTCACCCTGCATGGCGAGGCCGATCCCGATCTCGATACCACCATCGTCCCGGCCCATGTCCGGCGAGGCCTGGTGCAGGCGAAAGCATGCTTCCCATCCGACCCCATCTGCAGCCTCCGCTTCGCCCTCTCCAACCCACCCGTCGTCATCGTCCCAGCCGCAACGTCGCTCACCCCGGCGACCGCAGCTTCAGGCGACATCCTGGGCTCGCTGCGGTCCTTCGCCCAAGCCACTGAGTTCACCGTGTATTTCCCCCGCAAGCAGATAGCCCAGGAGAGCCTGAAATCCCTCTGCACCCTAGCCCATGATGCTGGTCTGAAGCCCATAGCCCGCCAGCTGGACATTACGGGCCTGCACAAAGGCCAGGGCGCCGAGATGGTTGAGGGTGCCGACCTGCACATCCCCAACCCAGGTGTCGAGAGCCCGCCGTCATACGACGAGCTCGCCCTTCCTGCCCCTCCTCCCGCGCCCATTTCTCGAGAAGGCGCGAAGGGCAGGGCGCGCGATTCTCCCGCGCCCGACCCAATCGCGTCGTTATCCTCGGAGAAGGTAGGCGAGCAACAACAGCAGCAGCAGGAACAGGAGGCTCTAGAAGACGAAGCGGTGCCGTTATATGACGAGCTTGCTCCTTCTCCTCCCCCTCCACCCGTCTCAGGCAAAGGCACGAAGGGCAGCAGGGCGCGCGAGTTCCCAACCGCGGGCCCGGACGCGAAAAGGCCCAAGCTCACTCCTCCGGCCGCGACCTCGGAGGACGTGGACGTAGGCGTGCAAGGCGCGCAACAGCAGCCGCAGACCGCGCCGCTGGCAGACCAAGTGGCGCGGCTCGTGCACGCGGCGCTCGACGGCCTCCGCGCCGAGATGCGGCAGGAAATGCGCGACGGCCTGGCGCGACTGGAAAGGAAGTTCGAGGCACGTGTCGACGAGGTGGCCGAGGAGCTGCGCGCCGAGGCCGACGACGCCATGAACGACCTGCGCGACGAGACGGACGAGGTGACGGACGTGCGCATAGACGAGCAGATGATGCACGTCAAGGACGAGCTGAGGGAGTACGTGGCCGAGGAGATGAGGGACGTCGAGGAGAAGCTGAGGGAGAGGATCTGCGGGGCGAATCTGATGCTGAGCTTTGAATGATCTCTCTCTACCTCTCCCTTGTGACCAACCGGGATTGTACGCATTGTTGAGTAAGTTGGTTTTTGGGGAGGCGTGAAAGTGATAGATGCGTGCGTGCCGTTGGTGGGCTGGCGGGACTCATGGCAGGACCATGCCATCCATACCCGTCGTCAAGCATGAATCATGAATTCTTATTATTCTCTGATCCTCCTCGGCGGGGGGTCGAGCGCCGCTGGCATCCCAAGGGTGGATTTGCAGGAATCTCTACCAGCCTGGCCGGTTACGGACATTAGACCGTGAGGCGGGCGTCGCAAGTCTGCATGGCCTAAATGGCGGGATTGCTATATGTAGGTGTTGAAGTATGTACAAAAACAACGTAAAAGTTCAACCACCCTTGCAAGTAGGGCGTAACATCCTTTGATCAGTCAGTCGGATCAGTGCATCCAGGAAGAAGGCAAAAGAAGAGAGAAGAAAAAAATCAACATCAATGGATGAAGATATCCTTCACCTCCGCCGCCTTCTGGAGCGCGTCACCCGCCGTCTCCAGGACCAGCCCGACCCGCCTGTAGTGCCCGGCCTGCTCCTGCTCCTGCTCCTGCTCCTGCTCCTGCTCCTGCTCCTGCTCCAGCGCTTCCAGCAGCAGCGATCCGACCCACCTGACGCCGTCCCTGCGCAGCGGCACCACGTACAACGGCCCGAGAGGGGGGCGGCGGCGGCGGCGGCGGCGGCGGCGGCGTTCTGCATCCGCAGCACACTCGTCGGCCAGCGCGGCCCCGACGACGCTCCCATCGGCGGCGAACAGCGGCCACTCAACGACGCCGCCATCATCATCGGCGGCCGCCACCGCACGCCGCCGCCGCCGTCTGTCTCCCTTCCCCTCGTCCCCCTCGTCCTGGTGCTCCCCCTCGTGCTCCTCCCCCTCGTGCTTCTCCTCCCCCTCGTGCTCCTCCTCCTCCTCCTCCTCCTCGCCCCCCTCCTGCCCCTCCTCCTCGCTCCTTCCCCCCGCCGCCTCCGCCACCGACAACCTCCAAGCAAACACCCTCACGCACAGCCCACGCAACGCAACCACCCCCGTCTCCTCGACGATCGAGCACCACTCGTACGCGCGCTCCCACGCCCACGCGCGCGCCGGCGCCGGCGCCACGACGAACCGGACGGCGGCATCGACCGAGGCCCACGACCAAGACGGGATGGTGGTGGTGGTGATGATGCCCGCGTCGTCGTCGTCGTCGTCGTCCTCGTCGTCGTCGCCGTCGCGCAGGGGGGTCGAGCAACGGGTGGTCGAGCGGGCGGGGGGCAGAGGGGGGCGCTTTGCGGGGTGGTGATGGTGGTGGGCGACGTGCCACAGGAGCTGGTCGGGGAGCTTGGCGCGCCAGGTGCCGTAGAGGCAGGTGTCGGGGGTGATTGTTGTTGTTGTTGTTGTTGTTGTTGTTGTTGTTGTCGTTGTTGCAGGGTCGACGTCGCGGGAGGAGGAAGAGCGCGCAAGCGTCTCGAGGCCCCGCTCGATCTCGGTCACGAGGCCTTGGATGGCGACGAGCTTGTCGGTGGGGACGGTGAGGCGGCGCGCCGAGTAGCCCTGCGCGATGTGGTGCCAGGCGTCGTAGATGCTGACGGCGGACGGGCAGGCGTAGTCGCTCCTCCCGGTGCTTACTTCGGGGGGCTTGGTGGCGTCGTCTTGCCAGCCGCGGATGCGGAGGAGGGGGCAGGCGGCGCCGGTTTCGGATATGCTCAGCGAGCGGCAGGACCAGACCGTCTGCGTGCGTGTGAAGTGGATGACGCGCGGGGAGAGGATCCATTCCTGGGTGATCCAGGCGCGGTTGCCGAGGGGGCCGAGGTCTCTGAAGAAGGGCGTCCGGCGACACGACGTTGCGGAGGATATCCAAAGTCGGGTGGGAGACGAGCGGCCGCTTGGGGGAGCGGCGGCGGCGGGCAACGGAAGGCTGACTGCGTCGTGGAAAGGCTTCTGCATGAAGCAGCCCTGCGATCCGTCCGCTGCTCCGCTGGCTGAAATGGTGACGAGCGAGTCCCGGTATATGGCTCCCATGTGCGCTGACTCGCGTTCCCAGTCGGAGAGATCGTCTTGTATGATGCAAAGCGAGTCGATCCAGAGATACCTCAATCCGAGCTTCTGCGTGATGAGCACGGCGTCTTTGAAAGTCTGCGTCAGGCAGCTGGGACTGAATCCCTCGTGGAGGTGTCGCTCGACGTTTGAACGAGTCGTTTGGATGGGACGACTCTCTGGAGGTCCCCAGCAGTGGCTCAAAGTTGCGTATTGAGCTCTGATATTCAATTTACGACTCTCCACGAGCTTGAGCGGCAGATGGCCTACGGCCCTTCCGACATCTATTATTCGAGAGGGAAGAATCGGGAGGTGTCCTGTGTCTTGTCTCTGGCCAATAAAATTGAACTTGCAACGGTCGTGATTCGTTTGGCAGTCGTTAATCCAATACTCGAGCAGCTGGAACATATCGGAGGAGTCGGGTAAAGCTGCTGGAAGTTTGCGATACACTTGATCATCGGGCCCTGTCGCAACTTTGGAGCAGTCAATGTATTTTACTTGCAAAAACATGTCTTCTTCACCAGGCAAAGACGGGTGTAATCTCTTGCAACCCGTTATGGTGATTCCAACAAAGCCAAGATTCCGGTCTTACCTGGTAGTAGTATGAAGCGTGTCTGTAACTTTTTATCGAGTTTTCCCATGTTGCATGCAACAACGATTGTCGGGCGGTAGCGTTTACGTATCATCCGCATAACCACTCGTCCGGCCAGGTGCTCGTAGAGGAAGAGCCAGTCAACTCTGCAGCCCTCGTCCGGGGGATGTTTTTGTAATTCCTTGATGAATGATGATACGATCATAGCGCACAGAGAGCAGCGAGTGGCGGAGATTAGGAGCTGACACGCTTGTGGCAAGTGCTTATAAACACCTGCTTCTAGCGACCGTGAAGACGTCTTCAGGACTCTCTTCAAGCAGTCGGAGGTTGCGATGCCTGAACAAGCATAACACAGAGCCATCGCTGCTGAGTTGGCCAGAAGGAGGTTAGGGTTCAGTGATGTCGTAGAGTTCGTCAAAAAGCGGGGTTCCGGCAGATTATCAGTTGGGTTTCTTTGCAGTGTAGTTCGAATTACTAGCTCCACTCAGGCACCCTTGTACCCGTATCGTAGCCGTTCCAGGCCCGCCACATCGATGGGGGCCAACTGCGACCTCACCAAAACCACGAGTCCAAACACAACTAAACAACACATCAGCTTTCTGGACATACATCTGAAAGGCCCACGCAGTGGAACTCACGAGCCGGCAAACCCCCCTCCCACCCCGCAACTTCTTCCTTGGCCGTCCGCGACTTCAACCACACCACCAAGCACAAAGCCAAGTTCAGCAGCGGCAGGAACTTCTCGACGGGACCATCGTCGACACCGCTCGTGCCGAGGGCTCTGAGGATCGTTTCATAGCCACGCTGAACCGAGGACGAGCCTCCTCCGCCGCCGCCTACCTGTACGCGCTTAGGGAAGAACGACGACGGTGGGTTGCCGAGCGGTATGAAGTACAGCGAGTACGCAGAGGCGGCGAGCGAGGTGATGGCGAGGACGGCGGTCATGAATTCGGCGAAAGAGGAGGGCGCAAAGAGCGGGCGGAGGTAGAGGATTAGAGAGAGGGCGGGCAGGGCGAGGAAGGCTTTCTGGAAGAGAGACGACGCGTTAGCCATCTAAGAATCTCGCGGCCCTACTTCTTCAAGTGGTAAAGCAGAGTGCGGGGTACCTTGTAGAAGTCGGTTCGGGCCACATCCTCGGTCTGGAGCTGGGTGATGAGCTTCTCTTGCTCTGCGGGCAGGTGTCAGCGGGGCTTGCAAAGTAATGCGACAACTTGCTAAGTAACGCGCGCGCGCACCTTCTTCATCAATACCCTCGGCCGGCTCTTCCTCAGAGTCGTCGGGATAGCGGAAAGCTTTTCGTAGGCGGGTGGTAGCCATGTTGCGTGGCGGCAGTGTACAAAAAAAGCTGACCAGGTCTGATGCGCGGGAGCTTTGGCGATGGAAGCTGTCGCAGTTGGATGACGCAGGCTGAAGCGCGAGCGTTGCCTGAGGCACAAAAACTCACACGAATTGCAACCGGTCCAGCAGCCAGCGAAATACACAATTAACATCTAGGACTCAAAATACAATTTCCAGAAGCTAGCTTTTCCTCGGAAATTCAAGGGCTTCCTCCAGCCCCCAGCAGAGCTCGCCGCTCCATCCCCGCGCCCGCCTCAGCGGCCATCACTAAATTTGCGGAGGAGCGGCCAAACCTCCGACGATCATTCGAGCCTACCTACCTCTCTCATCGCACCTCCACCAACCCACCACAACCACAACCACCACAACCACCACAAGCGCCGCCAATCCTCACCCTCCAAAAAAGAAAAAAGCCCACGCACAATGGCCCTCCGCCCACCCCCTCCAGGCGCATTCCGCCCCCTCCTCCGCCCGAAAGCCACGCCGCGCCTCCCCACCACCACCACCACCACCACGACGACGCCTCACCTCCCCCTCCTCGCCCGGCGCACGCTCATCGCCGCGCCCAAGCCCAACTCCGGCCCGCTCATGACGCGCCGCGCCGACCGCGCCCTGCCCTCCGTCTCCTCAACACACTCATCCACGCGGCGATGGCTGCTGACGCTCCCGGCGTTCGGGCTGGTCCTCGCGGGCGCGACGGCGGCCATCTTCAACTACCAGAAGCAGTCGAGCTCGGTGGTGGAGGCGACGCTGTACGCGCTGCGGACGCACCCGGACGCGCGCGCCGCGCTGGGCGGCGAGATACGCTTCGCGTCGGCGGTGCCGTGGATCGCGGGCACGATCGACCAGCTGCACGGGCGGATCGACGTGCGGTATGGGGTGAGGGGGAGGGAGGGGAAGGGGGTGATGAGGTTTAGGAGCGAGAGGAGGGGGAGGATGGGATTTGTGAGTTTTGATTTTTTCTTTTCTTTTCTTTTCTTTTTTGGTTGTTTTCTTTTTGGTTTCGGGGGAGGGGCGGGACTGGAGGGGATGGAGAAAAAGGATGAAGGGCTGGTGGTGAGTTGGGCGGACGGGCGGACGGGTGGCGTCGAGGAATATTCGATGCTCTCCGTTTGCCGGCCGGGCGCCGCTTTGCCCGTGTCTGTCATGACCCAATGGGTGTGTCTCCAGAGCGTTGAAAGAGATCGGGAAAAGGCGCTGCAGTGGCTGTCACCACAGAGTGAAAAGCTGAAAGCCTAAAACCCCGGGCTCGATTGCACCAGACCACCCACGCCCAGCTGCCTGAAGCCGGCATCCGTCTTGGCCAGCAATGCCGCGTTTCTGCAAGATCTTTATTTGTTTCCTCAAAAAAAAAACCCCGCATGATCATTCAGGACCTTAGGCTAACATATTCTTCCCCGCAGTTCGAGACTCTGGAATGGAGTCTGACGACCGACGACGGCAAGACCATTCAGCTGCTCGACCAGAACGGACCCGATCCGTTCAGACGGGTCGCAGGGGATGACGAGGACTAGACCCGGGTGTGCGCATCCGGGGAGGGAAAGGCATGAACAAGGAAAAGAAAAAAAATCAACGATCCACAAAACGGTGACCAAGTGTTCCCAATCAGTCAAAAGGCAAAGCATTCAAGAGAACGTACGTGTGTTGGCAGAGGGAGAGCATGTGCCTAAGGGGTCGAAGTGTATCATATGTGCATCAGCGGGCGTTGGGGTTCGGGCGGGGTCGGTCGGTGTCGGTGCCGGTGCCCCATTTCCACTTCCAGCTCCCCTCTTCTAGAGCGAACCAGATTCAGAAAGAAAAAAGATCAGGGATCTCCCGCCGGGGGGGTTGTGCAAGCATAATGCTTCAGAAATGTTTTAGCAGCGGATGCATGGTCCCCCCCATGTATCTTCAACAAATCTTATTTCGACCACGTCGTCAACCATGACCCCACCCACTTCCACTCTTCGGTCTGACTGGCAGACTGCCGTTATCTCCCCTTGCGCAGGGTAGTCATTCCTTCGGCCACTCTCTTGTCACACGTTCAGTGGTGTCGGTCGTGACGCGGGACGGCCCGCCTCGTCAGCTACGTGTACCCTACACATTCGCCCGTCGTCCCCCTACCACCTACACCTTGCTTGACGCGCTGCTCCGCGGAACCATCGCAGCTCCACCGTCTGACGATGGTGATCAATGCCGCACGAATGTCGGCACACTCCCAAAAACAAGGTCAAAGTACAGCATCTTCTGCTTCAGCCCCGATCGCATTCAGCCACTTACCATCTCCCCTCCGCACGCGGTATGCGCAGTATGAGACACATCAAAAGTCCCCATCCTAACATACGCACGCACACACATATGCTGAGACGAGATTCGAAAGCAGCCCGCCGGATGGGGGCAAGGGCCAACGTTCGGCAGGCAGACGTTGGAGCACATGCATGATAAGAAGAATAGGAAGGGAGGGTCCCGCAGCTTTTCACGCCATGCGTATATGTGCGTACATATACATACGTCAATCACGGCTGATGCGTACTGACGATCATCGCCACCCATGCATGTTGTTGATCCGAAAGGGAAGGGACGGAAGGCATCGGTAAGAGCATCTGGCTTCAAGATGAAGGAAATCTGTGACCAAAAAAAAAATAGCGACGTACACCTGGTAATTCTATGCGTATCCATGGGGGAGGAGGAGGGAGAGAACAGGACTAGATCATATCACAGGCGCCGGATCGAGCGGACGTATGCCACTCTCCGCTATTGCATTGCATGGCAGTCAGTCGGTCCTGCAACTACTACTGTTGCAATGCACGTGCAAGGTTCGGTTCGCAACAGCACAACACCCGCTTCTCCTCCTTCTCGCGCCACCCACCGCCTCCCTGACGAAATTTTTACTTGACTTTTTCATGTTTTGCATTTTCTATTAACGGCATTAGACGAGAAAATCCAAAAGAAAAGAAATTTCCCATCCATAAGACTCGTGGCAAACCAGATCACAAAGACCACTGCTACACGAGTAAGGAGAAGGGAGCGAGAGAGAAAGAGGGTTGACGGAAGCTGATCAGAAAAAAAATTCATCGTCATAGCTGCTTGCTACTTCCCCTCCCATCTCCCTTCTCCATGCCGTTCGATACCTCCTTCCCTTCGCTTGCGGGGGGAGTTAATAGAATAAAACAAAAAAGGGAATGGGATCGTTTGTTCGTAAAATCATCTCATACACACACACACTCCCCCTCTTTCTTCCCCAAATAGAGCCCGCTCAGCCGGCCCCCCTCAAGAAAAGCTGGGCCGCCAGATTTCTCCCCTTTCGAAAGCGAAAGGCGGAGCAAATGTTTCCCGCCCACCCACCCCCAAACCAAAAAGTAGTACAAGTCAAAAATAGAAAAAGGAGTGACTAGCTAGATTTTTCTTCATTGCGCCTAGCCTGAAAGCAAAAGCAAGCAAGCAAACAAAAAACAAGCAAGAAAGCCACGTTCTTTAAGAGGGAAGCGAAGGGGGGAGTGTGTGAGAGAGAGAAGGGATATAGTCCGACCACGCGGGTGCTCTCTCGAAAGCTTTGAAACGCCTTCCCAGTGAAAATGTCACCGCTACCGCCGCCCGCCGAATTACTGCTTTTGGATCGTTCGCGTCCCCCCTTCATCGGACCTGGGGGGGAAAGGAGAGAGAGAAAGAGGAACAGAGTTGGACAAAGGTCCCGTCACTCCCTCACTTAGAAGTCATGAGGAAGCTCATACGGGTTGTCTTCCTTGTCGTTCGTCTTCTCGTTCTCGGCGGCGGTGAGGCGGCGCTGGCGCTGGCTGGGGTGGTGGGCGAGGTCGGGCTTCTTGACGCCGTTGACGAGCGAGGCGAAGCGCGGGTTGGTGGTGAGCGGGGACGAGATGTTGATGGGGAAGCGGCCGAGGCTGCTGCGCTTGCTGTGGCGCTTGCTGCTGCGGGTGGTGTCGGCGCTGGCGCTCTTCTGGTGCAGGCCCGTCTTCTCGCGGAAGGACGGGGCGCGGCCGCCGCCGGCCTCGGAGGTCGGGTAGGGGGGCAGCGCGGGGACCGGGGGCTTCTCCTCGTTGTCGTCGGGGCGGCCGCCGAAGAAGGAGCGGCTGTAGTTGGAGGCGGTGTAGCGCGAGGTGCGGAAGTGGGAGGGGAGCAGCGACTGGCGGGCCTGCTGGAAGATGGAGCGGGTGGGCGAGTAGGTCGGCTGCGGGGAGTGGACGAGGGGCTGGTGTTGGGTGGACAGGGCCGAGGGCGACTTGCGGGCCGGGGTGCTCCAGGGGGACTGGTTGAGGGTCATGCTCTGCATGGACGACTTGATGCTGAGCGTCTTCTCGGCCTCGAGCTGGGCCTCGGCGTCCTGGATGGACACGGCGCCCTTGGAGCGGACCTTGCGGGCGGTGATGCGGAGCTTGGTGTCGCGGAAGACGTAGCTCGCGATGATGTTGACGAAGCCGAGCACCAGGATGATGATGCCGGAGCTGATGACGACGCTCCAGAAGGGCACGCCGAGGTTCTCGACGCTCGTGGCATCCTTGTTGAGGTTGCCCAGGGTGTTGACGCCGAGTAGGATCATGGCCAATCCCAGAGCGACGAAGCCATGCTCGGGGCTGAAGAGCGGCCAGTTCTTGCGGAAGTAGCTGCGGAAGAGGCAGGCCTCGGACGCGACGAGGAACACTGCGGAGGTCAGTCCAGGTCGCCAATGGGAAGTCAATGGCTGGGGTCGGGGAGTGGTGTGCCAAGACGCGCGATGTGCTGGCGGACGCAGAGTGGGAGAACTCACAGCTGATGCAGGCGGTGATAACGTGGCTGCAGCCGTCGAAGAAGAAGAAGCGCGAGACGACGATGGTCTTGACCAGCATGAGGACGCTGGCGGTGGCGACCATGAGCAGGCCGACGATGTTCAGAGCGCGGACGACATTAAGGATGATGTACGCTGGGCCAGCCAGGTTCTTGGAGATGAGGACGGACATGGTGTCCCGGGATGCAAGCTGCAGGCTGGTTCGATGGCAGCTGTCGAGGAAGGTGCAGTTTGGCGCGCGCGATGTCGAAATCTGCGGGCAGACGTGGTGTGGAGACAAGGAGCGATGGGCGTGCAGAGCCAAAGGATGGAAGAAGCGAAGAAGCAGAAGAGCAGTCCCAGCCGCTGGGGCGAAGGTCTTCTTCCTGCTCACGGGGAGTGAAGCTAACAATAGGAAAGACGGCGACAATAGCAATTGAACATGAGGAGAGGAAGTGAGAGCACGCGCGACGGCCCGGGACGGGCATTAGTTATGGAGAGAGTCGCCCTCTCGCCCCGAGCAGGCTTCCCGGCTCGTCATTTCGCCCGGCCAAGGACCAATCCGGCGCGGTCGGGACGGGGACGCGCTGAGAGCCTATGAAACGGCTGGGACGGGCGGGAAGCAGGCGGGCGATGAAGCACCAAGGTGTTTCTGAAGGCCGGGGTGCGCGCAGCCAGCGGAGCGACAGTGCGCGTCGAGGGAGTCGCAGGGGCCGGCCGACGGATTGGCTGTCGCTGGCCCGATGCCGTGTTTCAGATGCGCGAGGAGCCTCCCCAGCCCACGCGCCCACGCGCCCACACGCCCACCACCGCTGCCTCTTAAGCGCCCGCCCCGGCACCCGCCCAAGCACCGCAGAAAGCACCCAGCCAGCCGCCGCTTATCTGCAAATCTCGTCTCCGTGCCTCGGGAGCCCCATGGCGCGGTCCGCACATGACAATCGCCGCCGCCGCCGTGCGTGCTGGCCGGAGGGTCGAGCGAGGTGCGCGCAGTCGGTGAGCTGGAGCGTGAGCTGGTGAAGCTGCCCGTCCGCTGCTCTGGCGCGGCGGCCGAGCGCGAGCGAGCGAGCGAGCTTCTGCCAGAGAGGCTCGGGCAGAGTGAGGTGGCGCTAGCTAAATTTAAACCGCGTGGCCGCCTCGCCCTCGCCCTCTCTCGCGCTCCTGCGTTTTTCAACGAACCTCAACCCCCCCCCCCGTCCCGTTCGTGCCGTGCCCGCTCTGCAGTGCTCTGCTCTTCCCTCGTGCACAACCCACACACCCCCCCTGCCTCCACCGAAGACTAGCGCCCACCGCAACCGAGCCTCAGGATCGCCGCTCGCTCGCTGGCTCGCTCGTGGCTCGCTCGTCGCCACTCGATAATCCCCCAACGCGACTCAAGCACCAACCCGCCCCGAAGCAACCAAAGCCATGGCCCGCGGCAACCAGCGCGAGAAGGCCCGCGAAAAGAACCTGAAGGCTCAGTCAGGCCAGGTGAGACTTTGATGACGGCGCCAGGAAAAAAAAGTCGGAAAAAAAAAGAAATAGAAATGCTGACTCTTTCTCCCTTCTCTCTCCGCGCCCGCAGAAAAACAAGAACAGCGTACGTATTTTGTCGCTACCTAGCTGCGAACGGTTTTTCCCCCATCCCCAGCAGCAGCACTGACCCTGCTTGCTCCCGTAGATGACTGGCACCGAGTTCGCTCGCACCAAGGAAGACCAGGCCGCCATCATGCGCGCGAAGCAGGCTGCAGGTGCGTTCCATGCGTTGTCCCGGCCGTGTCTCCACCCCGCCCCGTCGACGCGGGCGGCATGTCCATGCGGCCACTTGTTTTCTCTTGCTGACCAAACCGTGCAGCCGAAGCCAAGAAGGCCGCTGAAGGCAAGAAGTAGGCCTGCCGAGCCCCCTGCCGTCCCGTAGGTAGCCCACGTCGACTTAATGCGTCCAACGTGCTACTACCTTCTGCCGCCGCGACCGTCGGGCCGCGCTGGCGTCTTTACTACTTTGGACGTTGATGTAGACTAGGTGTTTTCCATTAATTAAGCGTTCCCTTCTTGCGTTCAGCCCCCGGCGTTAAAGCCACCACTTGTGAATCAGCCAAACATATATTTGACCATTGCCACGCTACTGCGAAAGTCCGTTCCCGCATTATTCTCTGGCCACGCGCGCACGAGCATCCCGAACAAATGAAACGGCAAAAGCAATCCTCAATAATCGGATCCCTGAACCCTGCTTCCGCTCCTCTGGAGGAATCGCCATAATATCCTCAACCTTATTATCATTAGGTTTCCAGGTTTCCCGGTTTCGAATCAATCGCGACGGCCCTATCTGTTCCAGAACCTCAATCCAGCAATCTTGTCGCCACCTGATATCTCCCCACTCGAATGTTGCACCGTCATTAAAGTCGATATAACTGTTCCAGGCTGAAGCATACCAAGGAAACGCAATAGAAAACACGCGTCCCGTGACGCGACGACAAGAAAGGTGCCAGCCTCCGAGATATCGTGTTCATCCATCGACGAGGCAGGCGGATCGTTCTGCCTCGGTGGCGTGGTCGTGATATGTGCAATCGTGTGTTGGCCTGCCGAGTGGGCTGAATCCTTCAATGGCTCGCATTGTGGCGTTGAACGCCTTAAACACGAATCCGGCAGGCCAGTCGTCAGAGCTGCCGGCCAACACTTGACCCGTGCGCGCGTACTCGTTGACAAGGAGCCTGCATAGCGGCGAGTCCTCGGGCAAGTTGTCGTACACTTCATTGATGACCTCGGGGCCGGGCAGCAGGTAGCCCTCCTGCACACACGAGATGATGACGTCCATTGTATCGTTCTTCAATTGTGGCACGTCATAGTTGTCTGCAAATATGTAGAGAGACGCGAGGAATCGGAGCCCGCGTATGCGCGCGAGCCCGCCGTCCATGGCATTGATGAGAAGTTTCCGTGAGTAGAGCCACTCGACGAATGTTTCGAATATGCTGCAAAATGTGGTAGGAAGCGTCATCTTCATCTCCCGGGCCTCTTTAGAGTTACCGAGGAAGGTCATCCGGAAGAAGGGAGAAACTTCGCATAGAGCTGACCGATGGAGAGTGTATAGTTGGCTGTCGCTGCCGAAGCCGATGTCGAACTCTATCGTCGTGGCCATGTCACTACTGTTCCGAGTAAGTACCCATGTCGTGATGCTAATGAAGGAACTCACCCATAGGAAAGCTGACGGTATTCTGGGGGAATAGGCAGCTCATGTGTGGCATCAAGCCTCACCCTCTTTGCCTTCGGAGGTGGAGTACGCGGGTCGTACCTTGACGGCTCAGGTGTACCTCCACCGGTAGACGAAGCCGCCATGGTCCAAGTCGAACACGGCGTGGTCTCAGCTGAACGGTTCATCGTGTTGGATGTGCGAGGAGATGGGAAGTTGCAATGGCAGGCAGATGAGCAAAGGGCGTTGGTCAATTCATACGACTGGGGATGACGCAATTCCGTGGTTCGGTTGGGGTAAGATGTAGGCACGTTGTAGCCGCTCCTTCCCTCTAGAAAAATCGCGCTCCCCTCCCAGGACGCTGACGTACGTGAACGACTCGAGTACTTAAGCTCACATATATAGCACTTTAGTGAGGAATTCAATTCTCCATTCACTCAATCCTGCCGGTGATTCAAGTCTCCATATCCGAGCAGTCTTGGCGCATCGAGCAACGGCATGTGAATATTCACGGTACGCCAAGACATATCCGGCGAGTGAATGTACGCTTTGAGGGAATAATAGAGACAACCGCGGAGAAAGCGTAGAGGGAACTTGACACGCAGCCTTGCTGGAATAATAACGATTGACTTGTACTCGTTCCCAATCAATAGTAGTAAGAGATTCGAAAAACCGACAAATCCGGTAAAGGCGAAAAGCATTTCTAGCGTGTTTCTGCCGCAACCATGGCATCTACGTGAACGCGCGAGCTGTTCAATATATCTACACAACTTGCCAGTGCTCAGTCCCATTTTTGATAGGTCGATATGCATGAACCAGGCCCGTATTAACTCCAAGGCCAATGGGTAGTTTCCGAAGTACAGAGAAAAACAAAAGTATACGCAGTACAGCCCCTTCACGACACTCCACCGGGCTTCCTTTTGGCCGTCCACCGACGCAGCAGTATTCCCCTCAGTTCGTGACGCGGAGGACAAAGTTGACGATGACGGCGGCCAGCAGGGCGAGGGCCAGCACGGTGGGGCCGAAGCGGTCGTCGAAGCCGCCCTGGCCGCGCTGGCGGATGCTCTTGGCGCGCCAGTGGAAGGTGATGAGGGCGTAGATCATGGCGGCCATGGCGACGAGGGTGAAGAGACCGGCGCTGATCTGGCCGACCTTATCGCCAAAGTTGAGCAGCCCGACGGCCAGGCCGCCGAGGATGACGGTGAAGTTGAGCCATGAGAGGAAGGTGCGCTCGTTGGCGAAGAAGACCTTGGGCTCGACGCGCGTGGGCAGGGCGATGCGCTTGCCTGCAGCAGCGAGCGGACGGGTTAGCAACAGCCGGCTGAGAGACGACGCATGGCGCGAGCAGAGCTGAGGAGCGGAGGTCGCCTACCCGGGGCAGTCTGGAGGAGAGGTTGGCTCGACATTACGGATCGGCGGGGGCGGACGTGCTCTAAAATGAGGTCGAGGGGAGGGCAGCAGCAGTGCCAATGGTGTCACAACAGCACGACGGGCGGGGAAAGCAGGGTCGAGAGAGGCACGGGAGAGCAACAGCGGGAGGAAATGTCTGGAGGAAGTCGCGCGACGGCGGAGCAGGCTTGCGGCGGCGAGAAAAGCAGACGATGGGAGCTCTCGAGCGGCGCGGCGCACGAGGGAACGGACAAGCTTTCTGATTCGTCCCCGCCCGGCCCAATTATTGACGTCGCTTTGCCCCGACTCAGTCCCGTCTCCCACCCGCTCCGACAACAACACACACGACAGCTCCCTGCCCCATCGCCCTCGCAGTCCCGCCCAAAACATCCCCGAACGCCGCCCGCCCTCCGTCGCCAGCCACCCGCAACGTCCCTCGAACTCGCCGCCCGCCTCCCGCAACACCGTCGCCATGGCCGCTCCCGTACGATCCACGTGTTCTCCCTCTCCTATTGCTCCTAACCCGCTGACTCCAGCAGCCCGTCTCGGAAACCCGCTTGAAGCAGATCGCCACCGATGTACGCCGACCGATGCTCTCCCAAGACTCTGTCCGGATGCATGACCGCTAAGCAACTCTTCCCCACAGGCCTGCGACGCCGCCGTCGGAACCGCCGAGAGCTACATCCACTCGTCGACCGCCGAGTGGAATAACACCATCATCGTGCGTGGACTCCCCGCCGCACCACCACCAAATCCCACACCGGAAACATGAAGAAGAAGCCGCAGAAGAAAAGAGCAAGAAAAAAACAGGACCCGTTTAGTAACCGCAGCATTCGCGTTTTTTTCTCCGCAAGCAGAACACCATCCTCAAGTCGTTGATCAGCGAGACGAGCACCGGCCCCAACAACCAGCCCCCGTTCAAGTACGCCGTCAACAGCACCATCATCCAGCACGCCCCCACGTTTTCGCGCACCGCCGACAGCGACTCCGGCGCCGCCGCCGAGGACCAGGCCGCCAGCCTCGCCAAGGTCGGCCGCCGCGGCATGCACAGCGCCGCTGGCGCCTACTGGAACAGCGAGAAGGACGGCATGTGGTCGTTCAAGTACGACGGCGGCGAGAAGAAGGGCCTCGACGTTGTCATCAACGTCATGTGGATTGCGCTCTAAACTTCTCTCTCTCTCTTGTCGCGCCCAGCCTGCCAGCAGCTTCGGTGAGAGAGCGGAGCTGCCGGGGGAAAAGGAGAGAGGAAAAGGAGGAAGAAGGGGGGAGGTGGGGAGTAGAAGGAAGGGGATGGGAAATAGGGGAGAAGGGGGGGATGGTCGGGGGAGAAGCATGTGGATCTTCACAGGTATATGTTGTGCAACTAGCGCTTGAGCATCACATACGGTTGGGAGCCTGGAGTACCTCAAACTTGTTGGTTTCTGGGAAAGAGGGAACACACAGCAGGGTTTTCGTTCGTATTCTCTCTATTGTGGCATTCATGTTTATTTCATACATCACTCGGCACAGGAAAAAAGATGGTCGTCGCCCCATCTGTGCGGCGTACTGTTGGGTATTGAGACTGGCTACAGGACTATTACAGGAAATTACACCGGATAATCTCGATTGGACCACACAAGCAGTCTTTAGCGGGCGAGGCGAACAAGCCAAACGCCTTTGCATATCAGTCTTTTTTTTCCTTTCGTCTCGTTTTGGTTCCTGCCCGAGTGATTTGTCGCTCCCGTCCATGCTATGCCTTGCGCTTTTCCGGTGGTATGTACATACATACATAGGCGGGCGCCGATCCCATCACCCTTGATCGCTCTGATCTCCCCTAGCCGGCCGGACACACGCACCCACTACGCGCAACAATAGAGATCCACCAACCAGACTCCCTCCTCAGGCCTCCCCCGTCGTCGTCTCAGAGCAGCAGTCCCCGACAAACCTCTCCCAATACCCCAAAAACGCCTTGGGGTCCTCCCAAAACGGCGCATGCCCCAACCCGGGCAACCGATGACACCTGCCCTCCCACAAGTTGCCGCCCCACTCGATCGCGTCCAAGTAGTCGAGGTTGACAAACGGCTCGTCGACGCCGTTGACCACGGCGCACGGCACCCCGCCCTTGCCCTTCTCCTTCTCCTTCCCCCCCGCCACCACCCGCACCTGATCGCACCCCCTCCCGGCCTCGAACGCGTCGAACATGACGCGCCGCGCGCGGCCGTCGGTGCGGACCGCCGCGTCGCGGATCCACGCCGCGCGCTCGCCCCGCGCCGCCTCGTACGGGAAGGTGTCGAAGTCGGCGTCGGTCCAGCGCTCCGTCGCGGCGAGGTTGACGTGCTGCGCTTCGCCTCCTTCTTCTCGTCCTTCGCCCAGCGTGAAACCCCTCCGCACCTGCTCCAGCCCCAGCGCCGGCGGCGTGCCCGTGATCATGATGCCCCTGACCCTGACCGTCCCCCGCTGCTGCTGCGTCGTCGTTGTCGTCCCCGTCGTTGTCGTTCCCGTGGTCTGCGCAACCATCTCCACCGCATTGTGCCCGCCCAAGCTCCACCCCAGCACCACGACGTCGCGCGCCCCCAGCGCCGCGCACACCTGCAGCGCGCAGTCGGCGTAGGCCGGCTGCGTGTAGTGCTTGTCGAGGGAATCCTCGGGGTCGTCGTCGGAGGGGGGAGCGTCGCTGCTCTGGCCGTGGCCGGGGAGATCGAGGGCGAGGATGCGGTGGTGGTGGAGCGGGGAGTTGGGGGAGAGGGAGAGGGCGATGAGGGGGAGGAAGATTTGGGAGGAGGAGGAGTTGCCGTGGAGGAGGAGGAGGGTTGGTGGGGTTGGTGGGGAGGAGGAGGGGGAGGAGGTGGTGGTGGTGGTGGTTTGAGGGGAGGAGGAGCTGGCTGTGTCGAGGACGTGGATGAGGCCGTGGGTGGTGGGGATGCGGTGGGTTGTGAGGTTTAGGTCTGGTGGGGTGGGCATTTTGGAGGTTTTTTTTTTTCTTTTCGGGGGGGTTTTTTTGGTGGAAAAGGTGAGGGTGGTGAGGGAGAGCTTTGGGAAATGGGATTTTATGTGTGTGTGAGGGTCGAGGGCTGTGCTGGTGTTATCAATTGCGAGGGCGGGGAAGCGGCGATGGAGCAGGCGAATTGCGTCTTCTCTTACCCCACTTCCGTGCCACGGCGTGTCATTATCGTGGGCGGAGAATGGCGACGCTTGTTTCAGCCGGGTGTGGCAGCAGCCTTGGGCTGAAAGGTGGGTGAGCTGCAGGTGCATTAGTCTTTCAGCCCTACGTGAGGGGTCAAGCTAACCAGCTACTTTTGTACTCCTGCAGCGGGGCACGACCGAAGTTTCCCGCCCCCGCCCGTCTCCGAACGCCTCTTGCTCTGCCACTGCTCACATAAAGCACGTTGGTGGATCTCGCCAAGAGACGTCGTAATTGGGTTTTCTGCTATCCATTTGTTTCCTACTAAGGTCGTGGAATACAACTAAGCAGAACCCCAGATGATCCGCCTGCCAAAAAAAAAATATTGCAAGCACTCTGAAGGAATATCAAGTAGCCGAGCAAGGAGGGATTGATCATGTTCTTGGATAATCCCATTCAGTTGAAGAAGAAGACTTTTGAGTGGCTGGTCCGCTGGGATTAGTCGAGTCATAGACGGATCTGTGAGCCGATGAGAGCATCAATGGAGACCAGGAAGGTATGCTTCGTGGCTACTCGCGAAACCCAGGACACCGTGGATCTAGTCGGTCAGAACAAAAGAAGAGAAAACAGTCGATGACATGAGAAGCTTGTCTTGAAGCATCGACAAACTCGATGGTGCTCGTTAAACCGGGAAGGATGCAGTCTTGGAGCCAACTTGCAAGTTCCACATGGCGACAGCGCATTGCTCCATCAGGAGACGCAACCGAAAGTTATATGTGTCGTTACCCTCGAGCCGGCAGAGTGGGAACATCTTGAGAGCAGAGACACGCTGAGTATTCTTGTTGCGTCCGGTCATCTTGCGAATCCAACGATGAGCCTTGCGACGGTCACGAAAGGCGGTGCTGGTCCCAGCATAAACCTTGCGCCAGGTGTGGATGCCGTCCGGGTCGTGGAAGTCGTAGAAAACGAGATAAACGCACCCGATGCGTCCGGCAGTGCTTTTGCCGGCATTGCGAAGGCTCGTGAGGGATGGGTTCCCATGCTTAAGCAGTTCGAACAGGCCTTGTCGCTTGATACCTGCGACAATATCGCTGGCCACGTCCCGACGCCGCTCAAATGTGTCGAGGTCCTCTAGAACCCATCTCGCCCATTTCATCCGGAATATCTCAGTGTCTGCCCAAATCTCAATAAGCCCATGGATTGTCTTTTCAAGACAACACGAGCCGAGAAGCGTATTCACGTCCAGGTCGAATCCATCGGGTATGCCGACCGTAGCCGGATTCCTTCCAGTCCAGACTGGCTGCGATCCCATCTTTTAGGAACGAGGGCCCGATGTTTTTGTGCTTAGTGTAGCCTTATCGGGATCTGATTCACTCTCAGACCTGACTTGATGATTAGCATTGGAAAGCTCCGCGTACGGATTGGCAGTGAATGACCAGCGACACGGTCGAGGCTGGAAGAGGTGGAGGTACAAGTAGAGCCGGGGTATTATCTGAAAGAAGACTTGAAGAGTATTTCAGGCGACGAAGTCTATGTGAGACAATCAACGGAATCTTCAAGACTGCGTCACGGTGGAGAAACAACGCAAACAGGCGACACAACGAGCGCTAAATGAGTCCGGGTGACCAGTGTGAATTAGAACGGGCGTGCTTACCTAGAAATGGGAGGATGGAAGGTTCCAGCATAGCAGGGTGACTCCGGAATGCCTTGGTCGGTTTGGCTCAGATGAAGAAGAAGAAAGGTGTCAGGTTGGAGCAGGTCGGAAGAAGTTCAAAACACCTCTCGGCAGTGTTTGAGTCGGCGGACGGCCCATGATTGTCCGGTCGGCAGGTCAGGTGTGTGTTTTTACCGACTCTGACGTGCGTAGTGGAATCAAGCGTTGGGACGTAGATGGAAATTTTTTGAGGCCCTCCCAACGTGCGTATTTGAACCAGACATCTGGCCGTAGGTGCGAGTCTAAAACCCCTCCATTTACATATCCAAATACAGAATTCTACCACCCACATAACCAGGTTCTTATCTCCAAGACAGATGTCGGTAAGCCCGATTCTTTGGAAGTTCATTCTCTTAGTCTGCCTATCAGGAACCAGCTACAGCCACATCTGGCCTAGACACCAGTGAAAGCAAAGTTTTCTGGATGAGTACGTAGACCTCTGAGGTAACCAGTGAGCCTATCGACAAAGCTCACACTCCACTTTAGCATGGAGTATCTCAACGAAGAATCAGGGCCTTGATTGATTAGCATGTCGCCAGACTGTTTACCCGACTGACCGTCTAAAATCACGTTCTGTCGTCACCGTCCAAGGTGGACAGAGCAGCAGCAGCCTAGGTTACCACGCCCGAATAAACCACTTTACGCCATCAGTGCCGACTGTGTCCAAATCTGACTGTCCTTTTTGAGCACCTGCTAGTTTCAGCATTTCCCGTATCGAATAGTAATCAATGATCTCCTCGCTGCTGCCCCTGTCAGTTTACGCCTCCCTTGACCAAAGTGCAGAAACCGCTGTAAGAGAGTGAGCTATGTACTACCATCGAAGACTTGTGGCTACCGGAAACACCCTGTTAGCTTACAAGCCCGGAGGCGGCGGCACCTGCGTTTCTCATCAATACTACTCTCTTACGCACCAGTTGCACGGATACATACCGCGCTGTAGCCACCCGGGGGAGAGCCCGACGGCGGAGGAGGAGGCGGAGCATCACCGGGCGGTGGAGGAGGCGCAGAACCAGGCGGCGGCGGCGGCGCCTCGGAACCAGGAGCAGCCGCTTGCTGCTGCTGCTGTTGAGCGTACTGCCAGTACAAGTTCACATAGTTCTGGTAACCGCCATAGGCAGCGTAAGGGTCTTGACCAGAAGCGTAGTACTGAGCGTAGGCCGCAGCGTACTGGTCGCTGGACGCCGTGGCAGGCGTCACCGGCGTCGTCTGCGAAGTGGGGCTCATGGCCGAACCATAGCCGGGGGGAGACTGCTGGTTGCCGTAGCTGCTTCCACCGCCATAGCTGCTGCCACCACCATAGCCACCACCGTAGCTATCCGAACGTCCTCCATTCCTACCGCCGCCCGAGTACCGGTCACCATCGCCGTACGCGCGACGGCTCGGGCCGCGCTCCTTGAACTGTTCATACTGTTGACGCACATTGCCAAGGAGATCTTCACAAAGCTCCCTAGCTTTTTGGACATCATCGGCATTGGGGCCCCTAACTTTGGTCAGCACTGGTCTTGAGAGGGAAATCGAGAACAACTTACGCAACGTGCAGATACATGGGCTCGTCGCTTTCCTGGCCAGTGTTATGCTCGATGAAGCCGGAGCCGCGGCCCTTGATCTGGACGCGGCAGCGCGTTTCCTGCTGGATGTGTTTGACGTAGGCACCTCCATGGCCGACGACCTGAGCACGAAGGTTGAAGCCAGGAATGGGTTCGAGGTCGACGGGGATCTTCTCCTCGGGCCATTTGCGCTAATATACCGGTCAGTGTATTCTTTCTCTACGACGATACATCACCTTGAGCATCATTACCCTTCCATACTCATCACGCTCGACCTGCTCGGGTTCTCTGCGGCGGAAGCGCCTCTCGTCGACAAGGTTGGGCAATTCCTGCTTCATAAGCTCGTCGATTTTGGCGATGGCCTTCTCGAGGCCTTCCTTGGTGGTACTCGTGACGTGGAGGTACAGCGGGGGAACCTTTGGCTTTGTTAGGCATCAAGGGCAGTCGGAAACATCGAGGACGAAGAACTTACACCGGGACGGACCAGGCTCTTGTCGGGATAGTACTCGCCGCGGGTTGTGACATCTTCACACCACTTAGTAAACACCCTGCAATCAATGAAATCATGTTCAGTGGTAGAGCGTACCGGCGCCAGTCTCTTCTTTGATCTAGATGTCACACGGGTGAGGTCAGCAGATGCCAAACGGGGGATGCTGGGAACAGCAGCTATATGGTGGCAGTTAAGTGAGCTTCTGCGCGCTTTTACACCAATAGTTCGCGAGGAAGCCGAATGTCAAAGAAAACAGGAAGCTGGGGGCATGTGTGGGCATGTTCCTGGGAGTATCAGTAGGTTATGATCTGAAGTATTTACCATCTTTTGAGTAGAGCCCTTGGTGAGGGTGTAACGATTCCGAAGGTCGTTCACTTCGATGTCCTTGATGTAGTCTCCATCCTGCTGGTAAACCTCGCCGGGGTTGCCTTGGTCATTGGAGGGCGACTTGACGGTGACGGGGCTGGCGGTAGAGCGGATGGGCGGGACGTCGACGTGCTGGATGCCCTTCCTGGCCTGGATCTGGGCGTTGATGCGGGCGGCTGCAGCAGCGGCAGCGGCAGCGGGGTCCTTCTTCTCGGCGGTGGCGGGGCTGTTGCTGTCCTGGCGGCTCAGCGGGCTGCGACTGCGCAGAGCCTCGCTCTGGCGTGAGGAGGGCGAGCGCGAGCGACGATCGAAGCGGGACGGGCGCTTGGGTTCGGGTTCGGTCTGATCGAAGCGCGAGCGCTTGCGGCCTTCCTCGGGCATGGTGACGGCCGGCACAGTTGATGTGGAGACCGGGGGTGAGAGGTGACGACCTTGGGTGCAGGAGGAAGATCTGGACAGAGCTTCACGCACAGGAAGAAGGCGACGAAATGCCCGGCGGTCGGCGCGGGAACTTCCGCTCCAGCCCGCCCGCGACAGATGCGGCGCCACAACCATGTCCGCCTCAGCCCAGTCAGCGAATCGCACGCGCTTATTCCCACCACACAGAGACACAGTCTCTCATGAAGATGCCCAGGTGAGGATCGAGGTGCATCTGGGAGCTCGGCCAAGACCCGGGAACCATTGTCTTTTTGGAAGCGGAATGTCTCCAGCTCGTGCAAAGGCAGCCGTACTTGGGCACTGCAGCAAATGATCGAAGCAGCTGAAGAGCAATCTAGGTACTACGGATACGTACCTACAGCAGAAAAGGCCCACGGGGCTGCAGCTCCCCGGTCTCTTGCAAAGCTAAGCGAGCCAACGTCGTAGGCGGTCAACGCAGGCTGCGAGGCCGGCGGCGGGCGGCAACCACTAATGGGCGCCGCGATGCCGAAATCGCTCGCTTTCCATTGGAAAATGGCTTGCCCTGTGATTCGCATTCCTCCGCACTCAACACCTCGCCTCCTCCTCAGCCCTCTCCGCAGTCTCCCAGACCCCCAGCCGAGGGGCGGAAACAGAGCCACAATGGCCTCCCGGCGAGCATTGAATGCTCTGCCCCTGCGCACCGCGCTGCGCACCAAGCCCCACCCCCAGGTCGCGACCTACGCCGGCCGCCCGCGTCACCAGCCGTCCAGCTCGTCGTCGACCCAGGCCCTGGCCTACAAGGCGCTGCATCGCCGCATCCAACCGCTGCCCACCAGCGACGCGCCTCCGTCGTGGTCCGCCCCGGCCGCCGTCAGCAGCATCCTGTACGAGACGCCGCTGCCGTCGCAGGCCCCGCCCAAGCGCCATGTGCTCAACTGCCTGGTCCAGAACGAGCCGGGCGTGCTGTCGCGCGTGTCGGGCATCCTGGCCGCGCGCGGCTTCAACATCGACAGCCTGGTCGTCTGCAACACCGAGGTCCCCGACCTGTCGCGCATGACCATTGTGCTGCAGGGCCAGGACGGCGTCGTCGAGCAGGCCCGCCGCCAGCTCGAGGACCTCGTGCCCGTCTGGGCCGTGCTCGACTACACCCAGGCCCCGCTCGTGCAGCGCGAGCTGCTGCTGGCCAAGGTCTCGATCCTCGGCCCGGAGTACTTCGAGGAGCTCATGCAGCACCATCGCGAGATGGTCGACTCGCCCGGCTACATCCAGGACGGCTCCTCCGCCTCCTCCTCCTCCGCCGAGGACCTGCCCTCGCAGGCCGATCGCGAGCAGGCCGCCCAGCGCGCCGCTGCCGACTCGCTCAAGCGCGACTTCCACCCGAGCAAGCTCGCCGCCAGCCAGGCTCTGAGGCACAAGCACGAGCACTTGGAGGCCATCACCCATCTGACGCACCAGTTTGGCGGCAAGGTGCTCGACATTAGCACCAACAACTGCATCGTCGAGGTCTCGGCCAAGCCCGTCAGGATTGACTCATTCATGAAGCTCGTGGCGCCTTTCGGTATCCTGGAGTCTGCGAGAACCGGTAAGTGTCCAATTATGACTCAGAGTGATGAATCACGGTTAACCGTCTGCCAGGTCTCATGGCGCTGCCCCGCTCGCCCCTTGTCGGACCCGAAGACGTGCAAGAGAAGGAGATTGAGGACGTTGTTGACCAGAGCATGCTTCCTCCCGGATAAGCTAGAAAATAGGGTTGTAATAAAAATTCGAAAGAGTTGGTCGCACGTTTGTCTTCGTCGCTTTGAATTTGTACAAAGTACAGCATTGTGTTATTACGGTCTACTAAACGATTATCGTGCCTTTATGTCTACTTCCAAATGAAAACGAGTTGAGAGAAATTTTTGGCCACGAACTCCGAATGAACACAAAAGCCCTATTTCCAGCGCTACGCTGTCGCCACTCCTTCCCATCATGCCGAAACCCACAAATGACCGATTATGCGGACTTGATGTTGCCCTTGTTCACGACAAAAGCCTCAAGGGCGGAGATGGCCGCCCACAGCCTGTTCTCAGCCTCGGGGAAGACCAGCGACCTGGGGCCGTAAAAGACTTCATCACTGACCTCCTCGGGGTGCCTGGGCAGGCAGTGCATGAACTTCCAGCCCTCGTTCGCGCCGCCCCTCTTGGCGAGCTCCGAGGTGATCTGGAAGCCCTCGAAGGCCTTCAGGCGCTTGACCTTCTCCTCCTCCTGGCCCATGGAGATCCACGTGTCGGTGACGAGGACGTCGGCGCCCTTGACCGCCTCCTCGGGCGCCGTCGTCTCGAACAGCTTGCCGCCCGCGCCGTCGGGCGCGCCCGCGGCGGCGTCGGCGATGACGCGGCGCATGGCGGCGGGGATCTCGTAGCCGGCGGGGGTGGCGACGGCGACGTCGACGCCCAGCTTGGCGGCGGCGATGGCGAGGTCGAAGAGCACGTTGTTGGCGTCGCCGACCCAGGCGATCTTCTTGCCCTCGAGGCCGAGCGTGGGCGCGGGCGAGGGGAAGGCCTCGTGCATGGTCAGGAAGTCGGCGATGGTCTGCAGCGGGTGGGCGAGGTCGCAGAGGGCGTTGATGACGGGGACGGAGCTGTGCTTGGCCAGCTCAGTCACGTCCGAGTTTTTGTTCACGCGCGCGACGATGCAGGAGACCATGCTGGAGATGACGACGGAAGTGTCGTAGAGCGATTCGTTGACCTAGATGGAGCAGTCGCGGAATGCGTGAGCGGAGGGACGGGCTTCAGCAAGGGGGATGTGGGTGGTTGCGCACGCCCAATTGGATGTCGTCCTTGCCCAAGAACATGGGTTGGCCGCCCAGCGCGGTGACGGCGCCCTCGGTGGACACTCTGGTGCGGGTGCTGCGCTTGCTGAAGGTCATGGCGACGGTCTTGCCGGACAGAGTGCCCAGCAGCTTGTTGGAGCCGGACTTGATGGCTTGCTTGTGCGAGTGGGCATTGCGGACAAGGGTCGCGAATTCCTGGGGAGTCAGGTCGGCGATGGACAGCAGGTGTCGGGGTGCGGCGGAGGTGGTGGGGGAGGAGTAGAAGCGGACGGGAGCTCTGGTCAAGCTCCGCAGAGCAGACGGTGAAGGGCGGAAAAGAGGCATTGCGCAAGGACAACAAAGAACGGCGTCGATTGAGTGCGAGGGAGGGTCGGGGATTGCGCAGCAAAGCAGACAGCGGACACGAGAGGAATAAATGATGGAGCAATGGTGACTCGGACGAGCTGTGCGCTCGGACGGCGTTTTTTAGCGGGTGCTAAGCTCCAAGGGTGCTAAGGTACCCCAGCTCGGGCGGGCCGCTTCTGATTGGTACATGGCGGGGTAGGCGCTCCCGCGACCGTCCATGCACTGCCATCCTCGCGTCACTACCTCTCCACGTCTCTCCTGTTTCACGCAACTCACGCTCCCTGCCAGCCAGAAGATGCGTTAGAGCAAACACCCGCATTCCACTGCAAACCCACCCACAAACACCAGCCATGGTCGACACTCCGTGGGGCTCAACCGCCACCCCGAGCCCCCGCCCAGCTTCAACCAAGTCCGCCCAGTCCGCCCGCTCCTCCCGCGACCTCCCTCCCGACGACCATGAGGAGGACGACGTCGATGAGTTCCCGGAGGACGCGCCCCTCCTGGCCGGCGAGGACAACAACAACGTTGACGACGATGATTCCGACTCTCGCACCTCGCGTTCCCAGGCCGCCTTCTCGTTGTTGAGCTGTCTCCGTCGCCCCTCCAACACGTCATCCGACACCCGCAAGAAGACTGGCCACCGTTGGCCCAGCACCGTGGCACTGTTGGTCTTATGTATCACCGTCGTCGTCATCATGGTCCTGGGCTTTGTTGTCCCTGCCGCTGTCCAGGAATACGCGAACGAGGCCGTCGACGTCAAGCCCACCGGCCTGAGCTTCGAGTCGGTGAAATCGGACGGCGTCTCGGTCAGGGTCCAAGCCGATTTTATCATGGATGCGTCGCGGGTACACAAGAAGTCGGTCCGTGATTTGGGCCGCTTCAGCACCTGGATTGCGAGGGAAATCGAGAGTGGAGAGGCCCACGTCGAGGTGGTCCTGCCGGATTACAGCGACAAGGTTGTTGGCAGTGCCGTCATTCCGCCCGTCAAGCTCAGCCTTCGCAACGGTCACACCACTCACATCAACATTGTCGCCGACCTCCATCCCGGCCAGTTCTCGAGCATCAGAGATGTTGCAAACGATTGGATGAGGGGCCGCTTGGGGAAACTAAAGGTCAAGGGCAAGGCAAAAGTACCTCTTAAATCAGGCATCTTCCCGCTGGGCACCCAAATCATCGAGGAGATCATGGAGTTTGAAGGTAAGGCCCTCCCCTTGTTTCTCTAGCATTGCGCGGTGGGAGGCTGATGACAGGACACGCGGCTAACAGTGTCACTGACACAGGCAATTCGCTCCCTGATGTTCCCGCTTATAGGATAGCCAAGCTCAACGTCCACGAGGTGGACCTGCCTCATGGCCACCGAGGTCTCGAAGCCAACACTAGCATTGTAGTCAATAACGATTATCCTCTCAGACTCACTGTCCCGCCCCTTGGCTTTGGTATCCTGGTCGGAGGCTGCTCGCCCTCGGACCCTCAAATCATGGTTGCCGACGCAAGGACCCAGGAGCTTCCTATTGAGCCCTTCGAGAACGTTGAAGTCCACGTAGCCGGTTGGGTCAGGAAGCTGCCCGATGCTCTGATGGCCGCATGCCCTAATTCCAAACAAACCCCGTTAGACATCCTCCTCGGCGACTTCATCCACGGGCGTGATGCCTACATCTACGTCCGTGGATCCGATTCGCCATCGGTTGACACGCCCAAATGGTTGACTGATCTCATGTCCGACATCACTGTCCCCGTGCCGTTCCCCGGCCGCCTACCTGAGAATCTGCTGAAGAACTTTTCCCTGACCGATGTCAATTTCCATCTTCCCGGTTTCTTTGCCGCACCTGACAGTCCCGAAGGCCAGCCCAGAATCGACGCCAAGATCAAGGCCCTGGTCGGACTTCCCGATGAGATCAACTTCCCCGTCGATGTCGACAAAGTGCGCGCTGATGCAGACATTTTCTACCACGGCAAGAGACTCGGCAATCTTGACCTCAGCAAATGGCAGCCCGCCAACGCCACACGCATCGACTCGAAAGATGAGGATAAATCAGGCCTGCTGGTCGAGGCAGTGGTCAGAGATGCACCTGTGAACATCACCGACCAAGCTGTTTTCTCTGAAGTGGTTTCAGCGTTGTTGTTTGGTAGTAAGAGTGTGAACCTAAGCGTGAAGGCCGAGGTGGACGTTGAGATGGTCACGTCGTTGGGCACCTTCAAAGTGCGCAAGATCCCCGCCGAGGGCGTCGTGCCGGTCAAACGTGGGTAGCCTTCTTGTTTTCTTTTTTTTACGTTCTCGACATGATATCAATAGCCCTTTGTGTAATGCCACTTCTTTCCTGTACCTTTTTCGAAGTATATTCAATTTTCTTTTCTGTCTGTCTATCCACGGGAAAAGAGAGAGAGAGAGAGAGAGAGAGAGAGAGAGAGAGAGTCAAAGGCTAACTCGATTTTCTTTCTGTGATTGAAGCAATCGGATCCGGTGACGGAAGCGGCCACGGCGGCGGAACGGGTGACATGTTCAAGCGTGTTGCGCCCAAGTTCGGGAACTTGAAAATCCTGGACACGGGACCCAGCTCCATCAGGTTCCAGGCCGAGGTCAACTTCACGAATCCGACGAATTACTCGGCCACGGTGCCGTACACGAACATCAACATCCTCACCAACGGCACCGCCATGGGTCAGGTCACGGCGGAGAACCTGACCGTCGTGCCGGGGAACAATACGGGAGTGTTGGTGCAGGCGGTTTGGGACCCGTTGAAGATGAGCGGAGAAGAGGGAAGGGCTGTGGGCGTGGATTTCCTGTCCCGGTGGCTTTCTGGTAGGTGGTGCTGGCGGCGTGGAAAAGGGAGAGGGAAAAACGGTGTGTGACGCACTGATGGACGATGGGCTAACACGTGGGTCTCTTGTTGCAGGATTCAACACCACGCTGGCATTGCAGACGCACAGGAACACTATTCCGGCGCAGCCGGCACTTGGCGAGGTGCTTTCGAGGTTGAAGCTGAGCCTACCGACGCCGAAGTTGAGACATGGTGATGATGACGATGGCGATGGGGCCGACGGGGACAAGCCACGATTCATCAAAGAAGCTACGGTACGTCGGTTGCTGCGGACCATCTCGTCCTTTCAACTTACGCGTTCCCCCATCCCTCCCTCCCTCCCTCCCTCCCTCCCTCTCTCTCTCCCTCTCCCTCCCCCTTGCTGATGAAGCCCGCGCCCACAGATGCACATCCTCTCCTCGACCGCCATCTTCACGCTCTCGTCGCCGCTGCGCGAATCCACCATCTACATCACGCACCTCAACGCGACCGCGCGCTACCACGGCGAGCCCGCCGGCCGCATCGTGCACGAGCTGCCCTTCGCCGTGCCGCCGGGCCTGTCGCAGACGCCGCGGCTGCCCGTCGACTGGTCGCTCGGCAGCGTCGGCTACGACGCCATCAAGAAGGCGCTCGGGGGCCAGCTGCGGCTGAATGCGACCGCCACCGTCGGGATCAAGTTGGGGAGGTGGGAGGAGAGGGTCTGGTTTGTGGGCGGCGGGATCGGGGCGCATGTGAGGTTGTGATCAGTGCGGGTGGGGTGGGGGGGTGGGGGGGGGGAAAGAAAGAGATTGTTTTGTTTTGAGAATCGGGGGAGGATGGGGTTGGTTGGTTACTGTTTTTTTTTTTTCCATGGGCGTTGTCCGGGAAGGGGTGTGTGTGTTCTCTGGAGTTCCATCGTAGGGTTTCTCCTCCCCGTTGACGGGGTGGGTTGGCTCTTGGACGGAGTTTTTTTCCCGGAGTCTATTGATCGTGTATCCTTTGGGGCTGGACGGAACGATGTCGAGATTGCATACATAAGGTGACAGGACATGTACATACATACATGGGTTTTCCTTATCCTTGATTTGACGGGATCCGAGCAGAGAATCCCCTGGATGGACCTCCTGCCGAGGTGGTGCCTCTAGGGAGATCTCAAGAAAGTTCAGGGCATTTTTTTCCCTCTCACGCTTTTAAGATTTGGATCCTGCTTCTGTGGACAGACACAATTCACAGTCCCGACGATTTGGCTGGGCTGGTACTGTACGGCATAGATGTTTCTCCAGATAGTGTTGTTCGCATGTCTGTTGGCAATTCTTCGTCAGCTAGAGCTTAAGAAAAGAAATAGATTCTAGAGATAAGTTGGAATATGGTAGAGTTGAAGATGCGTTAGTTGGCGCTATCGCCGGCTTTGAGGCTGCCAGAACCCATTCCCGCCTCGTCTTCACCCAACATTCGAACGCGGTCAATCAGAGCCTCAGCTCATTGGTGGCTGAGTGGAACGGTTGGTTGCCAAGTTGGGTGGCGATGCGTAACTTGTGGCTACGTCAGTTGCCACTGTCCAAGCACAGCATGATGCAGGGTCACTGTTGGTCTTTTCCAAAAATGCAGCCCCATGTGTGACTCTCGATTCCCAGCAAAGCGTCCGGCAACTGCAGATCAGAGCGCCTTGCTGTGTGGATGACGTAAAACCTGCTCACGTCCCCAAGCACTCCTCCGGGCCTCAGGACCACGTTCAGGGACTTGCGCACCGGTCTCGCCAGTCTGGCGCGAAGAACAAAATCCCCCTGGTGTCTTCCCCATGTCGATGCATGCAAGCTTGATTAGAAATGACATTTGGCGGGACGGATGGCTGCAGCAGGGAGTGGACGGTACGGTAAGGCGGGCAACGGCAGCGCGGAAACGGAAGCTGCCTAAAGTGGTCGGTTGATAGGATTATTGGGCGGGAAACGCCGACAATAGCAACGGTGCTATATCAGCCGGCCCATTATGCATTTTCCCGTCCCATGGGTTGGACCGGCGGGTGGACATGGCCTGATTGAGCAACCAACCGTGTATGACGGAGCTGTCAGCCAAGGCTTTGCGTAGCTCTTGTCCATGCCTATCTCTTAGTGTCCCCTGTCAAGTGTCGGGGCCGAGGAATGCCATCTGTCCAATAGTGCAACAGCACAAAAGGTCTCGCCCCCTCTGAGACAGTAGAGCCAGCGCTAGATCCAACAACCAACCGGGAAGGCCAAAGCATGGTCCCTCACAGATAGGTAGGAGCTCTGCTACGGCCGACCTGCTCAGCCATCGAATCCGGCCGGCATCGTCCTGCCTCCCAATCTTGCCCGACTTTGTTCGAGCTCGAATACGCGGGTTTGCCGTCCAAGGGTCGCCAATCGTTGCACAGCAGCAGCACGTAAACCCTGCTGGAAAGATCAACGGTCGGGGGTGGATGCCCCCACTTTTCCAACCACCTCACTTGCTCTCTTCCCGATCCACACCATGAAATGCCCACAACTGTCAGAAAAGCCTGTTCCTATTTTCCCTTCTTCCCCACCCCTGGCCCGATGGTGGGGATTAGTGCCCGCGCCTCACAATCAGGCACGCGAAGCCGTCATCCTTTGCCGCTTCCCCGGCCTCGACTATCGTTCCCTCCTAAACCTCGGCCGAGAACGGGGGCATTATCATCATCATCATCATCATCATCATCATCATCATCTAACGTACTGCCCTTGATCTTCACTGCTCGACGACGACACATACACACAGCCACAGCCACCCCCCAACTACCATCCAGAACCGGAATGGAAACGAAACGGATCCGCGCCGCCCGCCCCCGCGCTAGGTATTCCGCCAACTGCACGGAACAACAACGAAAGCAGCAGCAACAACAACAACAACGACAACGATGCCCGCCGCCACCCCACATGGCCACATCGTGCCCTGCCTCTCGCCTAGCCTCAACGCCCACCCACGCTACTAGTAGTACCTTGCTACTTGTGCTGTCCTGATCAGCTACTGTACAACACACTCACTAGCCCGATCTCCTTTACAGCTTCCTCGGCACGCGCCCATGCTCCCAGCCTCAAACTAGCACCCATCCCATCATTTCCCCCGCATCGCTGCTGCCAGGACTACCACCTATGTGGGGACCGGCGCGGCAAGTAAGTCGTTGGTCTCATGGGCGGGCGCGTCCCGGCGGGAGTTGGGCGTCATTCACCCTCCCCTCCCCTCGCCTCCCCTCCCCTCCCCGCTCCTACCCTAACTGCGATAGGTAGGTCGGTAGGAAGGTAGGTAGGGTAGGGTAGGTAGAATCTATTATTGTAGTGATCGGAGGGGGAAAGAAGAAGAAGAAGGGGGAGAAAGAAAAAAAATCGCTCATCACTCCATGCCCGCGTTGGCAATGAAAAAAAAAAAAAGGCGGACCCACTTGCGGCGCGGCAAGCTTTGGGAGGGAGAGGAGGAGGAGAAAGGAAGGAGAGAAAGAGTGTGTGAGAGTGAGAGAGAGACATCATTGGCTGCGCGAGGCGTAGATCCGTTGTCGTCCCTGAGATGTGCCGGCGCTTAAAAAGTCCTAACTTGGCGAAACGCCAATGCCCTTGTTGGTTGCGCTATACCTAGCACGCGTGTGGTAGTGCGTATGTGTGCGTGTTGGGGGCAGGCGTAAGGTGGGTATAACCGCCGGAGAATGAGGCAGCGGGCTGGGTTGCCCCGGGGTAGGGGATGTGGGAGAAAGAGAAGAGTGGAATATCTGGAGGCAAAGGCTAAGGTGTAGAGAGGGGGGAAGACCCAGCCGCGCGGTACGGTACATGTCACAATAAGCACTTAATCGATCGGGTGGTGGAGGACCAAACGACAACGCATATACCCTTTGTACTTTGACGAAACGAAAAATAAAAATAAAAAACATATGGAAAGGGTCGTCCCGTTGCAGGGTTGGCTCTTCACTCATACGTCCAGCGACGACGCTGGATATACACTCACACCAACCAAAACGTTTTCTTTGCGTATACAATCAGCAAGCAGTAGTGCTGCCGCTATGTACGCTATTCCTATCGGCCGCCTTATCGAGCAGCCAGCAGCAAGGCAGCAGTAGACCCCGCGGAAATCCAACGGCTGGGATCGTCCCTGCATTAACCTTCTCCAAACCAGCGCTATCTTCCCTCGCGCCACGCGCGCGCGCGGCTCCCGCTGCTGCATTGCACCTGATGACCACTTAGCTATATATAGCAGTTTAGAGGTTTCATCCATGCCTATCAATCCTTTTCCTTTGCCATATCTGTAGCTCGAGCGTTGGAACTACCGTTAGCGCAGCCATGTCTTGGTGTAGTCAACCGCAAGGTCGGCCTGAGCATGAGTGCGGGGTGATGTTGGAGTGGCCCGAGGGATATTGTGAAGAAGAAGCAAAAGCCATGGAAACCAGCAACATAAAGAAGTCTATGCGCAAGTAAAGCAGAGCTCTACTCTGGATTGTTCCTCGGATCTTAAGTGTATATCAATCATCTCGCACGAGGTGCCGAGGGACCAAGCTTGTAAAACCCAAGTGAGGGTAGCGCTGATCCCTTCTGGATCAACATGTTTGGGCACCGTGGCAGAAGAGGCGTGGCAGTGTGCTCTCGTGGGGGGGAGAGATGCGGCCGTCTTGGTCCAATCGATGACGATGAGATGTCAGCTGTTTCTGACACGCTGCGGGACGTACTGTATCAAAGGAAAGGGCACCACACGATCTGCCATGGACTAGTTGGGGTGTCAACTGATGGCTAAAAAAAAATGGTCGCGAATGAAATATGAGGAGCGGGTGAGTAGAGTGCGCCTGTCGACTATGGGTTGATATACGATTTATTGATGCAGTAGGCGGCCATAGTGTGGTGAAGGGATACGAGTGTATCAAGGATGCAGCCAAGCACTCAGTACATTGCTCCTCAGTGTTCGGATGCAAGCAGATGTCATCGGGTGAGATGAAGTGAGCAAGGACGTCTAAATTGCGACAATGGCTGCAGTGGCGGGCCGTGGAGGCTCGTGGCTCTGGCAGGTTAATTTATCGGCAACAGCAACCCCTCTGTGGCCTCGCAGGCTAGACGGGGGCCTTCAGTCCGAGTTCCGGATGTCGACTGCCCCAGGCGCGACGCGGGAAGTGGTCTAGGTCTCGGAAAGGATCGACGGGTTGGCGGGCAGACAAGGCCAGACATGCATGGCCCAGAGCCTGTGGTGGCAGGGAGATGCAGCGATTGCGCGCATGCCCAAGCTCCAGCAGCAGTGGAGTTCAGAGTTGACCGCAGATGGGCCGAGACAGCCATGCTCGCAAAGGGCCGAAGCAGGTCGACTGGCAGGTAGATCCAAGGCAAAGACGCAAAGACGAGGCTGCAAGCTGGAGGGCTAGTGCGGCGCCGCGTCATGGTGTCGTGAACAATCGGCCGAGGACGTGAGCGGTCAGAGGATTGGCGTGCGAGGATGAAACCAGCAACGGCGTGGTAATAGCTGAGCAGCGACTGGGGCCGGAGTTGAGGCGCGAGCGCAGTCCGGCGGGCAGTGGGCAGTGGGCAGGCGGCGCAGGGGCCTGGAGCGTCGGCCGCGTTTGATCGTCCCTTTTCGCGTTTGGCGAGCGAGAGCAGCAACGGTCTGGACAAGCTCAGCGCGCGCATCATCATCAGCCGGAGCTGCTGCGCCTCGCGCCTCGCTCCGGCGCGCGGAGATTGTCGACAGGTGAAGGCTGCTGGCTGCCACGCCGCGTCTGTTGCAGGCTGCAGCCCGTCGACCGAGCGCCGGCCGCGCCCTAAAGACAGGAGAAACTGCGGCTGCGTCTCGTTGGCCAGGAACCGCAAGCCACCAGCGCCAACGGCTGCTCCATCCTGCTCCAGCGCCGGCTCCAGACCGCGTCCCGTTTCCTGCCTGCCTGCCTGCCTGCCTGCCTGCCTGCCTGCCTGCTCGCCCTCTGTCGCCCTCTGCCTGTCCGCCTCCACTCTCCGGTTCATGCGGCATGTGAGACCGTCTGCTCTGTGCGCTTCCCGTGAAGGTTGGCCGGTGCATGGCGCTAATCCGCCTCTGCGTGCACGCACTCAATACTCTCCGCCATCCCCACGCCTGCCTGCCTGCGTGCCTGCCTGCGTGCCTGCCTGCGTGCCTGCCTGCCTGTTGCTTTTCTGCTCTGCCCTGCCCCTTTGGGCCTGGCCTGCATGCCGCGTTCCGCCCAGCCCCCGCCCTTGATTGCATCCACCACGCCGGGTGTTGCTCGTGGAACCCAGCCTCCGTATCCAGCCCTGCGAGCCTGCCCGGGGAAGACGTTCGCTTTTTTCTTTTTCAACCCCCGTTGCACCGCGAGCGCTTCCACCGCTGGCTCGCGAGCACCGCATACACAGCACGCCTCGACCCACCGTGCTTGCCCGTCCCGTCCGCCCATGCCGTCTGTCTGCCGTCTGTCTGCCTCGCTCCGGCCGTGATGCCGCACCAATGTACCGCCCAGCCAAATGGGAAACAGACGCCGGCCCGACGGGGACAAAAGCTGCCTGTTGCACGAGCTGTCTGGCATGAGGGCATGCCAGCGGCCGTCTCGCGGCGGCCTTGCGGCGGTCCCCGCCTTCCGTCGTCATACCTGCGCGCTTTTCGCCCGTGCCGTGGTCGATGGGGGTACCCAGACGGCCGGCGGTATTGCCATATGTACCCACGATGCTCCCTTGCGGGCAGACGTGTCGGACCATGGCGCTGGAGCGGCAGCACCGAAGCCGAAGTATGGACGCAGGCATGTGAGGTGTTGCTGGCTCCGAGTGCCGTGTTTGGCGCGGGCAGCGAGCGTGAAACGTGCTGCCGGAGCGGTTGTCGTGCGGTAGGTTTCGTGCGGTCGCGGGCCGATGCTGGGTGGGAGAGAGCAGGCTGACGAGACCTGAAAACGCCCAAGATTCGCGACACGGCGCACGGCCGATCTGCGTCTAGCGCAAGTAGCGCCTGCCCTGTCGTATTACCTGCCGGCCGGCCGCTGCCACCACCGTCCAAGTCGCACGCCAGCCCTGCGCAGTCTTAAGCGCGCGCCACACGACTGAGGCACGGGGTCCCGCCAGCACGACTCATCAGTCGTCTCCGAGCCCTACGGCCTACGGCGGGCCCAACAATCCAAACAATCCAGCCTTTGGTCGGTCGTCGGCACATCCGACACCCACCCGCCTAACCTCCGTCGCCCGCCGAAACATCCCTCCACTTTCACGCCCTTCTTGGCTCGCCCGCCTTCGCTGCCCCCCGCCGCCGCTCCGCTCCATACCACCCTCCCGCCGCTGTCGTATCACACGCGCCCTCACCCCCTCTCGACCACCCCCTCCCCGGCCCCAGTCCTGCCCGGTCCTGCCCAACTCCACTCCCTGACCACACCACTCCCGGCCCCCGCCTTGCCCGTTTCGGCACATGCCCCCTCCGCGGAATTACTCATGGAACCACCCAGCTGGCCGCAGATCGTAGCACTCGCCGGGGCACCCAACCCACCTGCCCCCTTCTGCAATGCCCTGTAAATCCGATCCGACCCGGACGAAGCCCGCCCGAGCAATAGTCGCGAAATAGCGAATTCTCCGTAATCCTCTCGTTTAGCGCGCCGCCGGCCAGCCCCGCTCGAGTCGCTCGACGGATTAGTCTCTCTCTTTCTGCTTGCAGCTAGGTAGGTACTACTCTGTCTTGTCTCTCTTCTCCCGCTCGCTTCTGCCCGCGCGCTTAGTGCCGTCGTGTACGGACTCGCAAGTCCGCCCCCGAAGGGCAAGGGAAAAATAATAATAACAACAATCAAAGGGAAAAAAGGCACACTGACTCTCTCCCCTCCCCCCGCTAATGCAAGCCCTCTGTCTGAATCCAACCGACTAAGCCGCGTGTGCCTTCCCTTATCCGTACTCGATAGTTCTACATGGAAAATCACTCACTCCCGTCTGTTGTGTAGGCTGGTTGCGACACAGGGTATACCATCAAGCGAGGCAGGCAGGTCACGACGATGCTGCCAATACGTGCCTTCCCGTCCGCAAGGCATGCCAAATGGTTGACGGTGAACGATCTGTGACCTCTTTCGTGTTTTATTCCGTCATTTAACTGGCGCGCAAGGTTACCAGCTGGGATGAGCAGCAGCAACTTCTCGTGTTGCTATGCCTGCCTCACAGTAGTAAACAACAGCAACGACAAACAACGCCGCAAAACGGCCCTGCCCTGCCCTGCCCTGCCCTGCCTTGCCCTGCCTGCCCTACGCACGCTCCTCTACACCATGTGGGTACCCTAGCGCCCCTACTTCATAGCCCTATCGTATTCTTCCCAGCTCCTTTCCCTTTTCTCGCATAATTATTGCTCCCCCTCTCTCTCTCCACTTCCTTCCCCACCAACACACCCACCCCCCCTCCGCCTATCTTGACGTAATGTGCGGTGCACGTTAGAAGATGATGATGCCTTCCAACACGCACCGCAGCCCCCACCGAACACATTTGCCGAAGGAAAAAAAAACACACGGGCAGAATGGGGGTGAGGGAGAGAGAGGGGGCGGCGATGACCTCATTATGCTCAGATGTTTTCTATCTACCTATCTACCTACGGACTACTCTGTACCTACTCACGACATCAGAGTGGGGGATAAAAATTTTTCCCCTTCTTCCTCTTCCTCCTTCCCCGTAAAATAATAATGGCGCGGTTTCAACTGGGTATTAAAAACCAACAGCAACAACAACAACAATAATAACAATAGCAATAATACGGCCGGCAGCGGCCGACGGGCGGGCGTGCACGCGTGCGCGCGCGTGTGGCTGGCCCTCCGGCGCGAGCGGAAGGCAAAAGGAAGAAAAAGAAAAGAGAGAAAAAAAAGGACTACTACCCCTGCGCGCGCGCAATGCCCGCGGTATGGTCTAGGTTTTTTTTTTTTTCGTTGTCCGTGTTCTTTGCATCACTCTGTGCGCGGGCGCATGGGCTCTGCTGAGAGTGTGTCGAGAAGGAAGGATGGAAGGGCCGGAGGGAGGGAGGGAGAGTTTTGGGTTGAGGTTGTTTACGGGGAGGAGGGAAGAGAGATGGGGATATCCCGGGTATCAGACATACATACGTACATGCAGTATAGGGTACTTAGAGGGCGTTTCTTAAAGGGCGCAGCAGCAGGGGTCGGGGCGGTTGGTCGGTTGGCGGTGGTGTACAACAATACGGGGAGGGGTGTTGGAAACGCGATTCAGTTGCGCAATATAATAGGCTTTCGGGCCGATTGCAGCTGCTGGGGGATGGGTGTGGTTTGTGTTCCTGTTGTCTGGTGGTGAATGCCGTGTGTGAAGGGGCGCACATGGAGTATGTGGTGCCTTGGTAGTACGTGGTAGAGAGAGAAAAAGCGCGAGAGAGAGGCCGGCGGTTAGGTACGGTACAGCCGACACACCTCTTGTCCAAACCGCCTCGCACCATGCCGCCTTTTTCCTCTCTTTGCCGCGCATGTGGATACATACGACGCCCTCGATCTTCGTGGTTGAATAGTCAAGGCTCTATGGTTCTTAATGTGGAGCACGGCTCGTATGGGCCTTTGTTGGGTGGTCATGCGCGGTTGGCCGTCCAGCTGCGCTGCATGCCCGTGGTTATGCCAGCCCCCGGTGTCTGTTTCCCACGCCCACCACTGCTCGCGTCGGTACGGTGGGCATTGCGTGCTTCTGGTTGATCTGCATGGACAATCGTGTGAATAGCGCGGCTGTACGGCAGGGTTCCGCATGTTATTGTGCCTCATCTGCTTTGCATCTTGCTGTTTACTTTTTGGCGTCGGCCTGCCAGAGCGGCCCGGAGGAGGCGCCGCGTGTTGGCCGGCCTGATTGGGGGCCCTTGCACGCCTCTCTCCCGCATGGATATCGTCGGGTGAGGGGGGGCATAAATAACAACCAACAGCGGACGAGCGTTGGCGATGGCGATGGCGCGCGAAGCGGCGGTTGGCAGGTCGAAGCAGCTAGCCCCTGCTGGCTTCGAGCTTATGCGCCTGGGCGTGCAGAGTGCAGCCCTTTCCAATTTTTCTTGGACCCCCTCGCAACTCCAGACCACCGGGGAGGAGGGGCATGTCGCCAGCACATGGCCTGCCTGACTGCCATGCTCTTGTCGCCGTTAAACCATCTGAGCGATCTTGTCCCTATAAAGCCGCATCCCGTCGATCGCCCCGGCTGCTGACGGGCAGACGTCAGTGGTAGGTGGTAGTCTAGCTCCACGCCCGCATCCGGAGGAGAATGCGCGGCTATCGTCGCCCCCAATAATCCACCTCGCCGCAATAATGCTCGGCGCGCACTGCAGCAGTTCCAATGTCCGCGCCATGCAGTCGTCATAGTTTTCCTGCCGACCTCCCAACTCGTCATGTGTGTATTTCACTACAAATTGCCCATCCCGGGAGTCCTACTCGTACCCGCTGCGCCTGCTCCAGGGCCTATCGGTCCGCCGCCGCCGCCGCCGCCGCCGCCGCCTCCTCCGCCTCCTCCGCCTCCTCCTCCTCCTACGCCAGGTGGTCTCCTGATGCTCGACAGGTGTTCCGCGTTCCCCGCGCGCTTGCGCACCTCGTCGATGCGTCCTTTGGCCAGGCTAATGGCGGGGACCACCCAGTCGCCGCAGTTGCACCGCATGCCCTGCCAGGCGTACTTACCCACGTTAGTCTTGCATTTGGGGCACTCGAACCGTCCGTCAAGCTTTCCCTGCTCGAGCTCGGGCCTCATCCATGACAGGGGGTCGATAAAGTAGTGCGAGCAGTTCGAGGCGTCCAACCTCTGCTGACCGGCCTCGCTCGTTGAAGCAGCATGACTGTTGATGAACGCCGATGTTGCCAGCGGACGTCTAAAACACCGATCAGCGCTAGTCACTGGCCAACAACCGCCCCGTGAGGAATGAAGATGGACAGGGCTGAGCCCGCCTAGTCGGGTGAAGGTGAAGCATATCTCTGGGCGCGCAGCTGATGCAGCTCTCTACCCGTGGCACGCATGAGCCCGCCTGCGCGAATCGGAGCCGCCAGTCTGCTCTGTCTGTGCGAACATGCCTCGGATCAGTGCTTTGGGGCTGTACCGAAGCGGATCCATCTCGCCTGCTGATGCATGCCGTCTGCTCCAGTCGATGCGACCCTCCCTTCCAAGGAGCGGAGAATGGAGCATGACGGTGAGGAGAAGCGAACGTCGGGGCCAAGGGCTTCGAAAACACAGCCGATAGGGATCGGCAGCACTCGGGCCGCCGTCAATCGTTTGAAAGGGATGATGCGTACCTGCATTTGCGACATCTCAGCTCCAGCTCTGCCTGGGCCTCCTGCACATGCTCGTCCTCGAATCGGATCTTCTCTGCCTCGGGCGCCTGGCCGCAAGCGCGGCTCAGCTCGACCTCGCGCTGGTAGAGCCAGCGCTGGTAGGCCGGCGATTCGTCCACGTTGTCCGCCATTTTCATGTCGTGGTAGATTTGCAACTGCTTCATGAAGCCCTCGTTTGGCTCGCAAATCGGGCGGGCCAAGCGGATTTGCTCGAGGGCCTCAGCCGGCGACATGTGGTACTTGTGCATCAGGTAAGCTATGACCACTGTGGCCGATCGGGACTTGCCCATAGCACTGCAGCGATGTTGGTATGATGAATGAAAACGGTCAAAGTCACGTGCCGAGCACCAACGGCGTGGCCGGCCATTGGCTCCGGAAGCGCGACGAATGCAAGGACGAGCAAAACAAAAAAAAAATGGTGGGAGACGCCACGCGGAGTGCAGACCGTTTCGCCGCCTCCCAGATGACGACGCGGCGGCCGGTGTGTTGCCTTCGACGGAGGAGGCAAACGCGCCAAGCCACAGATCCGAGCAGGGAAAATGTGGGAGATGTGCATAAAAAATTCAGCTGGCCAGGGTTGACTTACCAGTGCACGAGGACGCCACCGCCGCTGTCAAGACCGTCCTGGATGAAACGGTTGGTTTCGGGGAAATGCTCCAGCAGGTTCTCGTCGTCGACGTCGTCGACCTGTACGACACGGTGCGTGTAGGGGCGGAACAGCTCGCTGCCGAGCGGCAGGCGCAGCACCGAGAGCACATGGGTGATTTTCGCCTCGGCCAGGGCCTCGCGGCGGTGCAGGGAGAAGAGGCTGCGCGCGGCTCGGTCAGCTCCAGGCGCGGGGTGGGCGCGGCGGGCGGGCTACGTACCCGCCGATGTAGAGGCTCAGGGCACCGGGCACCTTGTCGAGCAGCGCCATGCCGGGAGACGATGGGTTTGCAGAAGGGAGGGTGGTGCTACCTCGGGTAGCGGGCGGAATTGGCAGGGCAAGCGAGGCGTGGGCGTCTGACAAAGCTGAAACCTCGCAGGGCTAGGGCTGGTGGTGGACGGGTGGGCTCACGGGCTGGAAGCTGGGGAGATGCTACGTCGGCGGCCGTGCGGGCGATCTGTCCGGTGGTGCGGTCGTGCGGTCACGCTGGCGAGGTGGAAGCGGATGTGGCCCTGTGGGTGGATGTGGATGGGCAGGCTCGGCAGGGCGCATAGCCACAGCCCAGCCAGCCCTATCCGTTGCGCCTGCGACGGCCAGGAAAATCCCTCCAGCAGCCGCATGGGGGCCGCGCGCGGAGCCGTCTGGAATGCCGCAACCTCATTCTGCAGCTGCGCTGGCGAGGGCTGGCATCGGCGATCGGCGCTGCAGATTGGGCCTAGGGGATGATCAGAGAGCGCGCTCTCAGCAGCGCTTGAGACATCGGAGCAGTTGCGCGTGGCCTGAGAGTGGAGTATCGCAGTACGAGTGATTGGCATGCAGCGCTGCAGCAGCACCTGCGCCGGTCAGGGACCGTCAGCTCCGCGGGCTGCAGGCCGCCCTGCAACCAGGCGGGCGGGAGCGCTGCACTGCCGACTGCGCGATGATATGATGGGTGCCCCTTTCGTGGCGGGCAGGCGTAGGGCCGAGGCTCGTTTGCGGCCTGGCGCGGGTGCTGGTGGGGGGACGACATGTGCCCGCCGGCCATAAGGCTGAGGCTGGCTGGCGGTTAGGGGGCCCAAGTCGCCCTACGCTGGGACTCGGCGCACGACCTGAGCAAGTAAGCCGCTGCGCCTCCGCCGTCTGTCATAAGGCAGACGGGCAGTGGCAGGGAGCGCGCCGCCGGCCCACTCAGGCTCGCGCTCCATCCATGTCGACTCTTCGCACAGTCCAGCTTTGCAACCGCACTGCACCCTCGCCGCAGCTCGCCCCAAGGTCGCTGGAGCAGCTCCCCCAGCCGCAGCCGTACCGGACGCGCCCAATCACCCGCCCAGGTCCTGCACGCTCCTTCACACGCCCGCGCATGCTGGTGCAACCGCTTGCAATGCAATGATCGCCGCCCAGCTCACTGACGGCTAAGCTCCTGGACTCAGCAGCGGTGGTGCGCCCAAGGTCAGTCTGCCTCTCAGCGCTGGCTCGCCGCTGCCGCCGGCGCACCCTCGTCTTCAGCCTGGCCCAACCACTTACCGCATGCTGTAGGGCTGAGCGTTCCCGGCCGGCACCCGTGCTCCCAGTATCACGACACGATACGCCTCCCCCAGCAGCGCAGCCCCTCGCCTGCCCAGCCAAACCACCTCCACCTCCGCTCCTCTGCTCTTCTCCACCAACCCTCCCCGACAGCTGCTCCTTGCCTCCCGCTCCCCTTCCTTCCCTCCCTCCCTCCCTTGGCAGCCCTGCCTGTGGCGCCCGCACACCGGCCACTCAGCGCCGAAAAGCCCTCAGCAGCTGCCCGCCACTAATCCCCCGACTCAGCTGGTGGCGGCTCCCGCCTCGTCACCCCTAATGGACATGTCGCACGCAACCACGACGCCGGCGATACGAATATATGACTCCGGCACGCACCACTCGCATTTCACCATCCCGCGCCGGTCGTCATCGTATGCCTCCCCGACCGCTCTTCCCATGGCCATTCCCAATGCTCGAGACACTCCGCCGCCGCCCTTGCCTCCGCCGCGTTACATCAGCGAATTGAGCGATGGACAGGATCCCGGGTGGCAGTGGGGCAATGGCCCGAATAGCTCGTCCTTCGGGAAGAATGCCTTTGGCTCGGTGAAGCCGGGCTCCAGCCTCCTGGGCGCCCAGGTGAAACGAGACCAGGCCGTAGAAGAGAGCGAGCGCGGCAACTGGGCTCGCCGAGGTAGCTCGCTCTCGACGGTGAAGCCTCAGGACACCGACATGGCCGCCGACAGCCTGAGTCACCATAGCGACGAGGATCGCCCAGATCTCCCACGCCCGTCCATGGCAAACCACCGGTACGTACCCTTCCTTCTTCTACTCTTTGCGCACACGGCGCCTGCTCCCTGTGCTCGCTGCTGACCGCTTGACACAGCCTCCAGAGCGAGAGGCAACTCGGCCAGCGCTCGCTCGAAGACTCGTCGCAAGCCTACGACAAGCAACTACTATCCAAGATCGGCGGCCCCAACACGCCGAGTCGCGGCCCTGGCACCGGCTTCCTCTCGACGAGCGCCCAGGAAACGTCAACCAGCCCGCACAACACACTCAGCAAACTAAATGGCCAGCTCAAGCCGCTTTCGATGCCAGACCGCCGTCTGAGCTCCGTCGACCTCACTGCATCGAACTGGCCGCCAAGCTCGGGGGCCATCTCGCCCGGCCAGACGGGTTTCCGGAGTCCCATCTACGGACCGGGGTCAGGCGAGAACCCTGCGCAACGCCCCTACGGCAGTGTTTCGGGCCCCAGCGGATACGAAGACCCTCACTCTCACAGGGGCAGCTACGACCACACCGTTTTCTTGGAACCCGATTTCGCCATGGAGGAGAACGGCATGCGGGATCTCAACCTGAACGATCGCAGCCCTGCCGGCTCGGACGAGTATCAACTCAGCACCCACGGCGGCCTGAAGAGGCGCGCGTCCTCGCCGCCCACCGAGGCCAACCGCGAAGACCGCCCCAGCGGCGGCAACGACCTCTACCATCGCCGATCGGCTCAGATGCTGGTCAATCGCAACTCGCCCATCTCGAGATTCCACGCCAATCACGGCTCGGTATCCTCGACCTCTTCCCTCGGACAACGAAACGGATCTCTTGGGTCTTCGTATGGCCTGTCAATCGCCAGCAGCGCGACGAGCTACAACACGGACCGTCTCTCCCCCGGTGCACTTTCGCCATCGATCGACGAATTTGGGCCGACGTCGCCGTACTCGACGGCCAGATCGCTGAACCCGAGCCCACGTGGCTCTTTGTCGAAACCGTCGCACCACCAGCGCGGGTTGTCGGGCGAAGATGCCCTGCAAGCTCGCAAGCTGTCTGCGGACAGCTTGGCACACTCGCGGCAGAACAGCGTTTCGAAGATCCAAGGCCTCTACATTTGCGAGTGCTGCCCCAAGAAGCCGAAGAAGTTTGACAGCGAAGAAGAATTAAGGTACGTGTCACGCGGATTCGGATCAGGCCACCGGGCAGTTTTGTTAACTCCAGCCAGAATGCACGAGATGGAAAAGCAATACACGTGCGCATACTGCCCGAATCGGTTCAAGAACAAGAACGAGGCGGAGCGGCACCAAAACTCTCTTCATCTCCGACGCCACTCGTGGTCGTGCGCGGCGCTATCGGGGGTGCAAGCGGCGTTCCACCCGTCGACTGTGCACCCGACGGTGGCAGACGTATGCGGGTACTGCGGCGAGGAGTTCCCCAACCCCGCGGACTGGGAGGTACGAGCGGAGCACCTGAATCACGTGCACAAGTTCGGTGAATGCAACCAGGCCAAGAAATTCTTCCGCGCCGATCATTTCCGGCAGCATCTCAAACACAGCCACGCTGGCACGAGCGGAAAGTGGACCAACATGCTGGAGAACGCATGTATGAAGGACGAGCCTCCGCCAAAGGAGCGACTGGGATCGGTGGGCTCGCTTCCGGGATCGACCATGGGTCCAGGCGGCACGCTGACTGCAGTAGCCGCGCCCAAGCCCGGCGTCATCAGTGAAGCGCGTGATGAGTCGTGAGCAGGCGTTACAGGACGAGTTTGACTAGCGATTGCTGAGCGAGCATGATTGTCATCCAGCATTTTGGTCGCGGCGTCATTATTAGAACCATTCACATACCACACAGAGGGAGGCGTGGCTCCAAGGGCGGCTTTCTGGCCATCCGGGCACGCGGTTTTGGGTCGTCGGTTTGCAGCACATGTCCGTTTGGCATTGGTGGATAAAAGTACTTATTTCGAGGATTCTCATTGTCGGTCCTCCTCTCGGTGTCTCGCAGCCCGAAGCAGGAGTCTATCTCGTACTTGGTGGTCTTCACGATGTCACGACGGCGTACGTGGGCGGCTTTCGGACTTTTGGGGGACTTTTTCCTTTGTTTCTGATCTGCTTTGCTCTGCATCTCCGACTCACATTGGGCTCGTGTCATGCAGCACGGTCCGGCATGGTACACAGAACAGTCATCACGGTTTGCTCATTTCTCTTGCACATTCGGGAAGGCGGGGGGATTTCTCTTTTGGATGGGATGGAAGCACAGTAATTGGGGGGTGGGGGACGGAGTTGCAAGAGGCAGCGCAGGGTCATGTCCAGGAGCTGCAGGCTGCGCACAGCAGGAGATGGCGCGGTAATTAGCGCCAGATCAAGGGCGCCGGCAGTTTTCCCCGAGAGGAAAAAGCTCAAGGCACACAACGAAGGTTTCTGGCTTCTCTGCCATGCGTCCTGGGCTTGCCGTGACGCGTGATGCGTGACTCGTGAGGGGAGGTAGGTCGCGGAGAGAGGTGGCGGCTAGGGGCCGTGCGGACGCGCAACACTACGGCTAGTGATCTGCTCGGGCTATCCGGAAGCATATTTCAACTCCGCCTGGCGGGCGAAATGAAGGGCGCGGCATGGGTGGCTCGTTCTGCGGGCGACGCTGTGCGGCAGCTGGACCAGGGCGTGTCCCGCGTCCGCGCGGCCACGAGGCAGTGGTTTCGACCGGTTGGAGCCGTTAGTGGCAGTGGTTGTCTGGCGGCGGCGGCGCGGGCTCGGTGCGGCTCTCCGCTTCGCGCACGCTGGCGCGCGCTTCTGAGCACGTTTCGCGCGGCGGCGGCGCATGAAGAGTGTTTGCGGGCAGCCCCTTGATGACGATGGTGGTGATGGATGGCTTCGCTCTTTCCGCCCTAATCCGCCGAGGGCCCGGGGGGCAGCGGCGCTGCAAGCGAGGTGCGAGTCTACATCCAAAACTCGTGCTGACCCACGTATAGTGCGGCCTCCGCGCCATCGCTTTCCCCATCCGCCCAGTGCTCCTCTGCCCAGGCACTGCCT